GACTCCGACGATTCCGACGACATTCCCCGGACTCCGAAGGCCGCGGGTAAGGACGCCCGGATGTTGGAGATAGAGACCTTCCTCCGGACCAGCAAGGCTCCCGTCGGACTCGCTGAACCCGCCATGCACAGCTTCGTCCGACAAGCGCTCAATTTTTCTACCGCGACGGCAAGCTCTGGCGCAAGGATAACCACGGGAAGCATAAGGTCTACATCCATCCAGGCCGCCGTCTCTATCTGATCCGCGCTGCTCACGACTCTCTCGGACACAAGGGTATCTTCGTTATCCGGACTCGCCTCCTTGAGCGATTCTGGTGGCCCTTCCTTGACCAGGACGTCCGCTGGTTTGTCAAGACTTGTCATCAGTGCCAGATCCGCTCCAACTTCAAACTACACATTCCGCCGTCTCCGACGATTCCCCTTTCCCTTTTCCGCCGCGTCCACATTGACTGCATGGTGATGCCTTCCGCCAACAAATTTAACAAGATAGTCCACGCTCGGTGTGCCCTCACCTCTTATCCGGAGTGGCGCGCGCTTCGCCGGGAGACCGCGGAGACACTGGGCATGTTTATTTTTCAAGAGATTCTATGCCGCTGGGGCGCCATCGAAGAACTTGTGACGGATAACGGTACCCCGTTTGTGAAGGCAGTTGAATATCTCGCAGAAAAATACGGCATCCGACACATCCGAATCTCTCTGTACAACTCCCAAGCCAACAGACTCGTCGAGCGGAGACACCGGGACGTGCGGGGTTCCCTCCTGAAGACTGCGGATGGCAATGACAAGAAATGGGTTGAAGTCGCACCATCCGTCTTCTGGGCCGAGCGCGTCACCATCTCCAAGACCTCCGGAATGTCTCCTTACTACATGGTACATGGCATCGAGCCCCTCTTTCCGTTCGACCTCCACGAAGCTACCTATCTCGCCCCTCCTCCCGATACCACTCTCACCACTGAACAGCTCATCTCCATGCGCGCCCAACAACTCCAGAAGCGTCCAGACGACATCGAACGTATGCGCGAGAAAGTTATTCGGAGCCGGATTGCTTCCCTTGAGGAATTCGAACGTCGGTTTGCCCGGACAATCAAGGACTTCAACTTTCTTCCCAGACAGCTCGTTCTGGTTCGTGATAAGAAGATAGAAGGTGATCACTCGCTCAAGCATCTGCCTCGCTACATGGGACCTATGGTCGTCGTCCGACGCACTCATGGCGGATCCTACGTTCTGTCCGAACTGGATGGCTCCATTTCCAATCTACGTTATGCTGCATTCCGCGTCATTCCGTACTACGCCAGACACCGCCATCTCCTTCCCGTTCCCCAATCTGCGGAACCCGATGGCTCCGAAGAGTCCGAAGATCCTCCGGAACCTCAGACCGCTGCGAACTTTGCCGGACTACAAAATACGACGAACGGCCGAGTTTTGACGCCTTCGCGGCAGCCTAACCGTCTAGTAGTCTAAAAATTTTTTCCACCCAGACCAGGGTTCGCCCTGTGTTGTATCCCGGACTTCGGGCCTGTTCCGTCTCCCACCTCTCACCTCTCTCATTGATTTCCCTATTATCCGTTTGCTTATATTTTCTTACATTAGTTTAGCGTACGCGTCATCCAACGATTCCGGTGGCCATTCTCCCTTCCGGAGACTTCGGACTCGCCGGTTTCACGCTGCGTCCTTTCGCTCTCACTTATACTCACTCACGCACTTTATTTTGGCTCCCAAGAAATGCCGTTATATTGACTATGTATCCTTCCAAAATATCTAAGGGCCAAGCGCCCTTTTCTGTCCTCTCAGGCCCCGTCATACTCCGCGTCCTCCTCCCTTCGCCTGTCCTCTTCGCGTTCCTCCTCGTCCGCTTCCTACGCTCGTTGCGCCTCCTCCAATTCTCTCCGCAGGATCAAGGCCGCGATGCTTCTCGTTGCCGCCGCCCGGGTGCTCTCCGCCTCCTCCGTAGCCTGCTTCAGAGCAGCGATCTGAGCGTCCATCGACGCCATGACCTGGACAATGGTCCGCAGCTCGTGGTCCGCGCACGCTTCGGCCAGGATTGGCATAAGCGCACTCCCCGTCGCTGCCCGCGTAGTGCGAGTCGTCTCCCGGCCTTCTCCTACCCGACGTCGTGTCTTCGGCCCTGGGGCTGTCCGCTGCTTTCCTCTACCACCCGGGACCTTGCTACCGGATGGCTCCGCGTCCGACGTCTTCACTGGCCTTGCTCGGGTCTTCACGTGCGAGCATCTGACCTTCGAACCCGTGCATGCCTCGCATGCGTGGCAACTGGTTCCAACGCAGGTGTAATGAGCCTGCTGGCAGTGCAGGCATCGTCGGGCGTCCGAAAACTCGACGATCGGATGTGGGCACAACTCCTTGGGTGCGCCGAACCCGCACCCCCAGTCAACGTTGTTCGGACTCGCGCTGGCGTCTGGAGGATCCGTTAGTTTGCGCTATATCGATGTATGGGTCACCTTACCGGCCGGATCGTACTCCCCGTATTCCATGACGTCGAGAGCCGGTGGCGGTGGCGGAGTCTTTTCATTTGCGTCCTCCACATTGCCCGTGCGCCTTCGGAGTCGTTTCGCCCGAGGTGTTGTCTCGGGCTCCCCGCCGTCACTCTCCACCATCTTCCGTTTTCCAGCTCGGATGGCGCTAGCTCGTTTTCGCGTACGAGGGGCCGGAGTACTGTCATCCTCAGCCTCCGATGGGATTTCAATTACGTCCAATGTCTTCTCCGTCTCGGGACGATCAAGAGTGGTGCTCCCGGATCCGACGGTACCCGAGCCGGACACGATTTGTGGCCTCTGTGCGGCCCGACGACGCTCCTCAGCGGCGAGCGCGTCCCTTCGGCGTGCGTCACGCACCTCTTGCGCCCTCCTGGCTTCCGCCTCCGCCGCTTCCTGTGCATCTCGGGCCTGTCTCTCGTCTTCGGCCTGCCATTCCGCGATTCGCGACTGTGCCTCCAGAAGTTGTGTGGTGGCACCGGCCATTTTCTCTTTCACGTCATCCTCGACAGTGTTCTGCAGTTGGCGCGCCACAAGAATGTCCTCGGCGCCCATCAGCCACTCCTATGCGTCGTCAGCATCCTGTCTCTAATCGTCGCCGCGTTGACACCTACCTGCTCCCGCTCCATCTCGGCAACCGCAATCTCGACATCGACCCGACGCTCGTCGTCGAGCTCCGGCAGGGCCGTGCCCATATCCACGAACCGGCCGGCCTCCTCTTCGTATGCAGCGACGGCCTCTTGCTTCTTCGCGGCGCGGAGTTGTTCTAAGGTGCGGGATGGCGTGTATTGCTCCATGAGTGTGCGGCGGTGAGGCTGAATGTGATGGACGAAGAAGAACAAGAGTGAATGTTGGACTTTGTCGAAATATCAACAATCTGTCATGTGACCGCGCTTCCTTTGGTCTCATGCCACACTTTCGTTCACCCACCCACCTGCCCACTTCGCAATTCTTGCTCGCCGTGTATGTTGCCCCGGAGGGTCAACACATAAAGTCCCCGGGGGATGTAAGGGTTGAACCCTTTCGTTCCGTGCAGTCCGACCTCCCCTATCCCCTATCGACCCCTCTCCGACTCTTCGGACACGCTCGCACATGACTCGGACGTCACGAACCCGTACCGGACACACGTGATAACGGATCAGACAGCTCGGATCAATCTTTCGTATATCTTTTGTTCTCGGACTCTAATACTTGGACTATACTAGCACCATTATTCGTTCCTGGTGCCTTTTCGTCTCGGACTTTTCCTTCATCTGACATTTTTCTTAGCTACAAAAGCCTCCTGTACTCGTAGTTAGAAGAATCAGATTTGTTTCCCCCCCACATCGAGCCAGATTCAAAGCCGTCCGAACCTTTCTTCTCATCTGTTGTCAGAGTCTGCCGCTGTCCGAGTCCGAGCCCGAGTCCGATCCGAGGTTGCTTTCTCCTGCCGTCCTTGTCATTCTCCTGCCGTCCTCGTTGTACTATCCGAAGCCAAGTTGTCTGTCCGCGTCCGAGCGCGTCCGAAGCCATCCGAAGCCGTCCGAAGCGTCCGAAGTTTCTCAGTTGTTCGTTTTCACTCTCGGACTCATCCTTATCACACTTTACTCACGCGGGTGTCGCAGGCGGACCCTCGCATTTTACTAGACTACACTACTAGTCTACGCGTACATTCACTACTACAGTATATTCTCCCTCTCGAAGGTGGATGACTCCGGAGATCCGACCTGTGAGGGAAGAACGGGCCAGTGCGAATGCGGGGGATTTCAAGGCCCTGGAAGGGGTTGGCACTATGGGCTTCGAGGCAGCACTCGATGATCACACAACCAAGAGCATCGCTCTTGTTGATGATCACTTCACTCTTTCTTCAGAAAAAGAGCGGAAAACGAGGTAAGTAAAGAAGCCTGTATAAGGAGTAAGTTTAGCATTGAGAAGCGAATTACGAGAAATTATACGAACATCCTTCTCGGTGGGGGACTCTGCTTGAAAATCCGCTCGCAACCAGTGGCGCACTTATTGTGCGGTAGCCTCTTGTAAGTGTATTGAAGCGACCGCGTTGAGTCCGAACCTCGTCCTCCGAACGACGCAGCAGAAAAAGACCTCGAATGCAGCACATGCTCGTATATATATGAGTTCTACCAGACCACCACGGCCCATCGCACAATCCTTTTCGTCCTGGGTTCCGAAGGGACCCTGCCCGAACCGAAGTCGCGTATACCGAGTCGCGTACGAAGGTCCGAGAACGAAAGTTTCCTCGTCGTAGACGGTAAGGCTGAACCCAGGAAGAGCTTTTCCGGCCGGCGGATATTTTAAAGGCTGCTTGACCGTGGTGCCAGAAGCGGTTTCGTGTTTGGGTTACTGGTGGGGGTGTTGAAGCGGTGACAGTGGACGAAAACTGAGGCTAACGATAGCGACACCGCTGGAGTGGTGGCGGAATCCGAGAGCGCGCTCATCGAGTATGTACATGTTGAGCTTGAATTTCAGACTCTCGGCGCCTCTTGATTTGACTCTTGCATCGCCAGTCAACACTTTAATGTCCTGCCCCCGCACAGCAGAATTCGACTCTGATTCTGAAAACGACGGAGATTATGTGCCACCGGTAGAAAAGGGTATCATTGGAATTCTCAGCTTGATTGCGGCCTCCCTGATTCTGACACTTACTCACTAGACTCAAGTTCTTCAGACGAAGACGGGGGACACGAAGACAAAAGCATACCGCACCCGATACCTACTACAGCAGAGGACGAGGAAGCAAAGAAAGCGTGAGGCTGCGTACACCAGACCCATGAACATCCGTTGAAGCAACCCCCAGCGCCAAGGATGCATTATGGGCTAGCTTTCAAGCTTCCGTTGCATCTGTACCCCCCTCTCAAGCCCATACCGCGACAACCAAGGTGAAGGTGAAGATAGAGAAGAGATACAGATTTGCTGGTGAAGATGTGATGTGCGTCGTTGCCTATCTGTTTGTCGTAACGGACGCCCTGAACAATTCTAGAGATGTTCTTGAGGTGGACGAAGACTCTGAGGACGCGAAGAGATGGCCCCGTGCTGGCGAAACGTCGTCGACATCTGCATCCGCGTCAACGAGCTCGACCCCGAAGCCCCCGGCCAAACGTCCAGGCGCCCGTAAATCGAAAGTGACATTGGCACCTCTACCATCGGGGAAAGCCAAAAAGCTGTCCACGCTTGAGAAATCAGCCATGGACTGGCGTGCGCATGTCGCTGCCGAAGCAAGTTCGGGTTTGCAGGAAGAACTGGACGCGAATCGCAAAGGCGGAGGCTATCTGGAAAAAGTGGACTTTTTGAAACGTGTCGATGAGAGAAAGGATGATATCCTCGAAGCTAGTCGAAGTAGTAAACGGCGGAGGACTTGACCTGTCGATTCTCGAGTCCATCAGATGTATTTTGTACTGAGCCCCTATGTCAGAAGAACAAACGACTGCTCCCTTTCTCGCTCATTCCACTACCACCATGCCTGGTCCAGGTGGCAAACGTTCCGCTAAATCTCGCCAGAGCGGACGCTCGAGTGGTAGCGGGGCATCGTCTACACCAGCAGCGTACATAGGAGACATCGACAACGCTGATTCATGGGACGCCATCGTCCACACCATGTGCGACGCTTTCCATCTACCCAGTCCGTGCCATGAAGTAACGCGACGAAGGGGGACTGATGCTTAGGTGTAGATCTAACTACCAGGCACGGCCTCAAGAAGATCCATGCTGACTTCAATAATATCCACCGGAGGCTCGATCAGGCGTATGTCTCCAATAAAGGGAACGATAAAATCATGGGGGGCGTTGTAGGTGTATTTGCAAAGATGTGCACCGACTCTATACTACGAGATAAGATTATTGAAGGAGGTCCTTGACAGTCTCACCCTCGCGTGTATCCTAACGTACTGATATTTCCATAGGCTTCCTTGACCGACTGTTCCCTTTATTAGAGTTCGATTCAGCCCGTCACATGGCCTTGCGAGCGTTGACCACTGTCACCCATCATGGTGGTGCTGATTGCCGCGTCGCGATAGCTCTTCATTCTCCTACACTGGTCGCTCTGATGGAGAGGTACCCTGATGACTCCAAAATCGCAGAACTCTGCATCGTTACTTTGGCGCCCTGCGTTGCAGCCATTGTAAGCAACCCGGAGCCCCCACCATCCAGCACCATCCGTGCAATTGGCCTACAATCGGTACTCCAAGTCACAGTCGATAACATCCGAAAACCCAATATCTCGCACTATGCAGTCAATCACGCTTACAGCTTGCTGGCCTCATCGACCACACATTGTCCCGAAATTTGCAATAGGATTCCGTCGATGATCCGATTCCTCGTCGCAGGACTCAGAAGCAAGGACTGGGTCGCTCGCTGCACCTGCCTCGGCGGTCTCATCCGCCTGCACGCGAAGGGGGCGGAAGAAGACAGATTGATGCTGGATCCCCAGCGGATGATTACCGCATTCGAGCGATTCCCGCAGCACGTCAAGGACATCCTTGTGGCCTATGGTGCCCCAAAAACCGAGTATTTTATGACCTTGTCGGCCAGCGTCGCCAACCAGAAGGCCTTCCTACAGTGTGCTCAAGATCACGACATCTACGGCTTGGGCCTAAAGCTCGCTGCGCTAATTGTCAAGACCGAATTCTCCATCGCCCAAGGCGCGTTCCAGACCGAGAACCCGCGGACCGGGCGCATGGAGAACGCATCTTTAGGGCTTCCTTTTTCTATGTGGTCCGATGCCCTGCCCTTTTGCGCGAAGGCCATTCGTGACAAAGGGAAGCCCGACGAGCAGCATCTAGCCAATATCCTTGAAATCAAGTCGTTTATTTTGAAAGGCAGAATACCAGAGGCCGTGACCCTTGCGCGCAAGGGGCTAGAAAGCAGGCCGGATATTGCATATTATTATTATGCAATTACGCTGTCCGCAAACGCCGAAGAAGGCCTCCGCGCTGCAAAGAAGGGGTTGAAGTGCGCGAAGATCACACCTTTCCTTCGCTTCCAGATGCTGCAGCGAGCGGTGGCTCACGCTGGGGACCTGGGCGTCATAACACTCCAAGATGCGCCGATGGATGGTGATCAAAAATGGGAAGAGGGGGTGACCTTCCTCACTAGTGCTTATGAAGATGCGAAGATCTACCTAGAAGAAGCTCCTCCCGACAACCGCAACATAAAGAATGTTTCTTATTGGTATATTCTCCTGACGCTGGTGATCCGTGGATCAGAGATTGACTCCAGCTTGAGCGAATTGAAGGTGCGTTTGGATCTGCAAAGACTGCTTACTCAGATACGTTGACCGTTTATCATTAGACTGTTTTTCGTAGGCTGAGTATAGCTGACGAGATTAGCACCATCTTGTCAGCGCCGCCTCCAAAGACGATGCTGCGACTAACACAGCAAACTGTGACGAAGTTGTACGCTGATGCAGTGAAAGAGTGGGGGGAAGTCATATCGCGGTTTGACGAAGGAGCGACAGACCGACCTATCGTTGCTGAGACCGTGGAAGATGACTTATCTGCATGGTTGGATGGTGCCCAAGATGATTGCGAAGAAGACGCCGCGCCCCATGTATTCTGTGGGCATCCGAACGTCAACACGAATCATGTCAAACTTTACAGGTGTTCGTGGTGTGGCGCTCCGAGCGCTGCATTGCGAAAATGTGGGGGGTGTACGAAAGCTAGGTATGTTATCATTTATATATATATATATATATTGTACACTTCTCTGATTTGTCACCGTCGTAGATACTGTGATTCTGGCTGTCAGAAATCACATTGGAAGGATCACAAGAAGTCTTGTACGCGATGAGCATAGGCGTGATTGCGTTGTATTTACGTGAATCTATGATTTGCACAAAATTAACCCTTGAGCTTCTCATCGGAATGAGATAGTAGAGAAGCAAAAGGAAGCCTCCCTCAGACCGGGATCGAACCAGTGGCCTTGGGATGATAGTATCCATTACAGTCCCACGCTCTTCCAACTGAGCTACCGAGGGCTTATACTATGGTGGACAAGGGTGTTCATCATTCCGACTTCAGGTTATAATCGTAGATGATCATCCTTACCTAGGCTACATGGGCTCAGCTTGTTGATAAACGAAACGACGTCCGTCGGCTAAGTGCATGACCCAACTTGTTACTCACATGCTTTTGATCAGGCCCTTGGGAAAACCAAGAATGATGAAGGTTTCGTAGAGATATCTACCGGCCTACAAAATCCTAACAAAGAGGGTTTAGGGGAGTAGAAGTCCACAACTAGGCCCACTTACCTCCTTCCCCAGTCGTTCCCAGATGCTGTGCTGGACCAAAGCCGATCTCCTTCGAAGTCCTTTGGACGCAGTGTCAGAAACTTGGCATTTTCCCTAAGTCGCTAAACAAAACAATCAATAGTCATCTCTACCGCAAGAGAGACAGACCAACGTTGTCCGAGCGTTTGGGGCTTCGCGTTAGTCTCCCAAGCTTGTGGCTCTAGCACCAACGATCCGCCGGGCAGCAACACATCGTACACGCGGCGAAAAAACCGCAGTAACGCGTCATCACCGCCGTTCAAATAAATCCATTTCGTCAGCGAAAAGCTGAGGTACCTTCAGCCTACGAGAATATTTTTCCATATGTCACTCACGCGATCACCGCATCGTAACGGCCAGCATCCTGCGGTATCGTATTGTTTGTCCAGTCCGCTGTTCAAAAAGTTAGGTTATGAGGAAACAGATGCTTATTTGCAGGCTGGGCTGAAGGCATCGGTAATGGTTCAAACGTATGCTCAAGTGACGCAGGAACGTATCCAGGCTTTTGAAGGCGATCCATTGATTTGTCGTCGATGGTAGCAATCGGTTTTTGAGTTGACCAAACCGTCTTTTCCCGCTTCCACGCGAAGCGCGTTCAAGTATCGTCGATATCGACACCAACCACTCTTCGAGCTCCCCACGACTGAGCTTGCAAGTTAGGAAGATTTGTCAGTAAATCTAGCCAGCTTGAGAACACGACTCACCAATCTCGCAGGTCACCCAGCCTTCATTGCAGCCGACATCGAGGATAGAAGCTCCACGAAATAGCTGGGGCGGTAACAAGGAAAGACGCGAGTATTTCACAGCTGGCCGTTTGGCGTAATACCTGTTCGAGTGAAATTCTCGATTCCCTACGTTAACGTGCCAGAGATGCCAGCTTACCCACATATGATAATTTCCATGAATCGGCGTTAAGTTCAAGTTGACGGACATAGTAGTCTGGCTTTGTAATTCCCACGGTTACACTCGAATACAGGAGGGATCCCCTTCGAGATACAAGTCCACAAGGTTTTCACCTTTAGTGTTGTGTCGTCAGTGTCGACGTAGTCAGGCTCATCGCGGTTCTGAGTCACTCAGTCGTAACTTGAGAGGATATTGGTAGAAAGACCTCAAAGTTTCAAAGACCTGATAGGATTGGGTCTCGCATCGTTTCGACTGAATAATTGAACTAGTACGTCGTGAAGTAGGCACTATGACTTCAGTTCATTCTCAGATTTACTTCAAAGCACTTACCTTCTTTAAAGGCCGAATATGGAGTACTATGAGCGACATGCTTAATTACATGACATGCCACGAAGCCCAGCCCAACGATTGCAAATGATGTACATAGTTGTATTTGCCGAAACACTCCATCGAATGCAATAGCATTGATTGTTATGGCACGCGAAGCTACAAAGCTCATTTTGGCATTGCTGCGCGATCACCGTTCATTGACCATCAATCATCGCTCTCCTTATCCACCCACTTGAATTTCTCTTCACGGTCGGTGACAGTATCATTTTCCCCAGGGACTTTTGGTGCCATTGTACTGTTTTAACGTATGTTAAATATTACATGATAAGTGAATAGCTTGGACTCACAGTTCAACAAGGCCAGGTATGGTAGGATCATGCTTCTCAGAGTGTCCTAATCCTGTCCAGTGTGCGATATCGACCTTCGGAAGTAAAAGTTGCTTGGTTCGCAAACATCCCACAGCTAATGCGATGAAGACAGTGGTTATGAATAGGATGTCTTCATCGTAAGAATAACTGCGTGAAATGTACAATGCACTGGGATCTTCTGCCGAGCGCACAAGGAAGTAGGTTCGCTTGTACGACGAAAGAACGCCATAGAAGACTTTTTTGGCATCCATTTGGCGCCATACCTATGGATATGTAAACAGGTGGGACTGAATAGGTGATTAGAAACATACCTGACACAATAGCTTCGTCGTCTTTGTCAAACCGTTAATCCTCTGAGGCCAATTGAACTTGGCAGCGCGCCCGAGCTTCATCTTCGGCCAAGTTTGAAGAAGTTCATCCAAGGTTTCTTCACTCTTGTCTAAGACGACCGGATTCTTAAACTCGAAAACGGCTACTAAGTCTTGAATATTTTTTCCAAAGAGGATACCATCAGGGACTGGCGATGAGCCACCAATGGAAGATGCACCAGGAAAGTCATGATGTTCGTCTCCGTATAAGCAGTGATGAATGACGGCAATAGCGGGGCGTATGATAACGGCCCATATATAATCTTCGGTGTCATGCTCTGTGAAAATTTGACGGGGCAGGTGAGACGAAGTGAGGTCAGGCTTCACTTTGTTGAGCCACCATGCGCCATCATCAAACTCAGGACCAGCGAGGAAATCCTGGATGTCCGGAAGAAGCTGATCTAACATAGGAGAGAATGGAACCACCTTTCGAAGCTCGTGTGATGAGCTGTTCAGGTTGAGGTCTGACTTTGTCAGTCCTTTTGTGGCCGTGGATATTCTCGAGCTAATAGAGGACGGAATTTGGATAGGGATAGCAGGTGGTTTCAAAACTTGCAAAAATGCGGCAAGTCCGAAGCTCTGCGGGGACTGCGGCATCGATTGTGATACGGTACTGGCGAGCTGCTGTCGAGTAGGATCTGGGCCGAAAATATCCCCCGGGGGTGTCAGGTCTCGCTGATTAGGAGCCTTCTTCGCATATTGCTCTTGCAATGAAGATGTCCTATTCGAACTGAAGGCATAACAATGAGTGAATGTTTAATGCAACAGTATGGTTTGAAGACATGATTATTGCTTACATGCGAGTACTTCGTCGTTGAAAAATTGGAGGAGCGATCTCCTTTGACCTACGGGTAGTTCGCAAGACTTTCGCCTTCGGGGTTGTATCATGATCTACGCCGATGTCGACGGGCCCACCGTGGTCGAAATTAGCGGCAACGGGAGAGAACATTTGTATAACGGACCCAGTCGCCAGACTTCAGAGTTTATGTAAGAGATCTGATATCATCGGCTTCATCTGTTGACTCTCGTTATTGCCAGCAATCTTCACAGAATAAGGGCAGAGTCACTGGCACAACGTTTCAACTTAAAGTCACGTGAGAAGACACACTTGAATCACTTTTGCATTTAGACTCTGACCACCACGACGTTGAAGATGAACAGTCCACTTGACCGTATAGTTATCGAGTGCTGCCTCAGCGATGCCCGGTTCAACCCGGCCCAGAACATAGAAATGCCTCGTATTCGCGCTGTTCCCACCACACAACCTCCGAGTCCGCTCACAGGTCGGATCTCCGAGGTGACTCCCCTTCAAGAAGGAGAATTTACGCAAGTGTACAGAGGCACGCTTCGTATCCCCGGCTCTAAAGCCATCGACGTCGTTATCAAGACCGATGCGTATGCGGCGGTGGCAAGGCCAGCAGCGTTCAAACGCGAAATCAATGCCTATGAACGAAAGCTCCACTCTTGGCAGGGATACCTAATCCCAAATTGTTACGGGTTGTATCAGGTTGAAGACGACGATCAAGTTGTATCGTTCCTCGTTCTCGAATTTTCTGGGCTTCCCATCGATTTCAACGTTGAATACCCTGAAGACCTCAAGTGCGTACATTACGGCGTCCAAATCCAATCCAAAACTGACATTCTCTCAGGGCGGAGATCTTAAACAAGCTCAGTACTCTACATCGTGCCGGGTTCTGCCACGGTGACCTCGAGGACTACAATATCGTCGTCGACGACGGCCAGGTTATGTTCATTGACCTTGAAGATGTCGAGCCACACGAGTGTCAGGTAAAACAAGCCATCATCCCAGACGACCTTGTACCTGCTTCCGCTGAGTTTGGGTGCAAGGAGATTTACCATATTGCATATATGTTGAAGGTGTGGCAGAAACGTGCGTCTTTGTCTTGCTCCTTATCGTCGGTTTCTTATCGACGATCCAGGTTTCGTCCATTTCTACGGACACGACTTCAATCTCTCAGAGATCAAGCCTGGAGGGGCGGGACACTTGCTAAGGCGTGTTCGTTTCCGACTCCGTACCGAGAGCGAATTTGAACGGGCTTACACGGAGGCCGAAAAACTGATCCAGGATCTCGAAGAGTGGCGAGAATGGTACAATACCATTACAGACGAAGAAAGAAAATACACGCTCTTTCCGGAGAGTGGTAGTGCCAGTGAACCCGAAGACTCAAGTTCAGGTTCATCTGCAACGGATAGTTCGAGCGATTCAGAATCGAGGACTTCGACTGCGAACGACACATCTCATGTGTCGTAGATTTTAATTTTGTACTTTTGCATTGACATCCCTTGGATGCATTTCTCATCTGGTAGTCTGGTATCCATCGTATTGAATCTTTCTACTGGTGATATAACAGCGTATCAGCTTTAGGCTTCTTTCGTCCAGACAACGAAGTGGGTTCACTACTACGGCAATAAAATTGCATATGAGACCTGCTTCGCGTCCGCTACGGTGGCACGCCCAAGTAGTAGATCGTGGGTTATGTTGAAATACTTCAGGTCTTGTGCAACCTCGCCTAGCTGATATAGAAATGCATCGACCGATTTCAGAATATCGCCGAAAGTTGCTCGGGGCCTACAGCCAGCGTTGTTGTGTTGGGTTGCAATGACTCGAAGTCCTTTGGGTGTAGTTTCAATGAGCTAGTAATTTCCGAATTCGCTAGACGAAATAGTCAATGGTCTTTCGAGGCTGACAATGCTTTTGGCCTTCGCGTAAGTCTCCCAAGCTTGTGGCTTCAGTTCAACATGTAGTCCAATCCAAAACCGTTGAAGCCCATATGTACACGTGATTGCACAGGGGTGAATGGAGAACACCAGATTTCAATTTCAGCGTTCACCGTCTCCTCCTACAACGCTGTCGCGAAATCAATGACTCGTTTCAAAATCGCCAAGGTTGCTGAACTTCAGGGTGAGATGTCTACATCTGCGATCTGATTGCTCAGCTCAGCTCCCTCCCTACTCTCAGGACATGACGAGCGAGCATGGAACATTGCCTGGAACCCCGCAAAACCCCTGCTCGCATCCTGCTCAGCCGATAAAACTGTGCGATTGTACCACTACGACCACGCCACAGATTCGCCGGATCTCCGGTTCACGCACAACACCACGATCAGCACGGGGCACACCAAGACTGTACGTGCCGTAGCGTGGTCCCCCTCGGGTCTCAGCTTGGCCACCGCTTCGTTCGACGCGAATGTGGGGATATGGGAGCAGGAAGGCGGCGACGAAGGTGAGGGGCCGAATGCAGGGGAATGGGAGTGCTCGAGTCTGCTGGAGGGGCACGAGACAGAATGCAAGAGCGTCGCATATTCGAGTTCGGGCACGCTGTTGGCTAGCTGCAGCAGAGATAAAACGGTTTGGGTGTGGGAGGGTGAGCGATCGTGCTTCTTTGCTCTTGACGGATGGTGTTCGCTGACTGACTGCCTGATTCGTGTCGTGGATCAGTCCAACCTGATGTGGATTTCGAATGCTTGGGCGTGTTGATGGAGCATACGCAAGATGTCAAATGCGTCGCATGGCATCCACACGAGGAGGTCACTAATTCCTCCTTTGACCGATCCCAGGCAACGTAACTCATCGCGTAACCCCCAGAGCAGATCCTGGCGTCTGCCTCTTACGACGATACAATAAGACTCTACATCGACGATCCCTCGGATGATTGGTTCTGCTTTGCGACGCTTAAAGGGCACGAGTCGACGGTTTGGTGCGTATCGTGGTCCCCGGATGGCCGATACCTCGCATCGTCCTCCGACGACAAGACGGTTCGGATATGGAAACGGGTCAAGGAGCACAGCTGGGAGTCGGTGCTCGTCCTTACCGGGCACGAGCGGAGTGTATATTCGATTAGCTGGGGAGTGGGCAAGAGCAACGACGACGCGTCTCTTGGTTGGCTCGCGAGCGCGAGCGGAGACGGACAAGTGATGGTCTGGGAATTGACCGTATGTCTAAATTGCCCTGTCTCTCTCTCTGCTTTGACTTACTTACTCGACGGTTAGAAACCTTCGGATAGCGATACCGCCCCGATGTCATCGACGCCGCCAGGACACTCGATCATTGCCAGACTAGAAGCTGCTCACGGCGTGTACGATGTCAACGCGGTCGCTTGGTGCCCACGACAAGGCTACGAGAATATACTCGCCACCGCAGGGGACGATTGTTCGGTCAGAGTATGGAAAGTAATACCGGAATGACGGCGGCCCCAGCACATAAGTATACGTAGACTCTAAATCATGATCGCCTTCAAAGTGTTACGGAGCGTACCACCAAGCTGTGTCTTCTAGACTATATTATTCGCTTCAGCACCTCGCCGAGCCTGTGTATCAGGGTCTCGTTTTCGTCCTCTGTGCCCACGGTAATCCGCAAGCACCCTGGGCAGCCCGGTTCACTCCCCCTGTAGCGGACGACGACACCGTTCTCCTCCGCGAGGGACTTGTATACCTTCTGCGCGCGCGTGTTGTCCGGCTTGCCTCCGGGGGCGTCAAACACGGGGACCACGACGAAGTTGGCGTCGTTTCCCCCTATGGAGTGCCCCAGACCCAGGGGGGCGAGCGCGGCTAACGAAGCCAGCAGCTTCCCGCGCGATGCGACCAGCGTGCTGATTTTCCGACGCATGGACTCCACCGATGGTGGGGACAGCGCAGATAGCGCGAGATGGGCTGTGGGCGTGGAGATGTTGTACGGCGCCTTCGTATTGCTCAGAACCTGGATGAGCGGTGGTTGGGCGATTGCAATCCCTAGTCTACCCAAAAAGTGGAATCAATGAGTTGTTGAGATTAAGACGGTGGACGGTGTCGTAAGATACCTGATAGCCGCGAGCCCAAAGCTTTTGCTGAGTGTCTGCATGACGCATAGGTTGCTGTATTCCTGCACCAAAGCAACGGCACTCGCATGGTCTCCTGCGAAATCGATATAGGCCTCGTCGACGACGACGATGCCTTTGAAGTCGGGATAGTCAAGGATTTCGCGTATCGATGAGAGTGAGATTAGGGTGCCAGTAGGGTTCCCTGGGGAACACAAGAATATGAGTTTTATCGAAGGGTCAGCGCTGACCGCTGCCTTGATCTGCAATGCGAAGGGGATTAGGGGAACAAGGGGCTGCTGCGTTCGCTCAAGCGCCTCACCTCTCCGACCCGCACGCTGAATCTCCCCCCATCCCCGCCCTCGCCAGACGTGCCCTCCAGCTCAAGACTGCATTTCACAACCCCCACATCGTTGACTTGCGCACACACCGCGTACATGCCGTACGTCGGCGGCGTGATCAGGATCTTCTCCGTGCCGGGGGCGACGCAGACGCGCATGAGGAGGTCGATGACCTCGTCAGACCCGACGCCCAGGAATACGTGGTCTGGCCCAGGGATGCCCCGCAGCTCTGCGATGCGGCGTTTGATGTCGTCGTGGGACGGGTCAGGGTAGCGATGGAGGTTGAGCTCCAGTGTGGATGCCAGCTCTGGTGCATCGAGGGACGCTGGGTCATTCGTTATGGAGTGCCCCAGGGAATTTTCGTTCGCATCGAGGAGGATGCCTTCCTGGTAGTCGTCCCGCGCGCAGCGGTATGGGTGGAGAGAAAGAATGTTAGGCCGGATCACTTTCTCGATATCGAAATGGGCAGGCTTCGCAGGCCCTTGCAGGGGTTTGAGGCCATGAATGGGCATCGTACTTCCTGGGGTTCACTGTGAGCTTGCGTCTTGCAGAAGAGTCATGTAAATTTGATTTCGAGGTCGAGTCATGAATCGCGATTTGGTGGATAACCATAATTTCCCGATTTGGATATGTTTCAAAAAAACATTTGCCCGACGTCGAGCACATCATATGACCGGGGCAAAGCGTTGAATCTTGGATCTGATCCTCCTCCAATGCTCTCCACTCAGAACGAAGACAACTCTGGCGACTGAAGTCCCGCCGAAACCCTCAAAAGTTGCTCCAGTTCGACGCAGAACTCGCAATATGAATAAGGTCTCGGTTACCAAAATTACTTCGGAGTGATAGACGATCTGGCAGGGGACTGACCGAGTCAAATCTCCAACTGGGCGACTCATAGATGGAACTCCAAAAGGTGGATTCATTCTCTCCTATGCTGAAGCTCCTTCTGGACATACAGAACCTTCTCGCTCGGGATCCGTTCGACCCTTAGGCAACATCACATCTACCTCGGCAAATCTCTACAGAACACGACGCCGAGGATCACATCTGGGCCGTTATTATACGCCCTGTTCTTGCGGCATCATTCAATGTAAGTTCGTTGATATCGTCTGCCCTACAAAGATGTCAGTTTCCCGGGAATTACTGTTTCATAACCAACGTACTTGGGGTTTTCTTGGTAAAGATCAACATTGAAGTCAATGTGGAGTCTGCAACTTCATAGCGAACGAGATGGCTTCTCTGTCATCCAATGGAAGAGTACAGCTCAAAAAGGATCAAAGTGGTGGGAAGATTATACAAGAAACCAAGGGAATGGGGAATTACAGAATCAAAATCTACGTGTCGCTTGCAACAGTGGTAGCCTTTGGTTCTGAATCACTCGAGCTGTCTGCTGATGATGAACCCGAGTCTTCTGGTTCACTGGCACTGGCGTCGTCTGAGAAGACAAATTTCCTCTGCTCATCCGTGATGGTAGCGTAGAATTTTCGCCATTCCTCGACATCCTCGATCAATTTCTGGGCGTCTACATAAGCCTGTTCACACTCGCTTTCGGTTTGAAGTCGAAGCCGAACGCGCCAAAGCAGATGTTCTGCACGTCTGGTGTAATCTCAGCAAGATAGATATCGCTGCCGTAAAAATTGACGAATGCTACGAAGTAAATGAGAAACAGTAGAAAGAGGGAAGACACAAATCACACACGTTTCTGCCACACGTCTAACATATAGACAATATGATAAATCTCTCGGCACCCGAAATCGGTCACCGTCGGCTGAAGGTCGTCTGGTATGATACTGCATTTCAGCTGACAGTGGTGCGGCTCGACATCTTCAAGGTCAATGAACATCGCCTTGCCATCGTCGACCACGATGTTATAATCCTCGAGATCTCCGTGGCGGAACCCGGCATGGTGCAGGGTGGTGAGCTTGTTTATGATGTCTACCCTAAAGGAATCTTCAGTACCTAGAAATACTTTCCTGCTGCGTGATTGACGCACTTGAGTTGTATTGGATAATCAACATTGAAGTTGATGGGGGACCCAGAAAATCTAAGGACGAGAAACGAGAAACTTGAAGTTGGTACAACCCATAACATTTCGGGATAGAGTCTCCTTGAAAAGAGCGGAGCTTTCGCTCGTAGGCATCGATTTCGCGAACGAAGTCGTCTGGCCTTCGTGCCACCGCGTAAGCATCTGTCTTGACCGCAACGTCCATGGGTTTGAAACCGGGAATGCGGAGAGTGCCTCTATACACTTGGGTGAATTCTCCCTCTTGGAGAGGTACCACTTCGGTAATTCGACCTGTGAGCGGCGGACGTGTGGAAGGGGCAGTGCGAACACGAGGCATTTCAATGTTCTGGGCGCGATTTACACGAGCCCCGCTGAGGCGGCACTCGATGATCACACATCCAAGAGGGTCGCTCATCTTCGCCAGTGATGGTTGTGTTCAGAGTTTAAGTGCAGGCGGGGTGATCACGTGAGGACATACTGCTATCTCGGTGATCGATATCATCTAGTTTAGCATGTCACCAGTGTAAGTAGCAGCGCTGAGGTAGGTCTTTGTTTGCAGGTACAGTCCGTCTTAGGCTCGCGACCAGCCACTTCGCTATTTTACACTCGTGCGTGTGTTTCACACTCCGCCACCGAAAGCGGAAGGACGTTTCGTCGGTGCAACACCATTTAACCATTTAGTCCCGATTTAGTTAGCGGAGTTTGAATCTGCGCCTTTTGTTCAACCAACAATGGAGGACAATAGTACAATGAGCCTACGCCAATGGCCACATCTGCAGCATCCACGGCTATAAAGTCTCAGCATGGCGTTCTCAGAACCGTCACTCTTCCCTCTCCTTCACGACTATCTTCTCAGAGCCCGGTGCTCCATAGACTTTTCCACCTTTGAGTCATTACACGATCTTCAAGTTTCATTCACGTCTTTTCATCGCACCACTTCTACCGACTACTTCGATCAACGATGTCTTTCAGAATCTCCAAATTCCTCCTTTTCTTCGGCGTCCTAAGCGTGCTGGCACCCATACGAGCCCCGATTCGTGTATACGGCGCTCCCACTCCGGCACTGTTCACGCGTCACGAAGGCCACAATGACTCGGCGTCGACCGGGGACTTCAAGAAGCAGAACGGGATGGACGCGCAGAAGCTCAACGCGCAGTTCGCCGGCTTGAAGAAAGCAGACCCGTGCAATGGTGCGTCCTTTTTCAATTATATCACTCATGATCTTAATATCCGATTAGATGGAGAACAGGCTTGCGTGGAGACATCTTTCGCGCAGTGCGTGGGGGGGAAGTGGGTCCTGACCCCGTGTGCGAGCGGCACCGTATGTGTCGCCCTCCCCCTCGTCAACAAGCCTGGAACGAGCATTGCGTGCGACTCGGAGAACGACGCGACGGCTAGGATTTTGGCATCGGGCGCTGAGGGTGGTCTCACTGGAAGTGATGCAGCATCTGCATCAACATCTGCAGGGACCGGTGGGGACGATGACGAGCTGGAATGCGACGACGACGATGACGACGAGCCATCCGCACAGCCCACCAACGGCGACGATGACCTTGAATGCGACGATGACGAAACAGGTAGCCCAGCCTCATCCTCTGCTGCAGTCACTTTCTCCGCTGCTTCGACTTCCTCTGTCACCCCCGCATCTTCCGTTTCTGCTTCCGTTGTCGCCTCCGCCACGGCTCTCCAGAAAAATACGAAGCCCGCCGCAACGACCATCTTCCTCAACTCGCCTTCCCCTTCCTCTGTCCTTAGCAAGCGCCAATTCGGACTCACTTCCGTCGCTATCGTTCCTGTTCCAGAAACCACCTCTCTGGCCGCTGTTGAAACGCCGGCGGTCAGCGTGCTCCCGCAGACAACCGTAACCGTCAGCACTTCGGTCTCAGCGTCAATCTCTGCTACTTCTCCCGCCGTAGTGTCCACACCCCAGCCCGTGACGATCATCAGCTCCGTCACAGCGGCACCTGCGCCCGCCTCGACCACACCCGCAGGCGGGGTCACTACCGTAACCGCCATCATCTTCTCGACGGTGACTGTAACTGTCGGCGCGTCGTCTGTTCCCGCATTGCCCATTTCGACATCTGCACCAGCCGTCGTTGTGACTCCCGCTTCCTCCATCGTCTCATCAGTAGTATCCATTCCATCGTCAGCCTCACCTGTCGTTACCTCCGTCACCTCCATCATTTCGTCGTCCGCCGCCCCCGCCGTGTTCTTCTCGTTTGCCTCCCCTGCACCAGCAGCAACATCGTCTCTTTCTGACGCCGGTAACGTCAACCTCGCCCCCACACCTGCACCCGCACCCAACACGTCCCCTGCTGATGCGGCAGAGATCGCGCGCCTGCTGACTGCTACGCTGTAAATGAGCTAATTACCTGTAACGTGGACACTCATTCATTGCATTATTGTACTCTTATATATATATCATCGCATGTTTTGTATTAGATGTAGCACTAGCTTTAATGGATTTTGTACAAGGTAGTCCCGAGGGTGCAGCGTCACCGCGACATTCCCAGTGAACGAGACATTACACCAACGCACCACGTGCCACTATTCTTGTATTTCTGAGCCAGAGGCGATCCTTGATAACATGATACATCCGACAGTCCGCACTGTAACTATAGGTGGTGATGCGTTAGAATTGCACCGTAAGGACAGTCATTTTATACATCCATAGGACATTTATGCCTGTTCCTACTAACCAAGTATGGCTGTCTCGGTCAACTCGCCCGGAACGTTCCCTCCTGACAAGAACGAGGCGAAATACAATCCACCATGCGTGTGTCTGCAAGGAACTGCTTGCAGCGTCTACTACAGGTATCACTTTTATCCCTTTCTCGTGGAACTGGGGCGAACATCGAAACTGTTGACTTGAGCGCTGATGAAATGATCGTCCATATTCCATACAGATCGTCTGGATATACTGTCAGGCTTGTGTAATGATATGCAAGATGAGGCGAGGGTATGATATGCAACGATGGTATGGTATACGACATTTTGATTGATAGTACAGTAGCTGCGATGCATATTACATATAACAGTATTCCAATCACCCATAGCGAATGAGATAACGCAGAAGACGAGACAGCGGAGTCGACAAAATCCTGAAGAAAAATATAACAGAAAATCGAGACGAAGCCCTAGCTGATGGGAGGGCCACGACTAAGTTCGACACCTATTTTCTGGACGAGCGGCATCCCCAGCGGCTCGAGCACGTCTCTCCACATCGCCTTGTGCCGCCGTCCTTCGAAGATGGCTCTCGAACGTTCCCCGGTTTCCCCTTCAGGCCCGAAGACAAACACTTTATCTTCGTCCCAGGGAGCCTCGCCGTTTGCGAACGCGATCCAGCGCTCCTGAATCGTGTCTCGGACTCTGGCATAGCTCCATTCGTTCACGGGGGAGGTCATGCCCCACGCATCGTCCTCTTCGAAGCGGTCATCATTGTCCAGACATATAGGCTCAAACTTGACGTCCATCTCCTCATCATCATCGACGTCGAACGGGCCATCGTAGAAGTCAATGGAGCACTCAGACGACTGGCTGCACGCCGGAAGGGGGACGTTGTCGAAGAGGTAAATGAGGTCCGCAGCATGGTGGGGCATGCCCCGCACGGGGCCCTCCTGATCGAACACGTAGCGCCACACCCCATGTCCTCCGCGAGCCATCTTGGCCCCCTGCGCCACACACTCCGTCGGCCATGCGATTCGCGCGTCGTTGATCAGATCGAGCACGCGCCCGGTGATCTCCTGCTCCGGCGTGTACGACGAGATGTCGTACGCGTGCAGGAAATGACTTGCGCGCGAGAGGGACTGACAGACGGCTTTGAGCCTGCGGACCACGGCAGGAGCCGTCCACATGGAGGCAGGGAGGGACCACAGAAGGGAGTCTGCCGTGCCGTCGCCTATGATGAGCGGCTGTAGGTTGTGAGGCAGATGAAGAACAGGCGTTGAACCTCCGGAACGAAGAGGTGTTGATACTACTGAAGTACGGACAGATTTGTGGCCCGGAGTGTGGCCTGGCGTATGGCCATGGGGACTGAGATGGCCAGGACCCGCAAGGGCTTCGCTCAAGTGGTTTAATTCGTCTAAACGATGGTGATTATGATGGGCGTCACTAGGCGCAATGGCGTCTCTCCAGCCTTGGCGGAGGAAAATGCCATCGTCGACAACTCGCAACAGGTGCCCGTAAGGTACAAGCTTTTCGGCCTCCAAAGCCCTCAACTCGTCGAGGTTGGAAACCCGGAGGGCGGACATAATCCGCGACAGCTGCCAGCCGGCGGAGGATACATTAGGGACGTTGAAGTCAATCACAGCACTCTGAAGAATAGCACGGTGAAATAGCGGCCGTGTTTCGTTTTCTGCGGAAAGAAGATGCGAGAGGATGTCTGCTGCCCCCGAGGACTCGCCGAACAGCGTGACGTTGGAGGGATCACCTAAAGTGCGATTTCCCGTCAGCATGGGAACTGCTGATAGTGGTGGTCTCGTCTCACCTCCAAATCCGACAATATAGTGATGGATCCATTCGAGGGCCACGCGTTGATCGCGAAGACCTGATAAAGCATGAGAATGAAGACACGCGATTACGGGTCGATTGTACCATAATTTCCGACCCCCGAGTTACCTGAAGCTTTGTTGTCGCTTTGGATCGTCGGACTAGCAGCAAACCCAAAAAGCCCCAGGCGAAAGCTAAACAGTTATGTGCCTTGATGAGATATAGTTTCGAGGCATCAAATCAAGACCGCTTACTTGAGAGAAACTACTATCACTGGCTTGCGCAGCAATACACTTTTGCGCACCAGTGCGGCGCCATCGTAAACCCAACTGGAGCCAGTACCTCTATCTCCGCCGCTGAATTGGTCGTCGAAGTTAGCGGGGATGAAAGCAGAAATAGGAATGAGCCAAGCTTACCCGTGTATCCACACCATGACGGGGAGGCGAGAGTGCGAGTCTACGCCAGCGGGACAGGTGATGTTCATGTTCAAGCACTCAAACTCATTCTGCTTGAACGCCTCATGAGGGATATCGACCTCCGATAAACCAAACAGTTCCTCTTCGAGAGACTTCTTCAGCCTGCGTTGGGGGCATATTGGCCTATCGGTAATGAGTTAAGTGATACCAGCGGAAGTATTAAACGACTGGTGTAGTACTGACCCATATTTTGTGGCGTCCGTTCGTCGTGGATACGTGGCAAAGAGTTTCGATGGACGGAAACGAGTGCTCACAGACGCGTACTTGATACCCCTATATTGGTGTATGGGTATCTCCGTTGAGGATACTGGATGCTCCACGCCAATAAACAACGTTCCCAGCAAGGTATGGTAGAGCTCAGGATGGAGGGCGTGTAACATGGTAGAAGTGAGGGGATTCGAGAAGCGGTTGGTGTGATGTCGTCTGTACAAAAGGGTTGGAAGCTGGCGACTGAAGTGTAGTCAATTGCGTACAGGGTGGTGTTAATTTGGTTGTGGGGGTTGGTGAAGAAGGGTGAGTGTCAGTACCAAAGGGCCGCCTGCAGTTATTATGGTGACGGTGAGATTCGGAATCGAACCAAGACAAGGTTAAGTCCAGTCATTTCGCTTTAGGCGGCAAGATATTGGAAACTGAGGGTGTTTGCCAAGATAGGAAATATCAGATGTCACGTGACATCTCAGATTCTTCCAGTCGAGAACTGCGAGTAGCAATTCGGAAACTTCAGAATGTTCTGTGCTGATGCACACGGGGTGAGGCTGGGAAAAGAGGATAGTCTCTGAAGACACGTACAAATGGCATAGAAGTGACGTGAAAGGTGATGCTTCCATCCACTTTGGTGTCATGGCGGGGGGATCATGGGGTCACTGCCCCTTCTCCAGGTTTGCAATTACACAGAATTACTCGGACCACAGGTGACCCTCCAAAGGGAACCTTGGGAACGTGTCCTATTGCAGCCAGACGCTGATCGCTGGATCAGCATCGACTCAATTTTATCAATGGGAAAGACTCCCACCACTGGAAGTAGAAGCATGTACTGCTACGGATTACGGAACGATATCATCTCGGGGTGATGATAGTTTTCTGCTCCTACACGATTAGACTTATGTTCACAGCCTGGACAAATGATGCAAGCCTACACAAGTACTAGACAACGTATTGAAGCCCGTGCTTCATCTTTGTAGCGAGCGCTTGAGAGTTTGTGCTCGGCCCCCACAGCATATCGCAAATACGATAGGCGAAGATTGTTCTCGATGTCGGACGATGAGACCTAGCCAAAATATTGCCTGACTAGTTGATTGGTGTTTACAGGAAGCGAAGCTGTATATTTACCGCGTCTTTAATTGGAAGACATCACTATTGGTCGGTATACCTTCGTATGGGCGTTCATCTAGCCTGAATTCATTTCGCCAGATTCGTTGCCTGATGGATTACGTCCGGAGTGAAGAGAGCAGGGAAGGGAGTTGATTCCTGGTGGTGGATGTCCTCTTATCAATATGATTAACCTCGTTTTTAATCGATAAGTTGCCAACAAACACCGTCGCTTGCAGGGGCTAGGAGGGTGCACGACTTGTACGTATTCATGTCAGCTACTCGCCGGCAGCATTCACGTATCTATCGTGGCGCCGTAGGCCGTCCGTGCAACGTTCTTGTACTGTTTTTAACCTTGCGAGTGTTCTTCTCTATAATAGAGACTTCTTGAAGATGCATAGCGCTTGGACTTACAGGGAACGTTCTCACCTAACCCGGTGCGACGGCGCGCAATCAACATCTCTGGCTCCATGCAAGTGTGGGGGCTGGATGCATTTCCAGACGGAAGCACGCCGCGGGAAGCATGCAAGCGAGATGCTACTGAGTGCTTCAGCTTCGAATGAACGGGTGATTAGCTTAGGATATGTAGAGCCTATAGGTAAGAGTTAGTTGATTCAGGGGCATCCCATAAAGAGCAGACTCGTCGACGTACACTTGAGGCATGCATTACGGTCCGCCAAACGAACGTAAAACGACGGAAGATTATCGGTGTCCTAAAGTTCAACAACTTACGGTACGACGACTCTATTGTTAATAGTTAGTTGATTCGGGGACAAGAGCAAACTTAATGCGTACGATTAATACATAAGATACGGCCCACCTAACGAGCGTAGGATGCCAAAACCTAAGCCATGATCCTGAAACACACCAGAGTCAACATCCCTACGGGCAACACGAACTCACCAAGCAGCACGAGATCCTCAATCATCGGTGTGGCCCAAACTGACCAACAAAGTTCATTACGGGATAGAAGTACAATCCGTATTGCCATCCAACAATTACAATCCTCCTTTCTGGTCCTTTCACCCTCTGACTCTGACGACCTTTCTCTTACCCTTTTGTGCTCCACCAGGGAGACTTGGGGTACCAGGCGCGGCGCCAGGTAACCCTTCCTGTGCGTTCATACCGGCTTTGACTGCTTCTATCAAAACACCGGTCGACAATGCGGGGGAGTACGGTGATACCCTGGTGGCCAAAGGCAACAGCGGCTCGGGCGGTATGGGAAGAAGACGTCGGCGCTTAGGCTCTGAGTCTTTCTGCGGCTGTAGCGGTACGCTCGGGGATTTGGATTTGGATAATAGTGGTTGTTTACCCTTCTTAGACGACGGGGCAGTGGAAGTGAGATTGGCTGGGGCGGTTGCAGCCGCTGGCGAGTAGACGTATGGTGACTTTGGTATATTCTCGGGTTTCAGGTGCTGGATTTGCATTGAGATCATTTCGAGAAGCACTTTCTCTGATACAATAATTCAGAGAGTACGTCGGAGGACGGCGACAGGCGCACTCACTTGTCTTAACGATCGGGTTCATGAGCCGACCGTCCTTCTTCCACAGAACTCGAACACGGCCAGGATTTTCCCAATCCCTCGGGTGAGACTTGTTCACTTCATGCAGCGTACCCAAGCCGAGGCGATTGGCGGCTTCAGCAATGTCCTTGCTGAGTGGCCACCATAGCGCCTTCTCTCTCTTCACCCTTCTTTCTCCAGTTGTATATGGACGCTTCGCATCCAGGTAGATAGGATAGATGCACGTCCAACTGGTTGTAAACCTGATGTTCAGCAAGTTCGAGAAGAGGTAGTAGATGTACGTACGCCTTGTAGGGTGTGATGTCCGTTACGGTGTTCTTGGACTCTGGGGTCTCTGATGATTCCCCTCGTTGTGGCCTCGATGGTGACGCTGGGCCTGGACGAGATGCATATTCTATCTCGTCGTCGGAGATGTCGATCTCCTGCAGTAATGGCCCGCTCGTGCCAGTGTTCGGAAGAGGCTGAGACGGTAGAGGTAAGTCTGTATCGTCGTCGAACTCCTCGATGATTTGAGTCCGTCGTGACATGATCTCTTATAGATTTTGAATCAGTGACCAACGAGTGTCGCTTGTGGTCGTCGTGCGTTGCGGAGAAGCGGTGTAGGAAGTTGTTCCCACGCCCCCGACTTTCCTTCATGCAACCTCGAGCTCGATGCTTCTAACGGCGCCGACGCTGGCATTTTTCATATTCCGCGTATTGTAAGTCGCACTTTGTCACCGAGTTCACGAGGAAATGATTCCGAACCACCATTTCGAAGACTGTTTACATGTATTCTTCAAGCTTGTGTCTGTGCTCAGGTCGACCAAGCAGATGGTAGTCCACCCAGACACCAGAACGTCACGCAGGAGGAAGTTTCATGTCGACCAGTAGGGGACTGTGAAGCTTGTCCTCATGAATTGGTGAGTAAGAGCACGGCCTACTGCTGCTGCTCGTCGTGATGCAGGTTTAGCTTCATGAACCATTTTGTCAACCTTTTGGCAACCGTCGCCGCATGCATTGCGTGAACATCACCGCGACTGCTTTATTTCCTTCAATACCAGTTCATATTGGCGCACCATTACCCCCACATTCGGCTCTAACCCAGCCCCATTCAAACGACAACCGTCAGCTCGACGAAACAACCGCATGGGAGTCTTGCGGACGCATCGTGGATCAGGAGCGCGCAGATTTCTGGGAATTTATAGCGTGCAATGTTCTGTTTGCAGGAATATCTTTGTTCGTCCTTTTTGCGCGATCACGTAGGCTACAGGCGCTCCAGGCGAGGCAACTGGCCGCGCGTATAGGGTTAATTAGAAACACTACACGTGTTAGACCGTAGATATGTTTATTCGTGCGTCTTTGTTTTCTATTGCTTCGCTCTGTCGCTGACCTGGCATCTACCAAAGGCTTTCGGTGTTATTAATCATGCATCTGTCCCCACACACATTGTCAATGAACGCCTTGAAGTAAGAACGGATCCTGAATGAAGAGGTCACCTTCCAATTCCGTGAGCGCAGTTCCCACTTACTATGTTATTATTGAGGTACGTTAATTAATCTCCAGCGTTAAACATATGGTGACCATTATCGAGTGCTCCTGACTGTCGTAATCGCTCTATAAGACTCTTTCACATTCTGGGCCGGAGCTCCCGTGTGTACTAACATGCAGCCTCAACATGGATCCGCTGGAAGCCAAACGCAAGTTTGCCGTTACTATCTTCACGATCAGAAGTACTATCTGGAAGCCGCAAGTTCTCCGGCTCTTGCAAACAGAATGTATACCACACACAACGTTTCAACTAACCTTTCTTTCTTGCCCATACCATTCTGTGATTGACCACCCTCACGCTTTCCACGCAACTCAAGCTTCTGCTGATGTCGACGTCGCGGGTACATCGTCTCCTTTTCATCTCTTCTCCAAGTACATAAGACGATCAGGCATCTTCCAAACCCTCCAACTTACTCCTACCGACCTTATCAGGCGCTTCTTTCTCTCTGGTATTTGATATACCACCGCGTCATGCATCTATCCTTGCCCAAATCGATATTTGTTCTATTCTCCGCCCTACCCCTGGCATGGGCCGCTCCAGCATGTAGCCTGGTGCCTCCGCCAAAGGCCTCTGCAGTCAGCCATGCCTCAACTGTTAACAACGTCCCTGAAGAAGTCCTCGCTACCGCCTGGTATCCTGGCTGGCTCGGAGACAAGTTCCCTCCAAGCAAGATTTCTTGGGATAAATTCAACGCCATGACCTTTGCCTTTGCGTTAGTACCTTCACTAATTACAACCCTAGATTCCTGGTGAGCTGATGTGCGATGTGATTTAGGGTGACTACTCCCGATCCGTCTGTTATATCTCTAGACGATGTTAGCAAGAAGACTCTTCCAGAGATGGTCAGCGCCGCGCGTGCGCAGGTGAACAGGATTCCACTTTATATTTATGAAGGCTTGCTGAGCAGGTCGCTTAATCTAGGGTGTCAGCCCATCTCTATCTATTGGTGGATGGACCGGTTCCATTTACTTCTCGAGCGCGGTGGCCACACCCCAGAATCGCTCGGCCTTTGTGAAAGCAGTTGTTGGTTTGGCAAATACATACCAACTCGACGGTATCGATTTCGAGTATGATTTCTACACCCAAGTCCTTTGTCCCATGCTGATGCGTTCTTACAGCTGGGAGTATCCCAACAAGCAGGGGATTGGTTGCAACATTATATCGCCAGATGACTCCGCCAACTTTCTTTCTTTCCTACAAGAGCTACGCAAAGATCCCGTTGGCTCCAATCTCACGATCTCTGCAGCTGTGGGCTTGACTCCGTTCATGGGACCCACTGCCCCCATGACCGATGTCTCCCCCTTTGCTGATGTCCTAGATCACATCGGTGAGCCACTACTTACACGGTCGCCGTTACATGACGCTGATATCGATGGTGTCTCCACTCAGCCATCATGGCGTACGATATCTGGGGCTCGTGGTCGAACACGGTCGGACCCAACGCTCCACTGGACGATTCTTGCGCCCCCACTCAAGCCGGCTCAGCGACTTCAGCAGTCAAGGCATGGACGGCGGCTGGCTTCCCTGCCAACAAGATCGCGTTGGGCATCGCAGCGTATGGCCACAGCTTCCACGTCCAAGCCAACGCGGCTCTCGACGGATCGGGTGGAATCCAAGTGTCGTCGGCGTTCGATAAAGGCCAGCAACCTAAGGGTGACTCGTGGGATACGGCCGACGGGACTACTGTTGACCAGTGTGGAAACCCGGAAGCTACGAGTGGAGTGTTTAACTTTTGGGGCTTGGTAGAAGGTGGATTTTTGAATAATAATGGAACTGCGGCTAGTGGTATCGACTACCGCTTTGATAACTGCAGTCAAACGGTAAGCCCTAGGACTGCATCGGGAAAGAAATTGGATGTTTCGGCTGACCTGCTGTTGACTTTAGCCATTCGTATATAACCCTGCTACGCAAGTCATGGTGGCTTATGACGACGCGACATCGTTCGGTATGGATTTCGTGGCATTGCCCCTCTCACGTCTGCTGACAATGACCGGATTCGTAGCTGCCAAAGGCAAATTCATCAACGATCAAGGTCTTAAAGGTTTTGCCTTGTGGAATGCTGCCGGCGATTTCAACGACATTCTCCTCACTTCAATCAGCGACGCCATGGGAATCGAGACAGAATGCTGACGAGCTCCCCAATTATAATTATGGTTCTATTTATTCCTTTTCTTCGGGATTTGACTCTCCCCCACCATTCTTTCCAATCAAGGAAACCCTAGCGTTAGGTTAGGGTCTACGTCTTTATAACAATAACAATGCATCCAATGCCGCTTTAGTTGCGCCCATCACACAGGATTATACTCTAGACTACGCGTACCCTCCGTCTGGGCGCCCTTACCCAAGGTCAGAGACTCTGAGCTGTCAACTACCCCCAGTCCACCGCGTGCTGGAAACACGGTGATAGAAGCTTGATATGATTCAGAATTTACTTGGAAAATAAAGGCCAGTATAGGCTGATGAACCAGCCTCTCTTCGACAGTATGACAGTCGACAGAGGTTGGCGGGAAATCCGACCAAGTTCCGTCCACTAGTTGTACACGGTATTCCGCTTGTTCCGGATTTTTGTACTCGATGCAGTCTTGGGAACAACTTGGGAAAATCCACTAGCCGAGAAGTATTTACGTCTTCCGGAAGGAGGTGTGCGCTCTGGCGGCTTCAAAAGCTTCAAGTCCTTCGTAAATCCCTCTCGCCCTTAGTCCAGAGTCGAAAGTGACCCAAGTCAACTCCCCTAAACTCTTTACCTCGGCCGACTCCTGACCTCACTCGGTTCTACCCGGCGTACTCCGTTTTTGATCTTCTAGGGGACCGATTCAGCGATATGTTGCGTTCTCTGCTCAGACCTTTGCCTCGTACCCCAATCATCTCACCAACCGTATACCGAGGCATTCCCTCATCCAGAAGAATGGCCAGCACGGACTTTGTGAGTTTCGCGAAGAAGGAGTCGATTTGTGCCTAATGCTTGCTTGATTCTGTCAGAACAAGATGCTATATACGCCCCTGCCGGAGGCCGACCCCGTCGTCCAGAACATCATTGACAAGGAGGTCTGGCGGCAGTTCACTGGTCTTGAGTTGATTGCTTCGGAGGTACGGTCTATGTGCCAGGAAACTTGGTGAATGATCCTCAATATTTTGTAGAACTTGACCAGTCGTGCGGCTATGGATGCCAATGGTTCGATTTTGACGAACAAGTACTCCGAGGGTCTCCCGAACGCTCGCTACTACGGTGGAAACGAATACATTGACGAACTTGAAATTCTCTGCCGGAAACGCGCTTTGGAAGCCTTCCATCTTGACCCCGCGAAATGGGGCGTCAATGTTCAACCATATTCCGGTAGCGTGAGTCCTTTGCAATTCGATGCTCCGGCCTCGTCTTAACGTATTTTTGTTGCTAGACGGCCAAGTATGTGTAGCCTTGCGCCCCTGTCTCTACCCATTTCTAACATACTCTGTAGCTTCGCTGCGCTTACGGCTTTGATTCAGCCTCAAGACCGTCTCATGGGATTGGGTCTCCCGGACGGTGGCCACCTTACTCATGGTTACTACGTCCGTCTTCCATCTCTGCAGTTTACTGCACCGACGCTCACTGTGAGCTATTTATAGACCGCTAAGAAGAAGATGACCGCTTCATCCATCTACTTCCAATCACTTCCATATGCCATCACCAAAGACACTCATCTCATCGACTATGTTGCTCTCGCCGAGCAAGCTCGGATATTCAAGCCCAAGCTTATCATCTGTGGTGCCTCTGCATACCCCCGTGATTGGGACTATGCTGCTATCAAGAAGGTGACGGAGAAGGAAGGCGCATTCCTTATGTGTGATATGGCCCATACTTCTGGACTCGTCGCTGCTCAGGAACTTAACGATCCTTTTGAGTATTGTGATGTTGTTACTACTACCACGTAAGCCATCATCCTTCTTTTCTGAAATGATTTACTCATTCGCTCGATTTTAGACACAAGACTCTTCGTGGCCCGCGTGCAGGTTTGATCTTCTTCAGAAAAGACCTCCCGAATTCCCCCGACCTCGAGAAGCGAGTGAACGAGGCTGTCTTTCCCGCTTGCCAGGGTGGTCCACACAATAACGTAACTCGCCTTTGTCTCTTATTTACTACATCTATTAAACTCAATATTTCAGACGATCGCAGCTGTCGCTGTCGCATTGAAGCAAGTTGCTGACCCCGCGTTCAAGCAATACGCCAAGCAGGTTATTGCTAACGCTCGCACACTCGGTGCTCGGCTCGTCGAACACGGCTACAAACTCCAAACCGGCGGCACAGATAACCATCTAGTTCTCTGGGATCTCCGGCCCCTCGGACTTACCGGCAGCAAGGTCGAGAAAGTCTGCGATTTGATGGGCATCACAATCAACAGTATGTATCACCCCGTCTATTCTTGGTTCGTGTCCAGTTTATAACTCTATGCAGAAAATGCTGTCTCTGGTGACGCCTCTGCCCAAGTACCTGGTGGTATCCGCCTTGGCACATCGGCACTTACCTCCCGAAACATGCTCGAGGCCGACGTGAAGCAGGTTGCCGATTTCCTGCACCGTGCTGTTCAGCTATCTCTGCTCCTGCAGAAGGAGGCTGGGAGCAAGCTGCTCAAGGACTTCGTACGCGTTGCCACCTCTCAGGAGGAGGGCAAACAAGGTTTCGCCCAGGTGAAGCAATTGAGAGACGAGGTCCAGAAGTTCGCCACCAAATGGCCGCTCCCTGGTGTCGATGTCACCACGTTGAAGAAGCCTGAGGGACTTCACGAACTCCTGTAGGGTTGTCGTTGGCGCGATTGATTTGCTGGTAGCTACAAAAGATTCAACGCTCAATGGTCATTTGCTTGATTTATTTGGCATCATAGACTGGACGTTCAACATTGTCCATCTTGTATTTATAGTAATGCAATGACACGTTCGTGATAGCAGATACCCATGCGACTACACGAGGGAGCGATTACACGGGGGAACTGGGTATATGGGAACACAATGCAAAGCTACAGCTTCAAGTATTTGCTGTACGCCGTAACCCATGCCTTCTTTCCATCGGTTTCGATGACGTCCTACGAAGTATGCCATCGATATGTCAGACACAGGATTGATCATCAGAGCGCGCCGGATGACATACACCATGGCAAGGTATCACCCGTTCAAAATCCCATTCAGCCACAGTACGAGCATCTTGCATCATGATTCTGAAGAAAGAGGTCAAGGCATTAGGAGACCTTGACGATTATGGTCGCGTACTTCTTATCCTTTCCTTGTGCCCACAGGAAATGCTTCTGCAGGCTGCCATATGGATCCAGCTTGCCTAAGATGGGTATTTTGGGCGACGTTTTCGTTTTCGAGTACTAGGCACCCGGAAAAAGGCAGTGAGCAGCACGAATATCAAGGACAGGCAAGTCGATGGTTATTACTTGTTCGGTTCCAGGTAAATTGAAGAGTAAGTCTGCTTGAATCAAAGTCTTGGAAGCAACGTGAAGCCAGGCAACATCTACACTGGCATATCCGGAGAAGTAGCTGTTGTCCATCCGAACAACATCTTGTTACGCTCAGCACTGTGGAAAGAGGACCGAGTACGTACCACGCTTTAATCTAAAAACACAGTCAGTGTCAACTCACATTCGTGCTCCATTTACAGACCTCGTCTTCAAACCCGTACAAAGTACCTGGTGGGTCAGAACCATACGCTGCAGAAACAAACGCATGTCAATGTCCAACGCACGAGCAGAATGGTCGGCCATCACCTCCATCGAGTACAAGTCCCTCCGCTTTCTTTTTCTCCACCAAAGGTTCGACCCCAATGACCTTCGCCTCAGGATACGCAGTCTTGTACTCCGCTATAGTCCACCGTCGACAATGAGCGAATGACAGCTGGCGTTATAGCTTAAGGAGGCACGATTTATGTCTTACCGAGGAACAAATGATGGACGGCATCAGCGCCCATTATCCATCTACATACACAGTTCAGTGTGCAGTCCAAAGATGGGATACGTTCGAACTCACTTTACTGGTCCTAGTTTGTCTATCGTTTCCTTCGTATCATCAGTAAGCGGGGTCGACGCCAGAACCCACACATCCCCTGTGGAAAGCTTGACTGCCGTTGATCGTCCACCCCAGGGCAAGAAACCGAAGCGCGGAAACGGTCTGAAATGAACGTGAATGACTCCAGATATCTAAGCAACTTCTTGTTGACTTACCGAGAAAATATCCAGATGTCTGAAGTCACCTATGAATAGTTGGCAAGATCGTGCGGCAACGGTTTAGATGCTGTATCATTTGAGCAAAATTCCGCATCCATACCTCGCGAATAACAAGGTCAGGAAGATTCGGGGACATTGCAAGATTGAGCTGGGGATACGATCGACGTTTGTAGGCTACTTATACCCCCATTTTTACCAACGACCAACCAAGGATCAGGGAAATTGAATCTGAATTGACATTTTCTGTGATTGGTTGTACAGTATCATCGAAGAGATAAGTGTTGCGCTCTAAACTACATTTGTGGCGTGTCGTGCTTAAGATACGCAGGGGTACGGGCATGCACGGCAATCCTGAAACTTTCGTCCTCGTGGCTACTTCATGGCAATTGTGACTTAGCAGCGTCAAACCTCCGCTTGTTCTTGGCCAGGAGGGCTGAATCAACATCTGAAGCACCTTCCCCTGCTTCGATGGCCCCCGACGCGAAACGAAGTGCCCGACGAAACTTACCTCGCTGAAATGACATTTCTGCAGCGTTTCCCAACGACTTCACTAGTTCGGATCGTGCACCCGACAATTGTGTCCGCCACTTGCCCTTAGTAGCTTCGTCGAAGGCGAGGAGTGCAGCGGCGAATTCAGCGGCCGACATGTATATTCCACCCGCATATTCCAGTTTGCCTTTCTTCATGGATTCTGTTCCCTTCTCCCTTCGCGCAGCGACTACTTTCATAGAGTATTTGAGCAACTTTCCGATTGTCTCGTCGCTGGTCATTTGTTGTAACTGGCGTAGGGTGACCGTCTTGGATGTACCATCGGGAAGACGCTGCCAAGACGGTATTTTGTCGAGAAGATCTCTCTGAGCGAGGAGTGTGAGCAGTCGAAGCATGGCAATGGGACCCATCACCAGCTCAGGCGGGACGACGTGCGGCGCCTCGATCGACTGAGGAACCGATCGCGTATAGAGGGGTTCGCGATGTATCTCCTGATTGCATTCTAAACCCAGGTAGAGCTCGGCCTTGTTGATGATGGATTGCGGAGGCTTTGTGTTCTGAGCGCGTTGTGCGCTGAGATGAGCGACTCGAAGCAGTGATATGATGTTTGCATCGGTGAATGTAGATAGATCCGACGCGTGAGTAGCAGTGGCTATGAGGCGTAGCATGCATATTCGCGAAGTGCCTACGTTGATCATCCATAAGACTCGCAGGCAAGGAACAATGTAATTCCCAACCTCGATATTCAAATATTTGTATGAATGAGTCTTCGCCAGGGGGTTGCACGGCGAGATAATCGCGTGTCACTCGCTTGAAAAACCTAAACACAAAACGATCTGTCAAAAGAGACAACTGCACACTATGAAAGCAACAAACTGAAGACTATCTTGCCACTTTTCGTCGTCTAGCCGTTTCTGCACGCCAATGATTTTCTCGACCCAGTTATCGCGTGAGAATAAGATCTGGAGAGACTCATTGAATGCCTCTGCTTCAGCATCATCGGAGGCCTGAGCTGCATCAGGTAATACAGTGTGTACACCCGGTACATTTTCAAGCAAATCCATGAAGAGCATAGCTATTACCTCACAGGCGATAGAGTCGCATTGATTTTCCGGATACCACGGTTCCCTGCGTAAGGAAGCGCATTTGAACATGAGGTCGATAACTTCTGGGTTGTGACGAAGGATGTCAAGGCGGGTTTGATGAGTGGGCGGTGGATCACGGCACATCAAACCGTGCATCGCCCACATAGCGTTCTCTTGGGTCAATCCAAAATATCTCGGCGCGTATGCCTTAGCTTGAGGAAGCGTCAACTTCGAGCGTGTTTTAGGGTCTGTATAACAAGCCAACTAGCCACCTACTTCTCTGCCAATGGCTATACTGGTTTGCCAGCTAGTAGAGGGGGATGTGAACTGCTTGATGAACAAATCCGGACCAGAAGCCGTGAACGAGGCCAATTTCGCTATGATATCTGCGGCTTGTGCGCCATTTATCATCTCCCCAAGGAAGCTTTCAGTGGTCAGGGTACGCAAGAGATTGGCTGCTACTTGGTGGTGAAGACATAAAGGGTGGTCCATTTTCTGTTGAGGCGCTCTAGTCAGAAAGACCATTATACCTAACATGACAGGGAGTCGCTTAGGCTGACATTAAGTGCGATCTTTACAATATTGCGTTGGACGAGGTCAGTGACCAGTGAACGGCGCTCTGCGGTCGTTCCGGATGTCATAAGCCGCGCGATTGTATCCATCGCTTGATAGGATGCCGAAGCACGAACACTATCGAGTTCTTTCCTTTGCGTCAAGGCAAGCATGGTCTTTATGAGGCCCGTTTGCACAGCGACCTTTGAGAACTCATCGTAAGCCGTATGGCCACCGAAATTGATATTCGACGTGATCCTCATTTTGATCGCATGCTAGAAATCGCGCATGAGACAAGGTCGTTCGCACGCAGGGTCTCAGACTACTTGCCGTGGAATGTCCGACGTAGTCGGGATCGGTTTCAGACCGAAGCAACTGTGCATATAGGATGGGCAACACTGAAGTCAAGTGGTGCGGTGGTAATTCCAATACTACCATGGGATCCATGGGGGCAGTATTTGACGAGATCAAGGAAAGGAGCGTAAAGGAGAAAAAAGGAGAAGTGCCCTTTTCCGGTCATATGATTAAATGGTACAGATAAAGGGGTTGCATAGGAGGAACTTGAGCTTCAGAGTACAGTTGGGCGTGATACAGATATGATACTGCGAATTTTATTTATGGATTCATGAACGTCGCCTAAAGATCCCTAGAATACGACCACGCCGCCTTTCTTTAGCATCCAACTGGCGTCGGACCTCGTGTTCTTCCTCTTCTTCGGACAAATGTCCGCCGAGCGCGTACCATACGACGGACGCCATTCCAAGTGTAGCCGTGAACACACAACTACGAAAGGAATCATCATGAGTAAAAGGATAAATCAACACGTTAATTCGTGCGCACCCAAACATTGCGCCGATACCTCGGGCATGCCACCCATTATTTTGAGGATAAGGACCAAGAGGAAGACCGTCCAGTTGTGTCGTGGAAGCAAATCCGGCAGCATTTCCAGAGAAAGGTAAGTTTAGAGCCTTACAGTTATCGTACATGAGTTGGGGTACGGTGTTTCGCTGCTGTGCTTCCAGAGGTGCTTCAATGAGTTGCATGGCAAGACCGACTTCGAGATGCCATTCAATGTGGCCTACACGAGTCATCAGGAGGCTGAAGGAAGGCATCAAGAACCTGGTTCACGTACAATGGAGGAACCACACTCCCGGGTTATCCGCCACCACGCGCAACGTCACAGAGTGCATGGATGGTATTTGTACGGTGTCTCTGCGCATGGGGTTGGCCTGGCCTTCTTTGATGGGAGGATTCAACTCAGGGTCATCCGAAGTGTAATCCTCTGATCGACCAACGATCATGGGTTTGTGCCCATGCAAATGGCTAGCGGAAAGGATATTAGCAGAGATACAGCAGCAATGAGACGAAGGTAGCCTTACAATGGATGCTTCCCGGCATCTCCGTTCTTGATCACAATGTCGACAACGTCCATATGGTCGACCACGAAGCTCAAAGGCCCGTATGCTTGCTCTACTGTCGCATTGCTCCCCAGGCTGAGTGCTGAAAATACCGCCGGTACTTTGGGTGAGTTGTAAGTGATCTGGTTGAACATAGCGTGGTTGGTCCCGTCGTCCATGGTGTCGAAGATGACTTCGAGTTCGATGGTCTTGGTGGCAGCGGGTTGAGCAATGACTTCGATGGGTACCATGTCGATATCATCGACATCGTGGTACTCATCAACGAACCCGAGGTCCGTGAGAGGAGAGGAAGAACTGTATGTTATAGAACTCGTGACATCTACGGGATGGTCAGCAAACAATGATGCTTTTGATGTGTCGATACTTACTAGGGTTCAGCGCATCCGGGATGGTGTCAAACATATCGACATCCATGTTGGCGTGGATGGCCCAGTTAGCCGACGTGTCGTTACGAGCGGTGACCAGGACTGAGTATCTCTGCGCAACGGTCACACTGAGCAGGTCGATTGGAGATTCTTCAATATCAGTCTGCATGACATGGTTAACTTAGTTGAGAATCCATCATTTTGCGGTAGACATACCCCATCAACTTCGATGACGCGCATGTCGTGCCCGTCGATCCAGAAGAAGAAAGCGGCAAATGCGGAGGTGTTCACGACGCGCAGACGGTATGTTTTACCAGGCTCGAACGGAAGAGTGGCATTCTCATTGAAGCCAACGGCGGCAGTAACAGGGTGGGGGTTCGTACCCGAAATTGGACCCAAGTACGATGCATTCTGCGCGAAATATATGAGAGCAGAGTCTAATGTCCGGATCAACAACACTGAAAACATGGAAGGTCGTGGAAAACATACCCGGTACAGGTTCAGCCCCACCGGGGTTGGCAATGTTGATGAATTGTTTGAGGAGGACGGCGTGTTCATCGTGGTACCAGTCACCGAGGACGACCGTAAATTCGCCATCGTAGACATGAGGTTCCCGCGGTGGGTGGAGCACGACCGGCGCACGGAGGCCGTCGACGTATTGTCCCTAGTAACTATAAGTAAAGCAGGATGAAGATACCATCTCTAACATGCCTTAGAGTGGGCGTGGACCCAGTACGTGCCCCATTGTCCCGACGTGTCAACAGGTACAACATAGTCGAATTTTCCGCCAGGGGGAATACCACTGTGCAACGTATAAGGACATTGGCGCCAAGTCAGCGCGGCAAAGGTGACCCTACCATTCTGTGACGCCAACCGCACCATCCATCCAGGATGTAGAGTTGAAAAACATTCCATGGTGGTGCAGAGTAGCAGGTTCATCCAGAGAGTTGGTAACATGTACCACAAACGAGTCTGTGGTGTTGACATCAATGGGTGGAGGCCTAGATTACATTTCTCGGTCATTTAACTTTTTTAATGCAGGTGATAGGACACTCACGGCCATGTTCCATTAACACCAATAACGCGACGTTCGAAGAGGCCATCTGGGCTAGCACCCTGCACGTATGTGAGGTCCCACCAGAGCTCTTTAACACCAGCAAAAGCTGGCAACGCCGAGGCGAGAAGGGTGGCGGAGAGGTAGCGGAAGCGCATCGTGGGCGCTGGTGGGGAGGGGGACTGAAGGAGGGGGGATTCCTGGACTCGAAGTATATACACATGAGGTTATTTACGGCGTCGGATTTATGGCGAATAAGTCTCATTGCTACCCTCCTTTTGTTCCGGGTGGTGGCATCGTGCCGGAATAAATTGTGGTGTAACCTCAGATGCATCTGGATGATTCCGCCTATCTGATAACGACAGGTTCTGGAATCGCATGATAAGACCGTGCTTCTGGCACATGCGCGCACAGAGAAGCACTCGTCAGATGTCCCCCGCACTCTTGTCCTGCCAGCATGGCCCTTTAATCTCCAAAGTTAGTTCCACCTGCGAAATAATGAGTATTCTCAACGCAGCGGATGAGGAGAAACTCGCCTCCAATATTCTACTCATGTTCGAGCAACAGACTTGCTTCCAGGGCACTTACAGCCTCGGCCGAGTCAAGTGGAAACGTAAACAGGGAAGAGGTCCAGATGTAAAAATAGAGCGGTGGCTGAAACTGAATTGATGATCTAGAATCTTATCAGATAGGGATTCCAACAGGATCTCCCTTCGGACATCCACATCGCGTCCTCATGCTCTTCCTCCCGAATCCCATCTGAATCTGTTCCAGAAGCATATTGGGGTTTCCACCATCCATAAAGAGTTCATGAATTCGACCATGGTCGCCCGTGCAAGTATCGCTCACCCCCTCGTACCTTTCAGGCGAAGCGACCATGGCCAAAGACCTCTTCTCGGTCCCAATTTTCTTCATCGTCTTCAGAGAAACCCTGGAGGCAGCCATCATCGTGTCTGTCCTCCTCGGCCTTGTCGAACAGATTGTGTACCACATACCCGCCTCTGAGCGCGGTACAGCTGCGTCCGATGACAATTCAAGCCGAAAGTCGGGCCACGGTTCGGACGGCCAACCACAGCAGGAGGCCTTGATACACGAAGAAGACTCACAGGTTGCCAAACGTCGACTTATCCGAAAACTGAGGATACAGGTGATTTGGTCTCCCGTTTTCGTGTCGGTCCCTCTGACGAAGGGACTGCCTAGATTTTCGTCGGTGCTGGATTGGGCCTGTTCATTGCACTTGCCATCGGCGCAGCGTAGGTGGTTCCCGCTGACGCCCCCTCTCTAAACTCAACCACGAACCAGATTTATCGCCGTTTGGTTCACTCAAGCATCTGACCTCTGGGCCAAGTCTGAAGAACTCTGGGAGGGTTAGCAGGCTCATCTACCATTGTCGTGCATTCCTCACATCCGCATCCCCCCAGGCGTTTTTGAACTTATTGCATCGCTCATGATCTTTGTCATGGGCATTACCATGCTCAAAGTAGATCGCGCCAAGACCAAATGGCGCATCAAGCTTCAGCGTGCCTTCGACGGCAAACGTACGCGTTCGTCAGTGGCTAAGTTGATCTTGCTAACCAATATGATACAGAGGTCGACGGTGGCGCCAAGACCGGAAAATGGGCGTTGTTTGTCCTTCCCTTTATCACCGTCCTACGTGAAGGGTTGGAAGCCGTCGTATTTGTGGGCGGTGTCTCCCTTGGCCAATCGGCGACAGCCATCCCTATAGCTGCTATCGTCGGTATCATCTGCGGGCTGGTCTGCGGCTTCCTCATCTACTCCTTCGCGAGCCGAGCAAGTGGGTATTTCCGCGGCAGACCCTTCTTCTTCCCCAGAGGACTGACCATCTGAACCACAGCTCTAACGGTCTTCCTCGTCGTGATGACCAACTTCCTCCTCCTCATCGGCGCCGGCCTGTTCAGCAAAGCAGTCGGCGCGTTCGAGACGCACGCGTTCAACAAACTGCTCGGGGCCGACGTGGATGACGCCGGGGGGGACGGCCCTGGCTCGTTCCGCGTGCAAGGGAACGTGTGGCACTTGAATTGCTGCAACCCCGACAACGTCATCGACGGCCACGGCTGGCTCATCTTCAACGCTCTCTTCGGCTGGAGCAACAATGCCTCACGTACGTCTGTCTCTCGTTTCTGCGTGTCGACTGCCTCGCTCACTGAGATGTGGAACCTAGTGGGCACGGTGCTTTCCTACGTCTTCTACTGGATCGCTGTAATCGCGGTCCTGATTTTCATGAAATTCAACGAGGCGAGTGACTTCTTCCAAACGTCATCTGCACGCGTTGCTCAAGGATTCCTTCCTCCTCTCTAGGGGCGCACGAAGTTGATGGGGTACGAATCCAGTGCCGGTGGACGCCGCCGCCAATTACGTGACGGCAAAGCTGCTGAGAACGAGAAGGAGGGCACGCCTGAAGGAACGGGTGTCCTCCCCCATTGACAACCCTAACTAAGGCCTGACGCTCCACGCCATTTCTTCTGAATCTTCGCGACCTAGCTTCTTGGGTCCAAAATATGCTACTTCTTTCGTTTCGTCACACTCGTCCCATGTCCTTTTAGTCGCGTTGCAATGTAAAACCCAAAGATTCGGAGCCGGAGCCGCGTAACAGCAATAACAGCATAACAGCATTGCAGACCCAATCGGAAAATCTGTGGGAGTCGTACGTGCGTGCGGCGTAAGAATGACATGCTCCTCGTTTTTCTTTTTCTGTGCTCTGCGACACAGCGTAGGAAATTATGGATTGAAGTATGCTTTGGAATCTGATAAGATCAGCAAACCATCAGCATGTGGCCTATCTGATAAAGATAACGCTATTTATAACTCGAAAATCTCTCACCGGAGAAAAATTCGCTGATCGGGTGCTACCACGTAGAATTGAAGTCCGTAGTTGGTGAGGTACGTATTCGGACTTGGGTTGGGTTGTTGGTTGTTGTCAAACTGGGAGTCACGGCCACGACACGCGGGTTCATCATGAGGTGGCCGCTGCGTGGTGATGCGCTTGCGCTTTGCGCACCGGCACGATTGCGATCGACGCTAAAGATTCCAAATTTTAATTCGAACGGAAGGTTTACTTGAACTCGAAAATCCCGGGGTTCTGATCTGTCAGACAAGTCACAATATTAATAGGTTATTTGTTTTTTACAGTTTGAGGCCTGAGGGGCTGGGGACCTGGTGCGCATCGGACTCGGAGCTTCGGCCAGAAGTCTGGCAGAATGGATCCACAGCCTATGTTAAATGTTTCACGGGAAAGTGTCAAGGTCCCAGTACGTCCTGGCGGTCAGTACCGGCACTCCAGAGCTACATACATACACGGACATTGGTGCAGTTGTTCCTGGCGCTCTGGTGCAAATGATTCAGAAGGGTACCTTCGGGGTGGCTAAGGCCCGCGTGTTCCTAAGTAGGCTAACTGCCCGTAAATCGAAATCGAAATCGAAATCGCCATGCTCATCGGGATATCTATTGACGCTAGGACCCTTGATAATACGGTCAAAGGCCTGATCCCAAAGTCGGCCAAAGTGTACTCTTCAATCAGCCCCGATGTGTACGAAATGGATCAGTCCTAGCGAAGATATATGCAAGTATGTACGATTTTCGGAGGAGGCCCCTCGGGCCTCCCGAAGTGTATAAATTTAGGCTCAGGCCTCTCTAAATGGTCTCGGAAATGTACGAAATTTGACCCAGGCCTCTTCAGAAAGCCTGAGGACCGTCCCAAGCGTACGAAACCTGTCCCAGCGAGCCCTAGAACGCGCTAATGCCGCCTCGTATGCACAGAAAAGACCGGCTAATATACACAAAAGTTGCAAACCGGAACTAGTGGCTGATCACGACGAAGGAATTGGGCCCCTCCGAGTCTTTCGTGATAAAGCCGTTACTTTCATCAGCTTCCCCTTTGAGTCCACTTGGTCCAAGTATTTATAGAGGACCATGCTTCTGACACCAGTCTTTGCGACTGAACACGGAATTTGTTGTCTGCGCGTCGGACATTTACTTCGTAGCACCGCGTACTCGTAGCGTTTTGCGTTAAATTTTGAATTTTGAACTGACTTTTTACATCCAAAATAACGACACGGTAACGACTCAGTGTGTGCGATGACTAGTAAGTAACAAGTCCTCGTGGACAGACATGGACCTCGACTGGTGAGATTTCAAGACGCGGGACATTGTGTACGAATTTGGATCAGCCCTTAGATAGAGACCTCTCGGATGTATGAAAATCGGACCAGGGATTTGACCCATTTTTGACTTCCAAGTGTACGAAACGCTTCAGGCCGGCGGCCTTCGGCCGCCTGAAAGTGTACTATTTGGGATCAGGCCTTTGGCTGTATTATCAAGGGTCCTTTGACGCTACACTGCAGTGACAGCAAAAAACCAAACAAAAACAAAAACAAAAACAAAAAACCAAAACCAAAACCAAAACCAAACCCAAAACCAAAACAAATCCAAAATCCAAACCCAAATCCCAAATCCAGCTCAAAATCCAGCTCAAGCACACAGGTCCAGCCTGAACAAACAGTACAGCAGTGTGGGGGCCAGACACGTCGGGCACCGCGACGTCTTCATCACACACTCGGTGATACACCTACATAGGCATAAACATAAATCAATCAATCAATCAATCAATCAATTTTTATTTTTTTTTATTTTAGTTTTTTTGGAGGCCGTCAACGGAGGAGGAGGAGGAAACTCACCTATAGCAAAAGACATGCCCGCACATAGTCGCCGTGATGTCCACGCACGGGTTCCTATTGCATATCCTGCAATGGAGGCGCGGCTCCGTCTCCGTGGTACAGTTTTGGGGTGCGGAGTCTTGAACCAGGGTGTGCGGGGAGGCATCCCGGAGGCGGAGAGGGGGAGGGGGAGGGCCGGTGGTCCCATCCTCGCGCACATCCTCGACTATATAGATATACAGATAAAGCACCGTGGTGTAGTCAGTGACCGTCTGAACGCTAGCCGCCAGCCCCGAGGAGAGAGGAGAGAGGCGAAAGAAGATAAAGCATATCACATACCATCGGACTTGCAGAAGCGCTCCAAACCCGAACGCGTCCTCGTACGCGTACCGCCCCCGGATCCACATCCACATCCACGCGGCGAGCTCGCCCCCGAGCTCGCCCCCGATTCCGGCAGCGGCAGCCGCTCCGCCATAATACTCTCCCCGTACTTCTTCCACCCGCCCTCCCCATCCCCGTACTTCTTCCACCCGCCCTCCCCATCCTGCGGCGAGTCCCCAAACCGCGACAGCGACGACGGGGTCAGCAGGTCGTCCGGAGGGCTGAGGGACGAGGCGAGGTGGAGGAGCGTATTCAAGTGCTCCGGGATGGTGATGGGCGTCAGTTCGAAGGGCGAGGTGGACGGCAGGGTCGCTAAGCCCGCGGGCGCGGCGACGGAGGGCGATCGGGCGAACGGCTCGCTGGTGTCGCTGTTGTCGCTGATGTCGCTGATGGACGACGACGACGACGGGGGCGAGTCAGAGTTTCGGCTCGAGGCCGTCGAGATGCGTATAGCGGGCTTCGTGAAGGGCAGCGTACTCGGATAAGTACTCGGATAAGTACTCGGATAATTGGCATATCTGGCACATCTGGTGCGAAGAGGCCGTGGGGACAGAGCCGGAGCCGGAGACGGAGACGGAGACGGAGACGACGCCCGGGTGAAACAACGTTCGGGTTCGGGTGCAACCTCAACCTCAACCTCAACCTCAACGGCGGGGTCAGGGTTCGTACCGCCGAGGGAGAGGGGACCGCCGAGGGACCGCTGCGCCTGCGCCTGCGCGCCCGCGAACATCGGCGCGTTCAGAATCCGCAAATTGCTGCTGCCCGCAGTCTGCGCCAGCGCTTCGACGAGCCCGGAATCTGCGAGACCAACGCCGGAATCCTCCAGAGCGTCGTGCGGGGGCGAAGCTGGCGTCTTGCGGGGGCGGGAGCAGGAGCAGACGCACGTCAGCACGTCAGCATGGTATCAGGTATCATAGAAAGCACGGTATCATAGAAAGCACGGTATCATAGAAAGCACGTCAGCAAGTCAGCGTGGGATCAGGTATCATAGAAGCAGGGGTACACACTACCGATGTAATACTAAATGTAAAATCGCGGCCGTGCATTTCTTCGTCATCGTCGGACCCGCCCACACCCACGGACTTGAGCGTCGCGTCGGGGCTCTCCGCGTCTGCTTGCAGTATCTGGGTCGGGCTAGACGCCGACGACGACGACTCCTCAAACGCAAACGCAAACGCAAACTCAGGGTCTTCGTCGTCGTCTGGACGCGGTTGGTGTATTTCCGCTGGCGGGACAGTCGGAAGAGGGAGAGGGACCGGCGGCGGAGTAGCACGTCGGCGATTCACCGGTTCGGGAGGGGGTGTTGGGGTAGGTTCGGGCGCGGATGGCGGGGATGTTCCGACAATTGCAACGGGGGGTTCGGGGATCTCTGTAGCCGTAGGCGTAGGCGTCGATGAAGGGGTTGATGAAGGGGGAAGAGGCGGGGAAGCGGGCGGGGATGCAGGCGTGGACTGTAGGATGGGGGGCGCGGAAACGGCCTGAAGCAATTACCGTGAGATGTCGGCAGTGTGAGGCGTAGTGAGGAGCAAGGCAGCTGAACTGACCTTCGGCGAGGACGGCGAGGACGGCGAGGTGCCTGTGCCTATTTTATGCACGCTTTCATAGTGCTGTTAATGCAGGCAAGTCGTCAGATATTGTGTATTGCGCGCTCCGCATGGATGGCCTGGGCTTACCCGGACCCACTCTGCGTAGTCTTTGAACCCGAGATTGTGCGAATGGCAGGTTGGGTGCGAGGGTGATTGGAGATAGTGCGCCAGCAGGGCGTCGGCGCGCCCGTCGATCTCCATGTCGCAGAGTTCGCAGCGCACTTGTGGGTGACACGTCCAATTGTGCTGTGAAAAAGTCATGATGCATGAGTCATGACGCGGACGGTCGCAGATGAAGTGAAGACAGCGTATCGTGATGGGAGTGCAAGAGACGGGCGCACCTGCTGCAGTTCAACTGCGTCCTTCAGCCCCAGGCGGCACGGAACGCACGTCGGGTGAGAAGCAGATGCGCGGTAATGTGCGCTCAACGCCGTGTGGGACCTGAACCGGACATTGCACGTTCCGCAACCGCGTACTCGGGGGTGGACGGACGCCATATGCTTCAGGCCAGCTGAGCCCTGTGGTCCAAGGCACTCGTATGCAACTTAACTACGCACCATGTCGTACCCTTGCAGGGACCCGAAGAGCTTGTCGCATATGTCGCAGTATGGATGAGTTACATTGGACGCTCGCAGATGTCGCTTCAGCCCGCCGCTGCTGCTGAAGGATCTGATACCGCAGATTAAACAGGTCGGCATTGTGGGTAGATGGAGAAGTCGAGGAAAGGGCTTATGGATGGGATGTTAGGTTATATAGTTGCTGCGGGTCGGCGTCGTCAGCCATCCTCGTGGCAGGCCTTGAGGATGTAGCGAGGACATCGAGGGTGTTCACGTAGATGATCAGTTTGACACACAGCGACCCCATGGGGTCACACCCCTATTTCTGCACACGAGGCACGGCTGGACTCATTACGAAGGGCAAGGCGATATAGCACAATGGTTCCACGAGCTCATGCATCCGAAGATGAAGACAGCAAAGGTAGAGATATTGGCCTGCATGGCGTAGAGACGCATGGTGAGGTGCCATTCATGGTCGAAGTGTGGGTTGAGGTAGTCGCGCATGATGAGGCCGTCAGTACCAGGCCATAGACTTCACATGCTTGTACGACGCGATTGCTTGGGCTTTGCGCTGCGCGTCCATAGGCATGGTCAACACATCTTTGAGATCACTGTCAGTCACCGAGTCTTTCTTTCCTGCAGTATCTCGTAGACTCCTTCGCCTGCATCGGAGGCCCCCTCTTCGTCAATGCCAGCCATCCTTCGCGTATGTTCCCCCACTTTTATCAAAAACCAATGATTGACACTCCATCTCAACAAGGTCCTAAATCCTAAATCCCATACCAACTCATTCGAACCCACCATCTTCCGCCGGCTCGTACTTGGAGCTTGGCGTCTCTGTGCACACACTCAATCTCTCCCATCCACATATCTCGCCGTCACTACCTCCCATTCCCATTCCCACCGACCCTCCCTGCCTCATCCCACTCGCGTATCCCGGCGACGCAACGTCATCGCCCCTTCAACCTCCTCGTCTAACGCCTGATCGGCAAGCAGTCTGTACAACGTCCTGAGCACATATATATATTTATATGCGCATTATACCGTGCCGCGTACCTTGTTTGCCCATAATACAACCCACGTCCACACACACTGTGGCCTCGTCCACCGCCGAAGCGCCTCCGAGTACCACGAATACCGACTACCATTACCACGGCGGCGAAGCCAGAGTACTGAGCAGTCGTCGCCAGCTCCATGGCCAGGGATCCACGACGACGCGTTCAGTGCCAAGGGGTCCATGTTCTACGAGCACGTCGGTACGCGACCTGTTAGCGAGTTGTAATCGCTGGAAAACTCACCCAGAGAGCGCAGCGTTGACGGCCTCCCAGGTACCCTCGAGATCTTGGCAAGCGTTAGGTGACAGGTCAGGCCCTCACTAGCACTCCTTCTTCACTCTCTCCCTTCGCTCTCCCTTCGCCTCCCACCGCCCCTCACTCATCTATCCTACTCATCTATACTACTCACCGATGATCGTAAGTCCCCTCGTGCTCCTTCCTGATGAGCCCCCTTCCTCCCTCTCTGTCCCCCCCCCCCCGCCCCCCCGGTCCCCCACGAGCCTCGCCGTATACTCAACGATCAACGATCCACTCGTCGCTGTCCCCAACCTCGCTTCCTCCCCGTCTCCAACCTCACAGTCCCTCTCATCTCGTCACCACACCGCCCAATCGCCTCACCCCCAACACCCCTTTTACCTCAAGGCTTCGGGAATCGGCGGGCGCAAGTCAGCGACCGAGTCCAGGCGCTCGTGAAACCCTGTTCGCCCAAATGCCAACGCCGCCAACGCCCTTGGAGAGCACATGCGTCCAGCGCCAGAGCGAGGAGATGTGGACGAAGACGAAGACGAAGTGGGGGTTTATGTTTATGGATGGCCAGAGACAGACAGTACGTACGTACGTACGTACGTACCTTGCATCAATCCCACCACATGCTCGAACGAAAGGGTGCGAGCGTCATCGATTCGATTCATCACTGAGCCTGTAGAGGGACATGATGCCGCTCTACCCCGTGCGCGGACTGTTGGACCACAACACCCACCACCACCTGTTACGCGATCACGACCACGCACTTGTCTGATGTGCCTCGCTCACCGACCGTCCCCAATCGCGATGCGGCGAGAGCCCTTGTTCTCGAGTACGGACAGAGAATCATCAAAGCCGAACAGGCACGAGACGAAGCAGAGCCTCCTACCTCTTCCCCCCCACCCTGCTCCAGCTCGTCGGGCTAGCAATCGCGATAGCAGCTTGGATGAGGCTTCTCGACCGCCTCCGACTTGTAGTCTCATCGCAGCAGCCGACACGCCACGCAACCGGTGTATCACCACCCGCAGGCCCGCTTGATCAACGACCAATATGGCGCCTCGCCTCACCTCCATCACCCTCGCTCACGCTCTCGTTCACGCTCATTCATGCCTGACGATCCACGGCGCATCAATAAATCCTTCATCCTTAAGTATCAAATAGTAGAGGTCGCTAGACATACACACAATGAGGAGGTCCAGACAATAATCGCACAACTTGACAGAATAAACCAACTACACTGTCCGAACTTGACAGGCAAAGAAGAGAGACAGTGCTTCAGTCAAGGAAGGCTTTGTATGCTTCCCTCCACGCCTTGTTGCCATCATTCTCAATCACATCCTAGACAACAATTAGCGACATTGATTGGTGCATACTTCTTATGGTCTCCGGACTTACGCCGTGGCAGGGGATAATCTTCTCGAAATTCCACCCAGCTACCGTCCTTGCGTCTCTCTTCATTTCCCTACGCGAGTAATTGAGGGTTCAGCTGCGATACGTGGTGAGGCGGGAAGTCGGCTTGACTCACTCCTTATTTTCGCCCAATTGCCAGACGAGCTTTGGATGCATCCAGTTCCACGGGTTGATTTGCCCCCAGGATGGGACGTATCCCGACGAAGTGGATTTAGAGTACTGGTGTAATTGCCCCAATTTCAGCCAAGTCTTAAGGAGGAACGATGGAGAAGAGGGAGCATGTACCTGTTCGGTTGCAGGGAGATTGAATAAGAGATCAGCTTCCACCATGACCTTGGAATCAGCATGGAAGAACGCGACATCGCGATTCTTGAACCCAGAGAAATAGCTGGTTGTACAACGCGCTTAAGTATGTAGCATCGTTGCGAACCGACACCAACGTTGCGCACCAGTGTTGAATCTGTGATGATATTTTAGCAACAATGCATTTGATTCATTTGGCGACGAAATTACGCGCCTCGTTCTCGAATTCAAATGTTTTCCCGTCCGAGTCAGAGCCACCCCAGACTAAAGACATTAGTGCCTCCCGCAGCAGAAAATCCAATATTCACTTACCTCCGTCAAACTTGAGGGTCTTGTCGTTGCATCGCTCTATAGCTGCTTTGGGAGCATAGAGCTTCGCATCTGGGTACGCTTTCTTGAACTCGCCTAACAAAATCAACGTTGATTTCAGCAGCTATATGCGCATCAATACGGTTCTTACTGAGAAAGAGGTAATGGACCGCGTCGGCGGAAACGATGTACCTGACGTTCGACTCGCCGTTGAGTACGAGTGAGTGGGATAACGAAGAAGCTCACTTGACGGGCCCAAGTTCATCTAGCTTGGCTTTTGTTGGCTCGTTCAATGGAGTAGATGCCAACACCCAAAGCCCCCCATCGTTCAATTGGATTGCAGTGGAGCGCCCGCCAATGGGGACGAGTCCAAAACGCGCAAATGGTCTGAAATGCCGTTAAACCCCACTCAGCACGCTGTTCCGTGGACGACGCTATAGACATACCGGGAAAACGTCCAAACACCCTTGGTAACCTAAAGGCCACGTTAAGGTTAAGGCTCAGTGCGAAAGAAAGCATTGGGAGTGAGTCAGGACCTCTCGTATCGCTGTATCCGCCATTTACGATGTCGCTGGGGTGCCGGAAGGTTGAGGAATGGAGGAAGAAGGAAGGGCACACTTTTGGGCGCACTGGGGAATGACGACGATGCCATGTGCTTTCGACCGAAAGGGCAATAAGTTCACACGTCAATTAAACTTTACTTCCATACATGGCTCGGCCCTGTGATCGATTCTCGAGTCAACAAGTTCGTTAATACATTTGCAAAGTCATCTTGCATGTTTTTGGTATCCCAAATTAATCATGGCCTGACTCCAGCGGCGAAATGGTGTCCCCAAGGGCATTCATTATTCCAATGTCCAGGTACACGAAGCACATCAATTTTCAAGGCTGGTACATACTCCGAGAGCGATCTCACTATAGCGCCCACTTCGTCCTCTTATGTTTTGGCGTCCTGGTGGGAGGTCAATTTACCCCACGAACACGCCCGCCGATCAGCTTCCGAGTCCAGGAGCCTATCTTCCGAGGTTCTGGGGAGCACTATGACTCTGGGCTATTCACTCCGGTCGAAACGCCAGACGCCCTATCAGACAACGAATTCAGCGTTCTCCGCCACGCGCTTCGACGTCGATGTACCCCGTGTACGCTCTAGCATCGCAGCATCACAGAGTCGGACTCGTTGGCAAATTGTCTAGCAGGGATCAGAAGCGACATAATTTACTGTGTCATCGCACCACCGAGTCCTCTTTATCCGCACTCCGTAGTTTGGGAATGCTGGGTCACCTCTTCTTCTACTTTTTCGAGAGCAGGAGCGATCCTGATACGGACGATGTGTTGCTCTGGACGAATGGCGGGCCTGGGGGCTCGTCCGTCGTAGGGCTGCTGACGGGGCTGGGATCGCGTCGTATGCTGGATGCGTCTGGACCCAAGTATCACCCGGAATCATGGAACAGCAAGGCTAACATATTCTTCATCGACCAGCCAGTCGGCACAGGATTTTCATACGCCGAATACGGCGAGGCGGCGGTGAGTGCTTGACCTTGGCCGCTGTTGCTGTATTTGCGTATCTGTGTATGGTGCAAACGACGCGTAGGAGACGACTGAAGATGCAGCCGAAGCCATGTCGCGGCGTTTGTGGTGATCTTCTTCGAACATTTCAGCAAGTTCAGAGGACGCGCATTCCACCTGTCTTCGCCTCAGAAATATACGACCACTGGCAGAAGCAACAAGGCACAACGCCGGTTAACTTGACCTCGATCATTGATAGGCTCCCTCCATTCCATCTCTACGCATGCTCAAACGTCGATTAAAAACGTGCGCAGGCAATGGGGCGACGAATATGTACAGTCTAATCCTGTCTTGGCCCGTCCTCGACATAGTGTGCGTGGTTCCAGCTTCCCCGCGCCATCTCTCTCATTATATCATCATATCATTGTATCATCCGCTCCCCCGTACCGCGTATACGATACCTCAGCACCTGCGTCGCGGCCAAGAAAATGGCATGTTTCTCTCAGTTTTCCGATGTTATCCGGCTCACTTCCTCGTGGAACATGTGTAGGTTCCCCGATGCAGAAGGTCTTCACCAGCCACATCCAACACTTCCTGAACGCACCCGCCACCCGCGCGCTCCTCGGGGCCGATCCCGCCGTCCCGCACTTCGCGCTCCTCAGCCCCGGCGTAAACGCCGCCTTCTTCAGCAACCGCGACCACCTGCACCCGTCCGAGGCGCGCGTCGCGGCGTGCGCGTGTTGAGATACGCGGAGACATACGACTGGGTCGCGAACTGGGCGGGCAATGAGCGGTGGGCGCTGGATACGGCGTGGCGCGGGCAGGAGGAGTTCAACAAGCAGGCTCTGCGCGAGTGGGCGGTCGACGGGAGGGTCGCGGGCAAGACGAGGAGCTCGGGGGGCTTGACGTTCGCTACGGTGGAAGCCACGGGACATATGGTACGTTGCTCTATTTCTGCGATATGTGCGATCTACTCCTCTGACGGTCCTCTTCCGCCATTAGGCTCCGTGCGATAAGCCCAAAGAGACTCTGGCGATCCTGCTGCGCTGGTTGTCCGCAGAGGCACTGTAAGTTATACGCTGTATTTGCTAGATGATGCTAAAGTGTAAAGTGACTTCCCCAATCTTTCACGAGAGACTGGGGTATGAGCCAATGGCAGAAATGCCGCGGTCTCTGACATGCGTGAAATCCCCGACCAAGCTGTGCAGCGTCACTGCTATCGACCCCTTGAGGTGGGGGCAACCTATGGCGCAGAGATTCCTCAATGCATCGCATCTTGCTACTAAGCAATCATGCAGCTTATGGAAGTTCTTGACGTTTTGAAGCTTTCAAGTTTATGTGAATAAATCAAAGTTCTCAACCCTCAATAAATGACTAAATCGAATGTAAGAATACAGGTTTTGCCTACAGATACTGGGAAAACATAGCAAAAATCACAGCAAATACACGACTTGGACAAATTACAGTCACTTCTCTGTGCCCTGCTTCGACCGCCGATGTTGCCTTCTCTGTGGACAGCAACGCTGAGGGACGGCGCGGGGAGATCACTAACGTTGAGAACTTACCTTGGCCCTCGTTCTTGCGCCTCTTCCAAGATCTTCTGCGCCTTCGGGCTGTTCACCATCCCCTTCGTCTTCGCCTAGATCCGAAAGTGGTGAAGATGCCCTTCTCGAGCTTGGAGCCTTTTCGAGGGCATCTTCATCGCCGATGATTGAGCTCATCTCCTCGTCATCCTCTGAATCCTCTGAATCCTCCTCCTCGTCGTCATCATCATCATCTTTTCGACGCTTCTTCTTAGGTCGTCTGAGAATATGGTCAGATCTAAGATACAGCGCAGGGAACTGTATGAGCTGACCTCGACGTAGAAGCCTTGCGCTTAGTGGGCGCCTTCTTCTCCTTCTCCTTCTTCTCCTGTCAGAAGAGTGCTTTAGTCATTTCCAGGAATAGAGATGTCTAAGCTCGCTAACCTTGATAGGCTCTTTGAGCCAGGCAACGACTCCTTCGGGAAGGTAGACGGTCTTAATGACCTGTTTCGAGACGTCGTTAACTTGTCCACTAAAAGGCCAACAACCTAACCTTATTGGCGGCCTCAACGGACGGCAAAGGCCTCAGTATATCTGGGGGCAATTTAACCTTCCCGGGGTAACTTGATATGCTCCATGAATGATTGTGCGCGTGGATCTTAATCAATTCTTGGGCCAACTCGGACATAACATAAAGGTTCTGCAAGAAGAAGTTGAGTTGGAAAGTCAATTGCAGAAACTGAGGCCTTACTTCGCTATGAGTATGAGAATCAGCGTCGCGAACAGTTTTGGCTTTCGCTGCAAGGTTATAAATAAGAGATATGTTATCTGGCGTGGCGATCAGGTCCAAGTAAAGTTGGATATGTCTGCGGTCAGGTAGATCAGCAAGGTTTCTCAAGAAGCTGATGATGGGAATTGCTTACTTTCCCATATCGAGTAGGCCATCATTGGAGGTGTCATAGTCGGGGTGATGGGCGAGGAGATGAAGTAGACGAATAAAGATGAGTTCAAAATGTTCAACCTTGAGGGCTGCGAGTGTTCATTAAGCAAAGGAATCCATTGATGACGGGGTACGAACCTGGGGGCAGCTTCTTGAAGGCTGCGATGACGTAGTTTGCTGCCTAGCGATGTATGGGAGATAAGCACAAACGACAAGCAAACGTCGAATACGTACCAAGGCCTTGACGTCTACCTCGGGGTCATGGATGGTCATGAAGGGTATCAGGTTGAATCGGGGCGGTAGCTTGCGTGATTGCATCAAAGAAACTACTTTGGTGAGGAAGGCAAAGCGAACATTGTAGCACGTATCCTAAACCACGAGTGACGATAAGCTCTCCTGCACGCAATAGTTCTCGTCAGACGCACCTGCACTGCGAGGGCGAGCGATACGAATTTCGGCGACAGTGCATGCAGGTAGGTCTCGATTGCGCAGAGATGTAGCAAAGATACCGCAGCTTGCAATCGTAGACGTGCCTTGGACTTCGGGCTGTCAAGTAAGGATAACGGGCGCGTCAGAGGGTAGCGCGTAAAAGAAAAAATTACGACTGACTCTTCCTCTTCTGCTGTACCAGGGATCAACGTTCCTCCTTGTTCTAAAGTAGTCACAAGCATCTTAAGGACCGGAGTAGCGATTTCCAGCGGGTTGTCATCGGATGCATGTGAGAGGCACCGGTTCCTAAACATCTTCAGAGCGAGGACTTTGACTTTGATGGCCGTTGATAGACTATCCTCCTCAGCCCACTCTTCATCATCCTCATCCATTTCGTCGTCTGGAGGTGGAGTAGGCACCATGAGTATATTCTGTAAGACAAATGCGGTGATTTGCTCGCTATGGCGATCGAAAGTTTCCGACGCGAACCGAGCGAATTGGGCCAAGACGGACATGCGGGCAAGAAGTACATCGTCTGAGGCATCTTCGAGTTCGTTCGTTATAGTCTAGAAAGATCTCAGTTGCGTGCAGTTTCGAGGACGATGTCCATTAAACATACATCAAGGACTTGGGAGCAGTTGGCGGCACGATCCTTCGAAAAGGCCAAAAGCCGGGCGGCGAACTTGGCATGCCTTGGGTGCTCCCCAGTTGCGAACCGAGTAATCCTTTCAACGGTCCTCCTATATAAGCAATTAGAAAGACGCGTCGACCAAAGGGAGGATGTCTCACTTGTCCGAAGGTACTAATTTATCATCGCAGCGGGCTATAGCAGCTAGGGCTTGCAAACATGTTTCCACAAGTATTTCGTTTTTCTCGTTTGCTATTGCCTTTGATAGTTCGGTTACGTGCGACTTGTAAAGAACGGGAAAGTGCTTCGAGATAAATGCCATCAGAGTCTGTGAGTGTTTCGCTGCGGTTTGTGTTTGCATCGATGCCTTGCCATTGTCCTTATGAATGGCTTTGATGAACGTCGGTATAGATGACTGGTTGAAGATACGGAGGCTTGCTCTATAAAGTAGAGTGTTCATGGTAGAATTTATGGCTGGGGAGTTTTGTTCAATTCTTCGCGTAAACTCGTTCTGTGGAATAACGTGTTAGGTCGAAGTATACAATCTCAAAGGAAATGCCCGGACCGTCGCCTTGACCAACCCTTTCAGATCAGTCTGGGGGTCCATACAGCTTTTTAACAGTTTGTAGAGTCTCCCTTCGTTGAGTTTTGCAAACGTGTGAAGGTCTTCAGACGCTTTATGGGGTTCCAAGAAGCCGCCTAAATTTTCGTGTTAGCACCCTTTTCACCATTGACTAACGCTGTTACGCACTTGAGATGGCTTGGATAACTCCGTTCAGTTTGCGCGTCACTCCGTCTTCATTCTCGTCAATGACGCCTCCCTATTGCCAGTCATTCACAACGTAGACATGTTGAATAACACGGGACATACGTTATACTTGGCGCAGGCATCCAAATAGTGGTCAAAGACGGTTGGGCGACTAAAATGATGGTAGGGAAATGGTGTTCACAAAGAAAATCGAGGAACATACGGTTGTTTCATACCCGTCAGTAACAGGAGACCTTGAATAGCCTTCTCATCGAGAAACTTCATGACTGTGAGTAACCGCTCTGTCCATGCACCGTCGTCAATTTCCAATGTGTTTTTGGATGTAGACGGGCGTGTTGTCGTAGATGAAGGGAGAGGAAGAATATAAAGTGCGAAAACCATCTCTATCGTACCCCTGGTAGCCATATATATGAGCGCTGGTATAGGTCGAGTTGAAGTGATAAACACACCTCACTTCCGTTCCCAAGCTAAGCATGTGCAGTATGTCGTTGGGTATCCAAGAGAAATGCCTGATCGCGGCTGGATCATTGTTTTCTCTGCATCGAGGGAGCATCACGTTTACGTTGATGGACACTAAAGTGACAGATCACTCACATTTCCGGATAAGCGAGGCTAAAAAGCTTCCCCAATGCCGTCAGAGCCTCGGAACGAACATAGTGCTGTAGATTTTTTTTATTGAGGTTGGAAAGTTAAGCGTGAATGTATGTACTCGCCTTCTTGTCCAAGCCTCTTCCAGCAATCACCTTAAGCTGCTTGTCCGAAACATGATGTAACGCGGTCTCGTAGTCTAATTGTGAATATAGTTTGCACACAGCCCCTCTGATCTTCTCGTCGGGATCAAATAATTTTGAGTTGAGGGCGTCTTCGAAGGGTAAGCAACGTGCAACAGGGGGCAGAAGCAACCACAACTACCTTCTATTGCGTCTTTCACTTGAGGTAGATTTCCGATCAATGCACCGGCAGTTTCAGCAAATTTAAGTCGAACACCTGCATTCTTGTCATTGCGCCGCTTGAGCCATTCATTCCATGTTGTTGGATAATTCTTCACGAGGTCATGTCCGTGGCCACCGGGGGAGCCGTACATCTCACCCAAGACTTGCGTTGCTATTGATCTAAGTTGGACTTCCTCAACTCTGAGTTCTTCTTCGAGCTGGGGGATAACGCTATGAAGTAATGCCGGGCATGATCGATGAAGTCGCTTGATGAGTTCGTGGGCCGTTCGTATCTCGTTGAAGTCTTCGGGAGATGTGGCATGTACAGAGGATTCGGACACGATGATGTCGGTGAAGTACTGTGATACGTGTCGTTGGAGTTTGTCGGCAGTCGAATTACATAGTTGTACTGCTGTTCGATAAGCGGCTTGGTCGAGACGCTACGATTTCGTCAATATATATATGTGGTAAGTCACCGAATGCTAGGCATGCCCAAGTTGAGGAGATAGTGGTGAAGCCAACACAATAGAATTCTCAGAGAGTATGCCAATTGTTAGGGTCGCCGAGAGGAACTTGAAAAGACATGTGTCCTTCTCGGCTCAACTTGGGCAAAGACAAGGCAATGGATTCCAACAAAAAAAGATTACTCACAGCGTTTTGGTCCATGAACTGAGACATGATAGTTTCGAGTACCTCCGATGGCAACGCGGGGCACTCGTCAACAAGAGCGACAAGTATATCGACCAAGTATAACTCGACTTTCTTTGGGAGGTCCCGACGTACCAGGGCGAATACGGCGCGAAATATCTCCACCATGAGTTCTTCAGAGTCAGGAAGGTCACCCGCTAGCACGACAGTCTTGACCGTGGACAACGACTCCACGAGATGGTAGTATTCATTGTAGTAGGCCGAGTCGGGGCCCTTGAGTCCGTTAGATAGCTGCTTGAAGAAGAACTGGAAGATATCCCTCAATTCCGCGTCGGTGTAAGGAGCGTTGGGCGCGCAAAGTCTGAGGATATCCGCGAGACAACACGCCGTGTAAGCTTTGATACCTTTGTCTTTGTGCATGAGCAAGGATATGTTTATCAAATCCTTCTGCACGGTCCCCAGCGACCGCACGTCGACCTGCTCCTGCTCCATCGCCGCGAGTTCCAGGTGAAGGGTCTTGAGCTTTCTGAGGATAGCATCGGTGGACTGTCCTTTGGTGACAAGCTTCTCTTTGAAGACTAACTTCTTCGTTGCCGGTCCTCCGTTGGCTCGAGGCATTCGCGAGAGTGACGATAGAATACAATGTCAAGGGGTTGGTCGCGACTTTGTCGCGCCCACGCGCCCACTGACCGTGAGAGAATAGAGTGACTGACCGTGAGAAAGCATTTACGACAATCTGGAGAAATGGGACTCTTGGAAATTCGTATTTGCTACTGCCCACAATGGCCCCGTCGTCGAAACGCGCTCTTCCGTCCAAGGAGGCCACCCTTTTCAGAGAGCTTTTGACTCTCTACGAAACTAGGCAGCTCAAGAAGGGTGTCAAGACTGCCGATCAAATACTCAAAAAGTTTCCCGAGCATGGTGGTGAGGATCCTTCTCGGTCTGCCATGGCGCGCGACCTACCAACAACACATTTCAGAAACCCTGTGTATGAAAGGCCTGTGCCTAGCGCAATCAGGCAAGCGCGAAGAAGGCATTGGCTCGTTAAGAAGGGCATGCGCTTCGATCTCACATCGCATATCTGTTGGCATGTCTTCGGACTTATTCAGAAGGACGAGAAGAATTACGAGGAAGCGCTGAAATCGTACACGCAGGCATTGCGCTTTGACAAGGTGAGAAGTCAGCATTTGTCGCGTCGCCCATTAACCCTCGGATAGGAAAACATCAATATTCTGCGGGACTCGGCACAGTTGCAAACCCAGCTACGGATATATGATGGCTTAGTGGAGACGCGACACACTCTCCTTCGCCTCCGACCATCTCTCCGGCAGCACTGGATCGCTCTAGCCGTCGCACACCATCTCAATGGTAACTTGAGTAGCGCGAAGAAGATCCTAGAGCACTATGAATACAGTCTAAAGGTATGTAGGGCCTTTATTGCTCTGATGAGTGCTCATATTGCCAAAGAATATACCCGATTATGACGTTGAGCATTCAGAGACCCTCCTCTACCATGTTCGTATATTGGAAGACTTAGGGGAGTATGCCGAAGGCCTCAGTCTTCTCGACATCAACTCAAAATCGCGTGCTATCGTTGACCGGACGGCCATAATGGAATTCCGTGCTCGTTTACTCTCGAAGCTGCGGGACACAGATGCGTCGAACGCATGGCGTGCACTCATCGACCACAACTCTGATTGCTACGAATATTATCGTGGGTATCTTGCGAGCAAAGATGTTGATCTTGACAACCCATCGGATGAATCGCGGGCCCAAGCGCTAGCCATTCTTCAGGAATTTGCCTCGCAGCTACCGAAGGCCGCCACTCCGCGTAGAATGGCCCTTTCGTTTGCAACCGGTATGTATCTTCTTCCTGAATCGGGCGCTACCTGTAATAAACCAGCCGTTTAGGTGAACAATTCTCTGATCTGATTCAGCAATATCTAAGGTCTGGCCTTACGAAAGGCGTCCCTTCGCTGTTTGCCGACATCAAAGGCCTGTATACTGAACCGCAAAAATATAAAGCCATTCAAGAGGCAGCAGAGGCCATTTTACAGGAGAATACCCCCCCAGAAGGCCAATGTAGTCACGGCGAACCCACTACTTATCTATGGACGTTATGCTTCCTCGCACAGCACTACTCCTATGTACCTCGAGCCACCCCCTCACAGCCCCTCCCGTCTCCTGACTTCGAACGCGCCCTAGCCTTGCTTTCTACGGCTATAGCACATACCCCTACGTTACCCGAACTATATACTCTACGAGCGCGAGTGCTAAAGCGCGCCGGCGATCCCTTGGGCGCTGCTGCGGCCATGAACGAAGCACGACTGCTAGACGGGCAAGACCGTTTTCTGAATACCAAATGCGCCAAGTACCATCTTCGTGCTGGGATGATTGACGAAGCAATCCAATTCTTCGGCATGTTTACCAAGGTATGTTATATCCTGGGAACGATGGGTGTCCTTGCCGGCGTCGATTCAACTAATGCGTACAGCTCAGAAAGACGCCGCTAACCCTGGCGCAGACCTCGAGGAGATGCAGTCAACACTGTACTTGATCGAAGCCGGAGATGCGGAATATAGACTAGGCAAACTGCACTTGGCACTGAAGCGATATGTGGCCGTGGACAAGGTAAGGTTGATTTCCTGGATGTGTGCCGTCGCTTAACTCCCATCGTGTAGATATTCCACGAGATGGAAGACGATCAATACGATTTCCACGGTTATTCGTTGCGCAAATTCAACCTCAATATCTATCTCAAGTGCGACGTTTTGACTATTGGTTGAAAGACGAAACTGACCCTCATCGTAGCCTTCTTGCTTGGGAAGATCGCCTGCGTTCCCACCCGGCCTACGTCACCGCTGCACTGCAAGCCTCCCGAGTCAGATACCCATCTCTGCATATTTCCTCCCTTCCTCATCCATTATCGTAGATATTTGTCAAAGTCCACGATGACCCGTCGCTCATCACCGCCGCCTCGTCCTCTGGTGCGTCCGGCTGGCCTTGAGTCTCGCTTACGACGACCTGAGCGTCTGTTCTGCAGTGCGGCTTTCAGACGCAGAGAAGAAAGCGCGCAAGAAAGCCAAGAAGGCGGCGTCAAAGGCCCACGACGACAAGAAGCCAGGTATTTCCGCAGTCGTGTAGTGGCTACTAGCTCTCATGTGTCCCGTAGCAACGGCCTCCACCGCCGACGACACTGTCGAAAACACGCCAGCCAAAGACGACGATCCGGATGGCGTCAAACTGCTCGGCGCAGCAGACGGTCTCGATCGTGCGGCGAAGCTCTTGCAGCCCCTGGAGTCCCTTGCAGCAAGCAATATCGACGCTTGGTTGGTGATATACGATGTCGCTGTCAGACGAAGTAAGTTGTCATCGGTGATAACGTTCATCAGGCGACTCAATCAGGTCTAGAAAAATACCTCCAAGCCATAAAGGCGCTGAAACACGCTCAGTCGCTCGATTCGGAGCACGCGGAACTGCATACGCGACTTGTTGATTTCAAAAAGCGAGGTAACGCTAAGACACGGCCAACTCAGCGAGATACTGACTTGTGTGTAGCGTCGGCCTTCCCTCAAGTACCTCCAGCACCCATAGGACCGTTGGTGACGACATCCCTTGCAACTCTGCTGCCCGAGGAAGTTTCTCTAGAAACATACAACTCGCTGTATCTGCAACGACACTCGGGTTGTGCACCGGCGGTTCTTGCTGCTGCACGGGTATTACATTCGCTTGGTTCGGCTATCGATGAGGTCGATGCTACGCTATTTACGACGTTGGCCGACGACGCGCAGCTGGACATCGTGGTAAGTCGATCGTGCGAGCACCGTCTTGTTTGTGCTGAAGAATACTACAGACCGCGTCGAAGATCCTCGATTTCTTGAAGGCAATCAAGTCGAGTCGTGTGGAAGAGTATAGACTAACTTGCGTTTCCCGTTTTCCTTTGTCGACGGTGTTCATGACGCAGTCGGAGCTGAGCCAAAAGCAGAAACAAACTGCAGAGGGTACTACTGCTCTTGTCGAAGCAGAGAAGTTGGAGGTTGTTCCCTGATGGGAGGGTATCTGGTTCAGTCCGCGGAAATAGATCTTGCTCAGCGTGGGCTATGCTTCACGTAGTCGTATCGACGATCTTTCTTGAGTTGTGATGAGATTACTCAAACTCTTGTCAATGTTGCTAGATTTGATGATGACTGACCCTGTGATCTTGTGAATTCGTTCCTACGTATTCTGACCGGCATGTCACTTCCTCTCCACACATAGGATCGACGACGACGCGCCTTTGGTATGCATGCCGAATTCCCTGAACGAGTTTTGGCTAATTGATTGTTCTGCCTGATAGTTATTCCCCCGTTCGTTCAACATTACGAGGAGTTGACACCTCAACCGCGATGTTCCCTCCAGGGGCCTTGAGTGGTTTGAGAAGATGGTGGGATGGCGAAAGCATCAACCACAGCGTGTGCCAATGTTCCAGCCCCAGGGGTAACGGAGAGGCGCATTCGCCTTTCTTCGGCGTAGACTTCCGTCAAGTTCATCCTGCAGTCGGGCTGCTTTCTACCGATACTAGCCACACAGGGCGTTTGATGTTCCATGCAAGCTCTAGTACGCATTGCGCTATCTACCAAGCGCATCAATTAGCCACCCAAAACATCGGTAGCAACAATTTTTTTCGGCCGTGCGTCTTGCGTCAATCCTCATCGTCTATCGCGCCAACGGCGGGCAGATATTTCTTCAAGCCGACAATGTTATCAACCAGGTTTGCTATTTCCAAATCCCTGCATTCCGTCATTTTGTCACTTGGCCGGAGCCTAGCGTTCCCTAATCACTCCTCTGTGAATGGCTGATAAAGCCTGGTAACGTGTTGCGCAATCCTTCCCCGGATGGCGACCCCGCTTTCTCAAGCATAACGAAATAATGTTCTAGCGGGGGAAAGCCTGGGTGTTGCATCTGATGTATTAATACTCGACAGTGCGTCAATATGAGCGATTTGCTCGGTAGTCACTGTACGTTCTTGCCCTCATGAATTACGGCCACATGTTAATTGGAACATAGGGGGCGACGTCCCCAACAGGGACGGGGAAGGGCTACTTACATCCTGCTTCGTTAACTGCGCGGTCCAATACTCGCTCAGTGGAGCAAGGGTGGTCTTGCGCCATCGTACGCTTCGGCTACGCAATCTGTACTTATGGTCCTCCGTCTCATGACATATCCAATGGGAATTGCTCAACCATATGCAGTCCTCGCTCATACTCCAGGGACATGGTGTGCTTCCTCGCAGGTTGACCTTGGTGCCTTTCTTTATCGCGCCGCCGCCCGAGGAAAGAAAATATATATTTAGGCAGCGGTATTCCACAGATGACCCACCCAGGCAGCCTTTCGATTGCAGACGGGACTTCTCATGGCCACCCCTACTCTACTCATGCATGTCCGCTCCAAGGCGGACTCGATATCCAGCAAGGACACCAAGGACACCGCAGGTTCCGATGATTTAGTAGATGCGGAGCCGAAGCCTTTCAAGCTTTCCGAATGGTTCTTCCGTCGTGGCGAGAAGATCGACCTCGATTCGATTGCTACCAGGAGATCGGTGTACGACGATCCTGCGTTGGCACCCCATTACTTGCCGAAAAAAGAGTACGAAAATCTTCACCGGTTCGATCCAAAAATTCGCTGGACAGTTCGCGAGGAAAGGGTGAGCGCTTCCATGCTTCACTTGCTTCATATCACGTCTAATGTGGTTACCAGACTCTTGTCCGCAAGATTGACTGGAAGGTCATGTTATGGGCTGCCATTAGCTTCTCCGCCCTGAACCTCGATCGCGGCAATCTCAGTCAAGCCAACACAGACAATTTCCTTCCAGACTTAGGCATGACAACGGACGGTGAGTCTTTAATCTCGGCTACTTTACTGGCTTCGCTAATGCGATCGTCGGGATAGACTATAACACCGGTAACACGGTATTCAGACTCGCATTCCTTTGCGCTGAGTTACCTTCGCAACTTATTTCGAAACGGCTTGGCCCCGACGTTTGGATTCCCATCCAGATGGTTGGTTGGAGTGAGTTGCATTCGAGTCATTTTGGTCGACAGCAAGGCTAAGCATTGTTTATTGCAGGTATTGTCACCCTGGCTCAGTTCTGGCTTACGGGCCGTTCTTCTTTCCTTGTTTGCCGGGCTCTTCTTGGGTAAGCAACAACGCGAACTATCGAATTTCTTGTGTGCTTACTTTTGCGTTACAGGATTTTGCAGGGCGGGTATGTCAACCTGTTGTTATGTTGAGACTTCAGAGATTGACGGCCTTTCTAGTTTCATTCCGGATCTTATCTTATATCTCTCTTGTTCGTCTTCCCGATTCCCTTGGAGGTTGATCATTGCTAATCTCTTGATCAGATTTTTACACTAAAACCGAGCTCCCGTTGCGATTGGCGTTCTTCTGGATGTCAGCGAATGTGTGCACCATCGCGGCCAGTTTCCTTGCGTTCGGTGTTTTGAGGCTGCGAGGTCATGAAGGCAAAGAGGGTTGGCGGTATGCACCTTTCATTCCTCATCGACCTCCATGATCACTAAAGTTTCTTGCTTAGCTGGCTCTTCTTGGTCGAGTACGTTCATTTTATCAATCTGCGATGAACTGCTCCTCACCGTTTTTACAGAGGTTGCATCACACTTGCTGTCGGTATTGCTACGTTCTTCAAAATGCCGCCCTCTCCAACGGACACGAAGAAATGGTACCGTCCAAAAGGCTGGTTTACCGAGCGAGAAGAGTATATCGCCGTTTCCAGAATTCTCCGAGATGATCCCACCAAGGTATACCTCATATGCATCACGTCGAGCGCACTTGACTGACCAACATCGTTACAGGGTGACATGCACAATCGTGAGGGTCTGTCACTCAAACGACTGTGGCAAGCTATGTGCGATTATGACCTGTGGCCCTTGTACATCGTGTCAGTCCTTTCCCCCTCCCTTTCGCATCTTGAAATTCTGACATGTCATGCAGTGGATTGCTCTTTGGTATCCCTATCTCGCCGCCTGGATCTTATCTTACGCTCTCGCTTCGTAATATTGGGTGGGCACCTCATTTCGCTTACCCGCCCCAGCCACACGTCATACTCACATCGCTTCATTTAGATTCAATACCTTCCAGACCAATTTGCTCGCTATACCGTCAACAGTCGGAAATATGATTAGCATGCTCGCGATCACCTTGATCTCCGAGGTCGTCAATGATCGTTCCTTTGTCGCCATGGGTGAGGATATATGGGCATTACCGTTCTTGGTAGCCATATACTGCCTACCCGAGAAGCCGAATCAATGGATATACTTTGTACGCTTTTCTCTCCCCCCTGCCGATTGTTTTCTAATGCACTGTGTCCAGGGTCTTGCGTCTGGACTGCTTTCATACCCGTACACTCATCCGATCCAAGTGAGTTGCTCAACATCTTAAACGACTCGTTCTTATGTTGTATTTCAGGTTGCATGGTGCTCTCGCAACGCGGGTGCGGTCGCCAGTCGGACGGTGAATGCCTCACTGTATAATATGTAACTACCCTCCCATCCCTCCCCCGTTATCCCTCTGACCGCCCCACAGGTTCGTTCAAGCAAGTGGAATCATTGCAGCACAGATATACCGCAAAGACGATGCGCCCAGATGTTCGTCCCAATCTACGAAACTATACATCATCCCTCATTGACCCTTTATTTTCCAGACCGCCGCGGTAACACGATTCTCATCACTATCTGTGTCTTCAATATCGCCGTCTTGTATCCGGCCACAAAAGCGTACTATATGTGGCGCAACCGCCAGCGCGCCAAAATTTGGGATGCTATGACTTCCGAGGTGAGTCTAAAGCTTCCTGTTTTCTCTCCGAATCAAATCTGATGCACTGTATTCGGTAGGAAAAGGCCACTTATCTGCAAACCACCAAGGACATTGGAAACAGGCGTCTCGACTTCAGATTTGCCCACTAGATCATCACACCATAGACTCTAGAGACACGCCTCCCACTTTTCGCTATTCCGTAGGATTCAAGAACGTTGTAGATTGACAAATGATGTTGTAAACGTAAACATGAAATTATGAAAGAAATGAATGATGTTGTAATCTAGTCCGTCCGAGAGGTTGAATCTAAGCCGTAGAATGAAGTTGAACGATACAGTATTGGTTTTAGCAGATAACGCAGTCCTCCTTGAAACTGAGATTGTACATAGTTTTGTCAACGATTTTCTCGATCTTCTTCCAATCGGATCGCCGCTGGACGAACTCGTATATATCCTAAAATATAATCTTCGTTTTATCACCAATGGCTAACGAGTTTTTGTGCTCACCTCAGGTCGATATGCACCACCATAGCGTGTAACATCCCGGACGATCTGAGCAAGGTCCTTCGCATCTTCTACGACGAAGACGTGCCCTAGCATTTTTAGGTGAGAAAATTCGCTCGTTATTGTTTGAACCTTGGGGGAAAAGGTACCACATTAGTAAGTATATAGCTTGGGGAAGAACCACGAAGTCACCTTGAGTGATGCGATGAATGTATGATAGGTGTTCAAATCTGCGATGACTTGGAAGCCACCGCTAAGGGAGATGATCTGGCGTTTGATGTGTTTCTGCAGAATACTGGCAAAGGTCGTTTGTTTCGCGCATGTCGGTAAGCAGAGCGATACAGCGTCACTTACGCGATCAACCGTATACCGACCTCCTGGTAGAAGACTTCCAGCACCTCCTTGCTCGTGCTCCCCTTCAGCAGTTTGCAATGCATGTCTAGGCACTTGATAGCTTCGGTGCAAGCCAGTGTAGGCCCTAGATCGAGAGGTGCATCTTCCGGAGGATAGTATTCTCGCGGTTTTGTCAGTTTGGTAATGATATGCTCCACCTGTTCAATTCTTCGAATTAATGAATACTCCGTGGAAGGAGGCCGGTTCTGCCAACCTGGTTCATAAGCAGCTCAGTTCCAGCATTGAGCCCCGCTGCAACGGAATCGTCCAAAGAGTTTTCGAAACGCTTCTTCTCTCGCACGACAGCATTCAGAAAATCCGTTTTGTCGATATGGGGTGCCTGGAAAAGCCACGAGCGTACGTCAGTCATATAGGAAAAGGCAAGCGCTGAAAAGGCCCTACCAACTCTTTATCAAAGTACACCTGCACCATCGACTGTATAGTATCCCCAATATGTACCAACTCGAAGAACTGGACCAGGGGCGCCACGCTTGTCGTGTCCTCGTGATCTGCCGGTTTATACGACGTTATTTGCAGTATGGCTCTACGTGCGAGTTAGGCGCTTCAACCACCTAGTTCTGCAGGAGCGAGGCAAGAATACGCACTGAGAGAACCCCTTGATGACGTGGCGCTCGCTCAGTATTTGCAGGAACAGGATGAATATCTCCTCTATAGTGTCTCGGACGCGGTGCCCATAATGTCCGGGGTAGCCCGCGAATGTCTCGACCCTCTTCAGCGCCTCGCGGTCTGCGTGGATAAGTTCTAAGGAAACATCTAGTGATAAAAGCAAGTCGAAGTTGGTGCTGGCGGCCACTTGTCTAGCAGATGCAGCTGTTGTCGTTGTCGATGTCGATATTGAACCTTCAGATCCGCCGAACTGCGTAACAGAGGAAGCAACGGATGCTAACAATTGAGTGAGGAGTCACCACGACGTTAGACCAGTAGGCAGGGTGAGATACTGTTACTTACAACGTTTGTCACCTGACGACCGCGTAGGTGCATCTTCATCGTCGTCGCCGACTTCAAACAACGCCCCTCCATCTTGATCCAACTTCTTTGAATATCCGTCGCTTGGCGCAGAGCCTCCCCATCGTTGCGGATTCAGCATCGAGATGCCTTGAACAGCAGCGGACCCGCCCGTAGTCAGCGCAGCTCCTACTGCACCGACCGTACGCGGCACGATCGTCACGGGAAGCAGCAGCACGGAGGTGAACGACGCAAGCACATTCCGCTTGACTTGCGCTGGATTATGCGAGCCGAGGAACCGAGCTTGCGACGTCGACTCGGCGACGCTGATGCTGGCGTCGATAGAGCCGCTGCCTGCATTCTGCGAGGAGCCAAGGCTGTTATTTGCATGGATGGCATGGTATAAGGGTTGCGACTCACGCCCTTCTCCCATGCCTTGCAGATTACTTCGAACGCATGCTTGGTTGACTCGACTTCTTCGTCAAGGTATTCGTCCATGTTTGGTTCGAACATTTGATACCTGGTCAGTGAGAGCGGGCATCAGTCAGGCCTTGAGAGATGGGACTGAAGTTCTGAGTTACGCACACTACGTCCTCTGCTCTAGTTTTTGAGACCGCCGAGTCTTCTCGCACTGAAGCCGCCTGCATCGCATCGACCATTCTCCATGCCTCGCGAAACGTGGCGGCAGCGGCTTTCAGGAAGGTGTCATTCGACACTTCGCGCGCACGAGTGAGAAGGGCTGTTATATATTCACCGACCTTAAAATTAGCCTTTTAGTAACTTTGAGTCCTGGATGGGGCGTTTAGCATACCACGTCAGTAGCCAGTCGATCGGCAAAGTTGAGCAAGACTTCTGAGGCAGGGGGAAATACCCTGACTGCCAAAGAGCCGTTCACGCGGATTGCTTCAAGTACATGAGTCATGAATTCGTCCATTGCATCGAAATCCAGTACACCATCCTTTCTACACAGTATATTATCAACGGAAATCCGAACCTCCAACGAGCCAATCACGCACTTGAATTGTCCAGCGGCTCCCAGTTACCTTGCTCATAGAATATCTCCCGCTTCTCTGCCCACACCTTACCCATCTCCCAGTCGCCCGTTCTATCCCATACTTCCCAACTAGATTCAGCGGCCTCTCTCATCGCGTCCTCATCTCCGTGCTCGTCAGCGATATCAAACGCTGTCAGCGCGTTGGAGTCGAACCGATCCATAGCGGCCCGCAACGAAGAGAACAGCGTGTCCCATTTGCGAAGCGGCTGGATCCGGGGCGACAGCCAGCAGGAGAGGAGATGAAGGGCCTTTGCTTGACTTCTGAGCGAGGACGTTGAGTTCGCGGCCAGAGCAGAGAGAACCATGTGCGGCGGCGCCGATAAGGCCGTAGTGAGCGGTTTGAGCAGTCGGTGCGCTCGCATGTACATCGTTCTCGGTGTGACGCGGGTGGGGACCAGCTGCGGCGTCGGAAGAACCATACGGGCAATATCGTCGAACCCACCGCCAACGAAGTCCCCCATTTCTTCAATAGGCGGGTTATTCACAATATCCACAGAGGCGAACTCCCCGAATTCATCATCTACTTCTAAAGTAGGCGGGGCCGCTGATTTGATAGCGCCAGTTTTGCCTTTCGAGTTGGCCTCCAGTTCGTCCAAGACGTCTGAAAGGGCGTACTTGTCTACGGCGAGCGCGGCCCATCGTGCCTGCCATATCTTTTCGTCTTGTGCCAGAGCCGCGGTCGCATGCGAGCATCGTGAGTACGCCGGAAAGTCGGGAACAGCTAAGTGCGCTAGAATGAGAAGATGCAAGTCCGATGGGAGTCTTCCGACAAGAGGCTGGGCAATGGCTGGCTTTGGTCCCTGTCCACGAGAAAGTAGTCGAGCGCTAGCGGAGGTTGTAGCGTTGTACAGCCTCACGGGTTCGAGAGTAGCGAATTTATCCATGTTTCGTACGTCGATTTCTGTCCTAGCACATCGTTTGACCTTTCAGCAGCGCCGGATTCGACCGTCGTCGTCGTCGTTGATGTCGCTGCGCAACCCAGCGCCGCCCCGCCGTCGGTCACATAAATTCTTGCTTAGGTAAGCGGATTTCTTCAACCCACACTACTTTCAAAGTGCGGGCGTAACACGCTGTAGCTCCGAACCACGAGGAAGATGACTCCTGCCACAAGTCCCGACAAATTACCTCCTGGAATAGCTGGCGAATGGGTTGGATTCACAGAAGGGGGTCAGAATCCCTGGAGAATACTAGATCAAACGCGATACTACACGAACACCTATATAGTTCAAGATGGTCAGGTAAGAAATCTCTAATAACCCAGGTCCCGATGTTCAAACTTTGATTTCTGTGCTGACTTGAAGTATGGGGTATTAGATTCTTCTGGGAAGGAAGAAACGAGGGATCGGACTTGATTAGTACGAGACGGCAAACTGTCTACTTGTCTGTCTATCACTGACCGGCTTCTGTGGCGTCGAAGTTACAATGGGTTCGGTAAAGACGTTGAATGTCCTCTACTCCTGTGTAGCTCAGAACATTGCCCTACAGGTGGCAAAGTTGAAGTCGGTGAAAGCTCCAAGCAAGCCGCTCGGCGCGAACTCGAGGTTAGCACCACGAGTCTCGCTTTCGGCATTAATTGAATCGTACACCGGTATGGGACTGGTCTAGGAAGAAGCTGGCATAACCGCTCCGCTCGATCAAGTTGGTACCCTCCTATTCACCAAAGAGGGGGTCGAATGGACATTCCACATCGACATATACCGCGCAGAGGAATATGAAGGGAAAATAGTAGAGTGAGCAACGGAGAAACCTCTGTTTGTTTGACTTTGATGCTAATCTGTCTATGAGAACAGAACAGAAGAAATGTGTCCCGAGTGGTTTCCTGTTAGTCGGATACCGTACGATCGGATGTGGGAGTCCGACGGGTACTGGTTGCCTCTTGTTCTGTCGAAGAAACCTTTCATCGGCCGCACAGATTTCGACGCAAACAACCGCCTTCAAAAGTGGTGGTTTGGCCACGATGGTGGGGTGGTGTCAGCATAGCGCGTTCACACCCTTCTATTTGACTATACTAAATACGACGATGACCTGATGTACATGCGATGATGCATACAACAGTATAGAATGCAATCGACCGTGGTGAATCTCACGTCTCCCAATACTCCATACCCACAAGATATTCATAGTGCTTCAAAATCTTGGCAATATCAATGAAGGTCAAGAACTTAGACGCTTTCAATATCTGAAGGGGGGTTGTGCTTTAGTCAATGACATGCGGGGGGATCAAGCAGCATACCACGAGGTGCCATCGCAGAGCCTCCCATCCAGCTGCGCGGTGAATCATTCTCCAATACTCATCGACGAACATGATGACGCCCTGATAATAATTTGCCAGAAACTCCATCCTGGATCGGGCATCAGAAAGCACCAAGGATCAACAGCATCGGCGTGAATATTATTATCAAACGCACCGATGAAGAAATATCCACCGCCCCCACAATGCAAGCACGACTTTCAGCTCGTCCGCGATGTGGTCTTCGTCAAACATCTCTTCTTCTATGTCGAGAATGTACCACGCCATGAGCCCGAATGGCTCCATGGGCAGGGTCCCCAGGAGGTCGTACAGTCGCGGGCCTCCTGGGCGGCACGAGTAGAACATTGTAGGGCCTCCGTATTCGGATACATAAGGGAGGTAAGGGTATCGCGCGGCCGGTCCTAAGGGATTTTCCTTCGGCGGTGGCGTCGGACAGCGAGCGGGTAGGTTGGGTGGTCTTGATGACGGAGGGCATGCTGCTTGAGGCGGCTGGGTACTGGCGGGTAAAGGTATCTCAGGGAGGTCGATAGCGGCTGGCAATGGTGTTTTGGGCTCGACTTCATGTGGCGGCGCGGCGGCGCTAGCATCTGGGTGGGCGGCTACTGGATCGCTGATATTGGTCGCTGGTGACGACGGCGGGGGCAACTGGGGTGATAATGAGCGCAAACGTGCGGAGGGTGCTGGTGATGGAGGCAATACAATCAACGGTTCCGCCAGGGGCGATGTCGGAGGGGGCAGTAATGGTACTGATGAGACATTCACATATGGGACAGAGAGCTGCGTCTCATCTAAAGCTTGTACTACCGAAGGGGTTTCGGGTGCGATGGAAGGGGGTAGCGCTACCCCTTCAAGTGGCGCTACAACTGCAGATGCTTCTGCCTCATCGGACACACTTGGCCTAGGAGCCTCATGAGGTTCGTCCATCTCATAATCAGCATACTCAAGGGGAATGTCTTCGAGGGAAAGTCCTTCCCTAGATGACGGTGTCGACTAAGCTATCTGAACCCGGGGTGCTCGTTAGGCTGAACTCACATTTCTTCGATATTGGCGTTGCTGGTCAGCGTAATGGTGACGCGCCAGCACTTGTGAAACCCATGATATATTCTGCTCGTTTAGAGAGGAAAGGCGCTCACCGTGGCCATATCCACCCAATGCGCAAGTACCGCCGTATGATCCCACTCCAAATGCGCTGCAAGTGTTTCTCTGGTAGGGAATCGGCCGAATAAATTGCACAGCGGACAAAACAGACCAAGCCCTTTGACAGTATATTGAAGGTGGCCCTCATCAAGGCGATAGACCACCTCCAAGGAGAATTCATCATTGCCCTTTGGGTCGGCATCGGTATGTCTGCCTTCCTTTCGACACCTTGAGAGAAATCCTCGACGAAAGTTTCGCCGAAGGAAAGGGAGACATTTGACCTGTTGCATCCGCCTCGTATGAAAGGTGAGCTTGTTGAACGCCTCAAGGAGTTCCTTGGGCGGTGCGGTACTTGTCGATGGATCTGAAGGAGCATATTCTTCGGGGTCGAGTTGGTCGGTGTCATCGGAAGACGTACTCCAGTCCGATTGAGAAGCATCGTCGCTATCAAGTTCGATAATATCATCATCATCATCAGTCGAAAAGTGCGTGCCCGCAGCGGTTTTCCGTGCAGCTTTGAGTCCGACTCCAGGGACTATCCTTGGTGGTCGACCTCCCGGCCTCGTCATAAGCTTTCGCCTATAGAAAGTACGATCAACAACAAACGGCCTCATGGTCAACTCAAACAGACAACAAACTTCAGATTGTTTGGAGTTACCCGATCGTCTGGTTCAAAGCATACCACATTCGACGACGACGAGGAAGAGTCGTCCATGGCCGGGGTGGGCGAGGGAGAAACAAGGTTGATGGTTGTGGTATTTGTGGAACTGTGTGAGTCTTTGGAGCTCGATCCAGATACCGTTTTTCTGCGAACTTGCCGAAGTGGACTACGGGTAGGCGTAGATCCAGCGCTGTGATGGCGGCCTCTGCGTGAGGGTGATCCTGGGGCCGGCGTGTTCGCGAATGTTCTCGTAGGATGGAATCTGTTGGAAAGGCCATGGGCGGTCGTTCTATGCACAACTTCATGAGGTCCGCGAGCCTCATTTCCGCGATCAAGCCTGGTCGTCGGAGTCATTCGTTGTGACGGCTTCGCCTGGGAGCTCTTCTTGATACTGTGGACAATCGGTGGGAGTGCCTGTCCGGTCGTCGCCTTGCCCTGGACTTGTTTGCCACTGACGCTAGCTGCCAGTGAATCAACAAATCCCCTTGAGCTAGCTGCCTTTCTGGCTATACTGAGTCATTAGTGTATCGAGGACATAATCATGAGTTGCACTTACTAGCGACCCATGGTTTGTCAGATGAGAATGGGTTCCCGCTGGAACGAAAGTCTGTTGCAGGTCGACTTGAGCCGGGAGGAGCGTGGTAACGCGGCCCAACCTTTTTAGCAGCCTCTGTCCTATGGGTTCGTGCGGGCATAGTGGACGGTGCTCCCAAAGGTTGTATGGGGAAAGCTGGGATCCTCTCGGATGTCGATGTGGTTTTTGGGGTGAGCATGCGCCTGCGGATTGTCGTAGGTATTGTTGCTACTTTGCGAGGGGACCGGTCCTCATCAGACATGATGCTGCTACACTGTGTTCAGACCTCAGTTGACATAACAATAGGACTGTGTGAATCTACCGTCAGTGGTGTTAGTTGTGGTACTCGTGGCAGTTACTTCCGAGAACGTTGAGGACCCGGGGCTGTTATCGACGAATGCTGACTCAGCATCATGGGCGCTTGAGGAACAAGGTGCCAAGAATAGCCGCGTGTTAGTGGTTGCTTGACATCGCCATGTTGAACAAAGGACACAATAGCAGAAAGGCCGTTCATTGTCCTTGAGGTCGGATAAAATGAGGACGATCCCTTCAGAGTTCCCCATCTTCTTCTGCCCCCATCGAGCCAGGTGCTTCTTGCTTTTCCTAGACGTTTCTCAGTTCCGTTCCGTATTCACGACTATCTTCAACTTTGCCAAATAATATCTTCGATTGGCCTTTAAAGAAACACCGAAATATATATACAACATATCCAAGATGTTCTCTCCGTCTGCTCTCGCCCTCGTCGCTCTTTCGTTCTTCACCATCATTGCCGTCTCTGCGCCTACTTCGCCTGATGCTGCCACCCTTCTCAAGAACGGCCAGGAGGCCCAGGGTCTCAACTTTGCCTTCCGTACCCTCAGCGCCAACGATGACTGCACTAGTGCGTTTTCTTCTGCAGACGCGACGAAGTGTGTTTTAACTGACCACTGCATTAGGTGGAGACACCGGCTGCATCCTCGGTGCATCCGCCCAGTGCGTCGATGGGAAGTGGGACATCACCAACTGCCCCAGCCAGACCCGCTGCTATGCGCTGCCCTCCTTCACCGGAGAAGGAACTGTTCGTACATTTCCATGCTCGAACCACGTACCTTCTCAACGTGGCTTTCCTTTTTAGTTTGTAGCGTGCACAAGTGAGCGCAACGCCCGCTCGTTCATCGACGCCAGTGGCGCGGAGGGAGGAATCGCTGTCGCCCCGTCCAACAGCACAAACAGCGCCAACTCCACAGCATCCGCGTCCTCCACCGTGTCCTCGTCGATCGCCAGAGCCACCGCGTCAACCAGCAAGTCTGTGGACGAATCCCCGAAGACCGTCACAGTGACCTTCTTCCCCTCCTCCTCCTCATCCCCAGCCATTGCGATATCCACCGACCTCCCCGCGCAGACAATCACTGTCGCTCCCGCTGCGGCGTCCAGCCTCGTCGCCAGCATCACCGCCAACACCGCATTCTCCGTTGTCTCCGTCATTCAACCTAGTGGTGCTGCTTTCCCCGCCGACGCCCCAAATGCGAAGCCAGCAGCTACCACGATCAAGTTGACCGCCGCAGCTTTGCCCGTACAAACCACCGGCGCTGTTGTTGCTGCCAACAACGCTAACGCGTATGGGTACTGAGTACTCAATATCCCCCAATTGTCACGAACAATGCATTTTTGTAGCTACTAGCAAGGGAAACATTATTGTATTATTGTAGTAGAAGGAAGAATACATCAACCAAGCGATGGCTCATGCTGAGCAAAGTATTGATGCGAGGACCTCGCGAGGGGCTGTTCCCGGCCGTATGTAGAACAAGGAACCAAGGTAAGAATATTGGCCCATGTTATAAATACAGCTAAGGCGTGGCTTAGAAGAACCAGGCAAGGAAAGGAAGAGAAAGGAAAGGAACACTGGGATCACCTTCAACACAGTCCGCGTACTCTTTTCTCAAGGTCAATCGGGTCTCTAGAGAGTCACGGTAGCAATCAGCCAGACGAACTTCGACGCCATCTCGCTATGCCTCGTGGCCGATGTTGAGGATGCTATCTCGCCTGTGGCGGGGATGGCAGTGATAGCTGGAATCGAGATCAAATCGTACTCCCTCTGGGCATGTCTGCCAAAGCACAATATCACAGCGACAGCGCCGACTCCTCTGACGATCTGCCTCCTCCGAAAATGTTCGATATCCCATGTCCCTCTCTGATTCGCCCACTCTGGATATACTCCACGCACCGTACGACATATTTATCTTACCGCTGGTGCCCCCGAGTTCGTTTCTCGCTCTTAGGGCATTGGCTCTGGATTGCCACAGCAGGACACACATTGCATGCCTTGAACTGCTGGTTGGTCCAGAGGCATGCGCAAGGATGCGCAGCCTTAGAACGTCTTTCTATCATCGGTTGCCCCACATGAAGGCGCCGATAGAAGCGATACTGAGGCGTTCAGTCGGAGGCATCAGATATTCGAGATCGCGAGGTTGACAGCCGCCTGTGTTCATGATCAGAGGTTTTGGTTTGGTGCTTTACCAGCAGGTGTAGGACACTTGATTGATTGACGCTAATGTATCGATTTTTACACACATGCTTATAGCGCTTCCTCGGCCAACCAGCGCAGAAGCATCTCCAGTGATTCTTTTGGTTTGTTGTATGGGACCTTGATAGTCAACGCGTCAGGGCTTAGAGTAGGATCACAACGGCTAGAGCGATGGCTTACCATATGCCCAGCTGCCTCCACCGTAGCGAATGTCAATCCCTTAGCACTCCTTGTCTTACCGGCGAATTTCCCGTCGACTACCCAGTCACGCAGGGGCTGCTTGTTGAACTCCTCCTTACCACTCCACTCCATGTCCAGCGTCCACCGCTCGTTCCCCACCCAATGCGCGATCCAGTCGTAGGAACCCACGTATATCAAGACACGTATGTCCCGCTCGAGCAGCGCCGCAACATGTTCAACGGACGTGTGCATGTGGTCCAAGTTGTTAAAGAACGCGTCGTGTAATTCCGTGTTTATGAGCTCGAAGTTCCCTGCGGCGGGATCAGCTCCGATGAGTTCGCGCGTGTCAGACGCGTTCAGGAACTTTTGAATATGTCTGGGGACGTGCAACGCTTGGGCATTAGCATATAAAAGGACAGTCGAAAGACAAACAAAATTCAGACGCACCTCGTTAGAGAGTAGCAAAGCGACTTCTGGTCCTCGCATTTCTGAGTGATATCGTAGGGATTCCATCCTGTCAAAATGTTAACATGACTTAGCTCCTCGAACATCCTACGACCAACCAGCAGCAACGTATGGCCCTCCGAGAGCCGCCTGGCAGGTCGAAACAGCAGAGTTACAGTCGATCCCATCAAAATGGTCAATACATGAGGCCTGGATCCACTTCTTGCATCGTGGGACCTATCGCGGGGAGTTCATAGAATATCGAAGGTCTTCTAATTGAGGCTTACCATTTTCTTAGCTGCCACGCAAGTGCTGCAAAGTGCGTATTCTCGGTGAGCCACGGATGCCATAGTAGAAAACAAAGAATCGCGTACGAGATATCAAGAACAGGACGTCCTATCTTCGAGCACTCAAAATCGGGCCAAGATAGAAGCACACTGTACATATTCGTCCACCCATTTCCTGTGTAACATTTCGTGAGGGGAACAATAAACGGCCGGAAAGCACACACCGATCATGATAGAGGTCAGGTTGATTGGCGTCAGACCTTGTTCTACAAGTTTTGCATTCTGATCATATATTTCGGAGGCGTAAACTGGCAGATAGCGTCCCTAAAGGAAAATTCCTCAGCAGTCTAAAGGAGTAGTAGAAGTCTGCAACTCACGGCATAAGATTCGCCCGTTAAGTGGAACGCACGCCCTTTGAACTTGGTGAAATGCTCGAAGAATATCACCATAAATGCAGCGATATCCTTGGCTGCATCTTCCGTTGTCTCCTATAGTTTTCATACAGTCAGGGGGTAGCCCCTGTGAACAAGATGGAGCTGACCGCCGTCTCCCCGAATTCGGCGTACGAGAATCCAGTCCCAACTGGTTGATCAATGAAGAAAATATTGGCCTTCGTGTTCCACGATTCTGGGTGAAACTTGGGCCCCTCCGCATCCAGCACGCGGCAAGGACCGAGCTCCATGAGAAGGCCCACAGACGACGAGCCCCCAGGTCCGCCATTAGTCCACAGCAATACATCGTCCTTATCAGGTTCGCTCCTACTTTCAAAAAAGTAGAAAAATAGGTGGCGAGCTTGGATGTCAATATATCCCGTGTACGCCCTAAGATAGTCACGGAGTTGACAATGACATGTCCAGCAGGGCTTCGAGGTAACATACTTTACTGTATCATCGCACCACCGAGTCCTTTTGATTCTCACTCCATAGCCCGGCAATACTGGATTGCCGAGAATACTGAACTCCTTGTCCGACAATGCGTCCAGCCTTTCCATCGGAGTGAATAGTCCGGAGTCATAGCGCTCTCCAAAATCTTGATAAATCGGTTCTTGAACTTGGAAAGCGAACGGCGAAGGGCCTCGCTGGTTCGACCTTTGCGCCCCCACTAGCACAGCGAGGCACAATAGGATAGATTTAGTGATAATCATGAGTTAGAGAAAGAGGGATGGAAACCTATGAGACACTCCCAGCAACATATTGCAGCCTAAAAGTAGAAATTTCTCAGCCATCATGTTCCCCCACGACGTGGAACGTGGTTCAGTAGGTGACTCACTCAGCGCCCTTAGAGTGTTCGCATGGAAGATCGATGCCCTTTGGGGTATCATAAGCTCCTGCGCAGTCCCATCGTGCATAAATTGTCTCACAGCGCGGAAGACCATGAGATGGATCTATTATTGATGTGGGAATTGCATGCCCTCGATTTCAATGCAGTGCTTCGAGGTACAGATTTTCCTTGTATGTGATTTCCTTGAGACCCTTACTTACTTCAATTGTCCATATCTTCGTGTTACAGTGCGGACTTAACAAGACTTGAGAAGAGTTGCATTTGCATAGCAGCGACAGATTCGAAAGACGTTGTCGAGATGCACTTTGAAGTGAGAGAAACGAAGCGTAGACACTAGCTGACGCGGCTTCACCTAACGGCGTTCACCTGATTGAACGTGTTGTAGGAGAAGATTAGTATGATAAAGCGATAGTAGGGAATATTAAATACAAAACGCGCGAATACATTATTAATATCAATACTACACTGTCGACGAAAAGTCAGCCCACTGAAGTCCATCGTCCACCCGGAGAAAGGGGGCTCACACATATATCTTTAAATACGAAGGCCATCATGATCGCACTCTGCCATTGCCTTCCATCTCCAGCTCGACGAGCATATCAACAACTCTGTCTCTGGCATCTTCCAGCGCCAAAGCGACGACGCCGTCTTCCTGCCACACCGATCCAGATCTTGATGCTTTCCTTTCATCTGCACAATCAACCAACCCCTCAGCCTTCGGTCTGTCTTCCACGTTACAGTCGAAGACCGCATTGCCCAAGGCCCGCCTCAAAGCATACACAATACGTATGTCTTTCTGGCTTGGACTCGGCGGCGGACTCAACAAAATTGATACGCCCGAGCAATTTTGGGCACCGCTAGAAGTAGCGTCGTGGTGCCCAAGACCCCTCGAATGCGAGAGAATGGATGATGGGAAGATCTTTCGATAGAGGAGGATAGCGTTGAGTAATGAACGGATCTCGCCGTTGATGCCTTCTCGGATGAAGTCTTCCTGGTTCGTAGGATTATGGGTAGCCTCCAGGCCATCCCCGTTGGCCTGTAGGCGTTCAAGTATATCGCCTAGCTCGGCCAAGCTTCCTCCAAGACTCCGAGCGGCGTCAATAGTTTTCCTCTTCTCAGCTACCGCGGTCTCCTCGTCCCAGAGGTCGCCGGGTTCAACAGTGCTGGTATATTGTCCACCGCGAACCGGCGTTGTAGTCGATGACGACGACGGAGGAACGACAGTCGAGATGAATTGCATCATCAAATGCTTCTTGGTCCTCTCCTTTACGAGTGTCCCAGCTAGGGCACCCAACGGTGTAAGCGTATACCGCTCCCTCTTCTCCCCTTTCCCAATATTCAAGCCCCTCAACCGTTTTGATGCCTCTCCAACTTCCAAATCCCTCAACACCAATTTCTCATACTCTCGAACCCCCCGATTTCCATCATTCACCAGTCCACTTGCAATGTCTCTCCTCTTATCAGGGACACCAGCGCAGAGACCTGCTTTCTCCCTCGCGCCTTCCCACAACGCGATAGCGTTCTTCCGACCGAAGATAGGGATGTCATGAGCGAGAAGGGCGAGCGTTATATGGTCCGAGGCTGATGCGCTCAACCACGATATGTAAGTACGCATTTGGATGTATGTTTGAATGCGCGTGTAAAGCGAAACTTGAGAAGGACCTGCGAAAGATAAACTCAGCGTTAGAAATATGATTCGACCGTGATAAATCTAAAATTACCTCCAAGCACAGCGAGTTCCCCCAATCTGACCCAAGCTCTCTGCTCTAACCCCTTCCTCTCAAATCCTCTCCCTTTATCGCTTCCAGCATTCACCCTTCTCCACATCCTCAGAGAAGAGGATCCCGCCTTTGCAGCGTTCAAAGCATTCCTCAACCCGTCTGCTTCATTCGGTGTTCCTCGCCTGGCTGGGGCAAGTGCTTCAGCAAGCGTCAGAGTAACTTGGGGTTGCTCAGGGACTACGCCAGACTTCGAGACCAGGCCGACTTTATGGAGGACGGTGTTGAGTTTGTTTACAGCACGCCGGGGTTTCCACGGCACCCAAGGTAATACGACCGAAGCGAAGACAAGGGCGGAGACAAGGAGATGGAACGACTGGATGACTTCCTGCCATCCCCACTCAGACTGTGCGACATACGCAGCGTTTGCGTACGAGCTGTTCGGTAGAGGATTCAGTACGTGCCCATGCTCAGTATATTGACCAGAATCGGACGAAGGTGATGTCGATGTTAGCGGGGAATTGAAAAATGAGAATAACGCGAAAGTCGCAAGGAGGTATTGTTGAGGATGGTTAATTTTCCGATTGCCGTTATCGTCTGTGGGGGGTTGCATGACAATGTCCTCCACCTTCATCGGTGATGAACTGGTGCTTGTGGATGGTGACGTATGGACCATGGTCACTGGGTGAGCGACGATAGGCATCGGGGTCGGCGCTGCTGGCGGGAGAGGATTCTTTCTTGGCCTACCACGCTTTCTCTTTTCAGGAAGAGCACCAGGCACTAGCACGGTTGTCGGCGATGCTGCAGCACCCGGCCGCGGTTGAATCTTCACAATCTTCTCCTTCGAGGCGGGTTTCGGGGCGGGACTCGTCTTAACCTTCTTCCTCTTCCTACCGCCTTCCTCATCACTACCATCATCGTCGCCCTCGTCATCATCATCGTCTTCACCATCACTTCCATCGAAATCGCCCGGCTTGTTGGCAGCATCACGGCTCGTAACCCGAACGACCAATTCACTTTCGACTAGTTCATCCTTTTCAGGGCCGCCAAACTTTGCTGTCCACACGCGTTCCCATTCACGTAGGAGGTCCGGCCCCCCTACAAGACCCGACAAAAGCGATTTGAGACCATCTTGTTCGTTCTTGAGGCGCTTCTCACGCTTCTTCAAAACGCTGGAAACATGTGTCAAAAGACCTCCACACAATATAGGTGCTAAACGCACCGAATGTATTCCACGGCCTTACCAAGAACGTTAGCTTTGCTGCACTTCCTCGCTACTCTGACACCGTCAACAAATCCACGTTCATCGATAATATCATCTTCTGTTTTATCTATATCCGTGGCTTTCTCTACTTGCTTAGAGTTCTTCGCATTCTTGCCATTCTTGCGATCCAGGACTCGAAGGGCTGGCACAGCCATTCGTAAGCTCTGGATGCGAGCATTCAGATTCGTCCGGTAGCGTCTCTCGATTGTGGTGTGACTTGTCTTCGGGCGACCGCTCGCGCTGACTTGTACTACGGATTCACTACTGCTGGATGTTTGGGCAGGCGACGGTGACGATGAAGTCGACATCGTAGGCCGAGGTAAAATTGGGATGGCCTTCTCTTGCGATTCCGGAGTCGGGACTAACGGCCGCTTCGAATGAGGTGAGTGCCATCGAAATCGGTCAATAGGCTTACCTGTCAGAGAGAGTCCATGACCGCCTATCTGCGAACCTACCGGTACAGCATGCAGGACACCTGATGTAATCCTGACTAACTGAGCAAGCTCATCCGCTGCTGATGCGGGCCCCGAAAGCGGTGTGCTTGGTGGTTCCCGTTCCGGCACAACAGCAGTCGAGTGCTCCAGGACGGGTGATAGGGAAGCGCCAGACGATGAAGATGATGAAGTCACGCTGAGCCGACGTGGCTGAGGGACGGTCAGCGAATCTGCGAATGTCGACAACATATCTCCATTGAAGGGGTACGGAAAATGGGATTCGTGATACGTGAATGGGTAGTGTTGCTCAGGAGACATGGCTCCCAAAGACGCAGCTGCAGGGTTATAATGTAGTGCACTGGGGTCGATGGACATATTAGAAGCGAAATCCATGACGCCAGAATATGGATTGACTAGTTGTTCTGATCCATTCCATAGCGATGATAGTTCTGACCAGTCGGGAAGATGGCCAGACGAGTCGCTCTGCCCTGCACTCTTCAGGAGCAATTCCAAGGCGTCCGCTGGGTCCAAGCCCATCCCGAGGTCGGCAGTAAGTAAGGATGGCGAATTAAGATGGGAAGACGAAGACGACGAGAAGCTGGATTCTTCGCTGCTCGAAGACGTCGATGGCGACGGTGACGGGGCCTTGTGCGACATGCTGCTCGAATTAGCGGTCGAACAGCTATTTGAACGTTGTGGTCGGGAGCAAGGAGGATCGTTCGATTTTAGTGCACAAGTCAGGCCATTCTGGAAATGGGTGCTATAAGCCACGTGATATCCCACAGGGGTTCAAAGTTTGCAATCAAGCGCTCTTAGCTCTCTGTTCAGATCGTCCTCAAAAACATGGCAAGCCATGAGCATTAGGCTAAAAGTCGTGCGTCTGCTAATGTTCTCTGTAGATCATTCCAGTTCGCTGCTTTTCTTGCGGGAAAGTCGTAGGTGATAAATGGAACCAATACCTTGAATATCTGGCGAAAGACATGAGCGAAGGGTACGTCGTCCAATATATTCTCAGACGTTTCTATGAATTAAGAACGGGATAATTGAACAGTGATGCCCTTGACGAGCTGCAGCTGAAGAGGTATTGCTGTCGTCGCATGGTGTTGACTCACGTCGACCTCATTGAGAAATTGCTGCACTATAACCGTGCGTACCTTTCACGTCTCTGGACTTTGTGCGTGGGGTTTTACAGGCATCACCAAACAGCTATGGAGCGCTCGAAGGACAAATCTGGCTTCGGGGCGTCGTAAAGACAAACTCTTGGAATCTGGACCACTAATGACATCGAAACACTCCCTTCGAGCCTGGCGTTCCCGTGATGTAGGTGGAGTTTGGCGGGTGCTGGTGATATAGGCCATCATATCCTTCCTGGTATCGCATTTTGTATGTAGGTATGTCAAGGTACGCCTAGGCTGGCGTTATCAATGTACGTTTTTCGTCGACATATTGGAGCTGGGCAGTTTGCGGGTTCCCTTCAATACCTTATGTCGTGGCTGAACCACTTCAAAGCCTTATATTGTTTATCGTAATCGAAATCTACAGGAAATCTATAGGTCGCAAACAGTCGCAGGACACAGAATAGCGCTGCTCAGTCAGACAGAACCACCTTCATCTCCTTCATCTCCTTGGTGGCAGGTACATCCAGAGGCGGAGCACTGGTCAGCTTGTCCGACCCCGCATTGTTGTCTCTCTCCAAACCCGGCTGGTTCAATGTTGGCGGTGGCGGTACGCCGACGATGATCGAACCAGGCGCTGGCCAAGGCAGCATATCCAGCGGCGCCATCTGCGCGACTGCGTCTTGCTTCGCTTCCTTCGCTTTGGCCTTCCTCTGTTTCTCCCTCTCCGACTTAGCGAGGCGCTCCTCCCTTTCACGGGCGATCCACGTAGAAATACCATCCAACGCCGCATTTGGAAGCATCCTGAAAGAAAGGAGATAGCCTTGAAGCTCCGCAGCTGTGAACTCGTTATCCGGGAACTGAGATGCGAATTCGTCTGCCAATGGGTGGTAGACGGATCCTTCATATGGCACCTTCTCAAACGATGCCGGCGCTTCTTCCGGAACGGCAAAAAACCGGTTGAAGATTGCTGCTGCCTGGTCCTTGCTCGCGAGCTTGTACTCTACCTTCATGTCGATACGGCCCGGGCGCAACAGCGCATCGTCGAGCCTGTCAACATAGTTGGTCTTTCAAATTCAGAAATTCCACCGGGCCCATGTCAGCCTGCTTTACGACGCACAACGCACGACGCGTCAGGATATCACACTCTCACCGTGGCCACGAATATCTTCCCGTTTTCGCTGTTCACGCCGTCTAGAACGTTGAGAAGGCCCGACATCGTGACGGAGCTGCGGCCTGGCGGCGGCGGGATGCCCATCACCATGTTCTCAGCGACGCGTGAAGCGGACGCCTTCGCCTGTGCTTGTCTTTGCTGCTCCTCTTCATCGTCACGGGAGGGGAATGCGCAGTCGATGTCCTCGATGAGGAGGATCCCGCGTTTGGGGATATTGTCGGCGGCCATTTGGAGCGTTGCATCGGTGAGGCTAACGTGGAAGATGGACAACATCAGCTACAGGACCCTCGGAGGCGAGTTTGAGACTTACCCGCTCGTCGAGAGGGAGAGCGTATACAATTCAAGGCCGAGCGCCCCCGCCTGCGAACAGTTGGTGAACGATTCCACAGATCACAAGAGCGGACATACCAAGGCATAAACAGTGGAACCTAATCAGCAGATGTCTTGGTCAGTAGCACGACACTACGGACTTGTAAACGACGTACTTTTCCCAGTCCCCGGTGGTCCGTGCAACAGATATCCACGACGGTACGGAATCCCAGCGCGCGTGTACCAATGTTCAGACGTGATGAATTTACGCGCGTCGTTAACAATAGAGTCCAACACACCCTGTGGGAGGATGACTGAGTCGAGGGGTCGGTAGGGCTTCTTCTTGAGTCCGTCCAGAACTGCCTGTTTCCGTGTCCCCCAAAGATGCCGTGCACCATCCCCTGGTTGACTCCGAGCGAACGCACTACGACCTGCTGCTTGCTCTCCGTGATGTAGTAGCGCTTTGCTTCCTGGATGAGGTCCCTGAGCGCGCCCTGGTTGAGGGTGTACAGGCTAGATATCATACACAATCATCAGCATCCGTCAGAATGTCAAATTCTGCGTGCTAGTACACGCACTTCAGGCGCAGAGTACCCGGGCCATTCGATGCTTTGATCTCATGCGGGAGACCCTGGGTTTGGGGCGCTTCCCTAATGACCTCGACCCAGTATCCGTTCCAGCGAAAGAGCTGGGGCGTGCCGTAGTTCGGAAGGAACGAGACCGTTCCCTCGAGTTCCTCGACGTCTTCGGCGCCCCCTTGTGTCGGCGCTTCTTCAGGCCGGATGACGGTGACGCCCCATTGCTGCGTTGATGTCTTGTATTGGATGGTGTAGTCCCGTGCATGGTACCAGACCCGTTTTTGCGCCAGGAATATCATAATCCACTCGTGGACGGGATCACCATCAATAAATGTTGCACTGATGAATAGCTCTAGGACTACGTATCAGAACCGCAACTTTATCATCATACAAAGACCTACTTGGGCGGAACCGTGTGTAGATCCACTCCCAGGATCTTCTCCCCAACTCGATGGTCGAGCCAAGGAGGAACAACTTGATGCTGTTCGAGATCTGCGAGGCAGAGAATTGCCCCGCAAGACTAGGAAATACAGATTTCAGCATGGATCCTAGGCCGAGAAGCGTCACGGAGTTGGCCAGAAGGCCGTTGACGGCGCTCCCTGCGGTTACTGGCGCGGGGAGACCAGGATTCAACGACTGGTATTGCATATCCTGGGAGGCAGAAGGAAATTTGGGCGGGCAACAGCACTAAGTACTTAGGCATATGAGCCACATCTGACGGCGCTAGATATGATCAAGGATGTGAGTCACAAGCAGATAGCATAACCGCTTGTTACCTGGTTACCAGCAAAGACGACTTAACGGAAGGGCCAACTTTCTTGAAGCCCCCTTCGACATATCGTGCTGCTACGGATTTCCCTTCACCCCGACTATTCAGCTTGAGCTTCATGCGCGTGACAGTGTGTAGCGACTCGGGCTTGCAGCCCGAACCAGCCCTCGGACATGTACCATTCACTCAGACTTCATCAGACACCTACTCTATTGGACATACATTTATTACCTAGACTAACACACCCTTTGCGCTACTCCCCATAGTATATAAGAGCTACCTGTCCACTGTGTAGTAGGTAGCCTAGTTGGAACCCTCGAATACCACGGCTTTACCCCTGTCACTTTTCGACGGCCCACTTACGCTCTCGTGTGGCGCGACCGTTCTCGCTCGCGTCACACAGTGCGTAGATAGGGTCGGAATTCCGTTGCCACGGCTTGCTGCCACGGCCCGAAGTTCAACGTACTTACGGCACTTCATTTTCATCTCGCCCATGTTTGCCTTGGGCGGCACGATCCTTATCGCTGTGCTAATCTGGTGCTACGTTCGACGGAATGACAAGGCTCTCAAGGCCCAACCTGCAAAGGAGTTTGCTGCATTCTCGCCTAATCGGGTTACTGCCAAGGAAGTCCTGACGACAGCGGCGGAGCCCGTGGACAAGCTCACTGTGGCAGATCAATTACCTCCAAGAACCGGCCGCAGGTATATTGTCGTCGGAGGGGTGAGTGGTGGAAGTGTCCCTCTGATGGCTGTTGACCAGATTTCAGGCTGGCTTCTTGGGTGGGTGGATCGTGGTGCAGCTGCTAGCGGTGAGCCTTTCGACGCAATATGGGGGCTCGTGTTGACTTGCGCAAAGAGGGGAGAGGATCCGAAGAAGATTAGGGTCCTTGATTTAAAGCCCCCCCGGAGGCACGACCTTCTGACGGGGAGCGCCAAAGACGTAGACTTCATCCAACTAGATATATCAGACAAGGGCGCCGTTTATGCGGCGTTCACCAAACCGTGGCCGGACGAGGGCCACGACGATGTCACCATCTTCCACACCGCGTCAAATATTCGCTTTTATGAGCGCCATCCAGCTTTACTTCATCGCTCAGCCAAGGTCAATGTCCAAGGAACAGAGAATATCATTGGCGCTGCTAAGGCGATCGGCGCAAACATCTTGCTGTACACATCGTCTGGCTCTGTTGCTGTACGGCGGTCAAGATTCTGGCTGTGGCCATGGGAGAGCAAGGTCCCCTTCCACTTCCAAGTTATCGATGACGACGAGCATAATCCTATACTCCCTCGACGACACGAACAGTTCTTCTCGAATTACGCGGCGACCAAAATGCACGCGGAGACGCTGGTGCGCAAGGCGGACAAAACGGGCCAGCTTCGGACTGGTTGTCTTAGACCTGGCAACGGAATATTCGGTCCCGGGGGCGATATGCTCTGCGGCGCGTACCTTGTGAGGAAAGTGAACCCCACTTGGGTGCAAAATACCTTGCAATCCTTCGTCTACGTGGAGAACTGCGCCTTGGCGCACCTTTGCTACGAACAGCGGCTCATTGAGCTTTCCAATGGGTCACGCAACCCAGACATAGGTGGTCAAGTTTTCCATATCGCCGATCCTGGGGCGCCCCCTACCTACGGCGATGTTTATACGACGCTGGAAGTGCTTACCGATGGCGAGACCTACTTCCCTGAATTTTCGCCCACGGTGATGCTCTTCATTGCCCATATAGTTGAATTGTACTACCTTGTGCAATACTACCTCTCCACATCCTCCTCCCCCATTCCTCGTGCATTCGGAAGATTTTTGCCAACCATCAATGGGGATCTAGTTAATTTACAGCCATCTCTCTGGGCGCTCATGCAAGTGCATCTGGTATTTGACGACTCTCGCGCCCGGCTCTCCCCTGAGCAAGGTGGCTTAGGGTATAGGGGTTCATGGACGACGTTGGAGGCACTTCACAAGATGGTAGCTGAGTACAAGAGCGGTGTAAGCAAGTTTGACAATCGCTCGGACGTGGGGGGCGTCAGCTTAGGGTGGGCCATGGGGCGTGCCCGACGCGGTATCGGGAAAGTGGGTGACAATATCGTCGAGTCATTGAAAAATTGATCCACTGCAAACAAAAAACTAGGATGTAACCGATGTTGTACAACGTGCATATACAATAACAACCAAAGTGGTAATATGCTTTTGGGGTGCCTTGTTGGATAGAATGGCGATTGTCCTATCCTATAGGCGGACAAGAAGAGTAAGTAACGCCCCGGAGTCAAAAATGATGCTCAGCATCTGAGCGGTCGTCCTCTGAACCGAAGTCAGTGTCCCATGATGAAAAGTCGCCGTCCGACATAGACACGTCGGTTTCGGGTACGCTGGCTACGGAGTGCTCGCTGAGCGCCGGGGTCACAGCTCTGCTGCTAGGAGAGTGCGCCAAAGCGGACAATGTGACCGGTGCAGGGCTTAACGACCTCCACGAGTGATCGTCAGAAGACGCATAACTCAAGGCGGGGCTCGGCCTCCGGGTGAGGAGATTGACGCGGGAGTGTGTCTCATCAAAGTCTGAGTCTACATCACTACCCTCCGAGACTGATGGATAACGACGTGGGTTTCCACAATCCTCCGCATCGCTTTCCGATTCAGTCGCGGATTGGTAGTCACTCTCGTTACCACTGACTGAGTGGCCATCGACGATACCGCCAGGCATAATCGTCTCCATGCTGGCCGTGCGCTTGAGCCGCTTCTGATTATCTTCCCATCGAAGAAGTTCTTCCCTTTCTCGGGCGTGGCGCGCAAACATTTCGTCCCAGAGTGATTTTGGGGCTGGGTGCAAAAACGGACGATTTATCCAGTCGGTATCCAGCAGAGCTAGACATGTCACATCTTTCCATTCTGTCTCGAACGGGCTGTAGAAAGATCGCCTTCGAGTTCCTTCATGATTGAACTTCCTAGAGTAAGAGAGTAATCAGTGTCTGTCTGATTTAACTAGGAAACGACACGTACAGTTGCGTATACATCGTCATAGCCGCATCCTTGTTCAAGGCATGGACGAGCGATGCCTGGACTCGATGAAAGTTTCCCTCGTCAAATGCCTTTACCAACATCTGCCGTACGACTTCGCTGCCATATCCACGCCTTCGAGCTCTTTCTTCCAAGATAATGCCGATATTCAGCTCTCCAGGTGGTCTGTGAGTGGATGTACACGGGGTGACGGTGAGATAGACCATCCCAATTGCTTCGCGAGTCGTTGCAAACTCCCATTTGTCATAATATGAATATTCGGGTGGCGGTGCAAAGGATGTTGAGGGTGTACTAGGTTGAAATGCCCAGAATTTACCAGCGTTTGGCTACGAACAGCGATCAGCCTCATGTTCGAGAATCGAACCAGAAACCCGCTTACAGTCTGCATCGCTTGTGAGTATGTATACCAGGAGACAGCTTTCTTGACCTCTGTCTTAGACTCAAGCATGATGATAGCAAAGTAGTACGCATTCTCGGCGAAAGTCATGAGGTCCAACGCTGGGTCTGCCGTCTCAATGGTGCACATCTGCAGCTGTTCCCAAAGCGCGGACAGCTTGTCGAAATTGTCATCCTGCCCGAGCAATCCTGGCGAAAGGCACATTTTCGGCCACTCCAGAGTGGGGGAGGAGGGCTCTGAGTCATTACTTGACTGGACCATTGGATGCGAGATGCTGGACTGAGTAAAGAGTGAGAGATCATGAGGGTAGACGCCGATACTGGGTATATATATAGGAAACTGCGCAGTGCACATCAATTCTAGCGCTTGTTGCTGTTGAATTAATTGTCAGTGTAGGTTTAGCACATACATAATTGAGGGTTTGATATCTGTTTCCCACACCATTGCATCAGCACGATGTATATTGAGCGCCTTCAATTCGAGCCTTGGTGCATCGCACGTCAAGAGGGGCCGTAGTCGTCGGAAATGAAGGAGCGCGTATGGATACGACATGCACGGGACCAGAGCAATCGGATGCTCTGGGAATGTCCCGACCCCCATATTTCAGCGGGTGTAGACCAGCCACGCCCGACCTTCAACTAACCAGTCTGATTGGGATTTGACGCGAGAGTCACTATGATCCCACCTCATACCATGCCTTCTTACGGCAGAGAGGCTCTGGCCCAACAAATTGATTTTAGTTGTTTGCGGTCGCAGTGGCGCGTTTTCCTTTGCGAAGGTGACTCATCATTTGTGTCACGCGCTGAGGAACATAGCCTTGACCACATATCTCAACGAGAATCCCCAGAGAGATGGAGAATGAACGTACGTATGTCGGGAATGGAGCGGGGGGAGTCTAGAGTCAATGTTCAGCCGATAAATTATCAGACCATCAGTAAACGACTAACGAGCAAGTAGTAGTAGGACATACCTTAGGCTTTGTGGTGCCAACTACTTTTTGTGCCCGAGAAGAACTACTTGGATCCCCTATTGTTGGCTCAGCGAGGTAGTGGTCAGTGTCTGAGTGGTCACTTACTAAGTCTCAGCGGACTCGTCGGAGACTACCAGGCCCCGGGGAGTGTACCAGTCAGGGGACACAGGAGGTTAACAGGAGGTATTTGTGGAGACTGATGATCGCCTTTCACACCAGTGATCCTGCGAGTGGAATGAATGTCAACATGAAGAAGAGCAGAGCTGCGGTGGTCTGTCTGGCAGCTAGTCACGAACAATGTAGGCTGATGGGATGGACTCTACTCAAATATACAAACGCGGCCTTTTCAGTGAAATCCTCCAATGCCAATTGTGAATATCGATGACTATAGCCTAACAAGTAAGGTGCAAAGTACACACAAAGTATATACAGCTTAGAAATACACAGCTTACAGAATACAGCATAACTTGAAGAACAAAGAAATGAACGGGGGACGAGAAATCGTAGGTATTCATGTCCATGAGCGCACTCGCTGGGATCTGTAACACTGGAGTAAGCCTAGAAGCTTCAATCGTTGATCTCCTCGTCTAGCACTCTGAGCGTCAGCCTCGCCCCATCAGACGGCGCAACAACCCTGTCCCAATCAGCCTGACACCGAATGACTTTCAGCCGAGAGCTATCAGTGAGTGACATAGACAATGTGCTAGTCCTCTGCCTCGGCTTCCCAGACAACACTCCCGGCGTCAGCAAACCCCCGTCTTCCGGTACCGGTAAAGGCAGAACGAGATAAAGAGCGAACGAATCCTCCAACTCCACTCCCTGGGAAGAGAATTTCTCCTTGAGCTTCGAACGAACGGAGCAGAATGTGACGTCGCAAGCGAGACGTAGAAGGACAATGACAGATTGATAGGCGGCTTTGGCAAACATTGATGGCCCAGAAAGGTTGGGGGACATAGAAATGGGGCTGAGCGCTGGGGAAATTGGGGATGACGGAGATGGAAGGGATAGGTTTGGGGAGGAAGGTGTACCATTAGACTTCATGCGACGCAGATGTTGACGACTTGTTTGGAATCGGCTCTGCGATCCACGGCTCGGAAGAGGCGGAGGATTTGGCATAGGGAATGCATCTACGACATGAGTTGATGCGAGTTTTGGGAGATCGACTTGTACTTACCATAGAAATGTGGATCAATGTCATCGTCATCGTCGCGATCCGAATACGGCTCATCGTCAGAAAGAGAACGATATGGGATGTCGTTAGGGCTTGCTGCACTCAGAGAGCGCCGTCTATTTGATAAAGACATAGGGATGATAGCGTCGGAAGACCTGGTGGTCAAAACGCTGCTGATGGAGTCTCGTTGTCGGTGGTTTGTGAAAACGGGACTTTCTGGGAGAACAACGCCCAGACCATCCAGTATGGACATTCCGGACATGCAAGAGTCACGGCTTGCCAAACGGCGGGCTACAGACCGACAGTGTTAGATGGAGGCAGCAGCAGAAGAGCTAATGCACTACGTACATGATACATTAGGACTTCTCCTTGGATATTCACCATTCAATGAGCCACTCCGCTGCAAACGTCTTGCAGGCGGTATTGGTGATGGTTCATTGCTATCGAGCTTCGTGGGGAGCACGGCGTCTTCTGGGAGCGATTCCAACGCAATAATACCGCGGTTGTGAGGAAATATGTAATCAGGTGCTAGTTTTCCACTGTGGTTTGCAATGACAGCGTGATCGTCAGCAACAACATGGGTAGGACTTGATGTGGCTAAAGAACTCTGTGAATCTCGGGAGGAGGGCGAAGATGAAGAAGAAGATATGCTCGAGCGGGGTAAGTCTTCATCTGATAGTATGTGTGCTGATTGAGTAGCGGGAGCGGAAAAGATGCGTATCGGGGGCGGTGGTCGAGTCACTGTAATGACCGAGACGGGGCGCTTGGGGCCTCGAGTGCTCTGCTCCGATTCGGTCGAGTACGCACTGCTGAACGAGGTTCTCGGGAGTGTCGAGTCTCTTCGGGGGGTCTTCTGCGCTAGGTCGAAGTCTCTGCGCCAGTACCCAAAGAAATCCGTCACGATCCTACTTTCCCGCAGTTCTTGGATGAGAGAGGGGACATCATCTCTGAAAAGGCCTTCGATAAGACTGGTAAGCTCCCTCTGCCGCTGCTCCACTAACGCCATGCTCGCGCGAAACAGCGTGCCTTTCTTGGACAGCCGAGGTATGGTGTCATGTATATTTTGAGCGATGGATTTAGGGTCGGGACCTGGAGGAAGGGATTCGAAGGATGCAGCTTCACCTTGCAGATAGATGCCGTTCTTCTTCACACCCTTCCCCTTCACTAGCCTCTGCCTCTTCTGCCTCGCCAGTCGCTCATACTCCATCTCAATTGTCTCTTGCAGCCACAAACAATCCTCCCACCTACGCCAGACCTCGTATGCAGCCATAGAGCGACGAGCAGAGTTTAGTGAGGAACGATCATGGAGAGGGCGTATGAGCATTCCAAAGCTATAATTCCCGCCTGGACGGCCGTTAGTCATTGTCACGGTAACAGTGGTCGACTTACCTTGCTTCTGAGGCCCTAGCATCTCTACTGTGAACTTTAGCGGTGCCTGTCGATATACAGCTCGTTTGTAGTTCTGTTAACGGGGTCAACGCTTATCCTGCGGAAGAAACATAGTCGCGCGTACGTGTGGTGACACCGGGCCCTCTAGGCAGCCTTGCCCGCCCTATTCAACAACATTCGGTCAGTCTCCAATGTCGGGATGACCAGTCTGATAGAACCTACTGGGAAATCACCGATCATCGTCACGAACGGTTTCAAATAGAGGGAGGGAGGTGGTCGTTGGTGAAGTGTCTGATCAGAGCTTGTTGGCAGAATGGTTCTCGCCGGATGTCCATCATAACACCTGCCAACTGATGCTAACACGGATGGAAACCTTATCTTATCACTACCGGATATAGGCGCCCTCTGGTTCTCACATGGAGCACTTTGCTTTCAGGCAGTTTCAGACGGCGAAGCCCCACTTGATAGCCTTGGGCGCGAGTGACCCACGCGGAAGTAGACGTGAGGAGCATGAGCCTGCGTGAGTGATGGCAACGGTTCCTCAAGACCTCATCTTGTGCCAACACAAGGACTGGAACCATTGTAGATCATCATGCACTCGCACGGCCACCTGGTAACCATCGCTGATATTTGAGATTCAGGAATTCATGACTTGTGCATGGTAATGTGGACTTACGAATGGGGATCCACCACCGTTGTAGATCGGCCGCGAATAGGCAGTCCTACACCGTCCTACAGCGCGGTAGCTCTAGCGTGCAAAGTTTATAGCATCCAATAGGCACAGTCATATTTCGACTTGGCTAACGTAGATGGCGGATTACCGGAAAGTGGGTGGTGGATCGCGGAAGGCCGAGTCCAAAGCTCGTTCGACACGTGACCGCAGAGGAGATCAAGGAGTATGCCGCAAGCAATGACCAGGGCCTGGTCAAGGTAGAACGGGCAACGGATGGCGTCACCATTACTATTGGTGAGGGATCTGAACTCGCGAGTGGTGAGAATTTCCGGTGGGGTGTAAACATCGCCGTAGGAGAGAGCCGAGCCTCGCGGGAAGACTCTGCGTCGAGATATATGTGTCCGTTTCCGGGATAGCCAACCTCACCTGCGTGACGCTGCGCCTCCATTTGCATTGATCTTTGATGAGTAGACGTATTCGTGATAAATGTCTTGGAAGAGACATCAACGCCGATACCCAAGGGTAGCGTAGTTTCATAGCTAGGCTCGCCAGAACTCTAGGCTGCCGCATCGATATTTCTTCAAGTTCAAGGTCGTCAATTGGGTCGACGGGTGCAAAGGCCTGGTGATTGCGGGAATATTAACGCGGTACGATATTGCTTGCTGTGTCCTGACGCTCTTGTCTACTTGCAAGCTCGTGAGCGCCACATTTAACGGCATCCAAGGAGCCAAGGTGTTACGTCTGTGGCGCTGCCATGATATCAAGGCGGCAGGTCAGGTCCTCTTCAGTTTCGTCTTCCTTTGCAAAAGTCAGCGCTGAAGCTTTGAAGCCTTGAGACTACATTTACTGGAAACCGAAGCATACCATTGACAGCAACACAATCTACCCGATGATAGTGGTCTTCCATCAACCCTCTTCTGCCAGGCGAATTGCTTCACAATTTGAAAGCGCAAGTCTTTGTAATTCAGCTGGTATTCGTAGAAAACACAATCAAAGGCACCGGAGCTGGCACAAGTTCAAATGGAAGGAATGTTTTGTACAATAAACGAAGTGCACCGACTTTGGAAGCACCCGAAGCCCCTGAGGTCATGTGATGATTTGCAACTCATGCCAGTGGATGCCAGTGGCAGGCTCTGGAGTTTGTCGCCAAACGCCCACTCAGACTGATACTAGTTGGCGGAGACCTATTTCAATGTCCTTCGCGTTTGCTGCTGAGGACCCGAAAAGGCTGACGCTCTAAGCCTGCCACTCAATGATCGCTATCACGGCTTCTCAGAGACTTCATCTAGCCCATACCATGGGCCGATGGCATCGAATATCCTCGTATCTTGTCATGGAACATCGCAGCCGACGCGAAAGACTCGTCTCACCTGCAGTCTCTTACAATCCGCGACATCAGACGCCCACGCGACGTCCTGACCAGATGGGCTATCATAGTACCTATGTCAGTGGCCTCCGTATACCTCAAGGGTCAATACCACGGACATCGTGCATCTCATCGAAAACACTGGACCTCCATACTGCTGCGGCATAGCGTAATTTCGCCGGACGAAATCATAGTCGCATCAAGTAAACGCAACATATCAACAGGCTGACGATTTGCTTCTTTGACATGAATCGCCACTTACCTCCTGGGTTATCGAGCCGACTCAGGCCGACTCCTTCTCCTGTCCAGTAAGCGACGAGGTCGGGATCCTGGCAAACAAAAAGTCCGTCGCCAGACTTCGCGGCTAATGATCAACTACCTCCGCCGTCTCCATCACGCCCGCTTGTTCATCCAAACCCAGCCATTTTGTCGGTTCCGCCGTCCCTTCAATAAGTCTATTCCTGGAAGCATCATAGGGTGGTGGTAATTGGTCGGTGACCGCCAGCATGGATTCAAGACCATTGAGCTTTCTGTGGCCTCCGTATAGGAGATATCTCTCCATTGCACGTCTAGATCACGGAATTGTGTGCCGGTGATACCGTTCTTTTGTCGGGAAGTTCGAGGTTGACGGTGGCTGCATGTCATACAGCATATTGGAACCGTGTAGCTGTTCAGCAAACTCTCGCCGATGCACCACTTAGGCTATGGCGCTTCTCACGCCGTTCGTTGGGATTTCCGGATGCACCATTTTCCTGTGAGACTCTTGAACATTCTTCTCGCTCCTTCTGATAGCTTTCGTATAGGAGTATGGTTATCCATGTCACGATCTTCGATTTGTTTTCGCCGATGGCTACATGTCATACATCGCAATGGGTTGCTGTCATGAGAAGCTCTTGACAGTACATACGCCACTTCGGATGAGTTTGTTACTTCGTCCGTCAATATCTCCTCTGGTATGCTCAATTCTCTCAAGCGGTTACTGCCTCGATTTTTTACCCGTTATAAATTAACTTCTCTCCGCCTCGAAGCTCTGCTGTGCTCCAATTCGAGGCACCGAAGCACGGTAGCTTGCTTCTACCCCACAAGATTCCCCAGAGAGTATAGCATATTCTATCCAACAACCTTGCACTAGAGCGAATCCCGTATGTTTTAGGTTTGCTGGTCCGCCACTGATTCGTAGCTACGTAATGAGGACGGGGAATATGCTTTCTCCACAAGGATGGTTCTACTCTACAGAGGTGGGTCTGGAGTCCCGACATCTTCCAGGTCGCCACTACTTTGCCTAGCCAGAAGGACTAACTTACACGCCAGGAACTCCTATTGGTTTGGTCCTCCTCCGAACTGCTGTATTTTCAAACAAGACAACAATAGATCTGTCTATTATGGTTCGGGTGCGCGCGGTCCGAACTGGGCTATCGTATGTATACCGTCCGTCAAATTGCGTCATAGAACCTGAACAAGAGCTTCCCAGACATTAGTCCCTGTGACGATGGCAAGATACTCAATGGTAACTTCGGGTCACGATCCAACGGGGAGGTTGACTCGAGGAGTTGGCTGTGGCATTGTATTGATGCGGCTTGCCATAGAACCCAACGTGCCTGTATGCCTGATGGCCAGTGGCCGGGCGATATTATACTCCTGGGATATAATTCGCTTAGCATCAAACGGGGGAGATGCTGTATCAGACCCATGTGCAGCGGCAGCAGCTGCAGTAGAAACTCCTAGAACTGGATCGCTGGTTTCGGATCTCCTGAGGAATCGCCACCTACTTTACCTGGCATGAAGGTAAACTGAGACCAACGCGAGGCTACAGGTATCGACAGATCTTCCGCGTAGCTAAGCTCGCCACAGGTCGGCAAAGTCACTTGCAGGGTAAGCATTGTCTTTGTCGAACCTTAGTCAATCGGCGCTATCTTGATTGAATATTTGCAAATCCATTATCTGCAAACATTATCACTATCACTTTCGACGTAGAACACTGCACTTTGCTAGTGCTTCGCCCCTTGGCCTTGAGGCGAGGACCTACAAGGACCTCCCCTTGTCGTAAATTAGACTAGTGCGAGCTCTATGCAACGAGGCTGGTGCAAACTAAAATAAAGTGACGCACTATTTTTCCAGGTGGACTGTGGATGTAATGGTGCCACTTCGGGCCTCCTGGTATGATACTATAGTTCCCATTCGCTGGGAGTTTGAATTAAATAATGTTGTCCTGAGCTCCAAGCCACTGGAATCTGCAAGGGGAATTAGTGACGCTGGTATGATAAGTTATCGGACGCCTTGTGGGTGAAACAAGGGTATCCGGAGTAGAACTTCGCTATAGATTGCATCAAAGCGAGAATAACGATCTTGTCTGAGAACATAACGGAAGGAGGAGTGATATTGATCGCGTGGGAATCTCCTGCCACATGGGGAATTTGTGTTGAGGTCGGTATCCCCAAACTCAGGACCGATACAAAAGTCGTTCGACTCTGGGAGTTGGCTCCATTCCTCCTCCCATTCCCTTCCCCCTTCCCCCATCTTTTCTGGCGCGAGGCAAGGTCCCTTGCTTCCTACCACCATGTTCCGAACGCTGCTTCGACCGTTCGCAATATATGCAGCTTACTCTCCCATAGAGACCATCGTATTTTTCTTCGTCGTCGGCACACTCGCATACTTCAATATTCTCTCTGCGATAAAGAACTCCGCTTTTTTGGCCACCCCGTACCCTAGCGGAAACCCCTACGCGTCAACCGATGTTCTGCAGACGCCCATAACTGATTCTTTCGCCCCGGTCGCGGATGCATTGGCTACCGACTCTGCTCTCAGTGGTGGGGTGCGCCCCGCTTACGCCGTCTTCCGCAACGAGAAATGGGTACAAGCCAGGGAGAGTGACTGGATCTACAGAGAGGAAGAGAATGTCGAGGGAAGCGTAGAGCTTCAACCGTTGGTCTTTGCTCTCGAGGTAAGTCTCCGGACCGTCTTCATGTCTTCTCCGGCTTCGCTCTTCTGTTCCGGGGTTGTCTCCGAAGGCCTCGTCTCTACGTTGGCGTTGGTTTTGCCTATTTTCATCTATTAGAGCTGTGCTCCCGCGCGCGTCGGCGTCCCAGTGATGCCGTTTGAGCTAGGAAATGATCCCTTGGGTCCAAACACTTTTCTTGTCCAATGGCAATGATTGGCGACTAAACTGATATTCATCTCATAGAAGTCATCCCACCGCAAGCTTACGCTGTTGACACTGCCTCTGGCATCGTCTCTCAAGAACATTACTGCCCACTTAACACATGAACTCGTCTCTGCCAACGGAAACACGTACTCTGCGCTTTGCTATAGCAGTCCATCGAAGGAGTCAACTGAAGTCGAGTGCTTCTCCACTCGCGCGCAGCTCTCGCGCTCGGAACGGGCTCTGACCCATACTCTGACTTTTGTCCCCGGTGGTCGCGATGAGTTCGTGGATGCCTTCCTTCACTCGAGCAAGACTCAACGACCAATGAGTTTCCCCGCCGACAAGTCCGGAACGGAGTATGCTGTTTTGCCACCATCATCGCAGTCTGCTTCATCTCCGGTTCCGTCCCCTCATCCTCTTACGCATTCTCCTTCGACGCACAACACTGTCCAATCCTATGGTCACTCTTTACCATGGTTCGCTTACGCCACTCGTACGCTCGTGCTCAGGTTCTACGACCTCGCTAGCAAGGCTGATTCGCTGGACATACTCCTTATCTTATTGGGATATGTCCTGATGCACTTGACCTTCATCTTGCTCATTCGGCGATCACGGGCTCTCGGAAGCACTTTCAGCTTACCCGCGGGGATCCTCAGTAGCGCTGTTCTGGCACTTCTCCTCAGCTTGCCTATTGCCATGGCCAGCGGGATCAGAATTGATTTCGTTGCCCTTACGGAGGCGTTGCCATTCCTCGTTTGCACCGTTGGGTTTGATAAACCCGTCAGACTGGCCAATGCAGTCTTCGAACATCCTGAGGTCTTCCGCACGCTCAACAATAAGGGGAAGGACAAGCATGCCCCCCCTCCAGGACAACTCAAGCCATCCGCGAGGATCGTTCTTGAATCACTTTCGGCCGTGTACGCCCCTATCATCAGGGATTACTTGCTAGAGATTATTGTTCTCGTTATTGGTGCTAATAGCAAGGTCCGTCCATTCGTTTGTCAGAGACAAAGCTTATCCTGACTTGGAATGTGTTATTGTCATTCGGAACCTAATAGGTCGGCGGTTTGAAGGACGTATGCGCGTTAGCCGCTGTTGTTTTGGGCATGGATTGCTTCCTTATGTGCACCTTCCTGACCGCAATCTTGGCAATCATGGTTGAGGTGAGTATTCTTCAATGGGTCTATATACGATCACGTGCTATCCTCGCATACTTCGATCGCGTTTCTTCTTCCCTCGTGGAAGCACGATCACTATCTCCCTTTTATGTCCCCCCGCTTCTATTTAGACTTCATGCTAACTTCATGATCTTCAGGTTCGCAGGATCAAGCAAGTCAGGCTTACCTCGCGATCCCGAAGGAACTCATTCTCCAACTCGGCTGTGCCATCGCCCTTCTCCCGTTCAGCGTCGTTCATCGGTGATTCGTTCGTTCCTGCGCCTGCTGCCAATTCTTCTATCTTGCGGCGCAATACCTCTTCCATGTCTATGACCCCTAGTACCCACACTCCTACCATGTCTACCGTTCGTTCGTTATCCCGGAAGATGTCGTCGACACTCCTTGGTGTAAAAGCCTCGATCGACCAATCCCGCCATACGAAGGCCTTGGAGGAACTGGCTGCCAAGCAGGAGAACCCTGTCGCACGCCTCAAACTCTTGCTCATTGCCAGCTTCCTGACGCTTCACATCATGAACCTCGTGACGCCATTAACGACCCCGGTGAAGCCTCACAATGCCGTCAGCACCTCTTCAGGTTTCATCGCCAGGAAGGTCGACATCACTTCCCCTGCCATTCGTTCCGTTTTGGACAATCTCGCCCTGGCTGAGGCTGGCAACGATGTTGAATTGATGGTGAAGGTCTACCCTGCGATTTCCGTCCGTGTGGTCCCGCCTCCTTCCCTGGACACTGCATCCGACAACGCTTCCGACTCGTCCGATTCTAAGTTCGATAACTTCATGAGTGGATGGACGCGTCTTGTGGGTGACCCCGTTCTCAGCAAGTGGATCGTCGTTGTCCTCGCCATCAGCATCAGTTTGAACGGCTACCTACTCAAGGGCATCGCTATGGGCATGGGCATGCAGCAACTCAGCGCCGTCGCTGGAGTGAGATTTACTGGTGGCGAAGAAAAGGAGAAGTTGGAGCCAAGCAAGACCGAAGACGTTCGAGTTCAGGAGAAGAAGGAAGTCCCTAAGGAGCAGGATATTGCGCAGCGAGTTGTTGTAAGGAGGAAGTCATCCCTAGCAGACAGCCGATCGGCTTCTACGGCCAGCGGTGCCCCTGCAGCTGGCGTTCCTGCCGGTTCCATCCTTCTTGGTGCCGAGCCTGTTGTTGCCCCGAGATCCCGTCGTTCATCCATCGCTCGTCCCACCTCGTCCTCTTCGTCCGATTCAGACGACAATGCTCTTCAGATTAAGCCCAAGTCTAAAGCTACGGAACCCCTCGTCGATGCTAATGGAAACGAGATGGAACATGTTGTCATTCGTTCGTTGAAGGAATGTGTTGATATCTTTGAGAATGGTCCCAAGCCCGCCGCCGTCGCCCTGTCTATGCTGAACGATGAAGAGGTTATCATGCTCTGTCAAAACGGCAAGATCGCTGCCTATGCTTTGGAGAAGGTTCTCGGTTCAACAGAATTGGAACGTGCGGTGAGGATACGCAGGGCACTCATTTGTAAGTCTTTGAATGCATCCCCACGTTTGTCTCTTTCTCATCATACTTGTAGCTCGCGCGTCGGCCACCAAGACGTTGGAATACTCGGACATCCCCTACTCCCATTACGACTACTCCCGCGTCCTTGGTGCTTGTTGCGAGAACGTCGTCGGATATATTCCCCTTCCCTTCGGTATCGCTGGACCTCTGAAGATCGATGGCAGACTGGTACCTGTGCCTATGGCTACCGCTGAAGGCACTCTTGTCGCTTCTACGTCCCGTGGCTGCAAGGCTCTCAATGCAGGAGGAGGAGTCACCACTGTCCTTACGCAAGACAACATGACCCGAGGCCCAGCTATCGACTTCCCCTCCATCACTGAAGCCGCTCGGGCTAAGGCATGGATTGCTTCAGAGTCTGGTTATGCTACGATCAAAACTGCCTTCGAAAGTACCTCGCGATTTGCTAAGTTGAAGAGTCTCAAGACGGCTATGGCTGGACGCACCCTCTACGTCCGCTTCGCAACGGCCACGGGTGACGCTATGGGCATGAACATGATTTCGAAGGGTACCGAGAAAGCTTTGGAAGTTATGCAAGCGGAGTTCCCGGACATGATTGTCCTCGCTCTTAGCGGCAATTACTGCACAGACAAGAAACCCGCGGCTATCAACTGGATCGAGGGCAGAGGCAAGAGCATCGTCGCCGAAGCTGTCATCCCTGGCAAAGTCGTCAAGAGTGTATTGAAGACCACGGTCGAATCCCTCTGCAATGTCAATATCAAGAAGAATCTGATTGGTAGCGCGATGGCCGGCAGCATGGGAGGTTTCAATGCCCATGCCGCTAACATCCTGACTGCGATCTTTTTGGCGACTGGTCAAGATCCCGCCCAAAATGTCGAAAGTTCGAATTGCATAACTCTTATGGAACCGTAAGTATTCGTTTTCCCGTCGTGTCTCGTCAACTACTAACTAGTCTATTTATAGTACTAACAACGGCGAAGATCTCTTGATGACTGTCTCTATGCCTTCTATTGAGGTTGGAACTGTCGGTGGCGGTACCGTGCTTGGACCTCAAGGCGCTGTTCTCGAGATGCTCGGCCTCAAGGGCGCTCATCCTACTCACCCCGGCCAGAACGCCCAAGGCCTCGCCCGTCTGGTTGCTGCAGCTGTCATGGCCGGCGAACTGTCCTTGATCAGCGCCCTGGCTGCTGGTCACCTCGTCCGTGCCCATCTCGTCCACAATCGCAGCCAGGCCAATACTCCCGCTCCCTCACAACCTGTCACCCCCGCACCGTCGTCGCCTGTTCTATCGCTGGCTAAGCCATTGAGCGCCGTTACCCCATCATCGTCAACGAGTATGGAAACCCTCCCACCGTATTCTCCAGGTCCTGGTGCCCCGATACTGGAAAAGAAGGATTAGTATATATTCACTGAAGGATCATCTTACTTATATTCACCCACTTTTACCCATCCGACGCATACCAGATTAGACATTTTGCAGCTTTGGATTACGCTGTCCATATTGTATGAATCTTTTCGATGCTTTACTTCTTTTCGCCCAAATTTGCACACCCATCTTCATAGATACTGCTCGAATAAAATAGAGCGAAACACGTAAAATGTACTTATACACCCTCATAACTAATGCAAAATTGTTTAAACTGGCCACTGTTCAACTGGGGATCCCCTGGAAATCCATGTCGAGCTCTGTCGTACATAGCTCAAGTAAAGAGAGGCGTGGTATTGTTTTCAGCATGCGTCAAAATCACGGAAAGGAACAAATTCATTTAGATCAGGATACATAACCGCGCCAGGAGATTTATGCTGGGGTTCCAGCAAGAGCCTTCTCTAGCAGCTCGACCGCGATGGCGGCCGATCCCCAAGATGACTGGAACCCAGAGCCTGCGTGCCTACGATGGACGTTACTTTGAGGCCAACTCCGACACCAAGTGCAAACTCACCCGTAGTTATATACAACGGGTACCTTCGCGCCGTCCTTGCGACCCTCAAACCATTCAACTTCTAATCGAAGTCCCCCTGTACGCCCTGGGCGGAACCCACACCCTTCCTCGATGATTATTGGAACTACGTCCTCGATAGTGGGCTTGCGGACTGCGCGGATTTCAGGAGGTGCGAGTTCGGGGCAGATGGCGAGCGCGCGAGTAAGAATATCAATGGTCGTCTCTGGACGAGCTTTAGGGTACCTAAGAATCCACATTTAGAATGATAAATGGTGATTGGATATGTCAATCATGTTAAGGCACGGACCAGTCGTTGTCCACTTTCGTTCCCCCTACAATGACCTGCATGCCGGTTTGTTCTAACGTCAGCAAACCTCTCGATCAAGGTGGCATTCATAAATACTACGCACATCACCACTGCGTCGCGGGATAACGTAAGTCCAAACGTCTTCCTTTGAGAGGGTCCTCCCGAACCGAATCCAAGGGGCGCGGATGAGGATAGTTTGTCCACGTATGGGATGAACAGTTTTGTCGTCTACACCGCCGAGCGTTCGCGCGCCGAGGCCAGCACAGACGACGATGGCATCTACCTCGATCTTCGGCGCGTCCTTGGGCGTGGAGAAGACTTTAGCCCCGCCTTCGAGGATCTGGATGAGGTGCTGGATGGACGCGCGGTCGATAAGGCCGCCCGCGGAGAGGAATTGCGCAAAGAGATAGTTGAGGTAACGCGGCGTGTCGATGGTGAGAGTGTTGAAAGCCACGCCACCTATCGCGTCGGGGACGAGCGAATCCTTGGGGAGATAACGAAACTTCAAAGAGGCGCATTAATTTGGGAGGTGTATTCCACGACTTATACAGCTGGGCTTACGTCTGGCATATGATCTAGAGGGCTGGGCTCCGGCCGCTCGTCGTAATAATGCTCTTCTTGAGGGATTCGAAGGAACAAGCCTTCAGTAGCACTGCTCGGTGCCGACATCTCCCACAAGACATCGAAAGTATCCCTATCAATCTCTGTTCGTGTAATCAGCCTTGGGTATGAAGGTAGGACAATTGACCACGACATCACGCACTGTGCTTCGGGGTGTCTCTAGGCTCAAAGCTGACATGGTGAGCACCCTGTTCAGATTTGAGTCGTGCGTCCGATCAGCAGTGTTTGCGAAATAAGACCGAAGAGACGCACAGCCCAATGACTTGTATATTTCACCGTCTTGGGATCTGAGGGGAAAGCCTCAGCGATGATGGTGACTTGGTACCCTCCCTTCTGTTGTAATTTGAGCGCCGTCGTGAGTCCAATAACCCCTATCGATTAATCGACAATCAGTTACTCGTCGAACACGGGGGCATGCATGTAGAGCAATCGAAGCTGAGGCCCTAGGAAGAGTGAACCCACCAGCACCGACGACTACTACTTGTTTCAATTGTTGATTGGCCATCTGTTGCTATATTTTTGAGTGATTCTGGGTGAGTCGCAATGGCTTTATATGAGTGCAAACGTTCAGCGCTACTCCAAGTTGTTGCGATCAGGTTCCGAACTGTCCAGTGTCAAGTGATACGCAAGAACTTTGAAGCGCTACGCAGCACGGCATGGTCTCCTCAAGTCACTTCAATAATTGCACCATATTCCGGTGGAGTTCCGTTATCAATCAATGAAGAGAGTTGACTGAGAAAGTATTACCCGAATTATAGATACTCTAAGCGGGCCGCTCTCCCGGAGCAGTCCTTCTAAGTAGCTTCTAGCCTTCTAGTCGCTCTTGTCAGACTGCTCGTCTATGCCACCCTCCTCCAGCCTAGACTTCGAAGGACTAGCGACTGTCCTACTTCCAGCGGGGGGCATGCCTTGGCGCTTCGCTACCCGTTTTGCGCGTGCGAAGAGCCCGACTTCGTTGTCGCGTATGAAGTTGACGATGACCATGGGCCAGGACGGATGCGAGGGGATTGTATCGTAGAATTCTGGAGCTAGGGCACGAAGAGCGGGCAGTCGAGTCCAGGCAATTGAAGGGAAGTCGTGATGTTCGTTGTGATAGCCGACCTGCGAGTGAAATGAGGGATGAATATACGTACACGTTGTGAGTAGAGAATTGTAAAGTGAGTAGAAACATACGTTGTACGCGAGAATATTGAGAGGTCCGTAATAGCTATACGTTTCTTGTGACAGACCGTCCCAGAGGTAATGCTCGGCGATGAAGTGCCCAGCACAGGGATGCAAGCTACCAGCGAAGAAACTGCTTGCAATAAGATATATTAGCGGTCGGGGTCCGAAGGTTGAGACAAGGAGATAGTCGAAGACGAGCTGAGCCGCGATGTTGAAGAAGTGCCACCGTGTCAGCGTTTGTGCGCGCACGAATGTGGGGCGGAGAGCGTAGAAGAGGATTTGGAATGTACTGCGGATATGAGCATAGTCAGTTCGGCTGCACAAACAGAAAGAGAGGTGACATACGCGAAGAAGACTTTGCCTAGGACATTGTTGAGGCATAGTAGTTCCAAACGCGTTGGAAGGTCAGTATCTATTCCGTCTTGCCCCATAAACTTATGGTGTTCGATGTGGTATGGCTGAAGTAGTACTATATAAGCGTATACTCGGCCACATGGATGGTAATGCACACACCTTGAAGGCCGTGGAATATGGAATGCCGATTGGAAGGTTCGCGAATATGGCCAGTAGTTTATTTGCTGCTACACCACGGAACGCAAGGTTGTGGGTAATCTCATGTATAGCAAGGAAGAGGTTGTGGTTTGCCGTGCCACCGATCGCGTAGGCGCACACAAGGAACACGGGGGACAGTGGTTTGACGTGTCGGAGTGAGATGGCGACCGCCACCTGGAGCGCAACCACGAAGAAGACCACGAACTTCGTCACTGGCTCATGTCCCATGAGTTTGGTGACCTATAGAGCATCAGCTAGCTCTTCCTTAACCCCTCCGCCTAAGGCTACGCACCTCTGGGTGAGCCTTCAATATAGCCATCCTTCGCGACCGATGAGGCTCCTCGGTCATCAACCAAAGGAAGTCAGAAGGATCCTGCGGTGGTGCTATATGTGCGCGACCATCATCTTGCTTCGTTGGAGTTGGGACCACGGTACGACGGGGTGGACGGTTCTTGCCCTCAGCAAGCGACTCTGCACCGCCGTAAAGGCTGAAATCTATCAGGTAAGGCAATTAGGTGAGATTTCCTTGGAACCGCGCCATCCTGCGCACCTACTCCTTCCTGGGTGTTGGTAGGAGACATGGGGCGCTCAAAGACCTCCACGTTGGCTGTAAGTGTAGTCTCTGGAAAGTGAAACTAGAATGGGTCCATATTCTCGACCAAGACCAAGTTCTTTTCCCAACAAATCCCACGGTCAGTAAGAACGAGATGTTACTTACTTCCCCACACAACCCACGCATATACACATACTTGCTACACAGATGGAGCCAAGAGCGTCCCCATTTCGTTTACATCGGCGATGGATTAGCATGCCACGAACCCAAAGCCTAAACAACGCCCCGGAGGCGTATTGAATCGAAGAACGTCAATTGTCGAGCACAGCAAGCCAAAATAGCAACGATTATCTAGGGGACCCAGAAACAACTGAATGCAAGTATGTCAAATTAGTGCTATATGAATGCGGTGGATGATATATGCAGCGTGCATGGAGTGGGCGTAAGGTAGGCAAAGCAAAATCCTAGATGAAAGAACAAGTGACCTATCTACTCTACAACACTACCCGTAATTCAAAGGACTTGAACGAGTGCCATTTGGAGGGCCTCCTGGTGGTCTACCGCGACCAGGGACGCCGAGGGAAACGCCACCGCCCAGTGGGCCGTTTGGACGAGCGGGAAGTCCATTTGGCGGTGGGCGATGCATATTTGGTCCGTTGGGAGGAGGCCCTTGACGTCTGCCGCCGGAGTTATTGTGCATCATTCCAGCGTGCATGTGTCTAGGTGGGCCGTCAGAATGTTGTGGAGGACGTGGGGGGAGCCCTAGGGCTAATGAAGGAGGGGGGCCGCCGGGTGTAAGGCGGATGGGAGGGTTGTTTACTACGTGTGTGGGTGGGGGAGGGTGGTGGGAGTTGTTGATTCGGCGGTGGTCGTGGCGCGGGGGCATGGGGTTTCTGGGAGGGCCGCGAGGGGGAGGATGGTCTTGGGGGTGAGAGGGAGGTGGACGTCCTCCTGGAGGCGGTCCATGGTGTGGTTGGCGATGATGCGCGCGGCGGTCGAATTCGTGTGACGCTTCGTAAGAAGGAAGGCTAACAACGGTGTGAGACACGACGGGAGTCTCCAGCCACAAGATACGTACGACTTGGGGTCAGCTGGAAGGGGGTCCGACCAGAAATATCTATGATCTAGTGCTTAGAAGCCGTCAGCCGCTCTTTTGGGTTGCAAACCAGTAGTTGGTCAAGGAGGTCTACGGTCTCAGGGGAGGCAACCACGCTGTTGACGAGTGAGCACTGCGCGGTTACAAGGAACAGTCGCAACTTACATGTCGTACGTTTGCTTGAGCCGCCTAGAATAAGTGGTGTTGAACCGTTTCACGCCTTCACATCCAGGTAGGGCATCGTGGTTAGGCCATGTGTGCTGGTTCGGCGTGCCGCACAGTTGCCAGATCTTCTCAAGTTGATCTACGTCCGATGTGCCAGGCAATATTGGCTTCCTGGTAAACATCTCCGCCAGGACACAACTAGATCTCTGTCAATGGCAAGCAATGCGATACAGGACACGCTCAACCTACCCGATGCCCCATATGTCGACCTCTCCACCGTATTGCTGAGCCCCAAGTAGCAACTCGGGCGGCCGATACCACCGAGTCACGACGCAATTCGTGTATTTCTTCTCTTTGCCTCTGAATGTGGCACTCGTGGTAAACGCGCGGGCTAATCCAAAATCAGCTATGCGCAGGGATCCTGTGTTGGATATGAGAAGGTTGGCAGCTTTCATATCTCGATGCAAGATGTGGTTCTGTTTCACGCGTCAATAAGTGGGCAAAGCGGGGGGACAAGAAGCTCACGCTGTGCATGTATTCGGTGCCCTCTAGCAGTTGCTTCATATAGAGTTTGATATGACTCGGCTGCAGTTTCACCCGTTCGTTCTCCAATAGCCCAGCGAGATCGTGGTCCATATATGGGAACACCATATATACCGATAGAGGCTCCTTGCCATTACCTGCGCCGGTCAGCATCAATTCAAGGAATGAAAACACAAGGGCTCGCACTTCGTACAACAAACATATCAAGAAGATTAATGATACACGGGTGGTTCAATGCTTTGAGGATCTTGATTTCGCGTAGCGCAGTCACTGGCATGCCCTCTTTCTCGTTGTGCATGAGAATGCGTTTGAGTGCAACAGCTGTATTTGTCCGTTTGTGCAGCGCCTTGTGCACCTCACTGCGACCGTCATTCGCAATGGTCGACTGTGAGCAATAGCAGCGTTCACGTACCCGAAAGTCCCCTCCCCGAGCTTAGTCGTGACATTGTAATCCGACTGCTCGCCACACCCTTCGAACGTGCGTCCGTATGCCTTTTCTTCCTCCTTTCTCGACCGTCGCGCGTGTCTGATTCGTGGTGTCGTAGATGGTTTCAGCGGTGGCGGCGAGGAGGCGCGATGGTTGGTATGGGAGTCTGGAGGAGGCGCAGGCGGTGGCGAGTCTGGTGGCGGCGGAGGCGGAGACGCTCCCTTCCACGGATTATACTCGACATCCCTCCTCCCTCTATCACGCTCCCAGTCTCGTCTTCTATCTAGGTGATAGTCTTTATGCGGTGGGCTGAAATTCGTGTACACAGGCGAGCGGTAAGCAGGTAATCGGTGCTTCGGGGATGGGGAACGAGGCGAGTAGCCCCGGTGTCGAGAACGGGTGTAGCTGGGCTCCCAGTGGTCGGCTATTCGATGAGCTTCGCGTGGTCTCCGCTCATCGCGAGGCTGCTCCTTTTTCTTGAAAGGGAAGGGGATCTTGGGTCGGTCTGGCTGTGTCGGTTCCGGTCTCGGGGGGAGGGAGGCAGGTAGGGCTGGCGGGGCTATATCGTCGAGTTCGCCTTCCTCAGGCGACGACGGTGCATGTCGCTTCGCATCCCTGGATCCAGAGGGTGACCTTGAAGCATACCTTTTTCCTGGAGAACGCATCCAGAAAACAAGGCAATTAATTGCCACAAAAGTTACTGACTTAGCATTCAGTCATATTCCCACAATCATAGTAGTAGTCTCACAGTCATCACATGACCCTTAGCTTGGATTGTTATAAATAGAGTCACTAATGATTCACGCAGATTCGCCGTGGCAAGTTGAATGCGTTGTACCCTCAAATTGGGTGAGGTATCTCAGTTTTTGAGACGGTACATCTTTGCTGACTTTGACTGTACGTGCTAGCATGGCTTCTTCTCAGGTCTCAGGAATAGAGGTACGCGAGGGCAACCCTCCAACACCTCTGGGACCCATGAACAGACTTCCTCCAGAAATTCTGTCGCACACCTTCGAGATATTGCAGGGCCCCGTCCCTGTCGAGCAGCCTTGGCCTGTTTTCACGCAAGTGTGTCGATGGTGGCGTTCCGTGGCGCTCGCCCATCGACCTCTATGGTCGCGCATCGACATGACGAAGCCCAAACTCACGAGAATATCTTTGAGGCGATCCAAATGCGCCCCCCTTCAACTCCATTGCGACGACATCGAGGGGTCCGGTAACTTCCACTTGCCCGTATGGAAAAACATCGTCCAGCGTCTGGCCCGGGTTAACGAACTACATCTACACTTGCAAAGCGAGACCCAGATGCTGTATATCTTCAATATCCTGATCGAAGACAGCAAGATTCCGGCTCCTCACCTCGACATCCTAGAGATCGAGCTCCAAAGACTCATGGATTTGCAAGAACCAATATTTCTATTCATGGATCGAGCTGTGCCATGTGTACGACATCTGAGGCTAAAGAATTTCGATACTTTCCCATGGCGCACTACATCGCCCTTCTCGCGGTTGTTAGCTCTTGATCTGGAATTGGAATCTCTCTGGGCAGATTCTGATTCCCTGGACATATCTGCTCTTCTGTCCATGCTGGAAATGGCGCCGAGTCTCGAGAGCCTTCGCATCGAGTCCCATTTCGTCCCGCTACTCGGCGACCCGGGCGACAAAATTGTGGACCTGCCTAATTTGCACCACGTCGACCTCTCTTGGAGCTCTGCAAATATTGTCGTACTACTAGAGCATCTTCGCTATCCACTTGCAGCGACGGTCATTTTGGCGGGCGAGGATTCGTTTGCCCACGGCGCGTGGAGTATTGTGGAAATCTTGTTCCAACAATTGACGGAGGATACGATGGATCCGCCATACAAGCTATCTATCAAGATCGATTCGGAATCGTCGCTCTATATGCAGGCTTGGGGCCAAGCTGGTGTCCCTCTTTGGGATCTTACCTTGGAGAACCTGCCCCCGCGCCAGGAGACACTCATCTCTTCCCAAATTCTGCCCTTCTTTTCGACCGCTAGCGTCCTCTTCCTTTCGATCTCTAACGGAGACGTGGATGACTACCTGCGGCTTCTTCGACCGCTGCCAGAGTTGGAGGAGCTGCATGTTACGACGCTCATGCGGCGGCCAACGTTCTGCGATCCGACGATTATGCCATTCCTCCCACAATTAAAGATGCTGGAGCTTCAATGCGATGTACCAGAGTCGTACGACACCCGCACACTGAGGTATATCCGGTGTGTGGTCGCCGCATACATCGAACACAAGCGCCTCCATGGTTCATTGGGGAGCCTAGTCATTGCTCCCAGCGAAAACTACAGGTTTTCCCGCGCAGTATTTCGCGAATTATTAGAACACACAGACCTCAGCTGGACATTGAAGACAGGAAAGCTGATTGGAACTCGCGCTCGGGCCTCGAGCTGACGACTTCTATAAAATACGTAAATGGGTCGCGTTCAGGATTGTATGTATCAATGATGATAACGATCAATATCCAGTTATAGTGGACTAGACGGCATCCCAAGGGACTACCTGCGTACATGCTGGTAAGCACCAGTGGCGGCGAGGATCAATTTGACGCATTCTTCTCTATACGCAGGGACTTCAAGAAGGTCAGGGTAGTATCCCTGAACATACGCCCTCGTGTGATGGTACTCAAGCTCTCTGATCACCATTGTGGAGTTCAAAGGGGGGAGATTAAGTATGCTGAATGTAACATGCAAATTATGTGAATGTCACGTGCCAACGCGATTCTGAATCTCGTTCAGTTGGCAACTAAGTCGCGTGCATGCATTTCGTCCCGACCAACCAATGTCGCCAGGCCGGCCCGGCCACTGAGACCCACGCTGAATAGCTGATAAGGAAGCTCGGGAGTCGAGTTTTGTCTGCAGCCACCAACATGAAGGCATTGTATTACCACGGTGTAAGTCCATAATATCTCATTAACCGCGTAACCAGCTTGACCAAGTCTTCGAGCAGCCGCGCGAATTTGAAGTAACGGATGTGCCAATCCCTGAGATATCTGATGATCAAGTCCTGATCAAAGGTTCGTTGATCGCAGGAGTCGAGAAGCAGGGTGCTGACTGCTGCGAATCGACCGTCAGTATCACTTTGTGGTATGTTGTCGCTTCGTACGGGAACGCAGAGATCGCTCAACGCGGATGAGCACCAGGTTCTTGCGGTACTGATCTGCACATGTGAGGTCTTTTCTGCGTTCTCGAAATACCTAATGATCAAGCTCTAGATCGGAAGGAGAATTCATCACCAAATTTCCTGCGAGTGCATTACTTGACCCACATCACAATGGTCCTGACGAACAAGACGGTGTAGCTAATTCCTGGGCACGAGGTTGTAGGCGTCATCGAAAAGGTTGGAAGGTCTGTAACAGAGTTCTCCCCCGGCGACAGATGCGTCGCGGACAACAGTATCACGGTTGGTGCTTATTTCCTCCCGAATTTGACACCTAATTTATGTGATCGATCTGCAGTGCGAGCACTGCTTTTACTGCCGTCGTGGTAATCCTCTGCTTTGCGAGAACTTCGCCAGCCGAGGTGTCACCATGGCGGGGGGATTCGCCGAATACGTTGCATTGTAAGCATTTGTCGATGCACCGGAGACCTGCTTCCGACTCGGCACATTTCAGCGAAGCCAAGAAGGTCTACAAAATACACAACCTGACAGACGAAGAGGCGACCCTCGTCGAGCCTGCTGCGTGCGCAATACATGGAATGGATAGATTAAACGCCGCCGTTGGTATAGACGCCCTCATTGTCGGGGCTGGGCCAACAGGTAAGACCTCCGTTGACATCCATGGCGAAAACTCACGCCCTGAAGGTTTGATCCTGGCTCAACTCCTCAAACTGAACGGCGCGGCCAAAGTGGTAATCGCTGCCAACAAAGGGATCAAAACCCAAGTCGCCAAGGACCTCGACGCTGGCGATGTCTACATTGAATTGGATAGGGACAACCCCGGCCCTCAGTGGCGGCAACTCAAGGACGACAATCCTTATGGTTTCGATGTCGTGGTAAACCGAGTTTTGTGTCCTCCAATTCCACGTCGCCGATTCACTGCACTTGCCTGTATAGATCGAGGCCACTGGCTCAGCGGGTGTCGCCAACGAAGCCATCAACTATGTCCGTCGTGGTGGGACTCTCATGATCTACGGTGTCTATTCAAATGACGCGCTCGTACACTGGTCTCCTGCCCAAGTGAGATAGCACCCCGCTCCTTATTTGCGTACGAACTGACCGGTGCCCGTGCGATCGCAGATTTTTAGCAATGAAATCCGAGTATGTCCTCACGTCCCCTCCGTCAACCTCTTTCTCTTAGGGTCGTTGGATTTAGATAGTTGGGTCGTTTGCGCAGGTACTTTGCTTCCCTCGAGCGGTGGCGTACCTTGACAGCGGAAAAATCAACGTCAAGGGAATGGTGAGAATTATTCGTTTGTCCGGATCGTTGACCTCCACTGATGGCGCAATTCAGGTCACGGACGTATTTAGGCTGGAAGATTATGATAAAGTCTTGGAGAAGATGAAAGACAAGAGCGCTGTGAAGATTGCTGTTCGACCAACGTAGACTTTTATCCACGCGATGATCAGAGCATGTCGGCTTAGAAGTGAAGGCGCGAAAGAATTCCGAGCATCTTGTTCCCACAGCAGGCTCTGCACTGACTCCCACACCTCTATTGATCCTACTTCTAAGGAAACTTCTTGCTCGTCTGATGTCATGTTTGAATGGCGGGAACGGGCCTCTGATCTAGAGCGCATCATTGTTTATTCATCTTCGGGCTTGACATTTCGGGAATGATGTTGATAATCGAGGGGCTACGGCCTTACCAATAGTACGTCGTTGGCGTTTGTCTCTGACTGGTTTTGACTGATCCATCCTAACTCCTCTGTCCCCTTAGGCTAGCTCCGTCTGAATAGGCATAGACTACCGAATGAGATCCGACACGTCGACGCGGGCAGGCTCTCATCAATAATTCTCATGTCCTCGTACACCTAGAAGCTTCGCATCAGCTCATGACGACAACGGCCGCTGGTGCCTGGCTCTAACCAAGGCCGCTCAGAGCCATAAATACCTCTCCTTGTCTCTTTTCTCGTCAGCACCCACCATGCTCTCTGCTCTCGTCCTCGTAGCTCTAGCCGCCCTGTGCGCTGCGACGTTCCAGCCTATAGGGGCCCCCTTTCTTTCCCCAGTCACCACAGCACCCGGCTTCGCAGCGCAGGTCATCTTCTCGAACCTCACCGCGCCCCGCGGGATAGCGTTCGACGACCAGGACAACCTGCTCGTTGTCGAAAGGGGCCTCGGCGTGACGGCGTTCACCAAGACTACCCAGGGAGGGGCCTCTGGGTGGGAGCGGACCGTCGTGATCAGCGACCCTGGGTTTACACATGCTATCGAAGTCGACGGCTCGAGCCTCTTCGTGAGTACCGCAAGCGAAGTCAGGCTGTACAAATACGATTCCGCGACCAAAACCGTCAGTGGATCGACCGTGGTCGTTAACGGACTCCCTGCCGATGGAGGTGATTTCTGCCACTTTTCTCGACGAAAGGAGCGTCCCTAATTTCAAAGGTCACCGGCAGAATTGACGACGCACGCATTGCTACTCTACAAGCCCAAGACCTCTGCGACGCGCTCAGCCACGGTCTTGTTCGTGGGGAGCGGTCCTCTCACCAACATCGACCCCACGGCCCGCGACCCAGCGTCCGGTCGGTCCCAAGTTCGTGGCTTCAAACTGTCTACACCGGGCTCCGCCCTCCCGCAGACGTGGCTTTCCGGGGAGCTCATTGCGTACGGAATCAGAAATCCCGCTGGCTTCGCCATCCCTGCAGTACAGCTTTCCGCGGCCGACGCGCGGCCTGGCCTGTTTATTCTGGAGAACGGGGCGTCGATCGACGACGTGCCTGGATTCACACCGAAGTTTGTGAACGACAACCCCGCCGACGAGCTCGAGCTCGTAGCAGGGACCGGCGCTCTTGGCAGAGCGTACGGTTTCCCCGACTGCACCACCTTGTGGAATCCGACGGCAGACCCTGTTGGGAATCCGCAGTACGTTGGGCTGCCGCAAGGCGCCCAGTTCAGCTTGAATCTCGATCCACTTCGCAACGACGCATGGTGTGGACAGCAAGCTAACAACGTACCTCCCTCGTTGAGCTTCCAGGTCAGTTGATGCCCGAGTCTCCTCCGTATCTGATCATTACTGTCTTCCCAGGCGCACTCGGTACCTCTCGATATCAAGTTCTACGAACCCGGAGCCGTTTCATCCGTAACATCATTCCCCACAACATATGCGAACGACGCATTTGTTTCCTTCCGTGGTTCGTTTAACAGAGATCCCCCCACCGGCTATGGCGTTGTCCAGTAAGCCCTGTACTCTTACAACCCACTCGATACCCTGATATACCCGCGAATAGTGTGCCTTTCCCCATCACTTCCCCAACTCAAGCATCTCCGTTTATCGTCCAAGCAGCTGACTTGTCCACTTGTCCTGGCACTTGCATCCGCCCCGTTGGTTTGTCATTTAGCAAGGATGGACGCCTGTACGTCAGTAGCGATAGTAGTCGCGAGGTATGTTCACCGTCTCTACTCTTGCCTATTAGAAATTTGGTGACGCCCCATGCGTAGCTTTTCGTTGTCCAGCGTGGTCCTACGTTTACCGTAGCACCCCCAGGTCCCACGCTTACTATTCCTTTCCCAACCCCCGAGGCTTCGTAGAGCGAACGAACATATAAGTATACAAATACAAAGATACGAGAATTCGGTTCTGTAGTAAATACGTAAAAAATCCCTGATCCCCTCTTGAGCGCCCTCAGTACTCAGTCGCAACACTTTAGCGGCCTGCTACTCTAACTTCACTCCAGAGACCGAACGCTCATGTCCTTTCCATCCACTGCTACTTGTTTACTTTTCGGCTTCCTGATCATAACCTGAAGGAATGAGTTCTAAAAGCTCCGATCCCTGATTTCGGTCTTTTTCGGGCTAACGAAGACATGATGATCGTTACAAGAATAGTAGATGCCATCGTCGAGTCGAGTCACGGAAGTAAATTTCAAATTTTGACCAAAACCACATCACCATAGAGGCCTTGGGCATTACAATGGCAGATGGTCGCCTTGCTCGCGTGGTCTCGCGACTTCAAAATCTCCCCTCGATCTCGCTGCCGACCGACTATCCTAGGCCATTGGGCGCGAGGCTTGTTGAGGCAGCGCACCATGCTCGACTTTCGGAGCAGACGTCTCTAAGTCTCCTGAAACTTGCCCTCTACACGGAGAGCGAGTCGGACGATGAAGACGACTCGGCTGCTAAGGTCAAGCGACCCTCTGCGTTCCACCTTTTGCTGGCGGCCTTTACCGTTTTGCTGCATCGCTACACCGGAGATACGGATATCGTGATCGGTTCGTCGTCTGCATCTGCCCGTGATCCTTTGGTGCTTCGCCTTTCAATTGATCCCACAGACCCGTACTGGGCAGTGGTGAGGCGGGTACAGCAGGTCGAGACAGAGGCCGAATCAGATGCACTGCCGTTCGAGGACATTGTTCACGCTCTACGCAAGAACAAGGACGATTCTGGTCACGAGGACCCTCTGTTTCGCGTCCGCTTTTTCGACGAGACCGATCAACCCAAGGAGGACTTCATTCATTCCACCAGTGTCACCTCTGACCTGACGGTGTTCATTACACGGCCGCCTGTCTCTACCCGAGGCTCTCTGGCTCCTGAGATTTCTCTCCGAATACTATACAACTCGCTGCTGTTCACTGCACCGCGTATATCGCTCATGCTAGATCAGCTGTCCATCCTTTTGCGCAAGACCGCTGCAAATCCTTTAGCCCCTGTCGGCTCAGTTCCCCTTCTCACTCCTTCTCAATCAGCGAAATTGCCAGTGCCAACGGCCGATTTGGACTGGTGTGGCTGGAAAGGTGCCATCACTGATGTCTTCTCTCGCAACGCACGAGAACACCCGGACCGCCCTTGCGTTATCCAGTGTCTGCCAGTCGTGTCTCTCGATGAGCCACAAGAACGCGTAACATTTTCCTATGGGTCAATACGAAACGCCTCTAATATTCTTGCCCATTATCTTCTGAAAGGAGGTATTCAAAGGGAAGAGGTTGTCATGGTCTATGCCCACCGTAGTGTTGATCTCGTCGTCGCGGTCATGGCTATCCTCAAGGCTGGTGCCACTTTCTCCGTCATTGGTGAGCTATATTCCCGATTGGGACAAACCCTCTCTCAAACGTAGCACAGACCCCGCATATCCTTCTTCGAGACAAACGATCTACCTTAGTGTAGCAAAACCGCGAGGGCTCGTCATCCTCAAAGGCGCGGGCATCCTCAACCCTACTGTTCGCGAGTTCATCTCCACAGAACTGGAGATTCGCGTACAAGTTCCCGCGTTAGAGGTCTTCCCAGATGGGACAATACTAGGCGGCGAGGTCGATGGCGTAGACGTCCTGAAAGCGGAGGCCCACCTTGGAGACACCGATCCTAATGTTGCCCTCGGCCCAGACAGTATCGGGACCTTGTCGTTTACCAGCGGTAGCACAGGTATCCCGAAGGGCGTCAAAGGTCGACATTTCAGTCTAACCCACTTTTTCCCTTGGATGGGAGAACGGTTCGGACTCTCAGCGTCTTCGAAGTTTACGATGCTTAGTGGCATCGCCCATGACCCCATCCAGCGTGACAGTACGTATATTTGTCGTCGAATCTTCTCATCGAGCAGCTCATGATATGCGAACAGTGTTCACACCTTTGTTCTTCGGTGCTGAATTACACGTCCCCACTGCAGATGATATAGGCACGCCTGGTCGACTGGCCGAGTGGATGGCCGATAGTAAGGTTACCGTGACTCATCTCACTCCGGCTATGGGCCAGCTCCTTTCTGCTCAAGCAACCCGCCAAATTACTTCCTTGAAAAACGCGTTTTTCGTTGGTGACGTTCTAACCAAGCGCGACTGCCTTCGCCTTCAAGCCCTTGCCGCGAATGTCCGCATCATCAACATGTACGGGACTACAGAGACCCAACGCGCTGTGTCCTATTTCGCTATCCCCCCTGTCAGTGAAGATCCCACTTTCCTGCAAACACAAAAAGACATCATGCCAGCAGGCGAGGGCATGATAGACGTGCAACTCCTGGTCGTGAACCGGAATGACAAGACGATCCCTTGCGCCGTCGGAGAGGTTGGCGAGATTTACGTTCGATCCGGCGGTTTGGCGGAAGGCTACCTCGACGCTGATTCTACGGCAGTCAAGTTCGTGAACAACTGGTTCTCCGCGCCTGATTCACCTCCAAGAAAGGATACCATACTCCACCCAGCACAGGGTCTCCCTGGCCCGGAAGCGAGATGCTGGAAGGGCATCCGCGATAGGATGTATCGCTCGGGCGATCTGGGACGCTATCTACCCGATGGTACTGTAGAATGCACCGGACGAGCTGATGATCAGGTGAAGATTCGTGGATTCCGTATCGAGCTCGGAGAAATCGACACCCATCTCAGCTTGCATCCCCTCATCCGAGAGAACGTAACTTTGGTCCGCAGAGATAAGGACGAGGAAAAGATCCTCGTTAGCTATTTCGTGCCGTTGGATGGGCCAGGGTTGGATGAATTCGCCAGTGATGTTCCGGAGGCTAGCGACAGCGCGCAGGACAAAGCAAGGGACCTTACTAAGGGCATGAAGAAGTATAGGCGACTGATCAAGGATATTAGGGAGCACTTGAAAAAGAAATTACCCTCGTACAGTGTGCCTTCGCGTGAGTTCTAATCCTCAGTTTTCCGATATGCGTCTTGATGTTTCAAATCAGTTTTCGTTCCACTGCAGAGAATGCCTTTGAACCCCAATGGAAAGATCGACAAGCCTGCCCTCCCTTTCCCAGATACTGCACAACTAGTATCTGTTGGTCCATCTACCACGGGTCGGGCGGCCAATCCAACTGAGGAAAAGATGCGTTCCATTTGGTCCAATATCTTGCCCAACCCTCCATCTCCAATACCTTTGGACGAGAGCTTCTTCGATCTCGGTGGTCATTCAATTCTCGCCACCCGTCTGGTCTTCGAGATTCGCAAGGCTTTCGTAGTCAATGCCCCGCTGGGCCTGATTTTCGATCAACCGACAGTCGCCGGCCTTGTGAAAGCTGTCGATGCATTAAGAAACGCTGATCTCGGGTTGGCCTACAAGGATACGACCCCACCTTCATCCACAGGCCTCCTCGCAGTTCCAGGAGCACCAGCTGCACAAAAGGAGTCGACCTCCGTTGCGTATGGAGAAGACTATGTCAAGTTACTCAGTCAGCTTCGCGAATCATACCCGCCGCTATCATCTAGCTTTGCCACAGATCCTGTCACAGTATTCCTAACCGGTGCGACTGGCTTCTTAGGGGCATTCGTCCTCCGTGAACTATTGGCAAGACAGGACAGAGTGAAGAAAGTCATTTGCCATGTCCGTGGGGCTACGGTTGAGAAGGGTTTGGCGCGTTTGAAGGAGGGATCCACTGATCGCGAAGCATGGGATGACGCTTGGGTTAGTTCAGGGAGGTTGGAAGTGGTGACCGGGGATCTTGGCCAAGAACTCTTCGGATTAGGTGCTGAGACTTGGAATCGTGTTGCTGAGGAGGCTGACGTTGTGCTCCACAATGGCGCCCTGGTATGCTTTCTCCCTCCTGTTGAACAGAAATGCCACTGACTCTTCACAGGTGCATTGGGTATATCCCTATGAACGCCTGCGGTCGGCCAATGTCTTATCAACTCTGGCCGTCCTGGAGTTGGCCGCCACTAAAAAGCCTAAGCAAGTTGTGTTTGTCTCTTCGACATCAGCTCTGGACACAGAACATTATGTGCGATTGTCGGATTCGCTTGTTGGTCGGTCCGACTACAAGGGCGTTCCGGAATCCGACGACTTGGAAGGCGCAAGGTTGACTCTGAAGACAGGCTATGGTCAAACCAAATGGGTGTCGGAACGCTTGTTGTTTGAAGCAGGTCGAAGGGGCCTCAGTGGACACATTGTCCGGCCGGGATACGTCGTTGGCGACTCTAAGAGCGCCGGTGAGTAATCAACGCCAGCCTGTCTTTCTCTTTGACTAATAATATCAACGCCCTTCAGTCACAAATACTGACGACTTCATCTGGCGCATGGTCAAAGGTTGTGTCCAGCTGGGCCTCGTCCCGGACATCAATAACACGGTTAACATGGTTCCCGTGGACCATGTCGCTCTGTGCACTGCATTAGCGGCCATTTCACCCATATCCGATGCTCACCAGACCGTGTTGCACATCACCGCACGACCTACGCCTACGTTCAACGACATGTTGTCGTCGCTTCGGCAATACGGCTTCCCTACCGAGCAATGCGAATACATCGTCTGGCGAAGGAAGCTAGAACAGCACGTCATGGAAGTGCAGGATAATGCGCTTTTCCCTTTGCTTCATTTCGTCCTTGATGATCTCCCAACAAGTACAAAGGCACCAGAGCTAGACGATTCGAACACAACAGCCTTGCTTCAGGCACATACACCCAATACTAACATGACAGTATCGGACGAGTTGATGGGCAAGTATCTTGCGTGGTTGGTCGCCGCCGGATTCCTTCCCCAGCCAACCCTTCCCAATCCAGAAAAGCCATTGCCCTCGTTGAGTAACGCAGGTAGCGTCAAGGCAGCTGGTAGAAGTGGAAACTAAAATCGTCCGAATGTACAATGCCAAATAGATGTATCATCAAATGTAACCCAAACTGTAGGCCCTCGGTTGTTAGAGTACGTGCAGCCAGTAAAAGTAATGCAGAAGTTGTAGTAGCCAAACTTGGAATGCGAAAGCATACAAATCATGTATTCTGAATGGAGTCGCTTCAACTTCAACTTGATTTGGGGCAAAGTTGGTCCCATGATGCTATATTGTGAGGTGAGCATTGGATGGATGAACGCAGGAGGTAGCAGCGAACCGGGGGTTGGCTGATCGTGGACAGACTTAGTGTCTTCGGCAAAAACGATTGCAAGACCACTACACGAAGGAGCGAGTCAGTTACGCATTGACATTCAACCTAGACAGAATTACTCACAGTTCTAAATGCCAGTCGATGTGGCTAGAAGGTATAAATGAGTTGACGATCCGTCCTTTCACAGACATGCTACGCACCAATGTAAGAACCTACACGCGTCGGAAACAGTTCAACAGAAGGCATCATTCAATAGCGCAAGACACTCACCATGGGCCGGCGTTATCTGTGGTAAATCGAATGGTTACGTTGTCGCCTGTGACACCCGTAGATACCACATCGCGGCGGACCGGGTTAGCGAAGTTGTATGTCGAACTCCCGGCACTTCGAATGACATCGAAGGAGTGCTTCGCACATAGTCAGCCAAGTTATTCTCATTAGACAAACTGAATATGTGTACATACACCGTGAAGATGGAACGGATGCTGGTCAAACGTAGACAATCAGTTGCAGGTACCCGGAATAAGTGGGATGGCAAACGTACCGGACCACCAGTTGCAAGTCCAGGAATGGATACCTCGATAACCTTGTTGGGAGGGAGAACGTAAACACTCCCTGCTGGCAGGAGAGACGTGGCATCCATAGCCCCGCTCAGAATCTGCAGCAGCACGGGGGCAGTCGGGTTAACGTAGCTGAATAGAAAACAACATAAACGTTCAGCTTAGTCAACGTAAGGCAGAGAGGACCACGCACGATACACCATTTACGCTAAACTTAAACTTTTCCTCGTCAAATGCAATACCAAGGTTGATTGATACGTCTGCAGCGCCGAGTTCGTGGGGCCCTGGTGCCCCGGGGTTTTCCAATGGTACAAGGTCGGTTTGAAGCATTGGATGCGAGCTTCGAGTCTCCGAAGAATTCGGATTTGCTTCAGGAGCCCCTACATATCGAAGAATGGCGGAATTGAGGCCGCCAGCGAAACCTATAGATATTGAACAAACATAACATTTTCAGTTACGCATTTGTCAGATTTCAAAGGGACTACCTTGAGGCCCTAAATTAGGGGAAGCTCTGATCCAGTAGTTGTCCACCTGCTGGTTTGCATTCAGCACGAACGAATATCTCTGGCCTGTTTATCACGTTGTGAAGGGATCCGATGTCGCGAGAACGAGAAATTGTACCTGGGAAGATCTGGATGCTGTCCACAACGAGCGGCTGAGTGTTCACACTATCCACCTCTATTATGGTCATATTATGGCCATCGATGGCGAAGACATGATTTGGGTCACAGGAGATCGATACGAGGCGGAACCTGTATCGGCTGCCTCGTTTGACATGGATGACTGCTAAAGGGGACTCTGGCCCGTCTTGATAGAGACCTAAGCCGTTGATTAGTGTAGATTGTGAAACTCTGTATGAATATATAAAGCTGAGAACTGGCTCATTCAAAGACGATAGTGAGCACGCACGGCACGAGCCCTGCGCTAGGTGCAGGTACATGATACCAATCGGCCAAGGTGATGACCGTATCCTCTGTCCGTATGATCAGCAACGTACTTTGTATTCATAAGGTCGTCTTACCGTCATCTACATCATAGAGAGACCTGACGTACATTGTGTCTATGAGTAGGAGGCATCGACAAGAAACGTAACACTGACCTGTGTGGGTCTTCTGGGTCGTACACGACAAAGACACCACGTAGTCCATCGCAATACTGCGTCGAGAGATGCGAGTGGTACCTAGTGAGATCTGTGTCAGGTTCCAGTCGTTCCTCCTCACCAAGGGAGATGAGATGCACACCAAAAAGTGCCCGCTTGATCAGGAGCCGAAAATGAGTACAAGAAAGAGTCGCCCGGGACGATAGGACATTGAGTAACGAAAGCAGGCCCTGCATTACGCTCGTCAGAAGAGAGTATTGCAAATTTTATCGTTTTACCGTCAGCCCAGTTGCTTCCTTTCTGATAGAAGCCATGCCAGTGCTGTGAGGATTTTAGAAGGGCGAGTGAGAAACAGGAGAACGGCCGTGGAACCCGTTAACGTACGATACTTGTGTCCAGAAGCATCGAGTTATCCACCAACTCGTCAATTACATTGATCTGAAAATGATCACCCTAGAGAAGCAATAGGTCGGTCCTCGAAAAAGGAACTCGTTGATTCAGGCGTGGTCACACCTTGTTCCCGGTGATGAGCGGGCCAGGAAATTGACCGCTAGACGACGAGAGACCAGCTAGTACAGTGCTGGAAATGTGTCAGCACCAGAGAAAAACATCCAGCTGAATATAATTGCTCACGAGCGACTGAATCCATCTGGTGCGATGACCTTATTCACGATATGGAGGTCTGCCGTAGGCCCATTGGCAGCCGAGGCAAGGTGGGCGGTATAGAGGAGGAAAGGGAGAAGGAAGGGCAGGCAAACAGCTGGAGACATTCAATAGGATTAGGCTGGGGGACGAATGAAGGCCATCAACCACATTTTATACTCTAGCAAAAATCGTAGAACACATAATGAGCCAGCAATCGCTGATGCAAAAAGTAAATTTGATAGGACCGAGTCAAGGCACGATCGCCACGACTTCAATTCAGCGTCGGATACCCGAGATATGAGCACCGTGGCATTGACGGGCCGTCCTGTTATGCACAACTAGGAAGTAAGTCGCACTTATGTACTGTCGTACCACCCGATCGTGTCGCATCAAAAGTTCAATAGAACCAGATCTGGTGCAGGACATGTGGTCGCATGCGGAGGAGGCATTTTGGCGCCTCAAGTCTGTCCATTATTGGGTTCGATATGCTCGAGGTGTGAGCCAGAAGCCCTTGCGGCGCTGCGGGAGAAGCTTTTAAACGGAGGCTGTGGGACTTTGAACTCGCCCAGAAGTTCCTACAACCACGCAAGGTGACGAACGGGTAGGAATTGCCGTAACTTGGCATTTCAAATATATTGGGTAATGGCATACTGCATCGTGTCGCACATACACCCGTTGTTTGTGGGCAAGTGCAGTGGGCTGGGACCCAGAGTGCTAGTGAAAACGACAGAGAATTAGCTGATTAGCAGAGCATTTGAATGATATCAGTGTAACTTATTGATTGACCATGTTCTGAGCGGCCTCCATGGGACTTGGAAGTCGGAGGGGACCATGAGAGTCACAAACGAAACGTTTTGAACACCTAATGGACATAGCATTGATTGTGAGAAATACTTTGTGACTGTGAGACTTTCTCCATCTATTATTACACGCGTCGAAGGCCAAGCAGAATCTTCTCCTAAATCGCGACTTATTCTAAACCTTTATGGTGGTTGTCCACTCGTGGCATATGTCGTCTGATGGGCCCGTGGGTGATATACCACCTTCAGAATGGCATTCCGTTCGACCATGGTCGCCCCGCTTGTCCCTCTCCGTGCGCGAAATCACCTCCGTTTCGGCCACCTTCATACTTTCATCCACTTTCTCGGATCGCGGCGAACAGGATCTTCTACTGGAATCACTTGGCATTGGCCCGGATGATGAATTCGAAGACCATATAGTAGATGTGGACGACGGTCGCGCGATCATCTCAGACGCCCTCGCCAAGGGCCTGTCGGTAAACGTCAATGGGAATCCGTGGTCGAAGGTGATCTTCCATATAGACGACAAGTCGGACGAGGCTATCATCATTATCTACGCGTTGATGCCCGGCAGGCAGTACGATATAGATCTAGGACTTGTCAACGGAGGGCAAAGTTTACGGAGACAAGTGGTTACGGAAGGTGAGTTCTTCGTTTTGGGGGCGAAGTTTCCGTTTGACTAAAGCAATATAACTGTGCACTTCAGTGCCGAGTCATTCCCCCGAATTTGACCACATCCCCTCTCCGGAAGCAAGTCTGCCTACGCCTTCTACGCCCACTAACCCTACCGTGCAAACGTATGCCTCAATAACGCTCGAGGAGCGTCTTGCGCAATTGCAACATACCCTCTCTACGCTAACCGCGGAACACGAAACCCTCACCACTAACTTCAAAGCCGCTCGTCGCGATGCGCAGAAGGCAGACGCCACACTGCGGTCGGAAATCGATGGACTCAAGCGTGCCACCGAGAAGAACGCTGTTTCCGAGCATCGTGCGCGCCAAAAGGTTCTCGCTCTACAAGAAGCCGTCAAACGTGCTCAGGCTGCCACGGTAGACATCCAAAATGCCGTCCAGGAAGTCGAGGAGGCGCTGCCCGCGTTGAGGGAGCAAAAGAAATGTAAGGAGGAGGACCACGCGAAGGTGAAGGAAGCGGCTGATCGGGCGAGGAGGGAGGTAGAGAAGGAAAATAAGAGGGAGAAGAAAAGAGTCGAGGCGCTGAAGAATGAGCTTGCTGGGCTCGGTCACAGGATGGACAAGCTGAATGGGAAGAAGGAAAAATTGGAGAATGCGATACCTGACTTGGAAGAGCAGCTCAGGGAAGTAGAAAAGGAGATCGAGCAGATTGAGATGGATCCTTACGGGCCGCTGAATTACGTCGAAGAGAACGACGTGCCTCCGCCAACTTCGGAGCAGCGCAGTCGACAGGCTTCACCCGGCGTTATTGGGAGACCCTCGCAGACATCGGTCCAACGACCGACTTGGACTCCTTCCCGCTCATCTCGGCGCTCCTCCATTAATTCAAGCAACCCTCTTCTCCCATTATCTGCCCCGCGTACACCCGCACAGCCAAGTCCATCCCAACAACCCCATTCCCGACAAACACAATCTCATCACCGCTCCCATTCAGGTGGCTCCATAACGCAAATCCTCCAGACTCCCCAAATATCCCCAAACCACGGCCCATTAGCTTCAACGTCCACGTTATCCAGCAAAGCGCCGCCATTTGAGCCTGGTAGGCCAATTCGCGGTTTATCGTTGAATACTTCGCATTCGAGCTCGAGTTCTCATCCTGCGCCGATACAACGGCCCACCCGTAATATACACGGCAGCAAGGACTCGCTGAATAGTAGTTCCTCAAGATGACGAAAACATAGCGTCTCACGAACTTCACGACATAATGACCTATTGTATAATGTAAGACGAGACCCAGATGTATCCTTAGGTTGACTACTATCCTATATTTCTTTCGTAGCAACGCGATGTGATTCAAGTGAGGGTTGGAGCTTCAAACATCGAGGAGCAGTGTCATGCATATATGCGTCATAAGGCGTGTTTCAACGGCTTTGTGAAACGCAAAAGCGCATATGGTCAAACACGAACGAGATACGTGTGGTTGATGCAGTCGACGCGGTGCTAAGCCACAACAAGCGACGGGATGAGGTGCAGCAGTCGATTATATTATGAATATGATGACAAGAATCGTGTGTTGTGAGGCCTGCGTTCCCATGGGTTGTCCCTTCGAGGAAGGGCGATATGATATATACGATAATACGGGACTCCAGAAATCCAGAACACGACAGACTTAGTAAGTCTTTTTCTTTTCGTCGACTGATAGACCACCTATGGAACAGCAGTAAGCTTCTGAAACGGAAGGAGTCCTGAAGATAGAAACACGTACCAGGACCCATGTTCACGAGGAGGATCAGACCACCAACGATAGCTAGAGTATTTGGTTAGAAATAGAAGCAGTACAGCATATTGCCTTGACCTACATAGTGTTTGGAAGAAGTCGTATCTAGAAATAAGCCATTAGCTGTGATGCTCTAGGAGGCAAGCAGATGGTGTGGTGCGTACTTGAGGAAGTCACGCTGGGGGTGAGCAGAGTGGACACTCCACCAGTTGTTGACGAATACGTTGAATACGCTAAGGACGAGGACAAGGAACGTGGCGGACCATCTCGCTTTGAAGCCTACTGCGACCATGACGCAAGCGGCAAAACCGACGATCGATACAAAGAAACGGGCGATATTCCATTCTCCCTGGATGATGAATCCAATGAAGAGGAAAATGAGGAGGACACGGCCGGCGAGGAGGAAGCTATGAAGGGCGGGCGAATCGGGTTTAGTTCACTTTCTGCGTTCCAGGAAGGAAGTAAAGCGCAAGTCGAGCTAGAGGGACTTACTATTTCTTGCGGTCGGTCTCGCTAATTGAGGGTAGACCGGCAAAGAGCTTCTTTCTCGTCACCATGGAATCACTGAACACCATCAAAAGACCGCCAATAACGCTGAGATTTCGGAGGAAGAAGTTGAGGTCGAAGATGAGACCGTATCCGAAGCCTTGAATTATGACGACCGCCAAAAGACCAGCAACTGCGTATTCGCTAAAGCGTTTGAGGATAATGGCTGATGAACCGCCGAGCATGGTCTGACCGAAACAATCACGCTAAGCCCACTCCAACACAAAGGCAAGTCACATACGAGGACGTTGAGGATCAAGAAGATATGGGAGAGCCCCCAGGGAAACTTTCTATGTCTATACAAGAGCATCTCAGTCAATTGACCGCTATATACAGACAAGATGTGGCCTTACTGTTGCAAATACCAGATTTGATCTCCCCACTGAGTCATGATTCGCAGCGAGTCCTCCAGGAAGGTCACAACGATCAAGAAGCGTCCAATTGCCGGCAAATGGGGCTTCAAGGGTTGCGAGTAGATCTCAATATTGTCTTCGACCGCCGTACTGAAAGCCCTTATTTTTTCGAGGGGGTCGTCTGGGTTGGCAGCGCGGTAGCCCGTCGATGGCCGTGTGCTGTTCGACAGGCCATGGGGGTCGGGATTGTAGGTGTTGGTGTTCGGGCGGGCAATGTTGATTCTGGAGGACATGGTGGTTCAATTTCGTGAGCAGACGTGTAACTTACTTTTATATACCGACCGTCGACGTGGCTCATCCCATCCGTGGGAATTTCACCATCACTGCGTTTGACATCAGGCTGCCAGCGCTCTGGTCGGTCCATTTGCCCCGCCACTATACCAGCCTCAAACTGTATGTTATCCGACTATGAGACAACCTGAATGGACTTTGAATGCTAGCTTCAAAGCTACCGCATCAAAGGCGACTCTGGACGGTGCGAATTTTTAATACTAAAGCGTAGCGCGTGCGACCGAATCCCTTTGATTCGATTCGATGTTTGGGAATATCAGCAGGTGCGCACATATGTCTCTGCCAGGTCAATGTCCAATCAACGTTTAACGTTTAACCCCATGGTGCCGTTGGCTGTGCGAGTTTCACTTGGGTCGACTGGGTTCGGGCGACTCTTGAGAACGCGACACGGTTGGCGAGTCTTTTGATCACTCGTATCCGTATTCAGGTTCTGGAGATGGAGATATCAAGAGTTGAAGTCGCCTGCAGAAAGGGTTGCGCGCCTCGACCCTCGTGTACCCCTATATACCCCTGATCAGTCAATCGCACCCCAAGTCCCTCGAACTCACCCGCAGACGGTCTAGAGCTCAACGTCGTTGCATAACATGTAGTCCTCGTACTCGTCTCCAGCAAAACTGCTGCCCCGTCGTCCAGACCAGCGAAGGCGCTCTGTCTAGAGACGCATCATCTCAGCGACTCAACCGTGCCCAACGACGAGGATATCTAATCTGACCAGAAACCCACTGCTCAGTTAGTCGACTGTTTCGACGAGCGAACATTTCCTGCGATATCGACTGCCGACACAATGTTCAATGTTCAGCTCGTCAACTATATCGGCGCAACAAGTAATCGAGGCGTAAGATTTGCGGATTGCTCGCTGTCAGGACTTCTGCATCCAGCACTTCTCCATGAGGTACCGAGTACTGCCGAGCTAGTGCAAGGTTCGAACCCATGGCAGCAGCCACCACCACGAATCGCCGAAAGGAACCAGCACCTCCTGGCGCTCAAAAGCCCAGCCGCATTACCAAGGATGAAGCTTTGGAACCCATGTTCGCTATTGATACGACGTGGTTTGCTACCCACCGGCAGTGGCGGATTCTTGTACGACGATAGCATTGTCGCATGGTGTTGGTCACTTATCACTTACACTGACTTGCTCTGGAGATGTAACAGTAGTGATGAAAGGTCAGGGAGTTGACGAAGCTGTGGTCACCCGACTACGCATGGCCACCCGTCCGCGTCCAAGCAAGATGTATATTGAGAGCCTCAACAGACAGCAACCTCCTCCACTCACTTGGCATTCTGACATCACCTACAAATGTGGTGCAAGTTTAAATAAGTCACTGAGATTTGACACGCGCCTCTTGAAACGGCATCAGAGCACATACCAAGGAATGGACGAGAGCTCACTAGGGAACCGCCGACTGGGTTAGCAATTCTCATAAATACTGCTATTATCATGATGCTCCACAAGGACTGATAACATCATCAGGAGCAATATTATTTCAAGGGGTATGGCTCAAATTCACTCGATTGCTTAGAGTACCAATTTGCATCGAGTTTTTACTCTAATCAGGGGCAAAGGGGTTGCAAAGGGACTAAGAAAAGGGGAATGTGTCACATGTTGATTGTGAGCGCTTGATCGGGCGCTTATTCGTGCATTATGTGGAAAAAACTAGGGTCGCGGAAGTCAATTTAATTGACTTGAGTGACTATCTCTTCTTTCATATGGACCAATCAACGGTGAAGGTGTACACTGTCAATGGGCCGGCAGCAGGCTCGTCGTCGTCTCTTCCAGACTGGCTCACGAGAAAGCGCGCTGCGAAGAACAAGGGGAAGAGGGCCGTCAGGGAGCAGGTCGAATCAACCATTGAACTCATACAGGGCTTCGAATTCCCCGAGGCTAGCATCAAGGTGAAGACGACAAGAGACGGACGCCATGCAGTCGCGACAGGAACCTACAAACCTCAAATAAAAGTCTGGGATCTCGACCAGCTCTCGCAGAAGTTTGAACGGCATTCAGAATCAGAGAACGTGGATTTTATTGTGCGTGAGTCAAGGCTGGCTGCTCGTTGATATCAAGATTTCCATTGCGTGCATTTAGCTGCTATCGGACGATTGGACCAAGTCAATACACCTCCAGAATGATCGGACGGTTGAGCTTCATACGCAAGGCGGATTCCACTACCGTACTCGAATACCGAAATTCGGACGCTCCCTTGCTTACCACCTTCCGTCCTGCGACACCTACCTCTCAGCCTCGGGCAACGAGATCTATCGCCTCAATTTGGATCTCGGACGGTTCATGAATCCCCTTGTCTTGGCTGGCGACGATATTCTCGGAGTGAACGTCGTAGACATCAATCCAGCGCATCATCTTTTGGCGTTCGGTGTAGACGGTAATGGAAGTGTGCAGTTCTGGGACCCTCGTTCTCGCTCGGAAGTAGGCATACTCCGTTTGCCTCGTGGACGGCTTGTTTCGCCCCAAGATATTACCTCAGTACTGGGCGTTACTGCTATTTCGTCTAGGTCAGATGGCCTGTCTTACGCGATCGGTACGTCTACCGGGCACACACTCTTGTACGACATACGTGCCGTTCGTCCGTTTGCAGTCAAGGACCAAGGCTATGGTTTGCCTGTACGTACCGTGTCCTGGATCGAAGGCGGCAGTCGTATGGCTGGCGACGGTATGGTCCTGAGCGCGGACAAAAAGGTCATCAAGATATGGGAAAAGAACGACGTAGGCGTCTTCCTTTGATTCTTTTCATGCCAGCTCAATACATTATCGCAGGCCTCTGCCAATTTCGCGTCTATCACTCCTGCCAGTGACCTGAACCATGTGCACCACATTCCCGGAAGCGGTGTTCTCGTGACCACCAACGAGAGCATTCAGATGGGTACCTACTACATCCCTCAATTGGGCCCTGCGCCCAAATGGGCGAGTTTCCTGGAAAATATTACGGAGGAAATGGAGGACCAGAGCACGCGGTCCGTTTACGAAGACTTCAAGTTTGTTGAACGTAATGATCTCAAGAGGTACAACTTCTATCTATTCATTCAGATAATCGGATTGAGTTAAGCTGTACATTTCGCAGCCTTGGTCTGGATCATCTTGTCGGAACTCCGGCTCTCAAGCCATATCTACACGGCTACTTCATTTCGCTCAAGCTCTATGACACTGCACGCCTCATTGCTAATCCATTCGCCTATGCCGAGCACCGCGAGAAACTTGTTCGTGAAAAAATGGACAAGATGGCGGAGACGAGAATACGGGCTAAGAAAGAGCCTGGTGTGAAAGTCAATAAAGGCTTGGCTGAGAAGATTCTCAGAGACGAGGAGAGAGCACGGAAACGCGAAGAAAGGAAGAAGGCGAGGAAGGAGAAGAAGGCGCAGGAGGGGGCCGAAGCCGAAAGCAGCGGTAGCGAACGGGAGATGGATGTCGACGAGGCTGGGGGCGAGGAGCGAACAACTCTACTCAATGATCCTCGGTTTACGCAACTGTTTGAGGACCCTGAGTTCCAGGTCGATGAAGAGAGTCGAGAGTTCGCTCTTCTTAACCCATCTACGGTAGCGCGCAAGAAGAACGGCTACGCGAAGACAGCGGTCGAGGAAGAGGAGGACGAGAGCGACAAGTCTTCTTCCGACGGTCTGGGCAATAGCGACAGTGACAGCGACAGTGATGGCACCGGGAGCCATGGGAGCGACAGTAGTGACGCTAATGGTAACTGCACAGACAACCTCCCTCGTGTATAGTCGCTGAATTTCTTTTAGAAATGGCGCCTGCCCCATCGGGTCAGTACGGCCAACGACATCAACGCCAAAGAAGAGTGGCAAACGTCAAAATGGTTCCAATGCAGGCACGGGCGGCCACTGGATCTAGAGGCGTTGATAAAAATGCAACGTTTGGACAGCGTCGTTCTGGGCCAACGACGTCTAGAAATACGCAGCGCCATGCTCAAGGGCATGATGATACAGCTGGCCCTATGGAGATGAGTTGGGTGCCCTCATCAACTTCCAAGATCAGTGACGACGACGCCCTCGTTTCCGAGGGCAGGCCCGCTAAGCATGGCCAGAGGCGTAAGGGTGTAGAAAGCTTTGGGGCAGGGCTAGAGAAGGGCGGGCAGGAAGACGAGAGACAGGGGAATGAAGGCGAACGAAAGGGGAGAGTGCAGCGGAGAAAGGGGGTACGGAGCGGTAGCAAAAATGCGTTCAGAAGGCTATAAGATGAACCTTGCGATATACACCTAATCTCATCTCAAAAGTACCTTATCGTGTTATCAATCCTTCCATGGCCTTCGTTGTATAGCTCACCCGTCCCATCAGACCTGGACGTCTGGAGGGAAGTTCGGGCTAAAAAGAGAACATTGCGTAACCTTTCGTAACCCAACGGTTCTATGCCTAGACATCTCTTGCCGCGATACAGCATGTGGTAATCTTGCAGGTCCATCTATTGATGAATATATCAATATATCATGGTTCATATCGTTCCAAACACATCCTCCATAGAAATGCGGAAATGCGCCGAATGTCAGTCCACTTCTACACGGAAGTTTTTTTTTCGATTCTATTTGACATCCTCTATTGTGGCTGAGACGTATGTTTAGAAGGAGAAATCGTTCGTGCGGCGGTCTAACCCAGCGAGTCTATTCCTGTACGACAGTGCTGTCGTACAACTACAGTACCGGGGAAGTGGAATCTCCTGATGCCCGTGCCAGCAGTCACGTGACATGCTGCATCGCGTTCACTGAGATCAATCCAATGGTCTCTTCAAACACTCATCTACTCCGCACCCAGCTCGATTCCTCAGTCTGGGCCATAGGAAACTTGCCTCCGTGAAATCTGGAACTGAAGTATGGCAAAAAGGCGCGTAATTGAGATAGAATCCGAAGTAGAATCTTCCTCGTCCGAATATTCGCCTCCGAGTACCGCTAGACAACCAACGTCTCGGAAACGACGCAAACGCAAGGAGCCAGAGGGTGCAACACGCGTGGAACATCCCGAGACTGATACTACACGCGAATACTGTCCATCCCATGCACCTTCAGTTCATCAGATTCAATCCGCCGCATCCACATGCAGAGCACTCCTGCAGTGGTACACTGGCGTCTCCGAAAGTCGGGGAATGCCTTGGCGGAAACCATATGATCCATCTCTGAGCATAGATGCGCGCGCGCAAAGGGCTTACGAAGTAAGTGTGATGGAATCAGCTATTGGCTAACGCTTAGAATCGGTCCAAATTGTAGGTTTGGATATCTGAAATAATGCTGCAGCAAACTCAGGTGGCGACAGTCATACCTTACTATAACCGGTGGATGGAGAAGTAGAGAATATGCTTTCAGCCCTTGTATTATCTAACTTCGACTCTCGTAGATTTCCTACTATCCGTGACCTGGTGTGTCAACTCTCGATTACGGAAAGTTTGCACTATTGAAAAGACGCTGCTCAGGCAGCCGCATCTATAGATGAGGTCAATTCACTCTGGAAGGGCTTGGGATATTATTCTCGCGCTTCTAGACTCCTTTCTGGTGCTCAAAAGACTGTGAAAGACTTCAACGGGCGGCTACCGGATAATGCTAAAGACATGGAAGCTCACATCCCTGGAATTGGTCGCTATAGTGCCGGGGCTATCTGCTCCATTGCTTATGGCGAGGTTGTACCCGTCGTAAGCCTCAAAATCCTATTAGGCCGATTTCCCGCTAATTCCACCAAAAGCTCGATGGAAATGTACACCGGTTGCTCAGCCGATTCTTGGCCCTTCATGCGCAACCCAAAGCCAAGGCTACGCTAAATATCCTTTGGTCGGCTGCAAATGATATAGTTTGCGGTGTAAAGGCTCCGCGCGAGGAAGTCATTAAAGCTGTAGCTGACGATGAGCTTACCACCGGCGCAAGAAGTACCGAGAATCCCGCGATAGGGTATCCGGGCGACGTGAATCAGGCTCTCATCGAACTTGGAAGTACGATATGCAAGGTACGAGATCCTAACTGCGAAGAATGTCCGTTGCGCGACCAGTGTGCTGGTTATCTGTGGTCGAGCGCCTCTAAGACAGTGAGTTTCCGAGTATGACCGCACTATTGTCGCTTGATTTCTAACCCTGAAGCTTAGGCCTCTGATGACATCCCCGATATTGAGGAGTTATGCACCATATGCGAGCCGCTAGAGCGCGGCAGCGGCGTTTTAGCGTTTCCCATGAAGGTAGAGCGTAAGAAGGCGCGAGAAGAGCTGGATTTAGTGAATGTCATTGAGTGGCGTTCTAAAAGCCAGCAACGAATGTTCCTTCTCGTCAAAAGGCCTGAAAACGGTGTGTTTCCACGAGGTCCTTCCTATCCGCGCCGTTAATTAAAGCGAGTCACAGGCTTATTAGCGGGGCTGTATGAGTTCCCCACACTCGCCAATGTGACTGCATCGATTTCGAACTCAACATCGACGGAGTCGCTTCTGTCAATGTATCTGAGCAGCAAGGTCTACCTTCGCGTGGACGCGGGTTCGGCCGATTCTGAGAGTTATCACATTGTGAATACCAAGCCCGTGGGTGATGTTATCCATGTATTCTCTCATATCAAGAAAACCTATCGGGTGCAATGGGTGCTCTTGGAGGGTTGCAGTGAACCTCCTTTCCCCACACCCTTAAACGACGACAAATCCACGAAAACGCCGAGTAGGCGGGCCAAGCAACCCCGAAGCGAATCCACCCAGCGTAGTTCGGGCACGGCTTGGTTCGATATGAACGAAGTCGCCGAAGCAAAGTAAATGTTTATCCTCCCCTATGGTGCCATAATGCCGAACTCACGCCTTGCATTTAGCATCGGAACAGGTGTTCGCAAGGTCTGGGAGCTGACCAAAAGGCTTTGGGAATGACACCTTTCGCTGGAACCGTAAAGCTTCGGATTGTAAAACCTTGTCGTGTTCTCTCCATTTGATCTCAGCGTGCACGTACAGCTCCAACCTTGAAGTACATATTTACTGATGCGTTTTTGACGCACTAATCCAAAAAGAGATGTGCTCTCCTCGCGCGGAAACTAGCGGTGATTTCTTGGTGACGAAGAGCCCCAAACATACATTCGAAGCATGGGTAATTCACTATATTTGACACAGGTTCTCTTCGAGAAAGGGACCCCAGAATTTCTGGACACGATTAACAACCTTGACGGAATTCCTCGCACACACGTCTGACAGGGCGTCCATAAATTCGAAGGGAAATAAGTTATTGATATTGTTCGGTTACATGAATGGCGAATTGCGACAAAGCAGATATAGCTAGTACAGTGCACAAAATACAACAACGAGGCCCAGAAGTCTATCAAAGTGAACCAGTGTGAAAAGAATTGTTCGAAAGACTGAAACCTAAACCTTGGTTGAGTCGAAACCAGGCTCGGAGTAAGCTCGCTGCACCCTGGTGAGTAAGCGACGGCAGGGAAGTTTCCATCGCCCATGTCGCGAAGCTAATCGCCCACATCGACACATGAATTCCGTGGGTAAGTCTGATGTAGGTCTTCCTAAATCAATAATTCTGCATTGTGAACTTCCGCAGAAGTTGTTCGTCCGTGGGGTCTCGCCGAGGATAGGAAATACTTTGGAGGTATTCAAGAGGGACGAGCTGGCCCCCCGGGGCAAGCTGTGAGAGCCCTGATGGAGGACTCGAAGATTTCGAGCGTGTCGCCATCGCTTTCGGCGAGGGTCGAAGCTCCTGGCGAGATGTAGGTTCGCTATAGGGTGGTAGATGGGAACGGCGTGATTGAGACGGCAGGCGGTGGGAAAACGAGTCATTTGGTTCTGGTGGATCGACGGCCGCGTCACCAGATGGTGAAGATGGGCCCCCAGATATCTCGCGGTTGTCTCTCCGTGCCTTAGTGGCTCGGGCACTTCTGAACCAACCGTCTGGAACAAGCACGTCGCCAACGCCTCTGATATTGTCGATCGTCTGCAAAGAATCGAGTTTACTTTGACTGAAATAAGCGGCTTCGGAAGGGTAAGAATCATTGTGAAGACTGTGCAGATGGCATGCCTCACTTAGATGCCACTTGCGGGTCACTCCGTGAGGGCGATCAGTCGGAAGGAAAACGTGAACGCTGTACGTTTGCTTTATTAGGCGTTCAGTTTCTCCGCCGCGGGAGTGTGATGAAGGATACACCCTAGACACGATGGACGTGTGAGATTCAGTGGATATGTTATATTGTATTGTATGAAGGCACGTACCTTATCATCTGCGCCCAAGGTGTGACTGGGTTAATTGCGTCGTCGCCCACATCGAATTCCTTTTGGTGGTAGAACAGGAATTCCTATCAGCTTGTTCATCAGCGCATAACCTGCGATACTGACATACGATTACGTACATCTCGAACCCTGCTCGGACCCCATCCCATCCCATCAGTCCTGACATTAGAAGTTATCGACGTGAGCCTCACAGCTCTGACAGTGCCACCGACATACCATCGTTCCATGCCCAACCCGGTGGCCTCAGTGTTGGCACCTCGCTCCTCCCATACGTATACATTGCCTGCCAAGAACATGAATCATAGAGTGATGCAGGTGATGACAAGAGGTATACCAGGGGCTATAGCCCTCCGTTCCTCGGCATCGAGACGGCGAGTGATAAGAGGAAGAGCGTTTCGTGCGACAGCATAGAAGACTTGAAGGGCGTCACGGGTGGACCTAACGCGAGTGTTCTGTAGTGTGGGACGCTGCATCCTAGCACCAGGGGGAGGGTTAAAGGGGGAGGGTAGTGCAAGCCACTGAGCCACAAGGCCCACCTTAATAAATACGTACCGGAAGTATGTGCATGGCGAAGCACAACAGGTCCATGAAAGGCAGGGTCGGTCGAGGGACAGATTAACGATACTCGACATTATATTTTAGGTTCAAATTGAGTTTGCCGTCAACGGCACCATTTCCACGCACTAATACTGGAAGCAGCAGGCGGAGTTTACAGGCCTTCCTTGTGCTGCGAGCTTCTTGAGAGCATCAGAGATGGTTCAACCTACGCAAACAGCTGCATTTGCCGAAGAATGAGCTGCTGGAAAGTTTTAAAGTGGTGAACTGAACCTTGCCTGAGAACGAAACTTAAGCATTCAAGATGAATCGTTTCCTTATGTCAGCTCCCACTGGCGGAGGCTATCTGAGATCGATCAGACTTCTGCAAGGAAAGCACTCTGTGCCTCGCCACAATCGTCGAATCAAAGGGGATTCAAATGATGCAGCTCTGTAAATGGGTCAGTGTAGTGACGCCTCACGGGAAACTCACAGAATCGTGTGCCCCGACTGCATTTGCTCCCCATCATCGCATGGTTTCTCAAGGCCACCCTATCGGAGGAATCAAGGTCCACTAGCCGCTGATGAAAAAGCTTAGGGGAACTCCATAATTACTGGATTTACGACATGGTGGCATGAGATAAATCGATGTATATGGTTTGGAAGCATTCAATATTTACCTCGCAAGGGAAGACCTAGTCACACTCCCCATGATCCCCGCCAGCACTGACTATTAAGTAAATAGTTAACCAGCGAGTGAGCTCAGGATGGTCACACCGAAATGGTAGGCTAACTGTATTGGTCCACGAAACGGATCCAACCATCAGTCAGCTGTTTGAGACAATGTTACACGGTGCCGACTTGCCTTAAAGGAAATTTGACCTCCATTTGTGACCGCTGTGGCTGATGACGCGAGGCGTTGCAAATCGTCGGTTCGTAGATCCTGTCGGTGTGATAATAGACAGGATGATGGCCCGGAGGAATTCAGTGGGCACTAGAAGGAGCGATTAATAAATCACGCGGCCTACATACATAGTACTCCTTCGCTAGAAAAGAGTCTATAAAGTCTGGAAGCTTCGGAAACGATCGTCTTGATAAACGCGTAGGGATGTGGGCTCGAACATCAACGTACCATGTGTAATCATTAGAATTATCTGATGACCTGCTTTACCTTTCTTGACAATTGGATAGGTACCAGCCACTGAGGTTAATGGGGGGATACCGCATCGAGATTACGAGGCGAGATAGAAGCCGGCGGCAAGCGACCGACCTGATAACGTTAGCCTTCTTGAGATCATCATGCCTGGTAAAGTGTCTAGCGTAACAAAAAACAATGGGCTTACAACTGGGGCAGAACATTTCTACGAGTTACTTTCCGAGGAGACAGCAAGAAGGTGTGCCGAGCGCTATGGGAAATGAAAGGACGGGCTTCAGGCTAGTTTCCCTCCCCGCGCCGAAACATGCGCCATGGTATGTAATTTGACACGAAATGGATCAAAGGTTGCAACGATGGGGTTATAGGCCGTTCTGGAATTCAAAACTGACGATGCCGATAAGGAGAAAAGGCCCGGCTTGATATGTTTTTCGCGCTAAAAACACATTCTGTTCAACTGGGACCTATCAAGAAGGTTTCAAAGGTAAGGACATGTGTGTGGTTAAGGAACAAAACATCTATCACCTCTACCCTCGTTATTCTAGAAATCTTGTGCCTTTGAATTGGGCCACCTTATGGTTTCACTTCTTCCAAACAGAACGAGGAAAAAACGACGTACGTCAAAGGTATGAGAAATGCTTGGAACTTTGAACACCCCAAAAATCACAACATAAGGATGGGTTACCCTTCAGCCACACTTAGATGTCTGCGTTTGAACTTTACTGACAGCAAGCAGGGCGAATGGTCAACTTATAGGGGTCGGATATGACATTACCGAACACAGTCCGGGACCCCCTGAACACTCTCATTCTACTCAAACACTACAATGACAACTCATCATTGCCATCGACGTCCTCAATCAACACGGTGGTCTGCGTGGACCATGAGAAACTGAGCATGCGGAGTGTGAACGCACCCACCTGCTTGAGGAAGCACTATGGGAACGGAATCAGGTATTTCAGCGTAATGGCCAAATCCACGGAATTGGTAACGAATCCGTAGTATTTTTGGAGCAAATGGTGCAGGATCGCAAAAACCTTGGATACCCAACTATATCAAAGGGGAAGGCGAGAGGATATCAACCCATCGAGGACAACAGCAAGATGATGTGATGCTAACCTTCGTTTGGTCTCCAGGCACATAAAGTTGCGAATGATGGACCAGAGCTTGTAAGGCTACAGTCACGTCAATGACTAGGTCATCGCCGTCGACATCGAATAACCCATAGAGGGCGTCCTGGATGATCAATCCTATTATATGGACCAATAAGCGTGCGGCCGCGAATGAATACGGGATGAGTTCCGTACCGCCCACAGAAGCTTCCGCGTCCATGTGCTTTTTAGCTATATCCTTCAGCAGTGCAGAACTAACCTCCGTATCTCGTAAGAGGCTAGAATGTTCGCCTCGCAATGCCTGACGAGTAGCGCGGATATAACTAACGTTATTAATAACTACGAACCGAAATCTAGAAGTTGTGGGGAAGGACTCACGATAGTCGCTGAGCGCGCCGCTTTGGCTTGACCACAAAATGATAGCTCAACAACCCAGCGAGCGACGGTATGACGGCACACCAAAGTGCAAGTGTAGCATCGTACTCCGCAGACAAGATGATGGGGAAGCTGAACCGCTGCTCTATGTATCCTAGGCTAGTCGCTCTTCAGCTTGAGGGAGCTCGGGATTGGATGAAGACATACTCGAGTTTATACATTACTCCTTGTGGGCCAGCATTTAGGGTGGAATCAATCTCGACCGTTTCGCTAGACCAATTTCCACCCAAAAACCACGCGGGACCATGGAAGCCGCATTCCACTCCGCCCTTGAGTTGCATACCCAACTCAGCGAACCTCACCCCGCATTCACCTTTCAGCCGAGGGTTACCATCAAGAACAAGTCCGGCAGACCAGTAACGAACACCGCGGCTTAGACCTGATATCGACATCACCTGGCTGCTTGATTCTTCGTCCATATATTGAGGCGGAATCTGTGAATCGAGCGTATTATCGAACGGCGTTGGTGAGAAGACGCTGATATTGAGAGCAGGGGAGCCGAGATTCAGAGCAATGGAGCCCTCGGCCATCGAATCCGGGAATAGTCTACGACCTAACGTGACATTGACGGGTGGTGGTGAACCCAAAAACCACGCAGGTGTTAAGACCGTAGAGACAGTAACAGCATTTTCGCCATCTTTGTATATCCCTCGTATACGGGGAGAGCGAAGCCGGAGGAGGGGTGATGTTGCCTACCAATGGAAGAATAAGGACTAGCTAAAATTTGTGGGCTAAGACCTGAATACCTCGAACGTAAGTCTAGGCGAGAATTGGTGCCGTACGGTGCCCGTAAATGAAGCAGACGTAGGTCGCGTCTGGACACTGGCATTCGCGGATATAGTTGTCTGGCTGGTTATCTCTTTCTGTACATCCAGTGAATCATGGTCCGTGAAGGCTGGAACGGCGAACTTACGTGAATACTATGCCGTAGGAACACGCCCGCTATTCGAAGGTCGTTGAGTCGATCTCGACAGCGAACATGCCAAGGGTCTTCAGGTAAAGTGGCGTCTGAGCTGAAAAGGGATATAGCATCTAAGCTACAGGTGAATTGACCCTTCGGTCGTATCAGGTTCTCAAGCTTCTGTTGTTTCTGCTCGTATTTTGTTTGCTTCAGAATTGAACGCAGCTAAGTGGACCCATGAGAATGAGCAAACGCCACGACATACTCCACGCAGCGCACCTCTTCCGTATCCTTATCCCTCAAGTACGGCGGCCATTTCAGCGACAGGCCTTCTTCACCTAAGAGACCTTTTAGTGAATCTACAAGACGCCTTCAAGAAAAACAGACCTAGGACATTGTAAACTTCTCTAGCATCAAGTCAGACCAAATTTAGACGGCATCATAGGTTTCCCTCACCGGGTGAATGGGTCCGAGAGAACTGGAGCCGCCCGTCAACAAGAGACATACAAATGATGCAGGCGTAATTACCTTCATACGCCTTCTGAATTTCGAGGAACTTTCTCGAAGCTACATCTTGAGCCTTCTCGTCATGCTGCTTGTCCGGGTGGAATATCAGCGACAGCGTGCGGTGTCTCTCCTTGATTTCGGCTTGAGTCGCCCACTTCGGAACATTGAGAACGGAACTGAGGATGTCAGACCTCCGGATACTGGGCGACGAAGTCGTGTTACTGACTAAAGGTAGTCCGGCCCTTTTGACGCGTCGTTTGCGTTTAAATCATCACCGATACTCATATGCGAATGGTGCGCCGTGGGGGCGACGACAATGGGGTAGGGGTAGCGATGGAAAAGGATGATCGGCGCCTGCCTACGTTTCCCGCGCCCCACGCCCCGCCGGGCCGCCCTATTTGTCAGCAAAGCTTAACTCTCTGACTGTTGATCAAAAGCAGGCAAAATCATTTCACTCTGTATCCTAGCACTGATCTCTTCCACTAGACTCAATTGGCACGCCTTCTCAGTGGCTTTGACATGGGGAACGGCACTGTGATGTCGCAGCGTGCAATCGACACCACATGGGAGATTTCCGCAAGATTTCCGTTCTTTGCTTGTTCTTTGCTTCACATTCTCAAGTGCCCAGTTTCAAACCCCAGTTGTATTCACCGTTGCATGCTGGCCTCCTAGCCGAACTGGCATCCCATGGAAGTAAGGGTTCAAACTTGAGACTGCTGCGTCATTGTTTCTCCTAGCGACAGATAACCCCAAGATTTAGGTTCGACGGTGATAACAGCATTGATCTCTCACGTCGACGCATTACCACAAAGAGTCGCCCGTCATTGCTCCCGGCAGTGATCAAACTTCGGGGAAACCAACAGGAGTACACATAACGTGCGACGCGAAATATGCCTCCGTCCCCGTGGTTGCCCTATTTCCGCCTGCCAACATTACGGCGACATACCGCAGCCGATTATCTTGCCTATCCAAAGCAGCCGCAGGACGTAAAGTATCAAGTAACGCCACCACAATGTTTTCATTCTCAGTCTATCTCCTCTGGGCCCCTATAAACACTCCCCTATTGCGCGGATTTCGATCTGGGACATAAAAGTAGGTTCACTGAGCTCCTTTACACCCCATGGATGATTTGGTGGGGAGCTTTACGCCCACAAATCTCCAGTTCACATTTAGCAATTGCCCCTTGATTGTGAGAAGATCAGGTCGAACAACAAATTCGAAGTAAGCAGCAGCCTGTGGATATGCCGCAGGAACGCATTTCCTCGCGCAACCGTATCCACGCGGCCTACGGCCACCTTCCGAGGCCTTGTCCGAATAGCAATGTCATATGCAAGACTCTCACCCGAGCTATGCCATGAACCTGGTTTAGTCAATGGGAGGGGGTTATCAGCCGATCTGTCCGCCTTCATTCTGTAATCAAAGTTAAAACTATGGAAATGGTCGAGAGGATGCTCTTCGGCAGACGTGTGATAACAAAGAACACGCCTCTCACTCTCAGCGATATGTCATCGTCGTAAGTTTGCCCAGGGCAACAACTACGCACCGCATCCGAGACCGCGAAATTTGAATATGTCGGTGTGAATGTTCGTTCCGGACTGATATGTGCACCTGAACAAGATAAATGTCAGGGGTGGGCCTGTGTCCTCTGTTTCCCACCCCGAGCTCCGAGCTTCACGTACAACTGCCGCATGCAAATGGGGCATTGACAGGTGCCGACTATTGTACCTTGCTACTGTGTATGGCTCCATGCATTATAACGTATGTAGTGAGCTTTCCACTAAAGAAGCACCGTTTCTTCTGACCGAATTCATTATGCTGTAAGCATATCCGAAATCCGACGAGGTGGCATCCACGGGCCCCCGCCCCAAGTGAAAGAAAGTGCGCTGGGTACAATAGAGCAAGATCACTTTCGCAGGGACCTATGTAACCACCAGCCAAGTTGTAGTATTTTATTTATCACGGCGTGTAAGGGCCATGTAGGAAGTAAACGAATTCCCGCGATCACGACACCTTACGTCATCATCTGCATGAAGAAATTCAATATTCAGCTGCTTAACGACAGTCAGACCGACCATGTCGCCGCCATTCGATGCCTCGACTTCAAAGTCGTCGGGACCGACGCCGACGTCGGACACGAAGGCTCGCGGAGCAAATCGCTCAACAAAAGTGGCGGGAAAACTAAAAGTACTTCCTGAACAACCCGAACCCGAAGTCCTTTTACCCCCAACCCGCTTAGTTGTTCCACCCAAAAGGCGTGTTGTTGAGGACGCGACTGGGGCCACTGGAGATAGCGAGGACGCAGACGCGGATGAGGAAGACGATGAAGAGGAACTAGAAGAGGAACCGGAGGAGATTGAGGTGAGTACATCGTTCGCGGCCTTTTCCTTGGTGTACAATTCTCCAGAATAGGTCTACAATCAAATATCCCTTATACCCGACGGTACCGCAAAAAGGGATGCCTTAAAATTGACGAAGAAGAAAGCTAAATCACTGCCCAGAGTGACTGCCTATGCTACTGCGAGGTAACTATCGTCTTGTACTCTGTTTGAACACACGGCTTTAGGCTTATTATATTGGCAAGTTCATACCGACTTGAGGAACTTATGAAATTCTTCAATGCCCGAAGAAACGCATACCAAACCGACGCCAAGTTGATAGATGAAGTCCTATATACGCCATATGTCTACGAACCGCTGTCACAAACCGATACGCGCCAGTCTAAACATAAGACTGACGACAGCACCGGGGACCTGCTGGGTGTACCGGAATTGCTTCCAACTGACGACAGTGGCGCAACTCCCCGTCCAATCAAGAAGAAGAGCAAATTCAATATCACAGCGTCTCAGGCGGAGATATTCCTCTTTAGTTACGGTACTGTTGTCATATGGGGCATGACGGAGGTCCAAGAAAAGCGTTTCCTTGCATCAATGTACGTGAATACCATCTCTGAGCCAGCCTACCGATGCTGAGCCCAAGCCTTCCTCCAGAAAACGCTTCGAAGTAGAAAAACTAGGTAGAATATGCGCGCAGCTTCCCCACGGGTACATACTAACTCCCCATAGCTCCCGACGATGTTGAAATGGAAGACCTCAATTATTATTACGCAAATTATAGTAGGTGAGGCGCTTGATCTACCTCACGTCTGGGAGACTCAGTCTCTATAGGATCTACAACGACGTCATTACGCTCCGCAAGGGTTCGAGCTATATGTAGGTTATCTGCCTTCTCCCCTTCTATGATTCACTTAACATACACACTCTGTCCAGGACGAAGCTTTCATTATCGCACGCACTCTCACAATCCGTCAAGATCTCCTTGGTACGGCCTCGGTCCATCGTTTACGGCATGGTCTAACGTGGAACTTAGTTTGAAGATCTAATATCCTCAACAATAGAGGAAACGAAGGATATTCCAGAAATGATAAGTGAGACAGGGAAGATAGGGATGCCACACAAAGGTAGATAGCTATCTATACCTTTCTATTCGCGTGTGCGATTGATTGGACGCGATAGACATCATGCAGAAGATTGGGCAACTCTTTCTCTTGCGGACAAACATTAACTCCGTCGGTTCAGTGCTCGATTCACCCGTAAGCGGCGACCTCTCAATCATGGCTTATCCATCTCACCAACGTTGTTTTTCAGGAAGTGTTCTGGGTAAGTTCGCGGGTAAACAGAGACGGTCGTAACTTGATGCATTTCTCAAGAGTTATCCCGACTTACAACCACTATATGATGCGGCGCGAAGTTATCTCGAGATTCCGCAGCGATTGAACCTCCTTAATACTCGAGTGGAGGTCGGTCTCTAAAACGAATGTGATTTCATATAACGATTTCTGATGTCTATGTTGTCTCCACAGGTTCTTCAAGATATGCTTCAGCTTCTGAAAGAGTCCGTTTCCAGTAGGCACGCCGAACGCCTGGAACAGATCGTGATCGCTCTCATTGGAATCGAAATTGGTTGGTCTTCCATGTTATCTTTCAAGTGGCCATCCGCTTACTACTTCCACGGGCGCAGTTTTGGGGATCATCACTATCCTTGTGGACCTTATGGCGTGAACTTCCAGGGTGATTCATTATAGCTAGCATTTATTAAATACGCGTCGAGTTCTATAGTGTCCGTGGATTACATACTTGGGGTCGTCATTCTCGGGCTGTCGTTGGCCTGGTCTCTTTCTGATGCCGTACCTCTTTCTCTCGTTCCCTGCGACCTGCTGAAGTAGCTGGACGTCCCACAGTTTTGGTTTGCCGGAAGCACAAGAATTCGATACCTGTGGCGCGCCGCGAGTCCGCCAATGTCTTCTTGACACCATCTAGATTGCTCTGGAGGTTTTCATCGCCCGCTCGTCTAGCATAAGCCTGCGATATCTTGTTATAAAGGTCGGAGAGGGTCTTTGCAGCAGTTGGCGTGACGTAGCGAGTCAACGTCTGATGCATAAATTCAATTTCGAGCGTGGCCTATTGCACGATCTGAGTATAGGTACGACATGGTTATGGGTATACACTCACTCGGAGCATTCCTCCCATTCCAAAACGCTTTACCTGCTTGAAGCAGCGCAGCGCTTCTTCTGAGAGATCGTCAACCAGAGAGCATATGGTGCGTTCCACAAGCTGCTCGGATACGCTGCTAACCTGAGCGTGTATCTTAACTAGGTACATCAGCGTTTGGTACATGTACGTCCTGATCTCTGTAGGAACAAGGGAGTCAACATCGGGCCGCCGAAGCAGGGAGAGCCTACCTGTGGGTTGCGGCGTTTCATACCAGTCCATCTTCGGGTCAAGAATCCCTGCCCGCATGATAGACGTGACAACACTGGCTTTGGGTTTGAGGTACCCGTCGAACAAAGTCTTGTCTAATTCTCCAACTACGGTCATCAACGTCTGTAGAATGGAAGTCAAACTCTCGTTACAAGGAGAACCGAGATCGCCACAACTGACCTGGCGATCGACTTCCAACGATATCCCAAAAGCATTCTCAAGCTGTGTTATCATGCTGGGAATGAGAATCTTGGTCAGATGGCCAAAATTAGCAATCACGAGTAGGAGCCGAATGTCCTGCATGGAAAAGAAGTTTTAGCTGTGTGAGCGGTGAACGGCGGCGGAGATGGGACGGACCCCGTCGGTAATGTTCGAGACTTCCGAAGGGTTGGTCCCCGTAGAAGACAGTGCAGCAGCCTCTGAAGGCAGCATCTTCCCAGTCACAATGGGCGACTCGTCTGAGGCGAGGAGAACCAGTCCGTCCAAGAAAGCATATAGAACGTCGAGGAAAGCTTTTGTTATTTTGGAAACGAACGCTTGGGGAATCTGGCTTTGTTTCTGTGGCTTGGTTAAGGAAGGACTGGGAGTAAGGTCCACGCCGCCAGCAATCTTGAACGCCGCTGTTGTAATGTGCCTTTGAAACACCTCTAGATGTGACAAATACCGAGGAGTTGAGGTCTCGACTGAATTGGAAACCCAGTCCTCAAGGTAATAAAACATATTCGCATCTACAGGCCCGGAAAAGAGGTAAGTTCCCCAGTCCATAATAAGGTTGGGAATAAAGCGGAGCACCTCTTAACCAAGTCGCAATAAGGATGTCTTCGAATCGCCACTTGGTACTGTCTAGTAAGCTCCTGAGACTGGAAGCAGAATCTGTAGAAATATCCAGCGCCGTGAGATCGTTCACAGTCTCTTGGATCTCGTTAAGGATCTTCATTAAGAAGTGGACCGTGGTCAAAGAGTTGGAGTTCTGAGGCAGCAGTGCTGGAAGCGGTTCATTTGCCCTGCCCGGGGACGCCATGATGGCCATGTCGGACAGCTTGAAGAATTCAGAGACCAATGACACGTAAAGCTTTACGATGTCGAGAGCCATGATGCGGCATTGAGTGGGACTGCGCCGATTGCTCGATTGAGAGGAACCTTGCTATAGTTATTGTGTTCCCATGAGCCCCACATATAAGTGATCCGCGATGACTCAACCCACCTTCTTAAACTTACCCTCCAAGAACGACTTCGCGATCTTCCAGAAATTTGGCAAGGATGTCAACATGCTCTCAGAGACCGTCTTCACCATATCCAATATAGCTTGCCATATCTCATTCCCGGGAGCTTTGCCTGAGAAGAATGTCAATAATATTAAATATTCGCATCGCCGTTGACTTACTCAAGATGGTCTCTTGGTCTTTACCTTCAAGGGCGTTGACGCATGTTCTCAATTCAGACGCAAGTTGGATTGTTTGAGCAGCGGGGTTCGGGGCCTCGTGAGGCGGCGGTGCCTCCAGCATGGCTGCAAACCTCATCAACTAAGACCATGCTTTGACTGAACTGAGCACCTACCTTTGATGTTGGTGACAGAGGTCTTGTAATGGTTATTCATTTGATCCATTATCAGTTTATGCTGGCTATCGAAGAATGTCCACACTGAATCATCAGAGTTCTGTAGGTCTAACAAAATTCTGCCCGAACGCGGACCGATTGAGAAAACCATTTTGACGGAGCTGAGTATAGTCACCCACTCGATAGTCTTTTCCTGCTCGTCTATGCTGCGACTAGCGTCCTGGAGCTGGGCAGAAAGGATAGTTCGCATCTCCCCCATCGCCTTCTCCACACTCCCCCAAACCTTCTCAAGGATACGTTTCTGCTGCTCCTCGGCGGATTGCGAAGATGAACCTTCCTTGGAACTACTTATAGGCAGAAGTTGACCGGGTCTATTCTCCAACAGGAATTTACCCTTCTTGTAATCACGCAACGCGACTTCATATCGCCCCTACACCGATTCAGCAAGTTTAGACCGAGAGAAGCAGAAAGTAGACTCACGGCATCCACTGCTTCAATAATGGCCCCGGGAAGGTTGAAGAAGAACTTGGAGCGGTCGAAGACACCCAGCGTTGATCGCAGTTTATGTGCCTTGGACGCATTCTCAAGGACAGGAAGGAAGACCTGGTCCGCCTTCACAGCTGCCACTATTTCGAGTGAGAATCAAGGCTTTCGAAAGGGGATGACGACAACTACATTTCAGCTGATCACGTAGCGGCTTGGTGGCAAAATCGGTATCTGGAGCAAGGATTCCTTCCTTCATTTCAGCATACAGAGCTAGCATTCATCAGCTCGTGGCGGAACCAGTTCTACGGGAGCGATTACCGTCCGTGGATGCTTTCACAGCGACAAAACGGTCGAAATTATCCTCCACCAGAATTCGCATCGCTTCAGAGCGTGAGTCTATCGATGCCCGTAAGTGGGCTATCCCCGAGGCCAAGTCCTGGTATGTTGCATTTGGGTGGACGGCAGACAGGAATGTCTTTGGATCGAAGTGCTTAGAGGTGATTCCTGAGAGTTAAGGATTAGTTTAAAACCGTACGCCACAGTCTGGAACCCTCACTAGACTCCGGGCCTAAATCCTTTGCACTTCAATGAGGGTCACTGGGGTCCGCTAAAGTGTCAAAGTCTTAAACTCACTTGACGCGCGTCCCTAAGCCCAGGACATCGCCTTCCAGGTCACCACTTTGGGTGGTCTCGTTTGCGTCTTCGGTGTCTTGGTCGATTTGCTCCCATCGTCTGCAGGCACGTAGTATTTGAGATAGGTAGGACCCACTGTTATCAGGGTAACGCCCACTTTGGATTCAGAGAAGATAACTTGTACGCCTTGAGAAGAGTTGCCTCGTCCACATCGAATTTGTATCCCGGCATAGTGTGCGACCACAGGTGCGCCCAAGGAAGTAGTGGTATAAGACGAAGGGCAGTATTACTAGCTGCTATAGAGTAGCAACGGTCACCTGACTGGAGGGAAGACACTGATAGGAGATAGGGGCTACTTAGGAGGCGATACTACCGTCAACATTCGTGTTTTATGGCAGACGAATTTACACTTGCATTATACATAATAACAATAAACTTGATTGCAAGAAAAGAAAACAGTGATGTCGACTATCCTTGTGCTATTCTAGTAAAACAAATGCAAGAAAGAAAACAATTGTCATGACAGTAGAGTATCAAACGTATGGATGTAGCTTTCGGATGGTAAAGTGAAAAAGATAGATGGCGATATGGATGGGTTGAGAGGGAAAATGGTGGTACATGGCGAATGCTGGTGAATGTATGGTAATGTTGGGAGACGGATACGGGCACGGGGCGAGTCCATAGGGGCTTAGAAAAGGAGCAGAATACACGTGATGAATGTCTTATCCATTTCACCACCGATGTTGAGAAGCCTTCGACCGCGAGGCGTCAATGTCCTCTCGCTCGACGTATTCCACTGTTTCGTGGGCCCCCTCTAAAGCCTCAGCTTCCAGTCTTGCTTCCCGTATCTGTTCCTTCAACGCCGGTAGCTCTTCTTTCAGATTCACGCGACAGTTCTGTTGCCATTTCTCTAGGGCCCACTCGCGCATGTATACACTCGACTAGAACATGGATAGATGAGCACGAGCGTCTCTGAAGCATAAAGTAGCCCAAACATACCTTCAAGAACCGCTTCGAGGCGTACTTTTTATGGAACGACTCGTGATCGGTGTTTTTCAGAATATAGTTCAGCATTAAGTTTGCCGTTGGGATCAGAGCGCTCTCCGCGTATGAAGAGTAATGCGCCAAGTTGGGTGTCTAGGAAAACTGTCAGTATTAAAGCTACGTTGAAGAAGATTGAGTTGACCCACCCATTGCTCTAACCCAAGTGCTAATCTTGCTAACCAGATAGCAGCAGCGGCCATCAATGACGGGGGGCAGGCGACCAATCTCCACTCAACGATGCCGATCTCCAGCAAATATTTGCCCAAAGTCCTGACTTTGACGTTATAGTCGTCGGCCTTGCTCACTCTACGCAAGAAATGGACCGGATTGGGGTAGCTTAGGTTGTAATCAAGTGTCTTAAGGATGTATCGCTCGGCTTGGAGGATTTCGGCCTCTGTGTATGAAGAATCCGCGCATTGAAGGAAATGCGTAACTGAAGGTGAGACGATCTCTTCGAATTTAGCAGCAATAAACATGCAGGCGACGCCGACGAGTTGGAGCTTATTGAGCGAAACGACGCGGGCTGACAAGAAACGGTCGATGAGGTTGACGCAAAGGAACAACGTCTCTGGCAGTAAACGGAAGCGAACATGGACTTGGACGAGCCAATCAGTCAAGATTCCCCTCATTTTCCAGGACAACTCTTTTTGTGAGTGCATGTAATCGGGATTGGGCATCGTGGTTTGCTAAAACGTAATTAGTATCAGGACGTGGCTACCTTGCTGGAGAACCTACCTCTACTTCCTTGAGGTAGTCGAAAATTTCCAACACGTACTCGCTGACCATCAGTGGGTCATCACCATCATCGGCGTCAAGGTCGTCCCATTGATCTCCCTCTGGGTCAGCCTCCGTCTCTTCAATGACGTGTCCCAGATCCGCGGCAATCTTCGCTGCGACGACTTCGGACTCGGGGTCCAAAGGCTCGTCTTCCTCAACGGTCGGGAGGTCTTCGGGTGCCTCCGATGATGTCCGCCTCTTTTTTGATACGCGATTGCTCTCGTCGTCATCTTCTTCGCGCTTCAAGTTGACGCGTCGGTGGGCGAGGTTACGTTGAGCAGCCGCGGATGTGCTGGCTCTGGTGTGGGCAACTCGCCTGGCCATCATCGGGCCATCCACGACCATGGCACGCTCGTCCTTGACCGATACGGCGGGTTTAACCTCTTCCTCTGGCTTGTTGGATATTGACCGCGACTTGGCAACATGCCTGGCGCCAGAAACCGTTCGAAGAGGCTGACGAACCACCGCCTTAACGTCCTCAACCTTTTCTTTACCCTTCCCAACTGCAGCACCTTTGACTTTGCTATTGGCATTCGCATTGACCTCGAGTAACGCTTCACGCTTTCGCTTAACCGCCGCATTTTCTTCCGCTCCGGCGGTGGCAGTTTTGGCACGAGAGGCAGCAGTGGTGCGGGCGGGCCCGCCCGTGGTAGTATTGGTGACAGGTTTCGCTCTGGAAGAAATTCGCGACGGGCGGGCATTGGCATTCTCGCTCTCCTTCATAGTTGTAGTTCTTGTTACCCGTGTAACACGACGAGTCTAATATTGAACGGTGATGAGCACGCTGGCAAGCGTATTAAGAGGTGAAAACCGACCGGGATCGCTGTAGACATGGTGGAATCCTGCCTAACGCTTTATGAAGCCACCTAAGTCTAGCAAGAGAGGAGGAGATGTGGTGATGGGGAGAAGAAGAACACTGGTGGTGGATTGACCTGCAGGAGCGCCAGTTACTAAATTCACACTCAACATCATGTGACTTCAACAAGCGGAAGCAAACAATGGAACGCGTTGAGATCACATGATGGCGACCCTTGGGACACTTTGAGGGGCCATTGCCTGCCATTGAGCGTTGACCAGAAGGTACGCGAAATTCGAGGCCTTGATATCAAATAGCCAGTGCACAATTGACAGAATAAATATGGGTCAATTTTGCTACTATACTACTTACTCTATATAATAATGATTATAATGTATATCACGTCAGACCAAGCCCAAAGCCCCTTTGACCAAAATTGCCCAACGCTGAATGACCTCTTTTGCTTGCTCTTGACCCATCATACTTGCACTCGCATCCACAGACATCAACACGGTGTTCTGCGCCTCGACAGTGACGATATCGATCATCACATCATCCCGAATAAGGTCAGTAACAGCTAGTCGGGGAATATCACCACGATCGCTGCGATGCAAGGCATCCGGGACCCAGTACGGGATCTAGAGGGTGATCTCAGCTAAGCTCCCTGCGTACGAGAAAGTAGAAACTTACATGGACTGGTTCTACAAGAGGGTTATCCTTGGTAACATCTGGGGCCACCTTGACGATATTGACGTATACATTGCATAGGGCTCTGCGCTTGCCCCCAACCCATTCATCGATGTTCGATAAATCGCTCTGTTCGATGGCAGCTGTCCTCCGTTGAAGCTCCACCTCGATGACCTGTGCTGTCTTCAAAATACTGCGGGCAGTAACGCCTTCAAGGCGTAAGGGTAGCACATTCAAACAAGAGACAGCCAAGCTCTCTATCCCATCGAGCGCGCCTTTTCTGCCTGAATGCCACAGCCCAAAGATGGTGTCAGGCCGGGATGTATACTGTGCCTGTAATTCAGCCCAGCACGCGAGGAACATCGCTTGGAGAGAGACCCCCAGCGCTCGGGCACGGGAATCGCACAGTGATGCGTTTGCAAGTGCCGATACCTCAGTGCAAATGGTCCGCTTATTCACTGGTGCCAACGAGCGTATCTGGCGAGGGAAGTATGCAGGTCGGAAGGTGGATGGAAACATTTGCCGCCAGTACGATTTCTGCGCCTCTAGCACATCGCTGTCCGGAGTGGAGTGGACTAGGAACGAGCGCAAATCGCAGGAAACAGTCGGCTCCCGGCCGTAGTATATGTTAGAGAGGTCTTCCATCAGAAGCTGCAAACTCCACGCGTCGTATTGGAAATGATGAAGTTGCACGACGAGGTAGCTGTATCTTGCTGAAGAGAGAAGGAAAGTACGTGTTGGTGGTGTATTCAAGTCAGGCGGGTTCACGACGAGGCTTTTGATCGTTTCCAAGGCGCAGCGATAGAAATTTCGAGATGGATAGTGTTCCTGTGACCAGTGAGTATTGATGGCGTCGGGCTTGAACGTCACCAAACGAGGTTCCGCACAATCCTCTTCACAAGCAAAGGTGGACCTCAAGATATCGTGACGGCGAACCAGCGTAAACCATGCCTCGCGTAGCTTGGCCGCGTCTACAGTTGGCGGAAGTCGATATGCGAAAACATGCTGAAACCTAGTGCCTTCGCTCCGCTGCCATGCTCCAATAAGCCACTTCATTCCTGCGGAAATGGTGGTGATTCTCTCGATAGAATTAGATCCTCTGAGCCCTAGCTGAGCCTCGATAAGGTCGGCTTCAGGAGTTGGTATCGCGATGTCGACGTCTGGCTTGGATCTCAAACAAGGTGGCGACGAGACTTTTGCTATCATATCTCCGATCGTGTTACTTGATGAGATGTCGCTGGCTAATATGTGGATGTTGTGCTTGCGACATCGTGCCGCTAACTGAATAGCGGTGATTGAATCGATCCCCAGAGCAGCGAGTGGTGTCTGGGAGGTAACTTGGTCAGCAGGCAAATCTGTCAATGCCCTGAGCAGCTGAATTAACGTCGACTGGTCTTCAGTGCTGCTGATAGTCGCCGGTAACTGTAGAGATCGAGTGTTGTTGAATAGCGATTCTTCTGGCCGAGCGATGAGGTTGGTCATGAAATCGGCCATTTGATGAACGGCGCTCCGCAATTCACCAGAGCTCATGTATTCGGAGCGACATGCCGCGTTGATGACAAAATGATCCGAGTGTTGGTGGACCTCGACGGTCAAGGGATACTATAGGGCCCTATTAGCCACCGCCACCATGGAAAAGACGCTGCTTTAACATTACCTGGACCTTTGCATCGTCACCCATCGACGTGTCGAATCTCCACAGCCTCTCAAAAGGGGCCGAGGGTGGCGAAAGAGGTTGGAAGACAAAGAGGACATCCCACAAACTCTTCATGCCAAGACTCTTCTGCAGAGATCGTAGCGAGAATTGTTGCTTTGACATAGCGGCAATGTTCCAAGCGTGGATGTCCCTCAAAAGGTCGGCGTTGTGCATAGTCTCGAGCATTTGTATCCGGCACGGTATTGTGTTCTACACGCTGTTCAATGGAGAGAAGGAGTAAACAGCGCCAACAACATACCAGGAGAGGGCCAATAACCTCTTCAGCGTCTGGAATGACTCGCCCGGATACAACATGGCCAAAGAGGACATCAAGATTCTGTAGTTTGGCATGGAGCATCCTCGAGAGAGCTGCTTGGGCGATGCACTGTACGGTAATCAGTAGTCGGCTGAGCACCGAAGCTAGAAGCGATGGATCGAATTTAACGACTTCCGAAATCAGGTGGGGTGTGTCGGGCGAGTTGACTGCCCGGGGGAGCTTTGGTGGAAGATCTTGTTTGATGAAGCCCCGAAGCTTTTCGACCCAGAAGCGGGTGCCCGATGTCTCATGTTCCTTGAGAATTGGAAGAATGTCGGTGAATTGGACGACCGTTAGAGTTTCCGCATCTTCGTACAATGAGGCAACGGTCTCCATAAGTTTAGCCAAAGAGATGCCGTCGTAAAGAGCGTGATGCATGACGAGGACGAGTCGATTGTCATGCGGGGCAGAGGAAGAAGAATATAAACGGATGAGGAAAGGAGGTCGCCGGAACGAAAGTTCGTCGATTAGGTTGAGAGATGTAATTAGGGCAGTAACCTTGTTGGAATAATCGATTTCGGTAGTGAATGAGTCTATGGACCAATCGAGAGTTTCTTGAGAATGAGTGACTTGACACCACACGCCGTCGTCTGCTGAAAAATGGAATGATGTGCGAAGAATAGACAGCACGTTCACAGCACGTTTCCAAGCAGCTTCGAGTAAGGATACTTGAACGTCCTGAGAAAGCCGAAGGGGAAAGGCGTGTACATAGAGATGTCCGCAAGAAGAAATCGTCTATCAAGTTCCTTGTTAAACAGAGGTAATTCGAATGGTGGGCAAGGCTCACTTGTGACAACATCCCGGCTTGTAGCTCTGTAACTGGATACGCAGTAACGCAGTCGCTTGGTGAAAGCTTGAATTCGTTGATATCTAAGCTCGGACAGACTCGCGCCTGGGTGTCAGTACCTATAGAGCTGGGAGTTTCTGCCGGGGTCTTTGATTCGAGGAGTGCCACCAAGTTTGACAGAGATCCACCGGACATGAGTTGGGTAGCCGAGAGGGGGAAACCTTCCCGTCGTAGAGTGCGACTGAGGCCCACTGACTTCAGAGAATCGAGACCCAAAGAAACCAGAGATGCGTCCGGCTTAAGGAGCGACGGATCGACGTTCAGGAAGTCGCCTATGACATGACGTAGGCGTGGAACGTTGCCATCGGAGGAGACATCATTGGATGTGCCGGAATGGATAAGGAGTGGAACCAATTGGTGTAGAGACGGATTCGACATGAGCTGGGGGGCAGAAATGCCTAAACCTGCCTGACGAAGGGTCCTGCTCAGTCCAACTGACTTGAGAGAGTCAAGGCCAAGCGAGATAAGCGAAGTATCGTCTTGTAAGATTGACTCCTTCAAATTCAAAAACTCTGCGATCAAAGAGCGAAGTCTATTCATCTGCGGTAGGTCGCGACCAGCGAGCGAAGGCATTGACAAAGTAGCACCGCCTGTTGATAAGGTTGCCGTGGGAGTTGTCAAGGTTTGTAAGGGCATCCCTTGGGTTCGTAGGTGAGATACGGAGGATGCCACTGTTTCAAAGGAGCGTAGCAGCTCCTTTACAAATTGCCCATCGACGGCCTCAGACAGCCAGGCAGCTTTGATCTCCAACGTATCATGAATTGGATTCAGGCCTACTTCAACTGCAAGGGGAAACTATAGATAATTGAGAACCATTATAGAAACGCGGGAATAATCAACACTTACGTCGGGGATGGGATTCTTCCTCTGAACTATCTCAAAGAGTCGGGGATTTGATGAGTCTTCGATGGCCAGGGAAAAGACTGCATCGAACAAAGGGAGGCCTGGCCGTACCCATGTTTGTATTTGGCTAAGACCGACGTGTTCGTACTCCATAGCTTCTGCAATGGCGTTTTGAGTACGAGATAGCGTATCTGTATGTAATGGGTTGACTCGGATCGGGTGAACAGCAATCAATGGGCAAATCGCTGATTCGATCCCTTCCGAAGCCTGAAGTCGCCCAGAGCGAATAGTCTAACAACGCATATCAGCACTCAAGAATCCAGGGGGTAATGAAGGAAAGAACTGACTCCAAAAACAATGTCGTCCCGTCCGTACACTCGCGCGAGAAGTGTCGCAAATGTACACGTGAGAAGTGTCTGAAGAGTGACACACGCTTGAGCTGCCATAATGCGAAACTCAGAGAGAGAAGTCCTGAAGGGAACAACGAAGTCCGCGCATTTCGTCGATGTGGTGCGTCGGAAAGGGGGTGCTGGCCATGAAAAGCCTTCGAACATAGAACGCCAGAAGAGTTCGGCCCTCACGAGATCGACAGACGCAATTGTGTCGAGCACGGCTTTTAAAGGAGTCGGAGAGTTGACAGATTCGCCGTGGTAAACCTGTTCTACATCTTCAAACAGGATCGGTAACGATGATCCATCAAAAAGCGCATGATGGAGTGAAAGTACAAGATGACAGCGTGACGAGGGAGATGTGAATGCCGTAAGTTGGAACAAAGGTTTATGAGACATGTTTTCGTTGAGATAGCGGGCAATGCCTTCGGCTTCGTGCTCGGCAAACCATTCTGCGAAATCTGACTCTAGGATCGATGGCATCGGCTTTTCTACCCACGGTAGAGCACAAACTCCTGGTCGCAGGATGATTTGCACGAGAGAACGATCAAAGTAGAACACCGCTCTAGGACGACGATCAGGCGAATTCCAAAGCCTGAAGTTGGAGACATACCTGAGGATTTGATGACGAGATGCAACGGTTTGCCATGCCTGTTGTAGCTTCAAGAGAGAGGTCTCAGGCTTACATGCCAAAATTGTCGTCTGAACATACAAAGTACTGTCTACAGCACTGCGAGAGAGCACGCCTTCTTGAACAGGGAGGGCGGGGAGAATGCACTCGATGTCGTCTCCTTGATATTCGCGCAAGATGGTAGGCAGCCAAAGACGGGAAAATGAATCAACGCAAGAGGAGGTTGGCGGTTGGGGTAAGGCCGATGCTGGTGGGTCGGGATGAGGAGTCCTAGACGCGTAGTCCGATTCGCAACGGGAAGCTAAGCCGGCAAGCGTGCTTAAATCCAAGCCGCGAAAGATACTAGCGAGCGACTTGGCATCTGCTTTACCATTGCTGCTCAAGGGGAGGAATTGCAGTGGAACGATGTGGCTGGGGCGCATGTAACTCGCCAATTCTGCCGCGCATACGGATTGTATGCTCTCAAGCAAGCCTTGAGGAGGGGTTGATATCGAAGGTAAACTAGCTTTTCGCGTGGAGATAGTTATGGTTGGATCCCATGCAATGAAGGAGACGAGTTGATCGGTCCCAATCTTGGGGTGGTTAGCGAGAATTGTGATCGCATCGAGGTTGATCCCAGCGGAAGGCGGAGCAGTTTTGCGGATAATGGCCGAGATTCCCTCCGATTCGATGCGTACACCTCGCAACTTGATCTGCGTGTCAACGCGGCCCAAAATCTCAAAGGTAGAATCCGGCATCATGCCTTTCATAGTCAAATGAGCGGGCCGTCCACCAATATAGCAATGTTGTGTTACGTACGAACGAGATCCCCTGTTCTATACGCCTTCTGACCACTCCTGGGCCATGTGAGGAAGACCTTGTTTGTGAGATCGGGTCGCCCATGATAGCCCCGGCCGACCAATGGTCCACCAACGACTAGTTCCCCTACGCCACCTCGGAGGACAATGTTCATGTTGTCGTCTACGACCTACAAGTCGGGTTCAGATATTGTTACAAGCACCGATGAAACCAGCGTACATATCCGGATACGTTGTCAAAGGTTTTTCCGATGTTAGACTTTGGAGTAGAGGCATCCATATACCTTGCGCAACATCCAATTGTGGCTTCGCTTGGCCCGTAAAAATTGGCGAGTCGAAATCTAGGGTGGTTAGCCCACTTGTCTAAAATCTAAGAAGGCCCGTATTGAGCGCCACATATGGGCCGAGGTCATACCAGGACACTTACTGCATCTGTGACTTTTTCTCCGCCGCTGCAAATGTACCGAAGCTTCATGTTATCAAGGTCCCCGTCCTCTTGTGCCACAGATAATGTCGCTTCCATCAGACTTGGAACGATGCCAAGATGCGTGATACCGAATTGCACGACATAATAAGAGAGATTCTCCAGCAAGATCGAACGAGGAACATTGTACAGTGGCGTGCCGAGGGAAAGGGAGACGAATACCTCTGCTAAATGGACGTCAAACGCGATCGCTAAACACCCATTTCAGTAGCATTTCTTGCTTGAAGGCCATCACGATACTCACAAGCAGTGGCTAGATAGCGACCCTCCCAGGCGTCCTCGCCTTCTTCAAAAGGGGCTACGGTAGCAATGCGACTAATGGCCCAGATCGCTTCCACAAGGCCTTCATGAGTTATCAGGCATCCTTTAGGGTTCCCCGTAGTCCCTATCCCTCGCCTGTTGAGCGGCTCTGAAGGCAATACGGAAGTGACTCACCAGATGTGTACAGGAGATATGCTAGAGATTCCAAGGATGCAACGCAAATACGGTCGTCGAGCTGGGCGGATATTTCTTGTTGGATGGAAGGCGCCTCGACGAAGATGGTTTCGCAGTCAAAAAGTGAGACGGATGTCAAATCCTTGGAGGTCAAGACAAATATAGCTTGCGAATCTGACGAGATATACTTCTTGCGTTCATCCGGGAGTTCGGGATCAATCTGCTCCTGTGGTCAGCCTTAGGCGATGTGTGGTCTTTGAAGGAACGCACCGGGACATAGCATCCACCAGCCCTCATAATACCCATAATCGAAACATGGAAGTGGCGATCCCTCTTCATACAAACTGCAACTCTATCCTCTTTTTGCAAGCCACGTTTGAGAAGCCAGCGGGCGAACTGATTGCTGCGAGCGTGCCATTCGCGGTAGGTCATAGAATCCGATGGTTGTATTGAGACGGGAGAGTCTGGAGAATTAGGGCACCAGTAGAAAGCGGTAGAATCGGGAGACTTCTCCGCTTGTTCGGTGAGAAATTCCATGGCTGTTGCTGGAGGTGGATCCCTTCTTGATGTACTGGGTTCATATAAAGACAGAAGATTTGGAGATAGGTCTGATATTTTGTGAATGAGTGTGGGAGTGAGAGACGGAACGTCTTGAAGGATTGACGTGAGTTGGTTGAGCATGAGGGGCGCAAACGATGGATGTAGCGTTGTATCCCAGGCCGTGAGCTCTAGTGACGAGTGCGTAGAATCGAATGAGATGGAGAATGGAAAGTCGTCCGGTTCCGACACGTGCGACGACAGTGAATACAGGGCTAAGCAGGGCATTTGGTTGGCGTCCAAATCCAAAGCCTTCCTAGTAGCGTCGAGTTCTTCCTGCTCTGTTGTACCTGCTCTGCTGAGCTGAGCTTGCACAGAGGCAACCACTTCGTCCCAAGATGTCGTATCCTCCCACAGAATCCGAATCACCTTGAGTCCAGCCTCTAGCCGGGAACCGACGAGAACATCTGACACTCCACAATAAGCCCCAACCACCCGACCAATGGCCGCAACAATGATGGGGTGGAACGATGGCCAATCACTGTTCCAGTGCAGCGTCGCCGATGCGCTGTGAAGGGTACGGGAAGGGTTACGCTGGCCGGATAGGTCAGGCCATTCAACGAGCTTGTAGCCGTTCAAGTAGTGCAGCGGTTCCATGCAGAAGAATGTTGGCGAGAGTTGGGCTGGAAGGAACGATGGAGTGGTAGCGAAACACGAAATCTTCAAGCACCAGGAACGAATGTTGGAGGTCCATTATTTTGTATCGCGCAATTCTCTGTAATTCGTCTAGTCCACCTCGATCACATGGACTTCTGCATCCATGCAACGGAAGATCTATCGCCGACTTTTCAACGCAAAACGTCTGGGAGGTACCCTTGGCGCAAAGAAGCACGAGGTTATCTTATCAGATGAACAAATGATTACGAACGATCTTATCAGATATCAAATGCTAGCTGTATGTAGAGATTGCCGTGCATCGGATGGTCCACAAGCGAAGATTCGTCCGGTGGGGGCCCATGTTATTCACAGAACCGTATTCGAACCGCATGTCGAAAAATTGAAAGCTTGGCGACGAAGCTGGATCTGGACTTCCTGAGACCATGTTGAAGGGAGTATAAAGAAAGATTCAATTACGAACTTACACCCACGACCAGAAAATCTCATCCTTGCAAACTCGGCCCATGTCTATCCCTTCGAGCGAATGTGTGTATGACGTGGTGGGTCTCGGTTTCGGGCCCGCAAATATCGCCGTAGCGGGCGCCATCGTCGAGAAATGGGGACAACCTGAGGTCGCCGGTGTAAGCGCGTCTCTTCTACTGGCGTAGCTGCATACTGATTGCTTCACAGAATCGCAATGACATCCAGAAAGTTCTTTTCATTGAAAAGAACGATAAGTTTCGATGGCACCCCGGAATGCTCCTGCCAGACGCTCGAATGCAAATCAGGTTTGTTGTATGTTCCTTTGACCATTACGAAAGACTAAAACGACGTCAGCTTTTTGAAGGACTTGGCAACCCTACGCTCACCACAATCGCCTATAACCTTCCTGGCGTATCTTAGCAGCCAGAATCGACTCCTTCCGTTCATCAACCGGGGGTCAACTATACCCACACGAAAGGAGTTCGCCGATTATTTATCTTGGGCAGCGGCCTACGTGCAAGAAAAGGGCGTCGGTGTCAAATACGGACACCAAGTGGTCGGCCTTGATGACCGACGGGATGGCACCGTCGCCGTACGCATGAAAAAGGTCGGCGCAGACGAGGAAACTACTGTGATAGCTCGTGAGTCTTTGAAAGCACTTTAGCTGCTGTTAGTTATGCTTACCTTCGTTGGATGAAGGGAACATTATCATATCCCCCGGAGGCGCACCACGTATCCCGGACGTCATTACCGCAATCTTTCCCCATACATCCATTATTCATAGTTCATCGTACGCAACATCAATCGGACGGATCCTCAGCAGGATGGTGTCTCGCCCGCTGGCTATCGCAGTCGTAGGTTCCGGTCAGTCGGCCGCTGAAGTTACCATGGACGTCCGCGAGCGGTTGAGTGCCATTAGTGTTGGGGATAGTCCACAAGTGCACGAGGTCGACATGATTATTCGTCGAGGTTCCCTCAAGCCCAGTGACGACTCCCCTTTCGCTAACGAAATCTTCGATCCGTCAGGTACGTCCAGCACAATTAGGCAACCAATCCCCGCTGACATTTGGGGCATTTAGCTACGGACGCATGGTTTTCCTTACCCGCAGATCACATGAGAGCTGATCGCCATGCAGAGTACAAAAGCACCAATTACGGTGTCGTAAATCCCCGAACCTTGGAACAAGTGCGCCATTTTACTTCCGTGACTTGGGGGTATTTCACTGATTCCCACCGCTAGCTATATGAAATCGTCTACGACCAAAGACTCGAAGATAATATCGCCGACCGAACCAGATGCGCTGGTACACAGAAGCCTAGGATCAGCATTCGTCCATATTCTTCGATCCTCTCTGCAGAATCTACGGAGGGCTTAGACGCGTCGAAAGTAAGGCTACTGATACAGAACTCGATTACACGCACCGTGGCCGAAAAGCGTTACGACGTTGTCATTTGCGCGACTGGCTACGAGCGATCTTCATGGAAGTCACTCATCGCCGATTCCAACGTCGGGAAGTGGTTTGGGCTTGCGAACGGCGGACATGCCATCCATCTGGCGCCCGAAACCACGCGCCCCCTCACACAAGTAGCGGATCACTTACACATGCACGCTCGGCTCGTAGAGCAATCGAGACACGAGTCAGCATCCCCCGGAAGCGATAGCTCCTGCAGCACGCCTCCGACTTCGCCTCTTCCATCCACACCACCAAGCGAAGAAAGCCATGGAACATCGAACACGTTGTATGTTTCGCGTCATTATCGTCTCATCCCCCTGCCCTCGCACGACGAATCAGAGGGACCAAAAGCACGAATCTATGTCCAAGGTGTCGAAGAAGCTAGCCATGGGCTAAGCGATACGTTGCTGAGTGTGCTAGGGGTGCGAGCAGGAGAGGTCGTAGCGGATATGTGCAAGGTATAAGTAGTTGATCGGATTCAAAGAGCGTAATCGGTAGTCTAGAGGTCGTCTAATCAAGATAGGGAAATTTCCACGGTCACTCAATTTTTGAAAGGAGTGAAGTCTGTAGGAATTATTGAACCGCCGTGGTGCATCGCTTGCACAAATCATTAGAAGATTGACGCGTATATGTCCAGCATCTGGGACACTTCTCCAACGTCGCTGGCCGCACCCGAATCATCAGTCTTGCATCGGAATCTAATCTGTGGTGAGGATCTTATCATAAATACCCCAAACGAAATGTACTGACTAGGTCCTTGGAAGCTGTCCATGTGTAACCATTGAGGCGAGATATCGCCAAGAGTCTTTGTGTCAGTTACGCGCACGCCAGATACTATGAAGAGTGTCTTAAGGAAAGATTCCTGTCTCCGTAATAATCGCGAGAATTCGACGGGGAAGCCTAGATCATCAGGGAGTATAATGTCGACTTCTGCTTCCAAAGAACTCTTGATTTGCCTAACAATAGTTTAGTGAAGAGTGGACACCGCGACTGGTAGACGACAGCGTACTTTTTCGTGCGCGCCAGCTCTAGCAGTGACAGCACATTGCTACGAACGTGCATCAGCGATCGCATTTCTTCTGCAGCTTGTGTATCCTTCCATTCATCACCCTAAAGTGCGGAGTGAGAAGGCAATTTCATAACATGACGAATCACTCACCAGGGGAGTCCATTTCCTTTGGAACACCGAAGACAGAGACGTGTCATTCTTCGCATGCTCGTACACTTCTTCCGCTAGATGTGGCAAGATTGGGGCGTAGATATGGATCGTGGTCGAAAGGACCTAAGCGTATATGGCGCGGTCAGCACACGTCCCTTCACCCGCATCCGTACTTACCTGCTCCAATACTGTGACGACGGCTCTTCGCTCTGAACTGCTTGGAGTATTGACATACAAACAATCCTTTGTGATATCGAAATAAAGAGAAGACAAGGTGATGTTAGTGAAGTGTGTCAGCGCATTGACAACTAGATGACCATCAGTGAGATTCGAAGAGTAATCATTGCGTATCGTGGCCAACCTTTCGGAAAATTGTACGACGTGTAGCTTTCCAACGCCGTTCGCTCCAGGGAGTATAGTTCATGCATGATGTAGCGATCAGCCTACATATTTGTCTGATACGTCAGAATGTGCTCCAAGGGCGATGTGCCATACGCACCAAGCTCATGTCTTCTTTCGAAACAGCAACTCGCTTGAGTTCGCCACCGTTAGCCGTGTTGCCCAAGATGAATCTAGCCGTATTCCGTATTTTTCGCAGAGATTCAAATGTTTGCGCTAGAACTGTGGGTCCGATGGCGATATCCTTCCAATACTCCGCCGTCGCCGCCCATAGCCGTAATACGTCCGTTCCATATGCTGGCTCTTTTTTCTTGTCCTGGAGCGAGCCATAAGCCTTTGGATAGATTCCTGAAGATCTCGTACCTTGCCACCATGGATGACAGTCATCGGACTGATGATATTACCCAGGGATTTACTCATTTTCTTTCCGTTTTGGTCCAAAACCATTCCGTGAGTTATGAGGTCCTTGTAAGGCGACTGTGGAGTTTTCGCGTTCTCCTCGCTGCTCTCAGACGCAACGGCAGTCAACAGCTGGCTCTGGAACCACCCTCTGTGCTGATCACTACCCTCCAAACAGACATCCGCTAGATGCTTTCTCTGTGGCCCGTACTGTTTAACCGTGTCTTCGAGCATCGACCACGATGAACCGCTATCGAACCAGACATCCATGGTGTCGGTGCTCTTCCTCCATACCTCTGAAACTACTTCGCCTTCTTCGCGAAGAAATTCTGGGACGAAGTCTTCTATAGGCCCATCCCACCAATGTGCTATGCCTTTCGCGTCGAGGAGAGGGAGAATGTGATCCAAAGTGCGTGAAGTGAGAACCGCTCGGTCAGTCGGGATATGATGTAGCGCGAGGATCGGCACCCCCCAAACTCGTTGGCGTGATATACACCATTCTGACCTCGAGCCAACAAAAGAAACGAGACGATTTCGAGCTGGGCACCGTTAATAAAATGCGTGAACGATGTGCCGACGTTACTCACAAACTGAGGGATAGAAAGACACGTCTTCTAATGCACTGAGGGCCTTGTCTTTGATCTGTTCCAAGTTGGCGAACCACTGTGACGTCGCACTAGGAGACTCGTCATGTACGCTATGGATTGGACAGTAAGAGGCTCGTACGTGACAATGATTGGCTTGTCAGTCTTCCAATCATATGGATAACGATGCTTGATGCGTTGAATCTTAATCAACGAACCAGTTTTCTTCAACAACTCTACAACGGATTTCGAGCCTCCGGAAAGAACGTCTTGCCCAACAAGGGTTTGCCCTGCGTCTTGACCAACCACCTCCGAAACTTTCTCAGTGAAACAGCCAGCATCGCCAACATGACAGATGATGGATTCCATGTCGGAGATCATCCCGAGCTTTTGCAGAGCATAGTAGTCTTCGTTGCCGTGAGCAGGAGCGCAATGCACCAGACCCGTACCAGAATCAGCGGTGACATGTGAAGCGGCTATGATTTCGAGGTGATCGTCCCGTCCTGAGAGGGGCGAAAAGATGGGTCGGTAGGCAACGCCTACGAGCTCGGATCCTGCAAGTGATTCGGTAAGGACCGTAAGCCTTCGAGAAGGACTTGTCATACCAGGAATTTCAAGAACAACTTCTACTAATCCTAGCATGTCGCGCAATGCATCCAATCGGTCTCTGACGACCACAAACGCCCCGCTATTTGAACCCCCGGCCAAACTCTTCACAACGACGTAACTCAGCTCGGGATTGACTGCAATAGCCTATAAGGGTGGCATCAATCACTGATCATCAATGGCATCCAAATCATATACCATGTTTGCCGTCAGTGTCCAAGGAGTTGTGGTCCATACCAACAACCGGGGGTTCAGCGTAGATGTGAACACGTCGCGCATACCAGGATTTGCCGACTCTGACTTAGAGTCGACTTCAAACGCGACGAAAACAGAATGAGACACATGGTCGTCCTTGTACACCAGCTCCGCTTCAGCCAAAGCAGATCGCGAGGACGGAGAGTAGTGAACAGGTCGATAATGCCTATATATTAGTCCTTTGAAACGTCAGAATATGCAGAGGACGAGGGGGCGTGATGAATACCATTTGCTACCATTTTTTGGAAGATTCGAAGCTGGCGCATCTCGTAGTCGTGATCTTAAATATGACCTCAGGAGGTGACAATGAAGATGAAGAAAGTAACTACCTAAAGTCCGGTACGTTGAGGTCTCGCTCCAGTCTGCCATGATTCCCAGTTCCTGAAACTGTTGCTTCTGTGATTGGACTTCGCGCTGCGCTGTAGACCTCGCTGCACTACGTATTTCATTTGCCGACGCCGTGCTCGATTCTTTCTAACTACCTGATGAATGGGAATAACATAGTAGGGAAAGCGGCTTACTCCAAGTTCTTGCAAGGCTTTATTCTCGATTGGAAGGCCATGGCAATCCCAACCAGGGATATAACTGTAGCCAAATTAGCATGTATGCCTTGTAGAGTATAACTACGAGTGCTCACTGGACACGCCTCCCTTGGGACACATGAAACCTGTTGGTGATATCCTTCAAGATCTTGTTCAATGCATGGCCTACCTGTTGGTAAGGAACCGGGATTTGGGTATAGAAGTAGGCTCTCACCCATGTGCAAGGCCCCGTTTGCATACGGAGGGCCGTCATGTAGGACAAACAGTTCACCCTTTGCGTTCTCCCACTACATGCTTAAAGGCTCGGGGGTGAGATGACGAGGCGACCTGGATCCACAATTCCTGACCTGCCAACGATACAGTTCCTCACATGCCCTCCGGCGATATGGCTCTTCGCGTTTCGAGGGTTCCGCCCATAGAGGGAAACTGGTCTTGGGGAGTAGGAGGGTATTCGAGTAGGATTTATTTGGGGCGGTCGAGTATTTTGCCCCTACACCGGGGATACGCCTTCTACGAACACGAAGTTGTTGGACGAGGCGGGAGGAGAAGCCCATAGCCGTTCACGCGTTTGGACGCGCTCTCTAAACTTGTCTGGTCTTCCCACGGTTACGTCCAGCTCGAATCCGTTCACGGTCCTTCAATGGAAGCGGTCGCTTTGTAGTAGGATATACGGCGATAGGCCGGACGGCAGCCAGAGAAGACAAAGATATAAACATAAGATATCGTATGAGCATAGTCTTGACCTCAGGCCACAGAAAATTATTTATACTCGTAGAAACATATCAACCTCGTGAAAAATATGAAGCAAGCTACGCAAAAGTGAGATTCATTCTACCATCCACTGTTTCATGATCAGAACACAGACATAGTCTGACGATAGTTATACCAAACAAGTGAGTGCGTAGTCTATAAAGATGCCAAAGAACACAATACTTCCAAGCGTATATCCATTCCTATGGAACTAAACTCTCGTCTCATCAGTTATCCAACAGCCTTCAAAAACCAGTGGCTTATTGCTTACCGCCCTCCCACAGCTTTCCGTCCTCTCAAAGTCTATCTCCATCAGCTGCAGAAGCAGATCCACCGCCGCCCCACCAACACTAAGAACAAAATAAGCATACCCTTGATTGTTCAGCACACCCGCTGTGTAAAGCGCCGCGAGCAATATCATGCCGAACAGCGCGATGACGAGCTTTGTGCGGGAGGCAAAGAGCACGGCGGTGGATTTGATGCCGGCTTTGAGGTCGTCTTTGCGGTCTTGACAAGCGTAGATGGTGTCTACGGCGGGGGACTCAGATACAAGCCATATCATATATGAGCAAGTAAGAAATGCGAGACACGTACCGTACCACAATGTCCATCTTTGTTTCTTCGGTCAGCGATGGTGCAGAAATTTGGGACGGGGAGGGGAAGACTTACGCCCATGCACCTCCGCTTAGCACGAGGGCACTCGTTGGGTAGGAGCCGCTGGTGTAGGCCCACGCCGCGACGACGCCGATACTGAGAGTCACACCTAGCAGTTCTTTGGTTAGTACGCACACGAACGAAATCCCGCTATGGACGGGAGATTGTGACACGCACCAAGCCACGCCTGCGGCCAATACGTCACGCGCTTCATGAAAGGATATAGCCCAGCGAGAGGGAAGAGAGACACAAGCCCGATGGTCCATCTGAACCTCTAGCATTAATACTGATACTAACAGTAGATATGCGGCATGGGTGACTTACGCAAGAGGGTTGGATGGCCAGAGCAATGCGAGAAGAGGGATGATATTGATGGTCAACCATACCAATGCCCCGCGAACGGAGACGCGCCCGGATGGCAAAGGGCGGTTCTTCGTGCGCTCTATCATGGGCAGGGACCAAGAGAATATGAACATACGGGCAACAAGGGGGGGCGGGTGTTGGTAGCTCACCAACTTGAGCATCGAGGTTCCTGTCAACAATGTCGTCCCAGATACATCCAGCGCTGCATTTCCATTGTAATTCTACGCATAGTATGCTGACTGGGTCGATTATCTTACCTGTGAAATAAGAACGATCCGATGATCCCCCAGCCCAGGAATCGCAAGACAACGTTAAGTGGAAGGTTCAGTGTCCTTGCTGACATGACGAGGCCCCATGCTATCAGAATTAGTATCAGCTATCGTCGTCGCATGGTAAGAGTAAGGCAGCTGACCAAAGGGCCAGAAGATGAGCAAGATGCCCGCCCGGTTTTTGACTCGAGACAATTCAAGCTACGCAATGATATTTCAGAGGTCAATTATATTCGGATAAGCGATGCATCTGTCAAATAAATTGAACGTACGTAGGCACTGTAGTCGATTGATTTCGTAGCGGCAAGAGGGTTAGCCTTTGAATCGAGAACGCTGGATGATGACATTGAGATCAATGAGACGAGCCCGTTAAATCGGCCGTGTGTCTTTATATCTTCAGAGAGGTGTACTAGTTGAGAGGTAGCAGTCTCGCTGGTAGACAGAGCTTTAATACGTTGCTGGGGTGGATGGTAGCACCTCGTTATGGTCACCGGTGGCGAATGCAAACACAATGGGCAGCGGACGACCAAGGTATGCAACTGCAGGCGAGTATCGCGAGTATTATTGCTGGCGGTGCCACAAACCAAACTCTTATATTCACCGCAGCAGGGGCCCAGAGGTGTTTTGTGGTGACTATGCGCGCGGCGCGCGCGATAGATAAGAGGTGATGAATTAATGCAGCAGTACAAGGGCGAGGCTGCGCGCCCGCATCCCATATTTTCGGTGATAGTGACGACTGATACAGTCCGATAACATTGGAGGGACGCGGGCGAGGTGTGCCACTAACGCGTTTGTTCGTTATAACGGACCAAGGTCATGATAAAGCTGATACACAAGAGTTAACATATCAACACGGATAAAGCATAGTGACCAGCACTCACATGAAATTCAAATTCCCATTCCTACGTTAAAGGAGTTTATCAGTCCTTGGCCTCGCTCAGCGAGGCAGGCTGCAGCCGCGCGCCACTCGCCCATATGCCGGGACTCTGACGTGGACCTCCCCATGGACTTGTGGACGGCTTGTAACACTTCCTTTTTGGGTCCAACCTCGTTCCGTCCCGCCCAAATGTTAATATTCCTCTAAACTCCACATAATAGCTTCCAACCTTCTTCCTGGCCTACGATAACCAGATACCAGTGCACTGATGACTTCGGGTGCCGATGGACGAAACGAGCAACTGGACGATGACCCACCCATCATCACTCTGCGTTCGGCGGCGAAAGATATCGCCATTGGTAGTGTGGGTGCTTGCTAGTATGCGGAAATGCTCGAGGCTTGCTGAACGCCAAGGATGATCATAGATAGCAGGCATGGTCTCGGAGGTGTTCGAGTACCCATTCGACCTGGCCAAAGTCCGTCTGCAGTCCCAACTCTTGACTGCCTCGAGCACCTCGACTCTCCGCTTCAACGGGCCCGTAGATTGCCTGAAGCAGACGTTTAGAGATGAGGGAGTCCGAGGCTTGTATCGGGTACGTTTGCGATTTTCGTGCACGTTTAGTTTTAAATCAAGAATTCATGCAGGGTCTGCCTGTGCCCATTGTCGGCACCATGGCTGAAACGGCGATACTATTCTTCGCATATACGTCGTTCCAGAACCTCATCAAGAAATACACCGGTTCCTCGTCGAAGCTTACTGCGACACAGTTCGCAATTGCAGGTGGATGCGCTGGGGCGACAGCGAGTTTTGTGCTGACTCCCATCGAGCTGATCAAATGCAAGATGCAAGTGCAGATGATGTCTGCATCTGCATCTGCACCGTCTGCGTCTGCAGCCCCCGCCTTCTCACCCCGTGCACCCGCCTATCCCTCTTCTTCCCCGGGCTTCTCTTCCTCCTCCCAACCTATCATGGCCTCCCCTCCCCGTAACACCCGATCCCATTCCACGGCCCCAACTCCAAAATACCCCGGTGCAATCTCGCTCATCCAAACAACCGTCCGTACGCATGGCATCACAGGGCTATGGCTCGGGCACACCGGCACGCTGCTGCGCGAGGGCGGGGGCAATGCCGCGTGGTTCGCGGTTAAGGAGACCATCGCAGCTGCGCTCATTCGACGACGTCTGCGGAAGCAACACAAGTCACTCCCTTCGTCATCGTCGCCGTCGATTGCGGCTGCGGGGGCGACGCCCCGCCCTCCGCGTCCGCCGCTAACAAGCAGCCAGCGGCGCCACGGGGCGGATATCCTGCCTTGGGAGTCGGCGGTATCGGGTGCGATTGCGGGTGCGTGTGGGACTGTGGTGTCGTATCCAGCGGATACGGTGAAGAGCGCGATGCAGACGTCGGAAGAGATTCGGGCGGGGAGACAACATCTCTCGATGGGTATTTCGCCCTCCAGTCCAGCGGGATTTGTGGCGACGTTCAAGCGGATGTACGCTACCCACGGGGTGCGGGGCATGTACGCGGGGTGTGGGATGACCGCCGTCAAGGCCGTCCCGATCAGCGGGATCCTGTTCGTGGTATACGACGGGCTGAACTCTTTGGTGGACAAGTATTTCGTTGTCTAACGGGTACGGGGTTGGATGCACCTGTTTGTTTTGCTTTGGAGGTTGAGCTTTGCATGTTGACGGGGGGCACTGGGGTTTATAATAGCCTGTTTATTTTGCTTTGAAATTTTGTAGCGTAGATAGAGTTCCAGCTCCAGACGATATCACCTAGAATATTTACATCCATACATAGGTACAGCATAAGTAGTAGAACTTGATAATAGAACGCAAATCACCATTCAAATACGTTCAACCGTTCCCCATGTAAATAGGAAAGGCTCTCTGGAAAGGGAAACATCAGAGTGCGCTTCTAAGGAATTAGGTTCAACTACTTCTTTACCTAGCATCCCTTGGACTCTTGTTGGACAAGTCTCTGTTAGTATATCGGTTAGTACACGCGCCTGTCATGATGATTGTTCGCGCGAAAGCTGGGTTCGACTCCCAGACAGAGAGCTTCAAGTTTTGAATTTTGCTTACGTCAACCTGACTTCTCGCCAATATTTATATTCGATGCTTACTTGTTTGCCCGCTTGCATGTCATGAGCCACACCTCGTTTTTAACTCGAAGTCCCATTCCCTCGCATTCTCAATATACCTCGCTCACGACGGCGACGACGAACACCACCACGACGACGACGACGACGAGGAGCCCAGGGACGACAAGCCCAGGCTTTCCCTCGTCATGGCCGCGCCAATCTGCATTGTTTGGTTCAACTTCTAGCCCCTCAACCAGGAGACGTCCAACTGCTACGGACGAGGCTTTGAGATCATCGCTGGGATATTTCGCTTTCCTGCCCCAGTCAGATCCTAAGCCCCCGCTGCCGCCTCCTGCCCCAAACACGGGCTCCAAGGCTGCCACCGACACTGCTGAGAGGCTGGGCTCCACCCGGCCACCCGAAACGCCTCAAGGGTGCTCGGAGTCAGATCGACAAGAACACGGTACATCGGCCCACACGGCGCGTCTGGAACGCGAGCAGGCTGAGGCTACGCAGGGAGAGTTTGATTGGGTCCGGTCTGGTGGAATCCTGCGCGACGCTCGTGGGCGCAGGGACAAGGTACGTACGGAGGCCATCCACGCCGAGATTCGCAGGCGGGACGAGGAAGATGGGATCATGCGCACCTGGAATTCATATGAAGAGCGGTGGAGAAGGTTAAGCCGACCCGGGACCGGGACCGACCAGCATATGGCCATACAATTTCGCGATATCCCATGGCCCCAAGGATCGGCGGCCGACAGGGAGCTTGGTGTAGGGCCGGTAGGGACGGTGGAGGACCTTGACGTGGAGAGCATGCAGAGGTTCTTTCTCGCGACGCTCAGGGTGCGGACGAACAGGATGACGCGCAAGGAGTTGGTCAGAGCGGCGTGGCTCAGGTGGCATCCTGATAAACTCGTTTCCGTGCTCGCGCGTGTCGTGCCCGAGGACGTGAGCATGGTGCAAGAAGGCATCAGTCTGGTCATGGTGTGCCTGAAAGCGTTGCAAGGGGGCTGCTAGTGCTGAAGATTGAATGTCGGAATGGACACTGGATGGTATTCATGTGGGTGCTGGTCGCTACGTTATACCTGCGTTGATATCCTTTGTGTATTAGTTGGTAGATGCTTTCGATATTTGCTTTGAAGATTATCAGCCGTTTGACCGACGGGGCTGCAGCACACCTGTCCTGCTGTCATCTAAGAGGAGAACGCGGATGCGTTGTTTCGACTTGCAATCCCTCAGCATGAGGAGTCATGCAGCTGCTAGCAATCACATCGAGCCCGGCGGATGTCAGAGATTGCGAGATGTAGCCTTGCAAACAACATTGCTCGACCGTCCGTGTCCAGGACACTCACCGTCAAGCCAGTGTATCGAAGCTCTGGTAACAATGCTGCCCCTCATTCATATACATCTTAGTAAGTCGTCCATCTAATGGACAACTCCTTGTCGCCGCGAAATAAACCGACTACAACGAGCATATACGTTCAAGTTACCTGATACAGATTGCCTTGCTGCGACTGACCCGGAAGTTCCAATGAAACACTGGATCCGCTTCTAGCCGTATGTATTCTGCGGAACACACGACAACTCAGTGGAGTGCCGGACGCAGCTAGGACGATACCACGGGAAGCCCAACATCCTTATACTCCCCTAATGTCGCGATCGCACTGCTTGACCTTGGTTTACCGACACGTCCTCAACCGCGACTTCACCGCGACTTGACTACGACGCATCGGACGGTCTCTGGTTGAATGTATGGAGGTCGCACCAACCCTGCCGCCTCTCCCAGGCATGCCGTGCAACTGCACCCCCAAGGGAGGCAGCCCATATATACCGCCGTGCTTCGGCTACAGCTTCTTCTCGTCCGCACGCGCCCTCGAGGTATGCATAGCCCACATAGCCCACACACCAGCCGACAAGCACCCACCGCTGAGAGAGTAGAGATGGCACGAGAGCGTGAACATCGAACACGAGCGCGAGCAGATCGGCCTAGATTAGTTCCTCGACCGCGTTTCGGAGATCTTGGGGCACGAGCATGGCGTCAGTTTGGAGGAGGCGGAGTGAGCAGCTGGGATCTGTTCGTTGAAATACACTCCGGGCTTCAAGGCTCCCAACACGGCGGCAGGATGATTGAACCGCCCCTCGAATCGCATCGCGACATAGACTCGCGGGAAGACAATAAGGATATCATTTTACCCTTCGAGGGTCTTTGAGGAACTTGGTTTTAGTTTCATAGGAACGACATACGCTCGGAAGTTGCAAACATTGTATTTTTTGGTTACCTCCAGGATCACGCCGCGGCGTGCTTGATCTAACACCAATGTACATATTGGACTCGTGTCTACAGCCGACGTGGGGGTTCGGTTCTCATCAATTCCTCAACGTTGAGATATGATCATATTAGCCATTTGTATCGGTACTTCATATTACCAATTCGTCAGTACTCAAATGCACTCCAACCCTGCCAGTTGGACGAGCGTCTAATACATTATTTCTAATACGAGTACCTGGCCAGTCGACAATCCTCCTCTTAAACTCGAACTTCCTGATGTTGCCACGCAAGTTCCGCCCCCGCGTAATCCAGTCGTCTTCTGGACACCTTACATCCCAGCCCACTCCTTTGCAGCCTCAACGCGACAGCCTTCCTTCTGTAACCTGGCCGGGGTTAGACACATTCGGGACTAGCTGATACTAGATAGTACGCTTATTCCCCTTGTGGGCTCCTCTCCCAACTATTTCGACGATTTTTCTCTAGTAGGCAGTCGTCTGCGATGCTTCATCGATCTACACGCCCATATTCCCGGTTGTGATGGTTGCAGATGATGGGCTCCACTTGACTCTTTCCTTGGGGCAGTTCCATCTCAGCACTCAAAACGAGACACAGTGCGTTGTGTCACTTCCATGGCAGCTATAGCTCACAGACAACGACCACTGCTCGACGATCACTCTGTGCACTGCCAGGGAAAGCATTTCGAGCCCCCCGAGTCGTTCAGAGTCCTGAAGAATCTCGGAGGTGTCATCATGTGATTGCTGTCTTCTCGGATGACATCACGGCATCTACAACGGCACAGGTAGTACTGGCTTGTCTACCTCTGTTTGGAAATTCCCTGGGCGGTCTTCCTTATAATCGGCTCGAATCTACACACCCTCTCTTCCTCTCTTCGTGACCACCATCATCCCCGTATCCAAATTCGCCTTGCAGAGTCAAACATGCCTGAAGGTACAATGAAAGCGCTCTGGTACAATGCCGTGAGTGCATAGTCGCTGCCTTTGTGCGAAGTTGAAGCTGATGATCGTCCAACTCAGCCCAAGGACTTCGAGATTAGGCAAGTACCTATCCCGAAGCCTGGAGACGACGACGTCTTGCTCAAAGGTGCGTACATGACACGAAACGGGGCGCATGACCTCGGGGAATTGAGAATTCGCGCATATAGTCGCCTGCTGCGGCGTCTGTGGCACCGACGGCCATATTCAGTATGTTCTGTTGTCCCAGTACTCGGTATTCAGAGCTAATCTCGCCACGTCACAGCGAGGGCGAGTTTATCTCCAAATTTCCCGTGAGTTACATACGGCTCGGAAAGGATTTGTTGCCTGATCGATCGATCGGCTGGCCTTTCATTATATGCGCTCATTATATGCGCGATCTGGATACGATGTCATCTTGCAGCTCATCCCAGGCCACGAGGCCGTTGGGACAATCGTCGAGCTGGGGAAGAACGTGAAAGGCTTTGAGATCGGTGACCGCTGCGTCGCCGACGTTGGCATCACGGTGAGCACATTGGATCTGGCTGTTAGCTCAGTATTCTCATCGTACACCGGCGAGGGTAGTGCGACGATTGCTTCTATTGCCGCCGTGGCCAATCGCTCTTGTGCGAAAATTTTAACTCGCGTGGTGTCACCCAGGACGGCGGCTTCGCCGACTATGTCGTCTAGTATGTACGAGTATTCCCCGGGCAACTCATACTGACACGCTCTCCAGCCAACAGAAGAAGCTGTACAAGATTAACAACCTTTCCGACGAGGATGCGACCCTCCTTGAACCCGCCGCATGTGCTATTCACGGGCTCGACAAACTTTCGCCACCCGTCGGCGTGGAAGTTCTGTTGCTCGGCGCGGGCCCCACCGGCCTGATCCTCGCGCAGCTGCTCAAGCTCAACGGCGCTTCGCGCGTAGTCATCGCCGCGAACAAGGGCATCAAGATGGACATTGCTAAGCAGCTGGACGCTGGTGACGAGTATATCGAGTTGGACAGGCAGAACCCCGGACCGCAGTGGCAGAAACTGAAGGACGACAACCCGTATGGATTTGATGTCGTTGTCGAGGCGACGGGCGTGGAGGCGCTGGCGAACGAGAGTATCAACTACGTGAGGAGGGGCGGTACGCTGATGGTCTACGGTGTCTACGAGAACAAGGCCCGCGTCCACTGGCCTCCCGCGAAGATCTTTGGTGATGAGATTAAGGTGGGTATCCCCCTCCCTTCGTGGGACGATTTCGCTGACGGTGGTACTTCTGTAATCCCGTAGATCATCGGCTCGTTCTCGCAGACATTCTGCTTCCCGCGTGCGGTAGCCTACCTCGACAGTGGGAAGATCCGCGTCAAGGGGATGGTGACGGATGTCTTCAAGCTCGAGGAATACCAGGCGGCTTTGGACAAGATGAACAGCCGAGGCGCGGTCAAGATCTGCATCAAGCCTTGAACGGGTGGACGATAGGTATGGAGATGCCGTCGAGGCATGGTGGAGGAAGTGTGGAGAGACGAAGTCGACGCCAGGGCGTAGCGCTGTATAGTGAATTATGTATATTATGTACATGTGCATGGACGATACCCTATTGTATATGGCCGGCTCGTGCGAGCTTGGAGGAACAATTGTAGGAATCAGAGTAGGCTCCGTGTTGCTTGTATTTCACCAAGTCTCTGTTAGTATATCGGTTAGTACACGCGCCTGTCATTGCGGCATTGATCGGTGGGTCGCGCGAAAGCTGGGTTCGACTCCCAGACAGAGAGTATTATAATAGGCAGGAAGTAAGTCCTTAAGTCCTTTGAAAGCTTTTTGAGCCCGATACGTTGCTCTTGGTATTTGTTCGACGGCCATCAGAGCTTCGTCCGTGCGGACCAGCTCGCTGGGCAGGGACCATGCATGATGAAGCCCAAATGGGCAGAGCTGATGTGTAGTAAACTTTGTAAGACAGTAGTTAAGGGAGGCTTGTAATGCATGTACGGGCATAGTAACGGTAATTGAACACTACGTATGCCTTCTTGGCTCGAGGCCAGCTGGTGGCGTTGGCGGGAAAAGATATTCAGAAATCCTCCATGGCCTTGGATGTGCCCAACGTTCTTCACGAAGCGCAGAGATTGGGAGAGTAGGGAGAGCATCGCTCCAGAAATCAGAAGCAACCCTTCGAATGGGTTGGGAGTTGTGTAAACAATGGCATTCCGCCGAGTTCTCACGGTCTCGGTCAGCTGACTTATTGACTTACAATGACTGCCACCAGTACTAGTAACTCAACGCTGAACGGACCTCATTTCTACTCTCAAATCAAACATTATGGCAGATCGCCAAGCGAGCGGGTGAGTTGCTTGCTTCTGAACCTCCCGCCTAATACAATGACCGCCCTGAAGATCAACGGGTCCGCCACCCGAAGGTCCACCAGCCGCTGGGGTTCCACAGGAAAGTGAGATGTGAGTATCGCTAGTAACACCGTGCTGTCAGCTTTGTGAACGTTTTTCAGCAAAACGACGCCAAGAACAGTTCGCACCGCCGGTGGGGATACGGGAATAAGTAAACTTCGAGACCACATCGCCGAGCAGATGGAGGGGGAGTTCAGCATCGTCAGCGTTGAGGCATTTATGTCGCATTATCTACCATTCGAGCCGACCGAAGACGACGTCAAGGACATGGAGAAATCGCTTGCCGAGATGAAATTGAGTGTCTTGGTTGAAGTGGATGGAGAGCTCCGTTTTCACGAATTCCTGGTCCCCCCTTGCAATGCTAATGGGACAGAGACTCCCTCGTACAGACCTCTCGAGGATATTTCCAGGGCGATAGCTTCTGTGCCTGTCGAGGGACGGACGCGCAACGAATTCAGCTTCCGTGTTTGCCCCAACACCGTCATCAAGTCACAAATTGCTGGCTCGGACAACAGGGTCGACGGATGCTTTACCTCAGAGGATCCTGAGAGCAAGACATTGGATACCTCTCGTCTTGCGTGTATCCTCGAATACAAGCTGAACCGCTTGCAGGAGGTTGAGGTACGTCTTTTCTAAGCTTGTTCCAACTCGATTCAAGCAACCTCGTAGAACAACAAGCAAGCCCTGTCGGCAAGTGTCCAGATCATGAATGACGATGTCCGTCGCATGTTCACATATGGGGTGGGTCCCACTGCTGCTGTGGTATTGGTCTCTTGTCTGACTGGCAGTAGATTACTATTATCCGAGATCGTGTTACTCTATGGTATCATTCTCGGTCGCACTCGATGATTTCAGAGCCCTTCAGTTTTGTAAAAGTCGGTGAGGTCTCCCCCATGCAGTACACAAGTTGACTTTTGTGCTAGAACCCACAACTCCTTATCAAAGTCTTCATGTCATTCCTGTTTGCCACGGAGGAGGAGCTGGGATACGACCCAATGGTCACTCGGGACGCGAAAGGGGACTATATATACAGAATCCCCTCTACCGAGCAGGGACAACAACGCGACCGTTTCTTCCGCACTACTGCTTCCATCGCCGAGTATCGTTCGAACAATATCACTGGTCGTATGGCTCGGGTGTGGAAGGTGGTCGAATGCAATCCGAGTGGCGCTGTGTTATCGCCCAGCGAGCCTTCCCGTGTATTGAAGGATGTCTGGCTGGAGGATTCGGCACTTACTGAGTCGCAGATTCAGTCGCAGATCTTCGCGGACCTCAAGAAGTTCTTCCGTGACAAGCAAGACGCGCGATATCTTGCCTTCGAGGAGCTGCACCCTTCGATCAGTGAATTGGAGCATGAGGACAGATACGAGAAGTATTTTATCAAAATCATGACGGATTACGAAGGCAAACGGACTAAACCACTCCTTTCCAATTCACAAAGGATGCGCAAGCTCTTCACCACTATCAAACCGTTAGCGCTTCCGACGACAGCACATCGGGGTGGTAGCGGGACTCCCCGCCCACTCGAAAGCAAGGACGCTTTGGATGAAACTCCTCGTGAGTTTGCGCCGAGGAAGCAATATCGGGTCGTCTTTGGGGAGGTATGCGAGGCTGTGGGTGACCTTAGAACCGTAGGCGAGGTTGCGGACGTCCTCAGTCAGGCAGTCGTTGGTAGGTTTCCCTCCACTTTTCATGGATAAAATCTCATCCCGTCTACCAGCGCTTCGCCTTATGTATTGTGCTGGATGGGTGCATCGAGATATTAGCTCTGGCAACATTCTGGCTCATCCCAGCGACGGCGCGTGGCAAGTTAAGTTGTCTGACCTGGAGTACTCCAGGCGGTTCTCCTTTGATCTGGAGCGTGATGTAGGCAGAGACCCGAAGACGGTACGCCGCCCCTCCAATTGACGCACAAACCCCCGTAACAAGTTCATAGGGTACACCGTACTTCATGCCTCACGAAATTCTCCGGTCTCGCTACCTCAAATTCCCTACATCGACCCTGCCGGATACAACGTTTGACCTCGACACTTTCCAAGATACCGAGGACCCTGCCGCACCCCAAATGCCACTCGTATACAACTTCCAACATGACCTGGAATCCATCTGGTGGATCTTCCTTTGGACAATAACCTGCCGAGTTTCCCATCCGCCTTCAATAGTGTTTGGCCAAGGCATCTTCAAGAACACTATGGACCTTTCATCCGAGAGATCGGCGTGCTTTGAAGACTCGATCACGACATCCCTCCGAACCTGCTTGCTTCCACCACTAGAGCGGCTGGCAGCGCCGTTAGAGAGATTGAGGAGGGCCATGGTGAATGCCTACATGCACCATCATAAGAATCAGGATTGGTCCAACCTCTCATCCTACATTCACATTCATAACGCTTTCCACTTTTTTTTCCTAGCAATCGGCCTGTCTCGAGCAAATTGGGGTGGTACTGCATTGGTGACCAGCCATCAGCCTGTTGCCAGTATTGCGGAGGTTGGTAGCACCGCCGACCTCAACAATGTCGAACAAGTCCCCAATATTTCAAATCCCACTCGACGTAAACCCAGTCGACGCAAGCGCACATTGCCACGGGACGATGACGACTACGTGCCGAACAGCAAGGGCGAGGGGTCTAAGAAATCGGCGCGTGCTAAACGGTCTCCAGGTATTCAGTAGGGGGTATTCTCTTTCTTCTGGCTCGCATGGGCAGATGCGCATTGCGAGTTATCTTTTTTTGTTGTTCATTGTAATACACCCCAACTATTGGAATCCGCAATGTCCCATTTTCGCCAACATATCGGCGAAGCTGCAAGATTGATGTTCACGCTAGAACCCACCAAGCAGACGTTCACAACTTTCAGCACTACGCGTTTGAAAAGGACTTGACACAATGACACCTAGCGAGTTTGCTCAGCCTGCCAACATCGCAGACTCCTCACAACCAGGAGGGAATATCTCCTCGTTCTTCCCGATGGTGAACAACTGGGGACTCGACAAATTGCTGAGGGAGTATCGGAGAATCTCGTATTTATGTAGGTTGTGATAGTTGGAAAGGATGTCTCCGTCATTCACCAGCTGGACTGGGATGGTGTCTCGCTTCTCAATAGTGCTATTGACATGTTGCTTGAGGGCTGCTCTGCCTATGTACCCCAGTATCTGATCTTCGCGTTGGAGCCGCTTGCAGACTTTCAAGATACCCTTGCAATAATCATGGAATGGAAACCTCCTACGATAACCTCGATACAATTTCCAGCGCAATAGGATCTGGAACTGTTAGCGGTCGGAAACGCAACAAATTCAGCTTCTGTGTTTGCCCACAAACTATCATTGAGCCGCAAACCGGCCTTTATGACGCTTGATGTGTTTCACTTAATGCGGAGCCTCCCATTAGGTGCTTGTCCAGGCTAGGGCTCACTCTTTTGCCTTGGTAGAAGGGCTACATCGATTAAGGAAGAAAGTGGGATTATACCTCGCACACAGATCGCCATGTAGTACTATATCAGTATATAGGGCTTACATGCAAGAGTAGAAATCCCACGCGTGGTTCATGGTCTAGGACCTGGGTATGGAGCATTCTGCATCATAATCCAGAGGCGTGAGCTCCTCGACTCTTTCCTGGAACGCAGCGAGCGTGCAGAACTCTGCGTGGCCGGAGAGATGCTTGCCCTCGGTGCCGCAGAAGGGGAGGGCCATGTTCTTGTTCTGGTACCTCACGCGGACGTCTGGATAAAATCGCAATAAGTAGATGTTACCAACGCAGGCGTAGGCGCGTATACAACGAGTACGTACAATGTTCCCTCGGCCTAAAGGGGTTTAGGATGCCCTGGAGATAGGAAGGGTGGCCCCTCGAAGGCTCGGAGGACTTGCTGAAGAGCTCGAACGTGATGGACGCAGTGAACGGTGGCCATCTATCGAGGGGGACACCGTCATGATAGCCATCATATGATTAGTCCTGCTTAGGATGTATGTTCAGAAAAGGGAAGGCGCACAGTTCGTCGTAGACATCGAGAGTAGAGCAGAGTGCCGCGATGGCCGTGTCATGCGTGCTGTGTACCAGGATTTTGACGGGGTCTTGATCACCTAGACTAACTTTCCGCGACATCTTGCGAGAGAGATCGCTCAGGAGGAGGCCCATGCCGAGTCGTCGCACTTCCTCAGTCTTGTCTAACATAGACAGGTGAGTAGGCTGTTATGGCGGTGCGGTGTCACTTACACCCTTAAGATTTAAAGATAGGACGTTAACAGTGTAAAAATAGGAATGGATGTATGAAAGACATGCGTACCAGAAAACCATTCGGCTACGACCGCTTTTTCCTGGATAAGATGAGAGCGGTAGGTGAGCTCAAAAACAGGCTTTTCAAATAAGCAACACACAATCAAATCGACGACGGCCTTCTCCTCGAACTCGGGCGGAACCTTGATTCCGTGTGCGCTGGCTGCGCGTATCTATGATAGAGAATGACGTCGGGACTGTCACTACGGACTATAGAGGCAAACAGTAATTATGACCTACTGTGTCCATTATCCCGGAGGCCCTTGGTTTGCCGTCTACGCGAACAGGATGCCCTCCAATATACTTGGACAACCTCCTATCCAGGGACTCGAGTGCTGGGTTATATAGATTTGCGGCGGCTAGCGTGTGGGGCTTTGATTGGTTTGTTGTAAAGCGAAAAGTGTGATTGTAAGTACCTTGCGCAAAACCAATTTGGAGGATCTCCAGACGTTTGCACGAGAATGTGTTCCCTAGAAGGTTCTCATCTTTCCCGTTCCTGGGTAGTTTTCCGAGGTAAGTCTTCTGGATTGGAAAGACAAGACAATGCATGCACCGTATGAGAATGGGAGGAAGCGTATTTGGACATTTTTCGGCGGGGTATAGGCCAGATATAATGTTTCGCAGGGATTCCATAGTGCGGGGCATGTTAGTAGAACGGAAATACGCTTGCTCAGCGTTCAGCAGTTGATCGGGGAGGAATCCCAATCTAGTTGGAACTGCCATCTAATAGATGAAATCTTCGAGGGGGAATAAACGCACCGCTCAACATATAACCTTCGCAACGCTGCGCCGTATTCAAAGGTCGACTGGATAGTGGCAATCCTTGAGCTTGAGGGGGTGTAGAAATAATCACAGAACTGCCGACTTCACCTTTCTGCCAACGTCCGTTAGCTCCCCAAGGAGACTTAGAAGGAGAAAGGACGGGAGGTGAAAGGACAAAGAAAGTAAATGATAATGAGCACGCACACTCACACCCAAACGCTGCAGGGGTTCAGCGGGAGATGAGCACGAGACTTACCATTCTCCTTCAGCACTTGTGCCGTCCTTTCGTTCAACCAGGCGTTTCAAAGGCAGGGGGTCACCGTCGAGTGCACCATTATTGGTGTTCAATTCTGCTCTGAATTGCCTTGCTGCAGTACAAAGCATCCAGTGCGAGGGTATGGAAGCAGGGGGGTCAGCGAGACGCACGCCCACGGGTGCCCTTTCACCTGTCCGGGCCAGCGTCAACTCTTACAACACAATGCATGGAAAACATGCGTACCATGCCTAACATATACATGTACTTGATCTAATTTCAATCCCTCCGGCGCGACGGGGTAATTCTCCACATCCAGAGGCTCCTGTGGTGGCCGAACCCCAGCCATGACCATATCTTCCGAGTTGGGGTAATTCGCCGCCGAAATGAACTTTGCTAAAAAGACGACACTGAGCAACGCAAGCTTCACGGATTTGTGCATGTGCTGCCTCTGAGGATTGAGGAGACCAATGAAGCTCAAATAAAGAACCGTCTGATCGGGGCGCTTATTCACATCGTCGCTGGGACTACGAGAGACTACGAGTAGTCAACGACAGGCTACGAAAAGTCGGACAATATCTAAGGAACTTTGAGCGTGGGGAGACTGCTAGTAATGTAAGGAGACGGGAGATAATAAAAGTAGCATAAATGGTACATGTGAGTTACACGGAACTCAGAGAGTAGAAATATGTATTGTTGAGGATTCCACATTCATCTGCGCCTATGTCTTCACTCGAAAGCTTCTTGAACGTGTAGACTTCTGAGATTTCCCTTCGGTGTCTGACATACAAGCGGCGTCGTCGCGTCGTCGCTTGTGTCGAGTTGTTTTCGGAACGTCTGTGATGTTGGAAACGCTTGCAGAATTGGCGACGGGTCGATGATAAGTCAATAGAGCTGTACCACTCCAAATCGCCTGGGACAGCTTGATTGCGGCGAAGAATTGAACAAAGTGAATGGCAACGTGGGACGTGACGTCGGCCAACATTCCGTCCTTCCTGCAATATACATACACAGAAGACATTATCTGCCACAATGTGTTCAAGGGGCGGGAGAATCCTTTGAACGATGGATCTTTGAAGGGTCTCGCTTTCTTCAAGTAAGCACTGTAATCTGGCATCTGAGGGTGTCATGATGTTCTGATATATCGGCCTGCCGTACTGCACTGGAGCTTGATGGGCTGTTGCGAGGGGCTGCGGGCACCTGTTCTAGTGCAGTCCGAAGAACCGTTGTGCATACTCGAGGTCAGACAATTTTGCTTACTAGGCCCTCGACGAAGAGCTCGCTGCCAGTGGTCCAAGAGAAAGCAGCTCACCACCTCGTTTCGTATGCAGCTGGCCGTGTTTTCACACACTCATGGCCACAGGTTACATAACATATTGCAACTAGCGTACGAAAACAGATAACTCCTGATGCGCATATGCCCATGCAAGCCAGAAGAAAGAGGAATATTCCGAGAGACACTTACTAACCACCTCGAGACCGTTTAGCATGCGTAGATTCCTGAGACCCCTCGCCCTTGCTGTTCGGCACGTAGTCGTCATCGTCCCATGGTAATGTATGTTTGTGTCGACTGGGTTTATGTCGAGCAGGGTTAGAATTATTGGGGACCTCTACGACATTGTGGAGGTTGGCGGTACCAAACTGGCGATAGGCTGATGGCTGGTCATCAATGCGGTACCACCCCAATTTGCTCGAGACAGGCCGATTGCTGGGAAGAACGCGTGGAAAACGTTATGAATGTGAATGTAGGATGAGAGGTCGGCCCAATCCTGATCCTTATGATGGTACATGTAGGCATCCACCATGAATCCCCTCAATTTCTCTAAGGGCGCTGCCAACTGCTGTAGTGGTGACGGCAAGCAGGCCAGGAGGGATGGCTTGATCGGGTAAAGAAGGCACTTCAATCTCTCAGATGAAAGTTGCATAGTGTTCTTGAAGATGTCTTGGCCGTACACTATTGAAGGTGTATGGGAAACTCGGCAGGTTACTGTCCAAAGGAAAATCCACCAGATGGACTCCAAGTCATGTTGGAAGTTGTAGACAAGTGGCATTTGGGCTGCATCGGGAGCCACGCTCTTCGTAAACGTGGCGAAGTCAATCGTCGTATCCCGCGGGGGTAATGTAGGGAATTCCAGGTAGTGAGACTGGAGAATTTCGTGAGGCATGAAGTACGGAGTACCCTATGAACATGTTACGGGGGTTTGTGCGTCAATTGGAGAGGCGGCGTACCGTCTTCGGGTCTCTGCCTACATCATGCTCCAGATCAAAGGAGAACCGCCTGGAGTACTCCAGGTCAGACAACTTAACTTGCCACGCCCCGCCGCTGGGATGAGCCAGAATGTTGCCAGAGCTAATATCTCGATGCACCCATCCAGCACAATACATCAGGCGAAGCGCTGGTAGACGGGATGAGATTTTATCCATGAAAAGTGGAGGGAAACCTACCAACGACTGCCTGACTGAGGACGTCCGCAACCTCGCCTACGGTTCTAAGGTCACCCACAGCCTCGCATACCTCCCCAAAGACGACCCGATATTGCTTCCTCGGCGCAAACTCACGAGGAGTTTCATCCAAAGCGTCCTTGCTTTCGAGTGGGCGGGGAGTCCCGCTACCACCCCGATGTGCTGTCGTCGGAAGCGCTAACGGTTTGATAGTGGTGAAGAGCCTGCGCATCCTTTGTGAATTGGGAAGGAGTGGTTTAGTCCGTTTGCCTTCGTAATCCGTCATGATTTTGATAAAATACTTCTCGTATCTGTCCTCATGCTCCAATTCACTGAGTGAAGGCTGCAACTTCTCGAAGGCAAGATATCGCGCGTCTTGTTTGTCAACAAAGAACTTCTTGAGGTCCGCGAAGATCTGCGACTGAATCTGCGACTCAGTAAGTGCCGAATCCTCCAGCCAGACATCCTTCAATACACGGGAAGGCTCGCTGGGCGATAACACAGCGCCACTCGGATTGCATTCGACCACCTTCCACACCCGAGCCATACGACCAGTGATATTGTTCGAACGATACTCGGCGATGGAAGCAGTAGTGCGGAAGAAACGGTCGCGTTGTTGTCCCTCTTCGGTAGAGGGGATTCTGTATATGTAGTCCCCTTTCGCGTCTCGCGTGACCATCGGGTCATAGCCCAGCTCTTCCTCCGTGGCGAACAAGAAGGACATGAACACTTTGATCAGGAGTCGTGGGTTCTAGCGCAAAAGTCAGCCTGCGTACTGCATGGAGGGGATCGGACTGACTTTTACAAAACTGAAGGGCTCTGAAATCATCGAGTGCGACCGAGAATGATACCATAGAGTAACACGATCTTCAACAATCGTAATCTACGGTGAGTTGAGCAAAAGGAACAAATTCATTAGTAGCAACACGACTTACCCCATATGTGAACATCCGGCGAGCATCGTCGTTCATGATTTGAATACTTGCGGCAACTCCTTCGATATTATTCTACGAGCATCGCTGACTACATTAGTCTGTCGCAACACCGTCATTCAGTCGGACACACTTCAACTTCCTTGGTAGGATCTAGCGTGAACATCAAGACGCATGCGGCGCTGGACACCGTCAGCCTGCTGACACGGGGACCTTCTGATGTGAAGCATCCGTCGATCTTGCTGTTCGAGTTCGAGGCTGGCGGTCCAAGGGAGATATTAGGACGTACGCAAAGTGTGAATCCGTTGCGAGATCGGCCCTGGGGCATGCAAGAGGCTATTGCTTCAGCTAGCGAGGCGAGGTGTTCGTGCGACGTCGGCGTGTCGAGTATTGGGAAATCGGTATCGCTGAATTCTGCGACAGAATTCGTTGAGATTGGGGAGTTGCTTGCCGTCTTAGAGAGCAATTGCACCACGTTGCCAACATCAGAATCGTTGACGTCGAACGGCAAGTACGATGAGAGGTATTCTTCGACTCCGCAGATGGCAAACTCTTCTTGAATCAGCTCGCGAATACCCTGGCGAAAGTGAGACATTTGAGGTTGTCTGCAAACAATACCGAGTACTGTGATGCCTTGGCGGAATTCGAGTTTTGCGCTGTTTGCGTGATTTAGAAAGTCAGCTGACCGTGTTTTTGTATTTGCGCTATGTATCTTCATACTTAAGGAGGGGAGCTCAAGGAAACGAGCGAATGTTCACTCACCACAGAAGATGTACCCTAGGCTATACAATGGGCCAACACGCTTAGAACAATCTCAACGAGACGCGAATATCGTCGGGGTACCGCCATGACATTAGCAAATGCGCATTAAAGAACTATGTACTGTTTGAGGGTGTCAGGCGGTGAACACCTTCCGTAGTGTCTTCTCCTATCGGCTACGTCTTCCCGCTAGCCTTTTTTGAACGCCTGGACTTCGGCCTCTGTGCCTCAGCGTCCGGTTCATAGGCGTCGTCGTCACGCGGTCGCTTGAGTCGTGTTGGTTTAGCAATGTCTGCGGCGCCGGGAACACTTGTCATACTGGCAACGGGACGATGGTAAGTCACCAAGAGCGTATCGCCCCAAGTCGCCTGAGACTGTTTGACCTTTTCAAAGAAAATCACAAACCCCTGGTGAGCTTTGACATAGGATGAGAGGTCGGCCAAGCCGTTGGCCTTCCGCCGGTATGTGTACGCAACCACCATGAAGCTACGCAACACTTCCAAGGGGGCTGCTAGTTGCTGTAGCGGCGACAACAGGCACCCCATAAATTGCTGGGTGATGGTCTCTTCCAAAAATCTCAATCTAGCGAGTGGGGGTTCCATGAGGTTCTGGAATATCTTTCTCCCAAAGGCAATAGAAGGTTCATGGGAAACTCGGCAGGTTATGGTCCATACGAAAATCCACCAGATAGATTCCAAATCGTGCTGGAAATTGTACACAGTTGGAGGTTCTGGGTGTTGTGGAGCGCCGCCGTCTCTGAAATCATCATCCCCGAGCTCGGGTTCCTTCTCGGTGACAGACTGAGGCGCGATGTAGCGAGAACTGAGGATTTCGTGAGGCATGAAGTATGGTGTGCCCTACAAACTTGTTACAAGGCATCGCGGGCAACGAAGAAGAGACTTACGATTTTAGGGTCATCCCCCACATTGCGGTCTGAATCAGAGAACTGCCTTGCGTACTCCAGGTCGGACAATTTAACTTGCCATGGACTTGATGAGCTGCGGCGATGGGCCAGAATGTTGCCAGAACTAATATCTCTATGAACCCATCCGGCGCAATACATAAGGCGAAGCGCTGGTAGACGGGATGAGGTTGTATCCAATGAAAATAGAGGAAATCCTACCAACGACTGCCTGACTGAGGACGTCCGCAACCTCGCCTACGGTTCTAAGGTCACCCACAGCCTCGCATACCTCCCCAAAGACAACCCGATATTGTTTCCTCGGCGCAAACTCACGAGGACCCTCATCGAAGGTGATCTTGCTTTCGGTCGGGCAGGGAGTCCCGCTACCACCCCGATTTGACGTCGTCGGGAGCGCTAACGGTTCAACGGTGGAAAACAGCATGTGCTTTCTTTGCGAATTGGGAGAGCGAGGTTTAGTCCGCCTGCCTTCATAATCCGCCACGATTTCGATGAAATATTTCTTGTATCTGTCATTCCGTTCTAGGTCACTGATTGAAGGCCGCAACCTCTCGAAGGCAAGATATCGTGCGTCTTGCTTGTCACGGAAGAATTTCTGGATATCCTCAAAGATCTGAGACTGAATTTGAGCCTCAGTAAGTGCCGAATCCTCCAGCCAGACATCCTTCAATACACGGGAAGGCTCGCTGGGCGATAACACAGCGCCACTCGGATTGCATTCGACCACCTTCCACACCCGAGCCATACGACCAGTGATATTGTTCGAACGATACTCGGCTATGGAAGCGGTAGTGCGGAAGAAACGGTCGCGTTGTTGTCCCTGCTCGGTAGAGGGGATTCTGTATATATAGTCCCCTTTAGCGTCTCGCATGACCATCGGGTCATAGCCCAGCTCTTCCTCCGTGGCGAACAAGAAGGACATGAACACTTTGATCAGGAGTCGTGGGTTCTAGCGCAAAATTCAACTTGCGTACTGCATGGAGGGGATTGGACTGACTTCTACAAAATTGAAGGGCTCTGAGATCATCGAGTGCGACCGAGAATGATACCATAGAGTAACGCAGTCTTCGATAATGGTAATCTAGCGCAAGTCAGCCAGGAGACCAACGCAGCAGCAGCAGCGGGATTTACCCCATATGTGAACATGCGACAGACATCGTCATTCATGATCTGGACACTTGCCGACAAAGCTTGCTTGTTGTTCTAGACAATCGCTTGAATTGAGTTGGAACAGGCTTGAGATGCAACGTACCTCGGCCACTTGCGTGGAATTCAACCCGTATTCGAGGATACATGCAAGATGGGAGGTATCCAATGTCTTGCTCTCAGGATCCTCTGAGGTAAAGCATCCGTCGACCTTGTTGTCCGAGCCAGCAATTTGCGACTTGATGACGGTGTCAGGGCAAACGCGGAAGCTGAATCTGTTGCGCTTCCGTCCCTCGACAGGCACAGAAGCTATTGCGCGAGAAACATCATCGAGAAGTCTGTACGAGGGAGTCTCTGTCCCGTCAATCTTGCAAGGGGGAACCAAGACTTCGTGAAAACGGGGGTTTCCATCGACCTCAACCAAGATTTCCATCTTGGCAAGCGATTTATCCATTTGCTTGACGTCGTCTTCGGCGGGCTCAAATGGTAGATAATGCGGCATAAATGCCTCGACGCTGACGACGCTGAACTCCTCCTCCATCTGCTCAGCGATGTGGTCTCGAGGTTTGGCCACCTGTGTGTCCCCACCAGTGCTTCGAGTTGCTCCTACAGTCACTTTACTGAGAGTCGTTCACAAGGCTGACAACACGATTCTAGTAGCGACGCTCACAACTTACTTTGTGGACCCCCAGTGGACACTGGCGGACTCTTGGCTGGCGGACCTGTCAATCTGATGCGCGGTCATTGAAAATTGTGTGAGGCAAGATATTCAAAAGCAAGTAGCTCACCCGCTCCCTTGGACATCGCGCATAATTTGAGTCTAATTTGAGTCGATGTCAAGGGAGTTGCAAGTCAGCTAACCGTTTGTTCACCAAGTAACCGTGACTTGGCCCCTCTTAGCTCGACCCGTTCACTTCGCCCAAGAGTCGTTCGTTCGCTATAGTCTATTGTGATTCGGGTTGTGAGGGAGCAATGGATCACCTCGGATGAGACATGCCTAAGGCTCGCGTGCATGTTCTTCGCCATGTTCCCAGAATTCTATTTCATCACTTGTTTTTTGTGAATCGGAGTGGGAGTTGGAGAGATGGCGAACTTGGGTGCAAGCGGCTCCAACGCGAAGACCAGATACTAGGGTATATAGGCAGAGCAGCCCTCAAGCAACGTGTCAATAGCACTATTGAGAAGCGAGACACCATCCCAGTCCAGCTGGTGAATGACGGAGACATCTTTTCCAACTATCACAACCTACATAAATACGAGTTTCTCCGATACTCCCTCAGCAATTTGTCTAGTGCCCAGTTGTTCACCATCGGGAAGAACGAGGAGATATTCCCTCCTGGTTGTGAGGAGTCTGCGATGTTGGCAGGCTGAGCAAACTCGCTAGGTGTCATTGTGTCAAGTCCTTTTCAAACGCGTAGTGCTGAAAGTTGTGAACGTCTACTTGGTGGGTTCTAGCGTGAACATCAATCTTGCAGCTTCGCCGATATGTTGGCGAAAATGGGACATTGCGGATTCCAATAGTTGGGGTGAATTACATTGAATAACAAAAAAGATAACTTGCAATGCGCATCTGCCCATGCGAGCTAGAAGAAAGAGAATACCCCCTACTGAATACCTCGAGACCGTTTAGCACGCGTCGATTTCTTAGACCCCTCGCCTTTGCTGTTCGGCACGTAGTCGTCATCGTCCCGTGGCAATGTGCGCTTGCGTCGACTGGGTTTACGTCGAGTAGGATTTGAAATATTGGGGACTTGTTCGACATTGTTGAGGTCGGCGGTGCTGCCAACCTCTGCAATACTAGCAACAGGCTGATGGCTGGTCACCAACGCAGTACCACCCCAATTTGCTCGAGACAGGCCGATTGCTGGGAAGAACGCGTGGAAAATGTTATGAATGTGAATGTAGGATGAGAGGTTGGCCCAATCCTAATCCTTATGATGGTACATGTAGGCAGCCACCGTGTGGCTCCTCAATCTCTCTAACGGCGCTGCCAGCCGCTCTAGTGGTGGAAGCAAGCAGGTTCGGAGGGATGTCGTGATCGAGTCTTCAAAGCACGCCGATCTCTCGGATGAAAGGTCCATAGTGTTCTTGAAGATGCCTTGGCCAAACACTATTGAAGGCGGATGGGAAACTCGGCAGGTTATTGTCCAAAGGAAGATCCACCAGATGGATTCCAGGTCATGTTGGAAGTTGTATACGAGTGGCATTTGGGGTGCGGCAGGGTCCTCGGTATCTTGGAAAGTGTCGAAGTCAATCGTCGTATCCCGCGGGGGTAATGTAGGGAATTTGAGGTAGCGAGACCGGAGAATTTCGTGAGGCATGAAGTACGGAGTACCCTATGAACCTGTTACCGGGGTTTGTGCGTCAGTTGGAGAGGCGGCGTACCGTCTTCGGGTCTCTGCCTACATCACGCTCCAGATCAAAGGAGAACCGCCTGGAGTACTCCAGGTCAGACAACTTAACTTGCCACGCGCCGCCGCTGGGATGAGCCAGAATGTTGCCAGAACTAATATCTCTATGCACCCATCCGGCACAATACATAAGGCGAAGCGCTGGGAGACGGGGTGAGATTTTATCCATGAAAAGTGGAGGGAAACCTACCAACAACTGCCTGACTGAGGACGTCCGCAACCTCGCCTACGGTTCTAAGGTCACCCACAGCCTCGCATACCTCCCCAAAGACAACCCGATATTGTTTCCTCGGCGCAAACTCACGAGGAGTTTCATCCAAAGCGTCCTTGCTTTCGAGTGGGCGGGGAGTCCCGCTACCACCCCGATGTGCTGTCGTCGGAAGCGCTAACGGTTTGATAGTGGTGAAGAGCCTGCGCATCCTTTGTGAATTGGGGAGGAGTGGTTTAGTCCGTTTGCCTTCGTAATCCGTCATGATTTTGATAAAATACTTCTGGTATCTGTCCTCATGCTCCAATTCACTGATCGAAGGGTGCAGCTCCTCGAAGGCAAGATATCGCGCGTCTTGCTTGTCACGGAAGAACTTCTTGAGGTCCGCGAAGATCTGCGACTGAATCTGCGACTCAGTAAGTGCCGAATCCTCCAGCCAGACATCCTTCAATACACGGGAAGGCTCGCTGGGCGATAACACAGCGCCACTCGGATTGCATTCGACCACCTTCCACACCCGAGCCATACGACCAGTGATATTGTTCGAACGATACTCGGCGATGGAAGCAGTAGTGCGGAAGAAACGGTCGCGTTGTTGTCCCTGCTCGGTAGAGGGGATTCTGTATCTGTAGTCCCCTTTCGCGTCTCGCGTGACCATCGGGTCGTATCCCAGCTCCTCCTCCGTGGCAAACAGGAATGACATGAAGACTTTGATAAGGAGTTGTGGGTTCTAGTGCGAAAGTCAACTTGTGTACTGCATGGGGGAGACCTCACCGACTTTTACAAAACTGAAGGGCTCTGAAATCATTGAGTGCGACCGAGAATGATACCATAGAGTAACACGATCTTGGATAATAGTAATCTACTGCCAGTCAGACAAGAGACCAATACCACAGCAGCAGTGGGACCCACCCCATATGTGAACATGCGACGGACATCGTCATTCATGATCTGGACACTTGCCGACAGGGCTTGCTTGTTGTTCTACGAGGTTGCTTGAATCGAGTTGAAACAAGCTTAGAAAAGACGTACCTCAACCTCCTGCAAGCGGTTCAGCTTGTATTCGAGGATACACGCAAGACGAGAGGTATCCAATGTCTTGCTCTCAGGATCCTCTGAGGTGAAGCATCCGTCGACCCTGTTGTCCGAGCCAGCAATTTGCGACTTGATGACGGTGTCAGGGCAAACACGGAAGCTGAATTCGTTGCGCGTCCGTCCCTCGACAGGCACAGAAGCTATCGCCCTGGAAATATCCTCGAGAGGTCTGTACGAGGGAGTCTCTGTCCCATTAGCATTGCAAGGGGGGACCAGGAATTCGTGAAAACGGAGCTCTCCATCCACTTCAACCAAGACACTCAATTTCATCTCGGCAAGCGATTTCTCCATGTCCTTGACGTCGTCTTCGGTCGGCTCGAATGGTAGATAATGCGACATAAATGCCTCAACGCTGACGATGCTGAACTCCCCCTCCATCTGCTCGGCGATGTGGTCTCGAAGTTTACTTATTCCCGTATCCCCACCGGCGGTGCGAACTGTTCTTGGAGTCGTTTTGCTGAAAAACGTTCACAAAGCTGACAGCACGGTGTTACTAGCGATACTCACATCTCACTTTCCTGTGGAACCCCAGCGGCTGGTGGACCTTCGGGTGGCGGACCCGTTGATCTTCAGGGCGGTCATTGTATTAGGCGGGAGGTTCAGAAGCAAGCAACTCACCCGCTCGCTTGGCGATCTGCCATAATGTTTGATTTGAGAGTAGAAATGAGGTCCGTTCAGCGTTGAGTTATAGTACTGGTGGCAGTCATTGTAAGTCAATAAGTCAGCTGACCGAGACCGTGAGAACTCGGCGGAATGCCATGGTTTACACAACTCCCAACCCATTCGAAGGGTTGCTTCTGATTTCTGGAGCGATGCTCTCCCTACTCTCCCAATCTCTGCACTTCGTGAAGAACTTTGGGCACACCCAAGGCCACGGCGTATGTGAAAAGCCTTTCCTTAGCGTTCTCCTCGCCATTGCGACCGGGGTTGGCGTGCCCAAATAGCAAATTATACAAGCTCTTGACCTTATGCAATATCAAGCTCCCTTTATATCTCAATGATGGTTATATTTCTAGCAATATAATATATGATGGGATCTAGGAGTGGGTTATAGTGTTGGCTGTATTGGTGCGGCAGGTATGGTCGGGTTGTCACCTGCGAGAGATTCAGGCACTAAGGGCTTGGGTGGATGCAGAACGAGATTCCCCAAGCGAGGAGGGGTTGCCCGACTGATGAACTCCATTTTTGTTGGCAATTTATCCGCAGCCTGCCGCAAAGCTGTAAAGCAAAGTCAGCCGAGGATCCTCATAGTCAGTGGCAGCCGTACCATCTCTAGCAAGTTCCTCTCGGATCGGGGATCCGCCGATTTCGAAGATAACGCGTCCTTTTGGTACTCTGCAACGAACAATGAGCTCAAACTCATGCACAACAGACAGACAAATTACCGAGTAGCCCAGAACTCGAAAGTCCCTTTGCCTTTACCCATCCGAGTCTCGTTTCCCTGTCAAGTCATCAGCAAGTGCTCAATGCCGAGTATGAAAGGAAGCGACCTTGATGCAGACCGGAATATCCGGAAACACTCGCAAGTACACTTTGGCTCCCTTGATGATCTTAATTTTCCTCTTGATGACTTCTTCGGCTGTCGTGAGCTGTTTTGCGCTCAGTCTGACCCCGTTTCCTTTGATCCTGATGCCCCATTCTCCGTACGCGAGTGTCGTGCCTTTGGTCGAGCCTCCAATAGGTATGGGTATCCGGCCTTTATGCCGTTTGATATGCTTGACTTGTCGTGGAGCCAACTGGTGGCGTTGTCGGACAAAAGTGTTCAAGAATCCACCATGACCTTGGGTGCGCCCAAGGTTCTTCACGAAGTGTAGAGATTGGGAGAGTAGTGAGAGCATCGCAAAAGCCGTTTCTGTCCGTTCAGTCCATTCCGGTGAGTTCCCACAGTCTCGGTCAGCTGACTTACAGTTATAGGTCTACAACGCCAAAACGGCTTGGACCAAACCACATTTCGCCTCTCCGAGCGAAGATTATGGCAGATCATCAAGCGCGCGGGTGAGCTATTTGCCCTCGGATTCCCCATCTGATCTAATAACCACACCTAAGGTCGACAAGTCCCCCGACAGAAAAGGAACTATCTCATATCGACGATTTTGTAGTTGACTGTAACGAGCTCTCCGTCCCACTCTAGTCTCGCAGGGATCAAAGCGATAAGTTTATTGTGCAATATGTTTCAGAGAAGGTCAAGCTGGAAGAATCTATCTCTCGAGGTAATTGTTAGGGCGGATCTCTTGTACGGAAAGTCGAATATCTGCAGAGCACGAATTCAGATCCCTACGAACATCGAAGAGAGTAAGCTAAGAGCCAGCTGACCTTTCCTACATGCAATCCTGCGTTGATGCAGGCTCGCATAATTGCTTCATTGTCATATCTCGGTTCACCCATAACACGCACAGTCCTGGTGTCTGCCAAGAACGCATAGTGGATGGCGGACCTCAGCCACGCCATAGCTAAAGGCCGAACACGCATGAGCCAATGAAATCGGAAGGATAGAGTATTCGCGATACGTACAATATGCCACCCCTTTGAACTTGTCTTCGCCGGCCAGGACATGGATACCACGATCCCAATCATGTGCGGCGCCACCAACGTCTCCCCCTCCCATGTACTGGGAAAGATGATTTTCCTTGACCCAAAAGAATTCCAGATACCCCATGGGTTCGCCATCCCAACTCATTATTACGGGCATGACGTTAGGATCCTCCATTGCGTTGGTGATATATTTCCGATGATATTCAAGCGAGCCGTCTTCGCCCCATCCAGCGGCCACACGCGGGTTGTTGTGCCACCTGTGGAGCGACTCAAGATGATGCAAAGGCCCATCGACTGATGAAGAATCGTCGAGGCAGAAATAGCGGAATTCGAGGAATTTCTTGACCGAAGGGCAATATCTCCTGTACAAGAGCTCGCCGGGCGAGGGCTTCGGTGGGCGCAACGGATGCGAGGTTATGACAGATTCGCTGCGAGTGAAGGATTGTACGTAGGGGAAATGGACTGCAGCGGTGAGGTTATGTTGGAGCCAGCCTCGAGAATGGTACCCTATTGTTCCTGCGGCCTGCCAGAAAGTCGTTCTGCTGAGGAATAGGGCGTCGTCTTTCGTCTGCTCAGAAGAGGATGTCTGTTTCGCCCTTGTACGAACTGGCTTGATACCAAGGCCAGATCGGAGGATGTAGTTCGCTATTTCGTTGGCGTTCGCGAGGGAAGGGGAAAGGACGAGGGGGATGTGTTCCTGCTCATGGTAGGCCGTGAACAGCGCGCAGATAGTGGCCCAGACGTCAGGGATTGTGATAGCTGACTCGGGTGCAGGTGGTTCCAACGCGAAGACGGGGTACTTGGGTACGTGGGCAGCGGAGGCCTCAAATGACGTGCCAACTGCGCTGTTCAGAAGCGAAACGGCAGGCCGATCCAGTTTGCGGACGGTAGAGACATCTACTCCGCCTATCACAATTGTCGTTGATGGAAGATTGTCGGACACTCCCTCCGTGCGTCGTCGAGTACCAAGCTGACTACCATCGGGGAGAACGAGGAGATGCTCCGTCGCCGGCTGCGAGGAGTCTGAAACGTCGACGAGCCGGGAAAACTCGCTTGGTATCAAGGTCCTTTGCAGCGCTAGCAAACGACGCGTCGCGTTTGTGTTCATTTCGTATTCGTATGCGTTCAACTTCGGGCGGGGTGGCGAGCGGTGAAAAAAGCTGGAAGCCGGTGGAGACTCGCCATCATATATCTACCATGTACCTTCAATGCATGCGGCATCGGCATTAGATGGGTGCCATCCATATGCAAAGGCCCAAATCACGGAAAACATCTGGGATGGTTTCGGGAAACAGGGGCGCGCCAAGATCTCTGTATCATGTGCGTCGGGGATAATCTGATAAGATAAATTTTCATCGCGCACCTGGTCCTGTCTTAAATGATCCGAACACCAGCATCGTCCGCGCCTGGCCAACACGTCAGAAATGCGCCATCTCAAAGCCCGACCAAATCACACCACAACTTGACATTACTCAAGTTGCTGCACATAGTAAAATAGCAACAAATATTATTCGCCAAGGGTATATTAAGAATAAGAAATACCGAGGAAATCCGAAAGCCCCTACATGTAGATGGATTACAACTCTTAACACTGAGTCTATACAGGGAGGACAGTGTTGAAGACATAATCCCATACTTTACCTATGAACACGGGTAAGTGCGATGATAAGGGGCACTCGGAAGGATAGACTCACTGGTTACTCCAAATCCAAGCTCGAAATTCTTGTAGTGGTGGGCAAGGTGGTATTTCTTCATCTCCTTCATGTATTGGGGCAATTTGGTGTGGTGTAGTCTATACGGGCGTTAGCTAGTACCGCAAGGATAGACGATCGGGGCACATACGCGTAGTGCATGCAATCGTACAAGACATCTAGGGAAAAGAAAACGTTTAGTCAGCGGACGAAAGGAACCGAGTTAACCTACAGAAAGTGAAAGCTCCCGCAATGATGCCGTTGGCCACCGCAACTGGGAAGAGTTTGTACGCGAGTTGCGTGAAAGGGAACTGCAACGCAGCGAACAGCGTCGGAGGCATGACAAGCCGCAGTCTACTTCAAGTTAGCAAACAACAAGCCTATTAGTAACGCGGAGGTTTACCTGTCCATGGGAAGATAGTGGTGAACGCCGTGCAACAGGAAGTGCAACGTGAGGAAAGGCGGGCTGTCCGGCAGGTAGTCATCGATGTGGAATAGGAAGCGGTGGAGGGTGTATTCCAGGATCGTCCATATGATATTTCCAAGGAAGAAACAGATCATGGTTTTCGTCACGGTTTGCGGAGACACCAGCAGCAGAGCGCGAAGCGGCAGTCGAGGGTCCACCCAGAAGTCGGCAATTGGTCCAGTGAATTGGAGAAGGGACCGCAGGAAGAGGTAGCCTGCAATTGGGAGCCAGAAGATAGGTACGACATACCAGACGGTACGGGTAAAGCTCTGCCCCAACAGTAAGTTGAATGTAACTTCAAAGCAGATGAACTCACTTCGAGAACGTCCGGGCCGAACAAACGCGCAGACTCTGCGAGGTGTCGCGGCTGATGAACTTGCTTGAGATAATATGATTTACTTTATGGCTAGCTGTCAGCGATTGCCCCAAACGTAGACGCATAATATATACCTGAAGTTGGCCTGCCAAACTTGGCGAAGCAAGGGCTTGCGCAAGTCCAAGAACTGGTTTTTTTCATAATCTTCTGCTTCGTTGGTATCATCTGGATGGAAATCGTCCGTGGCTTCCCAGTCTGTGCGCTAACTGAGCATCTGGCTTAGATGGAATTGGTAACCGACGCACCGTCGCTAACCGTCAACTCTCCCGTTCCCAGTCGACCGATCACATATTCCGCCATCATCTCGTAGGCGGAATCGGAGTGCTCGTGTTCGTCGGCGTCCTTCATAACCTCTGTAATCTCCGTCCCGCCGTATTTCAGAATTAGGTCGTCGCCTCCGGGATGGTCAGGCAAAAACGACGTAACATCGTAAATCTTTTGGCCGCGAATGACCCAGCAGCTCGACGACGTGTTGTGCGCCGCGACATCTTCCTCGGTATAGATGCGAACTCGTTTCAACATGATGGTCAAGAGCAACGAGAACTGCTAGGAAAATCCAGGCGCAAGGCGGCGTTCTGGCGCGATATAATTGCATTAGTCATATTCCAGTACGTGATCGAAGGTTAGGGGCGACTTCAATTCCAGTTATCCTCTACTGCACCTGCCCTTTTCCCAGTGCTTCGCTACCAGCCTCGATACACTTCGCCATGGAGTACACGTTTGCATCCTAGCATGGCCCCGACCTTTTAGTGGGCGCTCACTGAAAAGTTTGTGGTAGGGTTGTCCTTATGTAACCCCCTTTTGACTAAGGCGTTCGTACCAGAAGGGATCCGGGTGGATCTGGCTTTGGCTGGCTACTACTAGAATCCCCTCGCCGATGTTTCCTATACGACGCTCTGCCGGGCGGATTCGACATGCTGCTGCGAAAATCCATGCCAAGCGGACCCTTCTTACCCATTCATATGTTGAAGGCCCATTGCATCCACCATTATCGACCGCGACACTCCCGCAGTTCTTCGACACGGAAGTCTTACCTCGTTATGCCGAACGCCCGGCTCTAGTATGTCGCACCGAGAGTCCTCGAGTTCATGGGGGATCAGTTTCATGGGCGCAAGATGGTGCGCCTCATCTTGCTTGGGACTTTCAGGAATTCGACAGACACATCAACGCGCTGGCGAGGGGATTATTGAGCATGGGTGTGCGGAAGGGGGACAGAGTTGGCGTGCTCATGGGGAATAACAGGTACGCCCAGACGTCGTTTCTCGCGTCTGCGTGCACTTACGTCGAATTAGTGCCTATGCAACCCTTCAGTGGGCTTGTGCATCTATTGGAGCAATTTTGGTGACAATTAACCCAGCGTATCGTCTGCACGAACTTGTGTGTATACTCTGCGCAAGGCTCTAAAGCTCGTCTGCTGAATTTGAATAGGTAAAGACCCTGACCCTGGTTGGTGTGAAGCATTTGTTTGTTGTTCCGAGCATACGGAGCTCTGCGTACGTCGAAATGCTCGCCTCAGCTTATCCTGACCTTCGTGAATCCCGTCCTGGGTCCATTCAAGAAGAAGCACTCCCAGAGCTTCGTAACCTAGTCGTGTTCGATAAGTCAGGGAACCTCGAAGAAAAGTTAGACAAGCTGGAAGTCAAGTGCGCGGTCGACTGGCGCGAGATTATGGCATGGCGGGAAGACACATCAGAGGCGCGGATGCAACACGAAATAACACATTCTCTTGAGAAAGACGATGTCATAAACCTGCAATTTACGAGGTTAGCTTCTATCTCGGTGGTTATTGTTTAATGTATTGAGAACAACGTGGCAAGCGGAACAACGGGACTTCCTAAGGCAGTATCGGTATGAATGTCTCACTGGGTGGCCTGGCGCAAAATAATCATTCTCGTCCTAGTTAACCCATTCAAACCTTCTCAACAATGGGTTGTCTATAGGGAGATGTATGAACCTCTCTGAAGTCGACGTTCTCTGTATGTCCCTCCCACTTCGTCCTGTGACAGTGATAACCCTAGCTAATGCTGTACGGTAGGCAATGTTCCTCCACTGTTCCATTGCTTTGATAAGTCCATTTCGTCACAACCATCTTGTCTTCCATCTTACCTTCGCCTTGGCTCTACGTCTCGTCTTAGGTAACTTGGCAGCATGGACCCACGGCGCGTGCATAGTTTACGCCTCTGACATTTACGACCCCAAATTGATCGTCGACGCTGTCTCTGAAGAGAGATGTACCGCCTTGCACGGCGTTCCTACACATTTCTTGGGCGTCCTAGCCGAGGTCGAGAAGAGACGTGCAGAGGGTGAGATTCTTGACTTCAGCCGGCTTCGGTATGTTTCAGGTAAAATTCCGTTTCACCCGCCTATCTGACGCGTCGCGGCAACGTAGGACGGGGATAGCGGCCGGTTCACCCATTCCCATCGAGTTGAGCCTGTTGTCGTACGATGCAACCGCTTCGTGACTGATTGCCCCACGTAGCTTGATGAGGAGCCTTATCTCTAAGTTGAACCTTCGGGACCTCACAAACGCATTTGGCATGAGTGAGCCACCTTCGTTGTCTAGCGTTGACTTTGCAGTTGATTGAATGATTCGCGTAAACGCGTTTCTAGCTGAGACAAGGTGTGTCCTTCTCTTTAGTCATTGAAACCGATGCACATACGTCCGATTCTCACAGTCCAGTGTCGTTCCAAACCACTCCCGCCGACCCCATTCTCAAACGGGTCGAGACAGTTGGGAGGGTCCAGCCGCACGTCAAGGCCAAACTCATCGATGAAGAAGGTAAGGTAGTGCCGGTGGGAACGCCAGGGGAAGTGTGTATAGCGGGATACCTGCTTCAGAAAGGGTCTGCTCTGCTCTTAATATCATCACGGTTCCTAGCTGACACCCGCCTTTAGATATTGGGAAGACGAGGAACAGACTCGTGCAGTAATGCGATGGGAGGGAGACACGCTGTGGATGCATACTGGCGACGAAGGGATCATGGATGAAGAAGGCTATTTGAGGAGTAAGCTGTCTCTACTATGAGTTAACCGTTGGTCCCTCATACCAACGTCTTCATTCTAGTTGTCGGGAGACGCAAGGTAATTCTTAAAGACCGCTGTAAGCTCCTGTAGTGATTGAGCCGTTGTGGAACTTTGCAGGATATCATCATTCGTGGAGGAGAGGTATATCGTCTACTCGCTCTTCACACATATAGGTGCATTGAACATCTCTTCATCAGAATCTTTTCCCAGTACAAATCGAGAACGCCCTAACCGAGAATCCGTCCATACGGGAAGCCGCCGTAGTCTCCGTCCCAGATCCCAAATACGGTGAAGTAGTCGGGGCGTGGATCGTGCGCGAGGCGAATACTCACATTGATCGCGACGAAGTGCGGCGGACTGTTGCGGAAAGCATGAACCCCCAGGTTCGTCCCCCTCCCACATCCTTGCATGAACTGTATCTCGCTTGATTTATATGCTCATACATTTCTGTGTCCTAGAATGCACCTGCATGGGTATGGTTCATTGGCGAAGATGGTACCGAACCAGAGCTCCCTAAGACGGCCAGCGGCAAGGTCATGAAGCACGTTCTCCGCAATTGGGCAAGAGACCTATCAAGTAGGAGTATAGGTAGTGTCAGACTTTAAGTAGCACTTGATGATTTGTCCTTCATTCACTAGCTTCACATCTGCAATACTTAGTACTCAGGGAGGCAATTGCAAGGTATGCTGGTATTAACAATGGATACAAACACGTCTAAAGGGCAAGGGGCATGAAAGGTACAAAGAGATTACACGCGTGTATGCTTGAATGCACCGATGGCAGTAAGAACAAGGTTGATACACTGAGCTCTTGCGATGTTAGCAGCTTCAGTACCAGGGTAATATCCGCTAACATATGCCCTCAGGGGCTCGTCCTCTAGCCCGTTGACTGCATCCAATGAGTGGAGGGAGGGGAGATTGTGCTAATGTGCGGAGGATAAAATGAGAAAAATAAGCAAGATTGAACGGAGTGACAACCTACAGGTGCAGTGACAGGATCATCAAAATTAGCAAACGGAACACTTTCAAAGGCACCGGAGGGGCTATTGCTGTTCCTAGCCTATGTATATGCACATTCAGATGAGCAACTAGTAGAAGAAAATGTTGGCGTCTTACAATGGCAGCGAGACGCCTGCTGCACCTAACCTCTTTACCGAGGTCTTCCCTAACCTGTTGCATATCCGCACGAAGACCTTGCATATCCGCACGAAGGCCTTGCATCTCCGCACGAAGACCTTGCATATCCGCATGAAGGCGAGCTTCAACAGGGGCTAGGGCTTCTCGTAACGCAGCCACCAGATCCAGCTGCACTAAAGACAAGTCAGGAGAGAGCTTCAGAAGGAACGTGCATACATACCAGTTCTAGTACCAATGATTTGTGCGGCATATACTGCTGAATTGCAAAGATCTTCATGGGTGATGAAGGGGCCGCCAGTATGGTGTTCTACATTGCCGTACTGAGACAAGACTGGTCAATGACAGGTATTGTTCCCTCACCGTACAACCTTGCAGTCTCATAGGCCAAGAACCAAGCTTTTGCCACATCTGCAGTCACTGGCGGATCCGAAGGTGGTGGAGGGAAGATCCTGTCTAGAACCTGGTGGCCGCTCGCGGATAGTACAGGTAATTGGATCATGGTGGTTTGAATAAAGGAGGAGGGATAGGGAGCAATCTGGGTCTACAGGGGTAGAGGCGTGAGAAAGTTCGGAGGAGACTGCTGGATCCCAATCACGGACTCAGTGTATCGGCTCCATGCCACAATCGCCGACCTACGCAGGAATCCTTCTAACCATCAACTATGGATGATTCTACTGCTTCAGGCCCTCGCCGCAATAGACGGCATCGTCCCCGAAAGGAGCCTAACCAGGGTGTCTCTGGATCAGGGCATACAGAGCATGGGATTGGACACGGCGGAGGCGTAGAGCAGGACACGTCGTCTGGAAATCAGGCACCAGCTACGCAGAGCGCGCCCAACCCCAATCGCAGGAGGAGAAACAAACCTCCAGCAACAAGACAGCCTGCAGACAGGAAACCTCCGGACTATAGTCCGTCCAGGTCAGCCACCCCCGATCTAAAGGGAAGGAAACGGCGAGCGCAATTCAACAACTCGTTGACCGACTCTCCTGCTCAACTGGAAAACTCGCGACCACAACCTGCTGCTCACGTAAATAGAGCGCGCTTGAAGAAGCCAGCTGGGGACGATCTCACTTCCAAGCTAATTTATACGCTTAGCACTCCCCCGTATGCCGACTGCCCGATCTGCTTTGCGGCTATCCATCCTGCGCAACCTATATGGTCGTGTCTGCCATCTGTTAATGATGGGCCCTCTTGCTGCTATACACCCTTCCATCTGAAATGCATACGATCTTGGGCGGGGAAATCCGTGAAGGACATTGAGGCGGCATATGCAGCACGAGGGGAGGAAGGAAAGTCTGGGGAATGGCGATGTCCTGGATGCCAGAAGAGACGAGAAGAAGTTCCAGCACGTTATCAGTACGTGGCAGTATTGCGTTGTTCATGCGAGTTGTACTGACTGTTGGTAGATGCTTTTGTGGCTCGGTAGCTTCCCCTCAACGCACACAACTTGCTACCCCTCATTCGTGTGGCAATTCATGCTCTCGGCCCCGCAGCGTATATCAGAACCCAACAAACGGCGATAACCCCGCGTGTACCCACCCGTGCCCTCTGCTTTGCCATCCGGGCCCATGCCCTCCGTGTCAGGTTACTATCCACATGCGATGTCATTGTGGTAAGGATGAAAAGACATTCAAATGCCGACAACTAGCCAAAGCTGCCGAAGCGACTGACGTACGATGTTGCGAGCAGAAATGCGCCAAACTACTGAATTGCGGAAAACATCAGTGTGCACGCATTTGCCACCCAGGACCTTGTCAACCTTGTGACATTCAAGTGACGAAGCGTTGCTGGTGTGGTCGGGAAACGAAAGACGAGATCTGCGGGGAAAACCTGTCGGAGAGGTATGCGTGCACGAATACGTGTGCGAAGGTGTACCTATGCGGAGTGCATTCCTGCGAACGCACTTGCCATCTAGAACATCTCGATAATTCGGGAGGGGAGATTTGTCCCTTCGACCCCAGCGTGCTGCGTCACTGTCCTTGTGGTAAAGTTGAGCTTACGTCCTCGTCCCTGTGGCCCCTGCCACTTCTCTCTCAATCTTCTCGCCTGCCGCGCTCTTCATGCAGCGATCCAGTCCCAACATGCACGTCCCAATGCCTGAAGAATCTCTCTTGCTCTCATCAATGTCAAGTCCCTTGTCATCTCCGCGATTGTCCTCCCTGTCAAGAGCTCGTTGAGCGATCTTGTAGATGTGGCGGGACTCGCAAACAAATCCCATGCTCTCAGCTCTACGATCCGCAAACTGGGGTCGAATTGGAGGTTTTGTGTGACAAGCCTTGCGGAGCGTTCCGAGCCTGCGGGAAGCATGAATGCAAACGTATATGCTGCCCCCTTGCTGGTTTCGCCATGGGCCAAGGGAAAACGAAGGGACGTCGTCGTGGGGTCGCGAATCAAGGCGATACAGAACTAGACCTTGCTGCCATCGGCGGACTACATGAATGCGACCTGATCTGTGGAAAACCTTTACCTTGCGGAAACCACAAATGCGAAGCGCGCGATCACAGGGGGGCATGTCCGCCGTGTTTGAGGAGCTCATTCAATGAGATTGTGTGTCACTGCGGGAGGACGGTGCTGGATCCCCCTATTCCTTGTGGGACGGTGCTGAGTTGCCAGTTCCCTTGTGTGCGTCCCCCACCGCCATGCGGACATCCCAGAGTACCGCACGCGTGTCACGGGAGGGTCGAAGATAGATGGGAAGAGGAATCGGTGGAGGGAACTCATGCAGATGGGGCAAGACCAATCTCTAGGTGCCCGCCATGCCCACATTTGGTCACAAAGCCTTGTGCTTGCGGCAAGAAGATGGTTCCGAACGTACGATGCTCTACCGCACCAGACAAGGTGAGATGCGGGGGCGTCTGTGGGAAGTGAGTGTTTCACGTCTCATCTCGACTGATGGGACAACATTGCTGACTTTTGCATGGCGCAGGCTGATGGAATGCGGATTCCATCGCTGCGATCGCGGCTGTCATCCTGGCCAGTGCGGGGATTGCTTAGCGTCCTGTGGCAAGGCGAGAAGGTTATGGTGCGTGCGTTTGGAGTCCTCGATTCGCAATCAGTAGCTGATGAAATGGATAGTCTCCCTCTCCATCATCCGTGTACCTTGCCCTGTCACGCACCTTCCGCGTGTTCGGAGGCAGAGCCATGTCAAGCCATTATAACTGTATCTTGTCCGTGTGGCCGAATCAAACAAGCGGTTCATTGTGGCCGAAATGCGAACCAACCTACCGCGGCCTCTGACGAATCCTCTCGGGGCAATACACCAAAATGTAATAGTGAATGCGCAATCGCGAAGCGCAACGCCCGTCTCGCTGATGCTTTAGGGATCAACCCTCAATCCCGCGCGGCGGAAAAAGCAGAAGTCAACTATAGCAATGAGTTAGTGTCATTTGCGAAGTCTGACGCCAAGTTTCTTGCTCTCGTAGAAAGAACTTTCACGGAGTATGTGTCGTCGCTCTTGACTCTCGCGGGTTCAGCTTACCTTATTCCTTCGCCAGCTTCGTGAACGGAGAAAAGAAGAACCAAGTGCTTCCTCATATGCCTGTTGAACGGCGGCAATTCGTTCACGATGTAAGCTAACTGCTCGAAACCACGCCTTTCCTTGCTTATCTATCATCTCAGTTGGCAGCACTCTATAGGATAGACACACAAATGATCGACCAGGAACCATATCGAAGGTGAGACTTGATGTCCAAGTTGAAGCCCCTTGTTCAACGCCTCATCAGTGTGCAACTCCTTCGGCGAGTCGATACTCGTATCCCAGCTATTACACTGTCAACGTATATCGCCGCCAACAAATCAACAACCTCAAACCTTGGGAAGCTGACGGACATGAGCCTGCGATCAGGATCATCATCATGGCGTAGTACGCCCACTATTACACCCACGACAACTCCGCGTTCTTCCGTGGCTCCTGTTCCCAATATATCCGATGTAGGTACCTCGGCAAGAGTGTGGGGTGCAACTTTGCAGCAAGCCTTGAACAGGGCTTCCCCCAAGCCATCATCCGGAACCGTCCCTCATTCCCGCGCCACTACCCCCGCCCCTCCTCCTCCTCCTCCTCCCACGTCAACAGCAAATGAACCTACCACCCCGGTGCCTGCAGATTGGGAAGATGATGTGTAGTTAAGATGATAGGAATGTGAATAGCGCACCGTCAATTCAAGCCTGATTTTGGCTGACTACAGATACCTGCGACGTGACCCAACAAGTCGAACGGAGTAGGATACCGGGCACAGATAGATGAGTTGCTTTGGGAATTTAACATCGTGCCCCAATGGCCAGTAAGCGCTTCTCAGCCGAAACATCCACGAAGGTACGTTTTGATTCGTAGACGTTCAGTCCCAGCCCCGATTTTTGACTGCAAGCTGTGCAATCTGTTTCGCTGGTAATGCTGACTGGACGTCTGAGATGTATACATGCCCTTTAGGTTGTTCTAGTGTGGCGTCAGCGGATGTGCATCATTGACGGGATCTTCAAAACGGGACGATGTTTTTCATCAGATGTTGCGGAGCTGCGTTCCTTTACCGTTTCGCTGTTGGTCGTACTCAGGTAGGTGTAGGTTGCTACCCAAGAGCTTAATGCACTACTCGTCATGGCTGCTCCCACAATGATGATCTCTTCTTGCCCCTCAAAAACTTCAGATTAACATCCTCCAGGCTTTCCTCCACAAATACATATACTCTCAATCTACGAGCCCTCAGAATCTTTCCCCATCCCTTTGGACCCAGGGTTCACGACACACATTCCTTACATTTTCGCTCCTTTTACGTTCAAGCCAATCGACATGTCGGACAGTGAGTTACTATGCATTTACCTATGTCCGACGTCTCAATGACCACTCCAATGACTATCAGGCGCCCGCGTCCTTGCCCTTTCTATCTTACAACTCGTCAGCGTTTTGGGGTTCACTATTCTCTTGCTCACGTTTCTTCTGTCGTCAAGAGTGAACAGGAGCTATACCTGGGTTGGCTTCTCTGTTGGTTGGATTATTGCTTGCTTGTCGTATGATATCCTCTTCTTTGCGGGCCAGGAGTACGATTCATCCCCAAGCCGCGTGATCTGCCTAGTGCAGGCTGCACTGGTTCAGTCCGTACCTGTCCTGTGGGTACCATTCGGTGACTTATTCTGTCGCGGCCATGACATCAGCACAGACAGGCCACGACGAATCTTTCTCTCATTGTCGATGTAAGCTTGCTCTCAATCAACCAACCTCAACAGCGTTTTACTTTAGACTTTCCTAGATATGGCTGCTAGTTGGCGATGCGCTTCAGCCATTGCGAATAAGCAAGCGACAGCTACTAACATACAGGGTGTCGGTCAGTACCATCTCCAGTGTGTATATATGTTCATACCACTCATCCCAGGAATTCCTAGGTAGTCTTGTTCCCCCACGTGTTTTCCGTCTCCGTCTTCGTGGGATATATACTGGTATACATGTGGGGTTCTCAGATGGTTACCTTTCGCTAATGCAGTGCAGTTCGGGATCTACAATCCTTCTACGGTGCAAAAGTACCCATACTCGGCATACTGCACTATCGTGTACCCCGGCATCCCGTAAGTGCGCGACACCTATGCATTGATGGTGCTGATTTTCGGTTAGGTCTGTCATATCTATGGGGCTTTTCGGCTTCTTCATGCTCTTCGCCATCCTATTCAAATGTAAGCAAGTTCGGTCCTCTCCTACCCGCATGAATTTGAAACCCTCTGTTTCGTAGTGTTGTTCGGCTGGCTCCTATATCATCGATGGAACTGCATCAGCAACATCAGAAAATGTGTCACGATGATAATTAGGATCATGATCTTTACTACAGCCAATGGTGTCGTTCTGATGTATGTCTCAAATCAATCTTCTCGTTGCGACAGCTCACCATTCCTTCGTGTTCATGCTAGCCTCAATGTGTTATTATATGTGGGAATTATTGACCGACCCACCGTCGACATTACGAATGCAACGTGTAAGTGGTGATAGAAGGCTTCTCTGGATATGTCCTCAAATCCAAATCCCTCGCTCATCAGTCCCGATCCTGATCTTTATCTTGATGGCCACAGAGCAGGTTAGTACACGCTGCAATATCTATCCCTTCGTTGCTGAATACGCTATAGGATTTATTGGAAACATGGATATTTTGGCGCTGCGTGGTACGCCATCCAAGAACGATCACCCCTAGCAGCGCAGCATGAGTTACGTACATAAATATCTGATCCGGATATTCATTTCCGAGCATTCATTATCTCTAACTTCAGCACGCTTCCCCTCATCTGATCATTGTCAGGCTGCTTTCAACCCCATTCATTGGCAACCAAGTGCAAGTGAGGTTGCTACTAACGAATGATAGCGCGTTTATGCACCATCTGATTCTGATGTAGCACAGTAGCTCTCTCTTTCATAAAGGGCTGATTTCAACGGAGGCCATCCCCTATGACATTGATACAAGCTGGTCTTGAATGGACTGCGCCTGCGTTCCTTCGACCTCCCCTCCGTCGCAGACCTTCAGTTATTCAGACTGTTAAAAACCCTTATGTCTGAAGGTAAGTCATACCACCACATTCATTCAACATATGGCTTCATCCCATGAAGCGTCCGCCATCTTGGCATTTTCTATCCTTCAAGTCATTGGTGCTGCAGGATTCCTTCTCATTCTCCTCACCGTTGCTTTCTCGCCGACGATAAAGCGAAGACCGGTGTGGATTAGCTTTTGTGTGGGGTGGTTCTTGGCGTGCATATCCTTCGCCTTGCTCTTCATATCCGGGCGATATCGCCCCCACCCGCCCCATCGTATCCTATGCCTAGTGCAAGCTGCGCTAGTCGACTCGGTTCCTGTTCTGTGAGCCGTGTCACTTCGTGCGTTCTACGATTCAAGCGCTCACGCCCTCTGATTAGCCAAGCCAGTACAAACCTGACACTCGTTATCGATGTATGTATGGTCATCTCTCCAGGACATTCGTTGATGATTGACACCAATACAGACGTGGCTCCGCGTTCGTAAACTTATTTCAAAGAAAGAGAAAGGGCCCATGTATTCATGGAGCATTCGTGTTGCTGTGAGCATCGCCCACATCTGCGGCTTCTTCCTCGGAATTGACGGTCCCGTTCACTCAGCTGGTGATATCTCCTTTCGCTTTCTCCCTGTGTGTTTTCGTTGGTTACTTGGTGGTACGTTTGATGACACCCTCAAAGGTCTGGATGTTCAAACTTCAACAGTTCGGGATACGTTACCCTATTATCGTTGGTTTATCTCCGCCGGATGCGTACTGCAGGATACATGGTCAAATTCCGTGCGTTTAAACCCATTTTATCACTCCTTGTTAGTTTATTCAGATTCAGGTCGATCATCTCTGTCGGTCTGTTCGGATTATTCCTGCTCCATTCCATCATATTCAAATGTGGGTCGTACAACCGTCAATTCTTCCCTACTGAATCTTGACTTTCAACAATTCAATAAAGTTCTACTCGGTTCCCTCTTATACAAACACTGGGTCTCCATAGGCAACGACGCAGCGAAGGTCGTCAAAATGATAATTGTCACAGTAATAGTAGGATCGATGGTGATGTAATTATTTCATTAACTTTGCTGACACACATCATGCTCGAGACTAACCCCCATACTATGCAGGATCACGGCGTTACACATGGCGCATAAGATCCAAAGAATTGTTGCTGATCTTGTTCTGGCTACTTGTACGTCTACACCAGTTACTGCCCGCCATCATAAGCGCAGTCACCTATGCTGACTTTCCCATTTACAGTTCCAATATTCACGCTAGCGTTGTTCATGGCAGAAAGGGTAAGAAAGTGCTTTGACTCCCTAACGCTATAAGCTGACGCCGTCGTAACCATCGTATTTCATATACTTGCAGGATATCCTTGAGGCGTGGTTCCCATTCATCCGCCGTGATACCAGTTTCCCAATGGTGCAACCGGAAGCTTGATCGGCGTAGATATCTTGGAACATGGAGACGTCCATACAATCATCCAATTATCTTGCGACCGTTTGAGTGGCCCAAGCGGTATCGAATCGATATCAATCAACTATGTGTAAAGTCAATCTTTGGATATAGATGTAATACCAAGTAGTATTTATCATCACCGGTATCCGAGTCACCTTCGCCCGAAGTCCATCACAAGGTACAGATACACGTCCAAGTTGCAAGAGGTATGAAAGATAAATAGTACAATGATACAGACACAATAACGGTCCTCCTGATGCAAAACGAAGACAACACGGATATTAGCCCCCAAAAAGCAGTGCGCCAGCAAGTCAGAAAACCAGCAAATCGAGCCTTCGCTAATGCTGTCCAAATATCTAAATAGTTCTTCCTCTCGCAACCTTCGCGGCAAATGTCTCCGCACCTTCCTCTGATGGCAGATGTGCGTAGTGTCCATGGCATGTATCCGCTGGCCGCACTCTCTCCCTCTCCAGGCCCACAGCCCCGCTCCACTTCCGCGGAATAATCATGACTGGAGAGACACGGCTCGGACTCTGGGGCTGTATCGGTATTGGTATACGCTGTGCGACGAGGATACGCAGCCCCGATGCCTCTTTTGCTGGCGATGGCCCGGGGCCATCCGCGCGCCGCCATCCGTTCTGAGTCGCCATGGACGGCGGCGTGCCAAACGTCGATACCGTCGTAGGACGGTCTCCGTGGAGGAGGGGTTTCGCTACTAGCGACGCAGTAGCTTTGTGGTGTTGAAATGGGGCCCCAGACGCCGACGGGCGGAGGCAGGGGAACCATGCGTAGATGAGGTCGAGTTGGGTGCCGAAGATGAAGAACGAGAAGACGGGCACTGCGCCACCATGTAGCATACGGGACCATCGTAGTCGGATCGGGAGATAACAATGAGCGTCACGGTAAGGTGCTACGCGGCGGCGGGAGGAGAAAGACGACGTACGAAGACCCATGAAGACATCCGGGACCGCCCCGTGCTTCGAATGCGATAAGTAGACGAGGCTGATTCTGCGTGCGGGGACGGTACGAGTGGCTGATGCATCAGAGTAGTTTCGTGCTCGGTGATGACGATACGCACACAATCGACATGAACCCAAAAGCAGTAAAAAGGACGACGCGGATGATCAGGGCGAACGAGTCTTTGCTATTGCGCGTGTAGGATCGCCAGTTGTTGTACAACGTCGTGGCAATGACCGCTATCCGCATAATACAATTCCCCGCAATTAGCCCCACGCTCTGTTACTTCATTGGATGATAGATCATACCTTCGATGCCCACCCCGGCAGCCAGGATGAGTGCAACGTATATAGCCGATGCTTTCCCTCTTCAATCAACGTCAAAATTGAACCGGTGTTCGGACCACAGAGGAATCAAAGAGGCACATACGGAAATGATGCACCGACGACACAATACATACAGCTATCTCCTGGCTTCACATCTTTCGGATTTTCCAATCCGTACTGAAAGGCCCATCAAGCATCAGAACCGTCTGTGAAACGCGCGTAGTTCGACTGGTGCGTTTGAAAGCGACTTACCCATAGGACCCCGAAAAAGAAGCTTAGAGCGGGGATGTAGGGGAACAGGCATAGCTGGGTAACGTTACGTTGAGTACAGCCTTTCAGTACATGGGGATGGGGGACGGTGAGATACGCACCAGGAAGTCCCGAGTGCGTGCGTGTTGAGTCTCAATATGGAATACGACGGTCCGAACGTTGAACCAGAGCTAGAGACCACGTTTATGACACAATTACACCAGCGGATATGACGGACCAACATGTATGATGAGCGCCAGGGTCGCGCTTGCTGTTCTACACGCCGTCCGCGCATTCCCTCGTCAGCCTCGACACGAAAGCCACGACATCGCGAGCCACTCACAGGACCGGCACGGCGTATATCAGACACGCCTGCACAAGGCACAGCGTGCCGTTCGGATGGTCGCTGTCCATCTCCCCCGCCAGGAAGAGTAGTACATACGATACGCAGCTTATCAGCCACGCCAAGCAGAACATGATCCACGCGGGGTGCCTGTGGATCTTCCGCGAGAGGAAGACGGTCCAGATGATGACCGTGTACCCCGCCCAGCCGAAGAGCTGCATCGCCATGAAGACGCGCGTGAGCGCTTTGTCCCGCATAGGCAGCTTCCATGAGAGCGAAGCGAAGCTCGTGCTCGGGGCTGCCCGCGACTCGAGCCATTGCTGGGCGACGAACATCGTGAAGCTGGAGACGTACTAGATGCGGAGCTAACGAATGAAATGAGATGAAAACGAGGGTGGTCCAGCCTAGAGTATAGCAAGCGACTTCGCCACGACGAACACTGACGTGGGACGGGGGAAACAGTAACCAATTCCACCTCGACGTCCACGACCCTCTATACTTGGTCCACAGGCGCCCGTCCCTCCATGTGAGATTCGAAGAAACTTTGACGGCGACGTTATTCATCATCATTGATTGATCTTCAGCCGACAAGCATCTCCCACTCCATACGCAGCTCCTGTGCCCAGACGCATGCAATTTGTCCACCGAACAGCTGCGAGTGCAGCGTTCGGTGGGGCTGACATTGAAGTTGTACGCTATGTACCCGGGGGATTGTCGAGGCCCCCTTACGAGTTCGTGTTTTCGCAGCGGTACTGTGCTGATGATATATCAGAACAGTCAATCACGACAAGCTGATCGGCTAGTGCATCGCCATTCCGAGCCCAATCGATATTCGATTCCTGATGTTAGTGAATTTAAGGTTGATACAATAATCTGCCAGACGCACTTTAGTCTACCATGTAGTTCAAAGAAGCGAATTCGATGCGGTCACAACGATCACATAGACATTCACGTCGATTTTCTCTATGCACCAATCAATATAGTATTATAGCGTCTGAGAGTAGGCTAAAGTGTTTGCTGTATCGAGTCCGCTGTCAGGGACTCTGGAACTACAGGCTTGGGTGCGTGCAGTACGAGGTTCCCTAACCGAGGAGGCGTCGCCCGACTGATGAACTCCATTTTCGTTGGCAGTTTGTCCGCCGCCTGCCGCAGGGCTGTAGAGCAGAGTCAGCCAAGCACTCTGACATCGTGGGCAAGCGCACCATCTCTAGCAAGCTCCTCTCGAATGGGCGACCCTCCAATCTCGAAGATGACTCGTCCTTTGGGTACCCTGCAAGCAACCATCAGCTCGAGCCCGCACACAATCGACGCACGACTTACCGCGTCGCCCAGAACTCGAACGTCCCCTTGCCCTTGCCCATACGCGTCTCGTTTCCCTGTTGCGGTCATCAGCAAAGCGCGCGGCACCGAGTATGCAGGAACGCGACCTTGATGCAGACCGGAATATCCGGGAACACGCGCAAGTACACTTTGGCTCCCTTGATGACTTTTATTTTCCGCTTGATGACTTCCTCGGCTGTCGTGAGCTGTTTTGCGCTCAGTCTGACCCCGTTTCCTTTGATCCTGATCCCCCATTCGCCGTACGCGAGCGTCGTGCCCTTTGTCGAGCCTCCGATAGGTATTGGTATCCGGCCTTTATGACGCTTGATGTGTTTCACTTGACGCGGAGCCAGCTGGTGGCGTTGGCGGGAAAAGATGTTCAGGAATCCTCCATGGCCTTGGGTGTGCCCAAAGTTCTTCACAAAATGCAGAGATTGGGAGAGCAGGGAAAGCATGGACTCAGAAACACTTCTGCAACGCCTCGTCCGTTCAATCCATTCCGGGGAGTTCTCACGGTCTCGGTCAGCTGACTTACTATGGTGAGAATGGCCAGGCGGGACCTTTTGTGTAAGTCAACGCTGAACGGAACTCATTCCTACTCTCGAAATCGAAACTTATGGGCGACGTTCAAGCGAGTGGGTCAGCTACTTGCTTCTGAATTCCGTCGCAGGCCATGACCGTCCACAAGATCGACAGGTCCGCCAACCACCAGTGGGGATACACGGATAACCAAACTTCGAGACCACATCGCCGAGCAGATGGAGGGGGAGTTTAGCATCGTCAGCGTCGAGGGATTTCTCTCGCATTATCTACCATTTGAGCCCACCGAAGACGACGTCAAGAACATGGAGAATTTGCTTTCCAAGATGGAAATGAGTGTCTTGGTTGAAATGGATGGAGACCTCCGTTTTCACGAATTCGTGGTCCCCCCTTGCAATGCTAATGGGACAGAGACTCCCTCGTACAAACCTCTCGAGGATATTTCCTGCGCGATAGCTTATGTGCCTGTCGAGGGTCGGAAGCGCAACGAACTCAGCTTCCGTGTTTGCCCCAACACCGTCATCAAGTCGCAAATTGCTGGCTCGGACAACAAGGTCGACGGGTGCTTTACCTCAGAGGATCCCGAGAGCAAGACGTTGGATACCTCCCGTCTTGCGTGTATCCTCGAATACAAGCTGAACCCCTTGCAGGAGGTTGAGGTACGTCTTTTCTAAGCTTGTTCCAACTCGATTCAAGCAACCTCGTAGAACAACAAGCAAGCCCTGTCGGCAAGTGTCCAGATCATGAATGACGATGTCCGTCGCATGTTCACATATGGGGTGGGTCCCACTGCTGCTGTGGTATTGGTCTCTTGTCTGACTGGCAGTAGATTACTATTATCCGAGATCGTGTTACTCTATGGTATCATTCTCGGTCGCACTCAATGATTTCAGAGCCCTTCAGTTTTGTAGAAGTCGGTGAGGTCTCCTCCATGCGGCACGCAGGCTGACTTTCGCACTAGAACCCACAACTCCTGATCAAAGTGTTCATGTCCTTCTTGTTCGCCACGGAGGAAGAGCTGGGCTATGACCCGATGGTCACGCGAGACGCCAAAGGGGACTATATATACAGAATCCCCTCTACCGAGCAGGGACAACAACGCGACCGTTTCTTCCTCACTACTGCTTCCATCGCCGAGTATCGTTCGAACAATATCACTGGTCGTATGGCTCGGGTGTGGAAGGTGGTCGAATTTCACCCGAGTGGCGCTGTGGTATCGCCCAGCGGGCCTTCCCGTGTATTGAAGGATGTCTGGCTGGAGGATTCGGCACCTACTGAGTCGCAGATTCAGTCGCAGATCTTCGAGGATATCAAGAAGTTCTTCCGTGACAAGCAAGACGCGCGATATCTTGCCTTCGAGAGGTTGCGGCCTTCAATCAGTGACCTGGAACGGAATGACAGATACAAGAAATATTTCATCCAAATCATGGCGGATTACGAAGGCAAACGGACTAAACCACGCTCTCCCAATTCGGAAAGAAAACGCAGGCTGTTTTCCACCGTTGAACCGTTAGCGCTCCCGACGACGTCAAATCGGGGTGGTAGCGGGACTCCCCGCCCGACCGAAAGCAAGATCACCTTCGATGAGGGTCCTCGCGAATTTGCGCCGAGGAAGCAATATCGGGTTATCTTTGGAGAAGTATGTGAGGCTGTTGGTGACCTTGGAAGCGTAGGCGAGGTTACGGACGTCCTCAGCCAGGCCATCGTTGGTGGGTTTCCCTCTATTTTCGCTGGATACAACCTCATACTGCCTACCAGCGCTTCGCCTTATGTATTGCGCCGGCTGGGTTCATAGAGATATTAGTTCTGGCAACATTCTGGCCCATCGCCGCAGCTCATCGAGTCCATGGCAAGCTAAATTGTCCGACCTGGAGTATTCACGGCGGTTCTCCTTGAATTCCGATCGTGGTGTAGCCGGCGATCCAAAAACTGTACGCCTCTTTTCTGACCTGCACGTCCCTTCGTAACACGTTCACAGGGCACACCCTACTTCATGCCTCACGAAATCCTCAGTTCTCGCTACATCGTTCCCCGACAACCAGGGGCACAAAAGCCCAAGCTTGTGGTTGATGACTTGACAAACGGCCGTCGCCCCCAGCCCCGCGGACCCCCGCCTGTGTACAATTTCCAGCACGACTTGGAATCTATCTGGTGGATTTTCGTATGGACAATAACCTGCCGAGTTTCCCATGATCCTTCTGTTGCTTTTGGCAGAAAGATATTCCAGAACCTCATGGACCCCCCACTTGCTAGATTAAATTTCTTGGAAGACCCGATCAGTGAAGAATTTATGGGGTGCCTGTCGTCACCATTACAGCAACTAGCAAGCCCCTTGGAAGTGTTGCGCTGCTTCATATATGATGCATACTTGTACCATCAGACTGCTAATGACTTGGCCGACCTCACATCCTATATCGACGCTCACCAGGGCTTCGCGACTTTCTTCGAAGGAGTCAAACTGTCCCAGGAACATTGGGGCGATACCGTGTTGCTGACTTGCCATCGTCCGGTTGCCAGTACGACAATGGGACGACGCCCATGTAGCCGACGCTGAGGCACAGAGGCCGAAGTCCAGGCGTTCAAAAAAGGCTAGCGGGAAGACGTAGCCGATAGTACAGGAGAAGACACTACGGAAGGTGTTCACCGCCTGACACCCTCAACAGTACATAGTTCTTTAATGCGCATTTGCTACTGTCATGGCGGTACCCCGACGATATACACATGCCGTTGAGATTGTTCTAAGCGTGTTGCCCCATTATATAGCCTAGGGTACATCTTCTGTGGTGAGTGAACATTCGCTCGTTTCCTTGAGCTCCCCTCCTTAAGTATCAAGATACATAGCGCAAATACAAAAACACGGTCAGCTGACTTTCTAAATCACGCAAACAGCGCAAAACTCGAATTCCGCCAAGGCATCACAGTACTCGGTATTGTTTGCAGAGAACCTCACATGTCTCACTTTCGCCAGGGTATTCGCGAGCTGATTCAAGAAGAGTTTGCCATCTGCGGAGTCGAAGAATACCTCTCATCGTACTTGCCGTTCGACGTCAACGATTCTGACGTTGACAACGTAGTGCAATTGCTCTCTAAGACGGCAAGCAACTCCCCAATCTCAACGAATCCTGTCGCAGAATTCAGCCATGCTGATTTACCAATACTCGACACGCCGACGTCGCACGAACACCTCGCCTCGCTAGCTGAAGCAATAGCCTCTTGCATGCCCCAGGGCCGATCTCGCAACGGATTCACACTTTGCGTACGTCCTAATATCTCCCTTGGACCCCCAGCCTCGAACTTGAACAGCAAGATCGACGGATGCTTCACATCAGAAGGTCCCCGTGTCAGCAGGCTGACGGTGTCCAGCGCCGCATGCGTCTTGATGTTCACGCTAGATCCTACCAAGGAAGTTGAAGTGTGTCCGACTGAATGACGGTGTTGCGACAGACTAATGTAGTCAGCGATGCTCGTAGAATAATATCGAAGGAGTTGCCGCAAGTATTCAAATCATGAACGACGATGCTCGCCGGATGTTCACATATGGGGTAAGTCGTGTTGCTACTAATGAATTTGTTCCTTTTGCTCAACTCGCCGTAGATTACGATTGTCGAAGATCGTGTTACCCTATGGTATCATTCTCGGTCGCACTCGATGATTTCAGAGCCCTTCAGTTTTGTAAAAGTCGGTGAGGTCTCCTCCATGCGGCACGCAGGCTGACTTTTGCGCTAGAACCCACGACTCCTGATCAAAGTGTTCATGTCCTTCTTGTTCGCCACGGAGGAAGAGCTGGGTTATGACCCGATGGTCACGCGAGACGCGAAAGGGGACTATATATACAGAATCCCCTCTACCGAACAGGGACAACAATGCGACCGTTTCTTCCGCACTACTGCTTCCATCGCCGAGTATCGTTCGAACAATATCACTGGTCGTATGGCTCGGGTGTGGAAGGTGGTTGAATGCAACTGTAGTGGCAATGTCCTGTCCCCCGGAGAGCCTTCCCGTGTATTGAAGGATGTCTGGCTGGAGGATTCGGCACTTACTGAGGCTCAAATTCAGTCGCAGATCTTCGAGGATATCAAGAAGTTCTTCCGTGACAAGCAAGACGCACGATATCTTGCCTTCGAGAGGTTGCGGCCTTCAATCAGTGACCTGGAACGGAATGACAGATACAAGAAATATTTCATCGAAATCGTGGTGGATTATGAAGGCAAACGGACTAAACCACGCTCTCCCAATTCACAAGGAAAGCGCAGGCTGTTTTCCACCGTTGAACCGTTAGCGCTCCCGACGACATCATATCGGGGTGGTAGCGGGACTCCCCGCCCGCCCGAAAGCAAGGACGCTTTGGATGAAACTCCTCGCGAGTTTACGCCGAGGAAACAATATCGGGTTGTCTTTGGGGAGGTATGCGAGGCTGTGGGTGACCTTAGGACCGTAGGCGAGGTTACGGACGTCCTCAGTCAGGCAGTCGTTGGTAGGTTTCCCTCCACTTTTCATGGATAAAATCTCATCCCGTCTACCAGCGCTTCGCCTTATGTATTGTGCTGGATGGGTGCATCGAGATGTTAGTTCTGGCAACATTCTGGCTCATCCCAGCGGCGGCGCGTGGCAAGCTAAGTTGTCTGACCTGGAGTACTCCAGGCGGTTCTCCTTTGATCTGGAGCATGATGTAGGCAGAGACCCGAAGACGGTACGCCGCCTCTCCAATTGACGCACAAACCCCCGTAACATGTTCATAGGGTACTCCGTACTTCATGCCTCACGAAATTCTCGCGTCTCGCTACCTCGAATTCGATACATCAACCCTGCCGGATACGACGTTTGACCTCGACACTTTCACAAAGACCGAGGGCCCTGCCGCACCCCAAATGCCACTCGTATACAACTTCCAACATGACCTGGAATCCATCTGGTGGATCTTCCTTTGGACAATAACCTGCCGAGTTTCCTATACACCTTCAATAGTGTTTGGCCAAGACATCTTCAAGAACACTATGCAACTTTCAACCCAGAGATCGCAGTGCTTCCAATACCCGATCACGACATCCCTCCGAACCTGCTTGCTTTCACCACTAGAGCGGCTGGCAGCGCCGTTAGAGAGATTGAGGAGGGCCATGGTGAATGCCTACATGCACCATCATAAGGATCAGGATTGGTCCAACCTCTCATCCTACATTCACATTCATAACGCTTTCCACTTTTTTTCCCTAGCAATCGGCCTGTCTCGAGCAAATTGGGGTGGTACTGCATTGGTGACCAGCCATAAGCCTGTTGCCAGTTTGGTACCGCCAACCTCCACAATGTCGTAGAGGTCCCCAATAATTCTAACCCTGCTCGACATAAACCCAGTTGACGCAAATCGTATTATTACCATGGGACGATGACGACTACGTGCCGAACAGCAAGGGTGAGGGGTCTCAGGAATCTACGCATGCTAAACGGTCTCGAGGTGGTTAGTAAGTGTCTCTCGGAATATTCCTCTTTCTTCTGGCTTGCATGGGCATATGCGCATCGGGAGTTATCTGTTTTCGTACGCTAGTTGCAATATGTTATGTGACCTGTGGCCATAAATGTGTGAAAACACGGCCAGCTCCATACGAAACGAGGTGGTGAGCTGCTTTCTCTTGGACCACTGGCAAGTGACTCACTCGCTGCGAGATGTCGACTCTTCGTCGAGGACCTAGCAAGCGAAATTGTCTGACCTCTAGTATGCACAACGGTTCTTCGGACTGTACTAGAACGGGTGCCCGCAGCCCCTCGCAACAGCCAACGTGAGAACGCGCACCTACGAGAGAAACACTTGCGACATATCACCGCCATTCCTATTAATGATGGTAAACATTACTTAGTGCCTACGGTTGGGATTCGTCATGTGCTATCTCCCCAATCACGAACCTCCACAACACAGTTTGACTAGTATGCAGAGTCTACTCGGAAGACTACTGCAAACCTTGAATTCGTGGCCCTTTCTTTTGGGATCGGGAATGCGATGAAACTTGATGCTTACGCGATTTCTACTACTTACTAGATTTCCTCAAATTTCCTCAGTCAATCTGAACTGCTGATGAAGCACAGTCAGTTCTAAACTATGTTGTCCCCATGCTTAGACTTCTCTCATGATTAGATTAGGCCTTGGTTTCCCCTTCGACGCGGAAACGAAGCAATATCTACTCAGCCCCTGGTTCTCTCACAGTAGTAAGTTCAGCCGTGTAGTTTAGGTACCCTCAGGCTCCGGGCTTCTCAAGGTTGCATCACAGTACTGCCACTTCGTCAGCGCGCTCGTCTAAATTTACAAGGTTGTCCCGGTCGGCCCGTCCATCTTGCCGGTGAGAAGACATCATTGAGAGCGATAGCGAAAATAGCGGACTCCATTGAGGCGATAAGCTGTCTCACAGCATGAAGGTGGCTAGCTCGAGTTTGGAATGACGAAGGTTGGATGTCGGCCACCATGAGCAGCATGGTGCAACATCTCGTTTGGTCTGTTGCGCTCGTCCTGGTGGCTGGCTCTGCGTGTGTGGCGCCCGAGGTAAAGCCAGCCCCGGATGCAGTACAGACAGCTGCCACAGGGGCCACCCCTACTACCCTCCCTTGCACCTTTTCCTTCGCGAACGATAAACTGCGATACAATCTATGTCCTCTACTCCACAGACACAAAGGGCACGAAGAAACCGACGGCAAAGCAATAGAAGTCGACCCACGGCCCATAAAAATCCGTGTCGTCGAAGAGACCCCGCCGACGCGCACGACGAGTGTGTATTCCATCGGGCTGAGGGGGCCGTTGGACTGGAATGGGACCCTTCCAGCGGAATTGCAGGTATGCGGGTTGTCGCTTGGTGCTGAGACTGGCTTCTTTATGTAGGGATTGTGATGTCAGTGTCCCAAGGGCACCTGGATTTGTCTCATAGGCAAGGGTCTAAACCTGTTTGATGTTCCATAATATGGTGATCTTACTTCCATGCACAGTGGAAAACATCCGGCCATCTCATCCATCGGAGCCGAAGCGTCGATTGCAAGTGATCCCCGTCGCTGGCGCACCCAACCTTGCACCGCGTGCGCAACTGGGCAAACGCAGAATTTACGAGACGAACGACACCGAAAGTGCGCCAAATCTGCCCGTCTGTGTGTTCTATGTGTTCTGATGTTCACGTACGTACGGGCTCAGCCATAGTGCAGTACCTCATCCATGGGGGGGCGTATACAGATAGACCACAGATGGCGTACTTTCAGTTCATCTGCGATGCGCATTCTCAAGAGGTTCGTTGCCAGTGATGCTCCGTTGACTCATCTCATATTGACGAAAATACCAAATACCTACAGCCGAGCGAGCCTACGTACCTGTGGCGCTGGAACGGTACACACACATTCGAATGGAAGTCGCGCCATGCATGTCGGGCGGCATCGCACATTACAACTACAGCTCCAGGGGCTACAGAGGTACCGTCGCCTGGAGGCAGCGACGACTCTGAAGACCCCATCGCTGAGCCACCGGAAGTCCCAGAAGAGGTGCCAGAGCACGTACGACCACATCCCGTCTTGGTCCTGGGGACAGTTGTGGGGACGATCTTGTATGTGCTGTTCCTTCTTCACGATGCACATATGCATGTCTCGCGCTTACTGGATGAACGTTAACCGGTACTCGCCAGGCTTGTTCTCCGCTATGGAACGAAAAGATCGGTGTTCAGGTGAGTTGGGGATCTCAGTGATTGGGCGTGATGCGACTATACTTGGCCTGAAGGCTGACGATTGCACTGTTTGCGCGAAGCTCGCTGTTCAGATCGCGTAATAAGAGTTCGCGTCGCGAAATACACCACGTGGAAATGGAGCCTTTGTCGCCTAGTCAATCCCATTCCGTGGGTCAGCCGCCGAAAGAGAGCTACGGTAGTTTCATTTAGTGGTGAATACAAAATAGATATCCTTGTATACAACCCAAAGACATCGTCCTTTCCTAGGTTGTTAGTTGGTCGAAGAATTTGCGCCCAGCCCCTGACACTTATTGACGCGATTCAGGGACGCGATATGTGAACGCGCGAGCGGTCGATCGGACCGCCGGAGACCGTTCGGACATCGTACGTACAGCCAACAACGTCCGTCGACGCGGATTTGCCACTTCGAAGTCGAGATATGGAACAACGGTCGGCCTTGTGACACGGGCATGTGGCATCGTTACCGGAGGTTGCGCACTACGTGGATGATGTGGCGAGCGTGAGTTTCGCCCATAAGGCGAGCTGGAACACAGAATATAGAACTTACCTTCTCGCGACTCGTACACTTTCTCCAGTCCGACATGCTGCATCGCGTGCGTAGCCGTGCAAAAGAACTGAGCGCAGAGCAATCTGTGGACCTCAAGTGGTTAGATGGCAAGGCCCCAGCAGCTTTGCCAACCGGGACGGCGTTTGGGATACCGTGGGCGCAGGGGGACATTGATAGGACTACACCGATTTCAATCGCTTCAAGTAACGGTCAGAAACTGCCGTTGCAGAGCTGGCCTTTGGCCTAGTAAGTGGTTTGATGTCGGGATTTACTGCGTATGCATGATGCTGAAGGCAACTTTACTAGCTGGCCAGATGGGAGTCTGAAGTGGACGGGACATGCGTTGGCAGCTGGCACCGCTCCTGGAGATAGTTTCTCTATCTCTCAAGGGAGTCCGGCGGAACCAGCCTCCCCGGTTTCGGTCTCACAAAGCAATACCTCGGTAACGGTGGTCACTGGACAGTTCTCGGGTGATTACACTTCCGTTGTGTCGTGGACCGTCCTTCATCAAGTTACTGACCCATCGTGAATATACTAGTCACGTTTAACAAGAGCGGCGCAACCCTCATTGACAGCATTTCATTGGGCGGGAAAAAGTTGGTTCAAGGCGGGAAGCTCGTCGTTTATGTGCAGAATGCACCAGATGAGCCCGAGGCGGCGGCTCCAGGGCCCCCGATTCAAATCACGCAAGGAACGATAGAGGCCGTCGTCATTGAGCAGAAAGGCCCTGTGAGGGCAGTCATCAAGGTGAGTAGTGGCAGCGCCTGGAGAAAATAGCTAGTGCCTAGTTGCTTATCGTTCGTACCCCGCGTAGGTCTCTGGAAAGTACTCTGGTGGAGGCCATGCAGCATTCTTGCCCTTCACTTTGCGGTTTTACGTCAGTGCTGGGGCTACTGCCATTCGTACGGTGCACTTCTTTATTTACGATGGTGATCAGTTCAAGGATTTCATCAAAGCAATTGTGCGTACTCGCTCCCACAGAGCACACATTTGATTACTGAATCTCCTTAGGGACTTACATTCACAACGCCTCTCACCGACGAACTCTACAATCGCCATGTCCGCTTCGTCACCGCTGACGGAGGCATCTGGGGTGAACCGGTCCGCGTTCTTTCTGGTCTTCGCCGCGATGCCACACCTGCTGTACTCACACCGCAGTTCAACGGCCAAGCGGTCCCGGATATTTCCACCTGGCCGACGACGGTGTCCTCCGAAGTCGACCAATTGCCTGTATGGTCTGATTACACACTGGATCAGCTAAGGCCGAATGATTTCACAGTTGCAAAGAGGAGTAGTGCTGGGAGAGCCGCGAGTTGGCTGGGAAATGCTGGCCATGGAACGAGGGCCGCCGGTGTGGGATACGTCGGGGGTGCGCAGGGCGGTGGAGTGGCTTTCGGGCTCAAAGGTATGTGACTTTGTTTGTTAGGCCGTTAAAACCTCCAAATCTAGCTACGTAGATTTCTGGCAAGGCGCTCCCAGAGGCCTCGATATTCGAGGAGCTGGCAGCGATGCCGCGACCGTGACATTATGGGCCTATAGTCCGAGGGTATGTGTGGCGCTCAGAACGCATGTAGGTTCTTGCTCATTTTAACTGCGATGTTTGTATAGGCTCCTGCGATGGACTTGAGGCACTATGATACTGTTGCTCATGGGGTATGGTCACTACTCGATTTCGTCGCCTCCAGCGAACTAATTCGGACTAGCTTGACCTGACCTACGAAGATGTCGGAGACCCAGATCCTACTCCGATCGGAGTCGGCCGCTCATGGGAGGCGACTATTCAGCTGTTTCCCTCCACGCCCTCGAGAGTTACTCTAGCCGGACTCGGGAACGTACAAGTATGTATCTTGGTTCCCTCTATCAGACGGGGTGAACGTATGCTTCTCAGACAAACCCCCCTCAACTCGTGGCCAGCCCTGAGTTCTATGCCTCTCAAAAGCTCTTCGGCGGGCGATGGTGGGACTAAATCGATCCCTCTCGCCTTCGTCTAACCGCTTGAAATCACAGGAACGTACCGGATATGTCAACCAGTGGCTCAAGGGCAATCGAAAAGCGCAAAAGCGACTTGCTTGATTTCTACCTCCTAGTTGGTAACCCCTAAAAACGCGAAACTTGCGCTAAATTCATACCGGGCTTCGTAGGACATCGAACAAAGACAGTTCCACGGGTTCTGGGACTACGGCGATGTGATGCACACATATGACCAGACCAGACATACATGGAGGTATGATGTCGGAGGGTTTGCGTGGGATAATGGCGAACTTTGTGAGAACTCATATAAGTACTTCATCTGCTGGTGACACTGACGCAAATGTACTGAAGCTACTGACCTTTGGCTTTGGATGTCATTTCTGCGAACTGGGCGAGCTGACGTATTCCGTATTGCCCATGCAATGACTCGGCACCTTTCTGAAGTCGACACTCACCACACTGGCCCATTTGCTGGTCTTGGAAGTAGACACAACGTCAACCATTGGGGTGATGGGGCGAAGGAAGCTAGGGTTGCTGGAAGCACGTTGAGGCGGCCGTTTTACTACCTCACTGGTTCGTCAGAGCGTCCCAGCAAGTAAATTAAATGGCTTATTGTCTTATTCTTGCAACCTAGCGGACGAACTAATGGGAGACCTTATGGATTTCACGCTTCAGGCCGACCAAACCATTATGACCTGGGATCCCTTGCGAAAGGTGTTTCCTCCTCCCCCGCCAGAGGGCCCCGGGCGGCTGAGGATTGGACCCGATTGGACCACTCTAGCAGGAAATTGGTTCACGAAATGGGAAAGGACGGTAAGCAAATCCTTCCCCCCATGTTTCTATCTATCTCATAGTCGCCGCCATGCAGAATGACACAAAGTGGCTGGAGCGAATCAAGATTGGAATGGTGCGTCTACACTTGTGCTTTGCGGAAAACACGATTGTTCACAATTGCTGTAGCGTGACATTGGTGGCTTTAAATTTGGACTCTTTACTGGCAACGGTGCTGCAGTAGGCTGGAATGCTGATACCGCCCATTTGGTCGATGAGGGCGGCGAAGGATTAGGATCGTACGTTGCTGATTCAAACGGGATACAGTGCCTACTCATTATGTTGCAAATAGCTATCATCTGACGATGATATTCGGAGGGGGAGAACTTTTGATGGAAGCTATGGACTTGATCAAAGACGAACCCGAGTTCGATGCTGCTTGGTTGGACTTCTGTCGGTTGTATAACGCCTCAAACGCAGAGTAAGTAGGTTACGTTCTTTTTCGTGGATGCGGTATTGAAACTATTCCTAGCAAAACGGCTAGATATGGGAAGTCGTTCTCAAGTGGTGGCTTTACGCAGGTGAGGGAATATCGCAATTCGATGTGAGCTTAGTCTAACATTGCTCCTAGTACTATGCCAAGTTGCAAGCCTACGCAGGTAGGCTTCCCGGTCTATTTTATTTTGTCTTGTCCTCATATAATAATAGGCCAAAGGTTAAACGACGTTTCTATCAAGCAAGCTGCGTGGAACTTTATAAACACTAATCAAGTTGGCGTCTGGGCTCCCGTTGTGGATGTGGGAGGAACCGATGTGATTAATCCTATCAAAGAGGTGTGTTGGTGGTGTTTATAATCTCCTGTAGCCCATGTTAGTCATCCTTTTCTTATAGATCCCAAACCTCGCGACAAACGACGCAGGCCAACTCTCTTTATCCGAATACGCAGTCCTCGCCATCGCCCCGGAATTGGCCCCAAATAGTTTGAGTGCATTGTCAACCCATTCTATTTCTGAGACTAGCACGGTGGCGGAGGATCCCATTCACGAGAAGCATACTAGAGGCGATGTTCACCGCAAGACTGGAATAATGCGGTTCTGGAAGAAGTTCATGTGTTTGTAACCCATGCGTGTTCAATGCAACAGATTACTGCGTATAGACTGCTGCTTTGCTGTCGAAAAGGGCCCAGTGCCGTTGCCTATGATGGTACATAAAAACGACACCCTTTACTACACTCAATGCGCACTGCTCACCATGAACAGGAATACTATGTGCTCCCCACGATCGCCTCGATCACCTAGCCACGTTTCTACATAGAAGCGCTCGGTACCAGTATACTTTCTGGCAACCCACGGGCACTGCGCAAGAACTCATTGCGTCCGCCTGGCTCCCTTAATGTCGAGGCATCTATATAAAGTGTACCCCTGATATGAACTACAGCATTCTCAAGCTTCCCACCAGTGCCAATGGCGAGTACAACGTCTAGGTCTTCGACGCCTAGGGTAGGCTCGCCGCCGATGGCAAACACACCGCCTATGGCAAGCTCCACGCCAATACTGCTTTCGCGCCCTGCGCCTCCAGGCTACACTTCTATTCCAGAGGGAATAGATGCGACACCGTGTAGTCCTGAACAGTACGCCCAGTCACAGGACCCTACGGTTTCCAGCATTGTAGATGTACCACCGATGGACTTCTTGTCCATGAGACCTACCTCAAGTGTGTTGAGCGACTTCGCCTACGACGGGCCATATCCTCATGAACGGACGAGTACCAGGCGATCTGCATATTACCGAGGCGAATCGCAGTTGTCACCGCCGAGAACCGAGCGTCGACCATCTGCGCCGTCTGAACCGTTCCTACTTTCGCCTCTGCTGAACACTGCTACACCGTCCCCCTCTCCACATGCAGCACTACAACGCCCTCCACCGCACCATCGTCGGGAATCAACCTCTGGATCGTCCTTCACTATCACATCAGGTTCCACCAAGATTAATCCCACAAACTACGTCTCTCTCAGTCGGAGCAGCACATGCAAGAGAAATCTAGTCTCACTACTCAGAAACAGCTCCCAATCAAAGGCCATTTCGCTATAAATCCGTTTATGCACGTACCGGGGAATTTGCTAGCAAGTCTTCCGGAATCAGAGAACTCGTCGAATCAGTTTAGTAGGAAGCTGAACTTGCGGCTGGACGTGCAGAATGGGGGGATCGACGTCGATATCCACCTCCTCGGCGATGCCGCGAGGGCTGGGGAAGGCGGAAGGAAGGAACGTGCATTTCTGCACCTCGAGGTAAAGGATGGGTATGAGCAAGGCCTGGACAAATTCCCCCTCGTCACAAGAATAGTGAGTTACCCTCGGATGCGTTCATAATGGGAGTATTACCAGATACTCACATTAATCTAATCAGCACACGCCCGATCTAGCTCGGCCACCATTCCACTTAGTCGCCAACGCCGTCAACGGCTACGTATCTCTCCACCTTCCGAACTCGTTCCATGGCCTCCTTACCGTCCACGTTTCGGCCGGAGACCTCGAGAAACACATCGAAATCGCATCGGGGCTAATGGCGCACGCCGTCCTGCTCCGCGAGACCACTGATTCTCGAAGTTATTTCATCGGGGAGATGGGCGGTTGGGTCAAGAACGAGGATAATTGGGAAGGAGACGAAATCGTTGCGTCGGTGGAGCATGGACTGGTGAGGGCCCAATTCGAGGACGAGAAGGGGCAGGATCTGTTTCGTAACCTCCTTTGGAAGTATGCTGGTCTGTGAACAACCATCAACTATGTTCAAGCGACAGTATGCAGATATGCCACCACCTCATGTACATAGGTTCTCAGAGCAAAGTAATTTATAAATTCGTCACGTTCATAATGATCAGCACTGTAGATTAGGATTAGTGGTGTGATTCGCTGACTCGGGCCTTGTGTCCGCTTTTAACTCTTTCCATCACCTTCATGACTTCCCTGTCCCAATCCGTGCGCACTGCGATTAGAGTGCTGAATACGGAGCAGTAGACGAGAGAGACCGTAAGGCCGATCCACAATCCGTATAGGCCGAGATTCCACGAGAAGGTCAGCCACATGCCGAAGGGGATGCCAACCACGTAGTACGCGCTAGAACAAACATGTCAATGAGATAGTCGTTAGTAAATGAGTGTAGTATACCTGAGATTCAACAATGCGCCCGTGAACTGAGGCAATTACATAAATGAGATTGGTTTTTTAGGCATGAAATACACTAATTGACGCACTTGTTTACCGCGAGCTCGCAGGATACCAGACGTGACAGCAGATGTACCATCGAAGACTTGGAAGAGCGCCACCAAGGGAAGAATGGACGCAACGAGTTTAACGACCTCTGGAAAAATAGGAGGAAACCGTCAATAAACGCTCGACTATAAAACAGACGCTGTATAGTTACCAGGATCATCATTGAAGAGGAGAGCCCATGATTTGCGGAATATGAGGAACATAGCACTATAATCAAATGTCGGTATGAGGATCAATTATGAGGATGTTTGTTACTGACCTCCAGATGAAGGCAATTCCAACTCCCATAACAATAGCAGTGTTCGCCGCAATGCCTGCTCTTCGGGCCTTCTCTTCGCCTAACAGGTTTCCAATTCTAGAGGGCTATCGTAAGAGAAGAGCTGCAACGAGGGGATCAGCACCAACCTGACGGAAGTAGCTACAGCTAAAGCGAAGGGGGCCTGGAAGGTCGTAGACGCAGAAACTAACAGAACGGATTGGGTAGCGAGAACGGCGGGACCTAGCCTAAGTGGAAATGCCGAGTTAGGCGGCATCCTGGCCGTTTGTGAATGAACAAACTTACAGACTGGCAGCAAGACCCACGAGCTCCCAAGCCCACCATTCAGACGCGGTTTGTCCTGTTCTCACAGTAAGGCGAGGGAAATTTGAAAGTAGAATATTACGGACCAACTCCAGCAAGGCCAAGTTGCACCAAGATGCCTAGACTTGTAAAGGTTCTACGAGAAAGGGGATGCCACGCAGTCTTCGGTACATACGCCACACCATAGACGATAGATGCAAGGGAAACGAGGTTGAATGAGATGGCGCTAGCAATCGGTGCGCCGATATATCCGAGGCGAATGGGCTCGGGCCCCCATACTACGATTGGTTTAGCCCAACTTCGTTCTAGATAGGGAATATCGTACCAAGCGCGTAGTTCAGTAGGGCATTGATCGGCGCGACAACGAAGATGATCCGTGTAGGAACAGCAAAAAGCCCTTGTGACTGGAAGTACCGCCTGCACACGTAAACGCGAATTAATCAATCAATGTTAGGGAAATCAACCGGTCGAGTGTTACTCACCGACTCACACAGTTGAAGGCATAAGCTAAGGTACCAAAGGAGGTCGGTTAGTAAATGGGGTCCGTGTAACACGGTAAAGAGATGCAAACCCGGTAAGCCAAATGATATCCATCGCAGGTAAACAGCAGCAAGTCTAGCAACCTCCGGATCTTGCTTCAAGAACAGGAGGAGGTTCTCTGCGTTGAGCCAGATGCCCAGTATAGGCTATTGCGAGGGGGAGGGGGATTGTTAGGGGGTTGCATACGCGAAGTCTAAGGAAACTCACTACAAGTGTCGCCGCCATAACCACACCTGAGGCATTAGGGTTCAGAAGAACGCTGCGGAGTTGAAAGAAATGGGGTGCGTACACATTCTCTGCGACCAAAGTCCTACCAACTGTGGATCAGATGACGTCCACGCAGCAGGGAGCATGGTATCCAAAGCACTGGTAAAGCCTTGGATGATACTAAACCCCGAAACACTGGCAGTCATGGAGCCAAGTGTGATGGCTGCGAGGGCCGTCATCGATAAGTGACCAATAGATACAACAGAAGCCATTACCAGGCTGTATTCGAGCAGATGCGTGCTGTATCAAGAACGGTTGAGAGTAAAAGGAACGAGATAAGGCCGTCAGACGAACCCGTATACCGGGAGTGCGTATCGTGTGAGCACTCTCAGCTCTTCCCAGAACATCGACATCGTCGTCTGCCTATCTGCATTGTCCCCGTCATTGCTCTCTATCATTCGGGGAACATCAGGCGCAGGCAGCAACGGTGTAGTCTCAGAGACGTTCGACGCTGAGCGGTGTGAATGCCTAGATGGCATGGTCATGACAGTGGGGCGGCGGAGGTAGGGTGCGGAGGGAAAACTCTTCCGCCGCGGGCTGTGAGCTCGCGAGTCTACGCGTTCAGTGGAGTTACTTGATGATATGGATCGCTCGTCCTCGTCCTCTGAGTCAATGGACTCCTCATTGTCTGGGTGCGCTGCGGCGTACCGCGACACAATGGCATAATCGGATGGAAGTGAAGCAGGGCCTTGGTAGTGGGCAAAGGTGGCCGACATTCTGGCACTGCGCACCAGTAATGGTGATGGAGCGAAGGAAAGATGCTTAGCGTATGTCAGCGTCTTGGGATGCTCCGATGTAGCGAAAATTTGAGGGGTGTCCTGAGCAACACGTGATTCCCGATCGTGTTTCTGCTTCGGCCCGTGTTTGTCGGTCAGCTCAGGGTTGGGCTGTAGGAGCATTCTAGAGAAAGGCGGCCTTCAAGTACGTCTCACCTTTATATGACCTCCAGCAACCAGATGGGGCGAGGCATCCGAGCAAAGGACGTCAAACTTATGGGCACTGAGCTGAATGGGAAGGTGAGAGTTAAATTCTGGCACTACCCACTGCAATTAATACCGATGGTCCCATCGCGCATCACACTAGTAGAGTAAGTTAACTCGACTCAAGTTGAATTAGAATACCGCAAATTTATAAGAATTCAAGCCCCATGCCAACTTGAAGTCCTTTTCTCGACGCGTCACTCTCGCTCGCGACCAGCGGGACACCGAAATTAACTTCTACTCTGACGGGATCGAAGCGATATACCAGACCCAGGCCGACAGAGACCGACGGTCTTGTCAATGTGTTACGGATCGTCGATGTCAGTGGACGGCCTACATTCGCATTATTGAGCCAACGAAGGGATTGTCAGAAAATTAGGTTACATACTTTGATCAACAATGTCCAAGCGCCCGGCGTTGACGAACCCGTGTATTTTTATCGGCCAGTGGGGTTTCTGGGGAATGCTCGAGAGGATGCTGAGCCCGGTGCTCCAGAATATATCGCCCCCGAGGGAATCGGCTGGAGGAAGCGAGATACGTCAGTGCTAAAACTATGTTATAATTGAAGGTGACTTACAGCCGTCTCTCGGGCCCAGCCCGTTGTGGCGGAACATGCGAACACTGGTTGGGCCTCCGAGGTGGAATCGGTCCGAGAATAAGGAGGGCTTGTCACGAAGGGACCAAAGCAACCCAGCGCGAGACCCCCAAGATAGTGACTAGGAAGGGTCATTATATGAGTAGACTATGGTCAAGAATGCACGCACCACGCCAGGCCAAATAGACCGCGAGACCTGGGCTTCAGACTCAACCTTGTAGAATGCTGCATCTCCTCCCAGACCTGCCAACTCTTGGTAGAATTTGGCATAGTGTCCTCGAGTCGCAGTAATACGGTCGTCGCGCGAGTCTATGGTCCATGTATGCGAGATGGCCGACTTGGTCGTTTGGCCAGCACATCTCCGCATACTTATCGAGGCAGCTGGCGCGAAAGCACCAATATGCCTTATAACCGCCTCGTAGGTGATTTCATGCATTCCCAGACCACGATTCGACGATCCTGTCTGCGCGATGAATTATGGGTTGGCCGAACGATGGCGTAGCCGACCTAGCTCACCCTGACAGATGCTTTGAGGCCACGAAGCGTCTCGAACGACGACGCGAATGTCGTGTTATCCCGTTCCATGCCATATGCTGATAGCTCACCGCGCGTTCCTAGGTCTGATGACAGCGGGACTTCTAGAGAGGCTCGGAACGACCGCCGGGTTTTGGTACCCATGGATAGGTTCGCCTCGAAGGTCTCTGCACCACCAAAGACATTACGGACGCGTGCTGTCGCGCTCTACCGCTAGCTCGCTCAACCCGAACGAAGGTGACACAACAAAAGAACTCACGGCATTCCCCTCCTCGTTCCCCAGCTCCGTGGAGGTATTGAGGTAAAACCTCCCCTTTTCCCTCGTTTTGAAGACCAGATCGACAGCACCAGCGTCGGCCATCACATCTCGCGCCTCTTCTATCCTGACTTCCACCGACTTGAAAATATCTGTCTCGTGGAGCCTTCGGCTCATTTTTCGCGTGGTATGGAGGACAGACCCCAAGTCCTGGGGCCCAGAGGTGCATTCCGAGAGGATGGGGCGAATGAGGGATCCAATGAATGATTGTCGTGTGTTCGACGCGCCCTCGACGCGGACCGAAGATACGGAGATGGGGGTATGCAAATTCGAGTTTATCTATCTCATTTTAGCCCATGCGAGCATAACCTAGCACATACCACTCACCACCTCAGTGAGATGCATCACCGCCGACTCGTACTCCCCCTTCAGTCGTCTCGCTATCCGGCCCTCCTGCCACTTCAAGACCTTTTGCACATCCTCAGCGTATGGTTCGTTATCGCGGGGCGCCGCGGTTGATTGCAGTGGCGGCTTCAGTGACGGCATGTGCGTAGTATCTTCTATGCCCCGGGTAGTCATCCTCTGGCAGCGTTAAGACTGGAATTTTGCTGGACTTGCGGTGAATGTCGACGCGTCCCGCTTGTTTCCGGGAGGCATATCACGTGGTGTCACTTCACCAATTGTGGCGCCCAAGGGGAGTACGCGATAAGAAAAAGCAAAAAGGTAGCCCTCAAAACCGTTGTGGCAGTACACCCAACGTCCAACCTCGTGTGAGCTTAAATATGGGTATATCCCCCCGAGCTAGTGTCCGACGCGGCTGGTTGATACTCAACACATATGCCAATTTGTTTTAATGAATGAAAATTATTTATATAATCAATTAGACTAGGAAGTGAGTAAATGGAGGCTGGTACATGTAAGTGAGAATCATACAGACATATACATACCTTGCACCTCAGAATGGTGCCAACTAAGGAGTAAGTACAGTACAGAATAGAAGAAGACATAGTTGTTGGAATCGTAAGGGAACACTCCTACTTTCTCCTATTTCTCCTGTCACTATCCCTCCCCCTTGTTCCTTTCTCTTTGTGAAGGATGTGAACCTCTCAAATCCATACTTTTGAGAATTGCAGGAGCCGTGGTCAGTGCGATTGATGTGTTGAGTTGTAGTCTTTATACAGTGACTGAGTTGTGTCTTCTGCCCTTCTTACTTTACTCGCAGTGGCCTCCGCGTAATTTGTTGTTATACCTGTTTGGGATTTTCATGGCACTGCGTGCCCTACCACACTGCTCCTTTTTTATTCAGTTTTTGAAGACATTCTATCGACGTAAAGGATTCTTGCCCATAAAAGAATTAAACTGCAAAGGGATCCTGATTTTCGATTTTAGTAGGGCATTTTTATGGAAGGCAGACAAAGGGTACAACGCTCAGACATGGTGGATGTGCTTACGTAAATTTGAAATACACAGCAGTCGGAAGTGCTGATAACCGTTCGGCGCTTTTGACCTTCTCTTTCACGTACTACGATGGTGTCTCCCCCAAAACCTTGGGAACGGTCTGGCGCAGCAGCAGCAGCTTCGTCTTCGGCGCTGCCGCAGACTCCAGTGGCCACTTCATCTTCGCAGGCTGCTTCATCAACTCAATCACAGGCATCCAACTCACAAATTCCAACGGTACCCGAACGACCAGCATCGTTGCCACCTTCTGCGGGAGCAATGAACCAATCCTCACTTTTACCTGGAGCCTCTTCTGCTATGACCTCGCCGTACTCGACACCCTATTCACGGCTGGGATCGTATGGAACAGGATATGGAGCAGGAACTGGATACGGCGGGCTTGGTTCCTATGGCTCATCGTATGGGGGATTAGGCTCTTACGGAGGATATGGATCGTACGGAGGAATGGGTGGAATGGGTGGAATGGGAATGGGTGGAATGGGCGGTCTCGGCGGGTACAATTCCTTTGGTGGAGGGTACGGTGGTATGGGTGGAGGATACGGCATGCCGATGATGGGAGGTCCCCCAGGGATGGCAGTCGACCCAGTCACTGGCCAACCAATAGCCAGCCTAACCCAAACACTCGAATCGACCACACACCACACTTTCGCCCTCCTCCACTCCATTGTCCAAACTTTTTCGGGGGTCGCCCAGATGCTCGAATCGACCTTCATGGCCACTCATTCGTCTTTCTTCTCCATGGTCGGCGTCATCGACCAATTCTCTCAGCTCAGGAACGCACTTGGCAGTGTTCTAGGTTTGTTCGGACTCGTCCGATGGATGCGCGACCTTCTTACCGGCCGTCGGTCTGCGGGTGGCTTGAGGTCGGAGTTCCGAGACTTCGTTACTGGAAGGCCTGTACCTTCCGCTGCCCCAGGATCATCCCAGCCGAACACCCCAAAACCCTCCAGAAAGCCACTCATCATTTTCCTTCTCGCCATCTTCGGTATCCCCCTTGCGATGACCAAGCTCATCCGAATGTTATCTGAACGGGCTGCCGCTCAGGGCCAGCTCACAATGCCCAACGGCGCACCGCTTCCTCCTCTGGACCCCAGCATGCTCACCTTCGCTCGAGCACTCTACCCCTTCACAGCTTCCTCTCAAGCTGAGTTAAGCTTGAAGGAGAATGAGATTGTAGCCATAATGGGCAAGCTTGATCCTCGAACTGGGCAGGAAGTAGATCCCCGTATCGAACTGAGGGACGGCGACAAAGTCATTGAGGCCGATTGGTGGAAAGGCCGCACGAGAGACGGAAGAGAGGGATGGTTCCCCAGGAAATGGGCTGAAGTTCTTGAACGGAGACAGCCAGTTGCCCCAAAAACCGTTGATTCCGCCTAAAGGACATTTCAGGCGCTTCCTTATAGTAGATAGATATTGAGTAGTTAGTCTTAGTTCTTCCTTTCCTCTCGTTTATTCTTCATCGCTTCACTTAATGCTTAACTATGTATCCCTTATGTCGACCTTTGATTTTGTGTTTTGTGTAACGTTGCGTGGAGTCCAGTTTTGGATGAATCTACTGGTGCCAACAAATGGGTATCATGGTACTGCGAAGCAAGCCCGCGGGCAATGAAACGGGAGGACGTAGCCTTTTACGAAGCTCGAACTGGTGCGAGGAGCCTGCGTGAAACGTGGATGGACTAGAGAGGGACTATATACACGAACAACAACTAAGCCTTAGGTGGTCGAAGGAGCGTCCGCTGAATCCGTTGTTTCGGCCTTCGTACTCTCCTTCACCTCTGCGTCTAATTCAGTGGCCTTGTCAGACTCGCTCGAGGCGGGTTCTAACGAAGCGGCCAAGTCAGTGGCTGGAACTGGTGCTTCAGCGGAAGCGGATGGAGCCGAAACATCGCTCTCGACGCTAGCAGGCACATCGACGACGGAAGGCGAGGGGTCCTCGCCGAATGTTGTATCAGCTTCGCCCTTCTCTGGAGTCTCTGGGTCCGCAAGGGCGGAGGACGTCGGTGGATCGTCAGCAGTGGAGGGCGTTTCTTCGATGGAGGGCAACGGATCAGGTGGTGCTGTTGTCGATGCCTCTGGCTGAGGAACGGGCTCTTGAGCTTCGTCGGCGGGGAGGGGCGTCGTCAGTGGAGCTTCCGATAGCCCTAGAGCTGATGAGGGGGTTTCTTCCACTGTTGCAGTTTGAGGGACGGGAGGTTCAGGCTTCGCTCCATCAGGGGCCGCAGTAGAATCGTCCGTTGTCTCTGCTTTCAGCGAGGGTGGTTGTTCTATCGGTTCCTTGCTTTCCTCTGGCTTCTCGACAATTGATGCTGCTGCTTCTGGGACCGCTTCGGTAGGAGCGGTGGAGGATGAGGGTGTGATGAAGGGCTGGTCAACGGTTTGCTCTTGCTCTACAGGAGGTTGTCCTGCCTCTGGGACGATCTCTTCCAACTCCCTTGGCGCATCCAAAGGCGCAGGTTGTGGCCTTTCCGCGAGTGCATCGGATGCAGCAGGTGGATCTGGAGTTGGAGCATCCAAAAACTGCTCAAAGGGATTGATAGAAGGGGGCTCGCTGCTAACTGCGCGCCCTAGTATTTGGAAGTTATTGCTCTCCATAGGCGCAGGAGCGGCCAATTCGACGGTCTTGCTTCCCGAGTCGGATTTTGCGAGCTCCTCAGTGATATACGACACGTCGCTGAGGACCATAGTGTCCGTCCTACTTCTCCCGACTTTCCTAGGAGATTCATTACCGCTCTCGCTGATAACTGGCGCAGATGTGTCCGCGATTGGGGCAGGGGATGTGTCGATACCCAGACCAGGCGGCCCGCCTAGGGGATGGCCGTAGTGTGTCCTCGAGGGCTCTAGAAGGTCAGGGTGCTGATCGCGAGTTTCGGAAGGGGGTTGCGGTTGGAGCGAAGCAGAGCGTAGACTAGGTGGCCCAACGTCTCTCCCCATTCTGTCGTGGTCTTCTCCATTGTACGCCGGATCGTGGTGGGCGAAGCGTTGCGGGATAACAAGGAACTCGGGGGGCACCAGATCGAATTTGCTCGTCAAGGCGAGGAACCGGGCGTAGAGTGAAGATTCCGCTTCGGCTTGCTCAAACGCCTCGCGGTGGTGGAAATAGGCGTGCGCGAAGATACGGCCAAGTCGCCGAGCAAGAGACGAAAAGTGGCGGTGGGACGCAGGGGGGATTTGTAGACGTGAAGGGAAAGTGCGAGGCGAGTTGAGGAGCGCAGTTGCGCTGTCCAGGGTATGCAGAATGTAATCTATGGCACAACATGACTATATGGTATTTTGGAGTCATTCAGACAGCTACGTTGCAAGGATAGTCGACCATACCTCCATTGCACCATCCGTGCCGTGTGCAACGCATAAATAAAGCCATTCTCCTGCTTTCATTTCTGGGCAAGTTGCGCGCGTGCATTCCTGCTGAAGCATTGTAATTAACGGATGCGTCAAGTCCTGAGCAAGTCGCCTGCCCAAACCGCAGAATCAAACACACAATATCAATAAATTGAGTTCAACGGCGTACCTCAGCTGCTCGTATATCCAGCAAGCTTTGTCGACCATGACTTCGGGCTTCCGCTCTTTGTCGGCATCGGGCCCCTTCGCATCCTCTCCATTATCGGACTCTCCGTGCACGCCACCCGCGCCCCCCTCCTGTTCATTTTGACTGCTTTTCCCTGGAATGGATACAATAGTCTCCACGTCGTGAACATCAAGCCGAATGAGCAATGAAATGTATTCTTGGAGCTGAAACGCGCTGTCTAAAGAGGAAAGGGCAGGCAAGCTCTTTACTGGATAGAAAGAAGCAATACGAGATCCACGTAGAGGACGCTGAATGAGTGAGACCGTCATTGCGCTTCGTTATGAGAGTTTCTTGGTCACGGTTCAATTTCTTCTGTATCCGCTTAGCGCTGAGCGTGTGAAAATACAATTGTGGTTCGCGAGCCTGCAACTTTATATAACTTGGGCTTGAGGGCCGATGCTAGGAGCACGGCATGTACGAGACCGTTGAAGACTGGGGCATACTCACTGCGGGCATTGCCCGAAATCATCGACGGTGATATCGTGATGACACGCGGATAGCATTCAAGTTTTAAACCCCGTATTTCCGACAGCAATATTGAATAGTAAACTCTGAATGTCAACTAAAATAAAATCAGAATAACTCATGCATGAAAATTGTGAATACAGCCATAATAAACTTGAAGGCAGAAATGGTGAGTAAATCAAGAGGAAAATCAGAATCCCCCCCCCCCCCCCCCCCCCCCCGAGGATATCCTGGAAGTATCTTAGATGAAAATCAGACTACCTCGGGTGATTAAAATCTAAATATCTCCAAGCTTTCATCCGGGAGGATATGCTGATGATATCTAGCATATCTTCTTCGGTATTTCCTTCATTTAATCACTGAGATCATATTCTGAATATTAATTAACATACATTCAGAATATCACTCGCCGTTTTTGATCGATCGATCGATATGTATTCCAAGATGTAAGTCTTACAGCAAGAAAAGATTTGTACGTATGAAATCCCGCATTAGAGGGCGAATCTGAGCGGTAGGCAGTGCCCGCGAAGCTCTACGGGACCGCGTTGTGTGCCGTCGTTCCATGCGAATTCGGGGTCATCGTTACCGTCGACGGTTATCGTAGCTCGCAACGATCCGTTGCGATATATATATACGGTCGCGGATAGTTCGAGTAGCGCAGATTCCGACGCGCCTCTGTACTCAGAGTCGTCAGTCGCTGAAGCATGCATATGGCGATCCTTACGTGATAAAGAGAGTGTCTCTCTTCTTGATGCAATTGCCAAAGCGTAGAATCGCGGCATTGTAAACGTCCATCGCGAGTTTGTGAGTAACGTCTGACGTATAGTATGTTTGGTTGATTGACATGATTCTGTAAGCAAGTGGGGGTTAGAGGAGGCAGAAAAAAGCCGTATGAAAGGCAGGGCGTACCTTGCAGCAACGTTGTTGGTGGTTGTTATGGTCCGGTCTGTTCCGAATACTATCTTTCTTGATATCTTATCTAAGCAGGACGCGCCTATTACTAATTCACATTACGGTACCTTAGTAAGATCCTCACGAATAACACATGTCCGCAGTACATTACCAAGCACCTCATGGAATCGGTGCGCGTTCCATGGAAAGACGGCTGCAGTAGGCATGTAGTAGTACATGAGGGTTACGCATGTATTTTAGTATTTAAACACCAATAACAGGCCCTAGAACGCTAGCTCGTTCTCTTGGGATTTCCACTAGTAATAGTGAGAACTAAGTCAACTAAGCTATTTCATCTATTCTTTTGGTTTTAGTATTCTTGTAGGAGCCACGTTAGTCTTTGACTAGTGTCGCCCTAACAGTGGTGGTGGTGAGGAGGAGGGAGGTTTGATGGCTCAAAACATTTATTTGTACCTACCTATCGTTTGTAGTACCTACTAGCCATCGCAAATACAAACGAAGACACCCTCTGCGCGTCCATCCCACTCCCAACTCTCCTCGCTTCGTGGACGATCCCACAATTAAAACCTACGCAGCGAACCAACAAAAAGGTGAACACACAAATCAAATTTTTCACTTACTCACTCATGGACCAGGGCGCACGATACACGAAATCTTTCACTAATTACTCACTCATGGACTCGCTCCACTCACCGTACGCTGTGACGATATGTTATTCTGCTGATCATTCAAGGTGACGCGTCTGCCTATCCCCTCTAAGGTATCGCCGTGTTTTGTTGATAGGCGTCAGCAGCCACGGTGTATCACCGTTCCATAGCGTCATGGATTGCGTGGTTAATCTTGTTGATCAAGCCGTCGCTGAACCAAAAGTCCCAGAAATGGGTCTTCATCTCCGTAATCAGACTGCAATCCAAGTGGGAGACTGCGTTATACACTGTAGGATACAGTAGCTGTCAGAATACCGCTTCGCGTGGATTACAGGATCGCTCACCTATTAATAGGAAATCCGAGGCCAAATATGCCTGCACATCCAGCATCGAGGACACTTGTGTTTGTATCATCGAATCTGTCGTAGCACTACACGTTCGTGGCGACTTCGACGCGGCCGGCCACCCAGATCCTGCTGATCTTCTCGTCGATAGAACATCATCCACACGTAGGGGTTCTCGCGAACAGAACCCGTTCGTGACGCTCGCGTAGCCACTATGGTCCCAGAACATCCTACCCCTACCCGCATACCATTAACCCTACGCTCCCCCGCCCCGACCTTCCCCAGAAACCCCATTTCATCGATATCCTGTTGATCACCCACCGTCGTCGCGCTCATAGGCTGGCCGTTCGCGACTCTGATGGACAAGCGGCACGGGAGTAGCTCGATTCATTGACGCAGAGGCGAGCAATTGAGGCGCTATATGCGTCATTCCTTGCAAGTACGATATCATTTCTTTCGTTGGACGTAACAAGGTGTCCTATTTGCCGTATGTTTCCAACTCGGGGAACGCCGTAGGTGACTTGGATTCGTTACGAGCAAGATGGGGCCGGGGGAGGCGATTCAGAGGGTGCAGGCCTTCGTGTCGTCGTATACTAGGGCTCTCCTAGGCCAATATGCGCATCGGTTCTTTTCTATGCTTCGGCTGATGGCAAGTTTTCGTGTAGGTTCCTCCGGATCTACCCTCATGCGCTCATTCAAAGCATTGATCGCTTTGGATATTCAACTGCGCGAAAATGAGTACTAGTCTTAAGTGAGGTGACCGCAAATGATAGGGAACGAGAGTGAGCTGTGTTTGTCCTTAAGCAAGCGCAGGGCAGACTCACATGGTGTCCCTTGGAGTGTCTAGCGTCCAACGTGCGATGTCCAGAAGTAAGTCATCCCACACCCTTGTTGTGTCCCCTTCAACTCAGCAAACTCGCCACTGCTGCCTGCTTCCGCTGCATGCTCCAACGCCCACTCAATCATAGCCACTATCCGCCCTGCCAAAAAGCGCATCGGCCGTTGGCCACATCGTACGCATCATGATCAGCCTTAGATCTAGATTAGGACATATCTTTCAGTTCAATCGAATGAAGGCAATTGCAATGTCCCGACTCACAGATTACCCTTGATTTTGGTGGGCCGACATCCTTCGCACTTGCAAAATCATGCAGAGTCTAACGAATCACTGAAGGCCGGGAGCTCTAAGCTAATTCCTTTCTCTCTCGCTGCTGCCTAACTTTCAACTGAAGTGAGCATTTCATGATCAGAACCAGCGGAAACCCCACACCGATTTCTAGATAGGGTTTGCTCCAGGCCAAACTAGTATCATTTCTTAAAGGCACATTACATGCGCATGTACAGGAGCGTAAAAGTTGACCATCCAAGAGGGTCCAAGTCTCAAGCTTAAGTACAGCGTTGAACACTGTACTTCTCGAGCCTCGTGGAATGAACGTTAACAACGTTAACGTTGTTTTAAAAGCAGTGACGCCAGCCAATTCCACTGCAGCACGTGCGAGGAGTCAGCAATGTCACATGATCAATGTAAATTTAGAGCCCATATCAGGAAATCTAAACATTGCAGCTCAGCCTAATTACCTCTAAATAGTTGCAACTATTTATTGTGAGGGAAAAACGTGTTGTCTGCGTTGCAAGTCGAACATGATCATGAGTGGCCAGTACTTCCAGCCCATACCATCCTCTAGACCTTGGTTATTCACCCGACGTTCTCGCGTTACAAAGCTCTCCGTCCAGCTCACATGGTCTGACGTCCGTATCAAGATGTTATATTTGCGGGGGTTCACGACGTTAACTGTGACAGATAGTTCGTGGTCGCCCCAAAAGACGTATCCAACATCAAAATCGCAGCTAGCATTGGAAACACGATGTGGGATCAATGCAGCCATGCAGAGAAAATCTCTACGTACACCAAAACTCTTTGGCCTGGTGTTGTTGAAGTCACCGAAGGGCCTCATAGATCAAAAAAATGGGTCGGTGAGTAATTGCTCTAAACTCGATCACCGGGGCGAAATTTTAAATGTCTAATGCCGTATCAGCATCAGGCGGTTTCATAATAACCCATAGAGACACAGAAGTCATGGTACAGGTTATCCAACCTGTTCCATTAAAGTACTTCCCCAACGAGGTGATACATGGATCATGTGCACTATTCGAAAATAGTATTCAACTACTGCAACAGATCATTCGTAGGATCCTTGAGGAGGCTGGGAGAATTTCCCGAGGTGCAAGTAGAAAGCGGGATGATGAAACGGAACAAACGACACATTGTGACGGAGCACTGCAGTATACCGCATTTTGTAGGAGCTTCCTTTAATGCAATGTCCGCGACTCAATAGATCCGGATTTGTGCATGGTAATTATCCATACTGAGAGAACATCTTTGAATGGTCAACGTATAGATTATTCCCTGAATGACTGCCTGAGCTATAATTATAATATGATCTATCAGTCTGATGATTGCATAGGGAGTGATAATAGCAAACTCTTACCCGGTCAAGTGGTAATATATGAACAAGTTTCATTCCTGGCGCAGCCTCCATGAAAGTCAACGCGCAGTGCGATACCAGATTTGAAAGTGGTATAAAATGATGCTGTCGATCTTCTCTGTCGCATAAAAAGCCTGCTACAAATCCATGCAGACGATAAGGATCCATTGTTGAGTCGATTGGCGTGAAGGCCTGTATAGAGAGATACACAGCACCAGGTGGGTTTTGATAGTCGGACTGAAGGATGTTTTCAATAGTGCCCGCTAGGAGACTGGCCCCTTCCGTCCCAGAATGTGTTGATGGGGAGGACCTGAACATTACAGAGCCGTTTCGATACTTGGCAGAGTTCGCACGTCCGTACGGAACACCTCGCCACAGAACTTCTTCGAAGGCTAACACACTTCGTGTCACCTCCTGCGTAGGGGTCATTGAGCGGAGCTTGTGGTAACATTGATCGTCTAATCTCAAAGGTTCGGATTTTGACCCTAACTTGAACTTTGGAATGTCAAATTCGTGTAGGCAAGAGAACGCTCGTGGGTCTTCACTGCTTATTTTGGATAAACTTTCAACAATCCTGGGGACATGTGCTCGTAGTGTCCCATCATCGGATAACAGCGCGGCGAGGTTGGCATTACGGGCGGATGCAAGCATCATGGAAGTCTCGGTCTGACCTACGGACGATGAGAATCCGACATGCCAAAAGTAGATGGATGATCAGCTCACCTAGTTTCCTATTTGTATTGACCCAATGGAGGAAATTGATGTATCGTTCATAATAGGGAGAACTGTGAGCATGAACGGGACCAAAATCGTTCAGCATTGTTCCTAGGTGAAGGGCGGCGTGATCAACGGGCTTGAGGGCGACGTCGGGGTATAACACACGAGAATCCGTCATATATTTGACGATGTATCGACTGTACTCAGATATGTGCTCTTGGGAAGTGGTCCTCATATTGGCGATAACGACAGCGCGAATGAGATCTAGGAAATTCGAGAGTAGGTCGTGCCTGCGTTCATCCGCCCTATGCCATAGCCGTATGAGAGTGATGGGGAGGTGGACAGTACATAGCGTCCGCGTCTGATCCGCTGATAAATCCGTGACCGACGCCCAATTCTTTGGAACACGGGTGGTCCAACTTGGCAGCAGCGTGCGCTCCATGTCCTCCCAAACATGCATCAGAACATCGATCCCTAGGACGGGAGCTCGCTTGTTGGTGTCAGGAAGATGCTGAATAAGGGTTTGAAGGGTATGATCATCGGAGCTCGCCTGCAGTATAATTATAAGTACATAAAAATGAAGTATATAAAGCCAGTATATCACCTACTTTGGTTAAGATTGCGTTGGCGAAGGGCATTTTTACTTGTCGTCCATCTCTTGAAACGGCGTTGGGGTCGATATCGATAATGCGACAAACCTGCTGGAGATGACCCACAGTTATTCTCAAGATCTTGCGTTGCAGGGTTTCCAGCCTTTCGGCCTCATCAAGGTGCTCTTCTCGTAGGAACACTACAAGGATGCGGATAGCGGTCATGACAGGTTTCGGCTGGCGGTCGTGATCAGGTTCGAGAAGATCAATGTCATTGACATTGGGAAGTGCTGGGGGTGCATTGTCACCGATTGATGCACCGTCCTCCTCATCCTCATCTGATCCATAGTAAGAATCGGAACCAGAATCTTGGAGGTAAAGGGCCCTTGGCCTCGGTTGACTAGGCCCGGGTTCACCTCCTCCTGCCGTACGGCCACGCCTTTGCCTTCCGGCCCCTCTGCTTTCATTGGAATTGTTCGTTATGAATTGGCGGACGGACAGATTCGACTCATCAGATCTCTGGAGTCAGAAGTTGGTATTCGCAGGTGAGCGTTCGGTTATAATTCCTTACCCAGCGGTGAATGCCTTGTGCTAGGACCCATCGTGTTCCAAGCACTTCGCTGTTCGCGCCTACAATACCCATCTCCATACAGAACACATACAGTACCTTCCTATGCAGCTCTAATAGCTTGAACAATAAGTTTGGTGGTTTACTTGCGACCAGCTTTTTGCAGTCTGTCAAGGTCTTTGTAAGGTGTTTGCTTAGCGCCATTTTGTCGCGCACACTCGGGACGATCGGGGTGGCATTCCCTCCTGGATTGGACGTATCAATTTGAAACATATAACGGAGGTGATTCTTGAGTAGATTGATATCCAAGGCGTGCATGCTGTCGATGACGATAAATTTGACAGGATCCCAATAGGGTAGGTCAAAGAGAGGAGACCAGCGCTGCCCAAAAGCTTTGAAGAGCATCTTTTTGTGGCGCTCTGATGGTGCGTCTCGCCATGCTTTGGCTGCGTCTCGTAGATGCTGACCCGACTTTGATGGCCATTTTAGCGGATCCAAAAGATCGATGTCGTCGATATCGATATCACAAACAGTGCATGTGTTATGAGCGCTGGGTGCGGGTTTACCAGCGACTTGACGAGCTCCAAGCATGTCACATACTAGCGGAATAAGTGCTGCGAAGTAGGTTCGCCCACTCGCGGAACCATGAGTGCGCGAGAAGAACACTCCAGACTCCCAAAATTGCAGGAAGTCATCAACAATCAACTGGATATATGGGTTTATCTCGTCGAGCGAGGGCTTCTTAGGGCCAGGGATGACACCTGCGAGGTAAACATTCTCAGGGAGGTATCTCAGGTGTGGGGGGAGATTGTAACAGACGAGCCAAATCCCAGTTGAGGACTGGGGTGTGTGGCCAGGTTGCGAGGCGTTTGGTTCGAAGCTATCTGCAGACAAGCCGAAAACGAGGCGGCCGGGGCCACTGAACGGATTTCCGTCGTGACCTTTCAGTTGGGAGAAAATATTTGCTAACCATATATCCGATATCGGTTGATGTCCAGAGCGAAGCTCGGATGGGTAGGTATCCAACAGGTCGTCGATACCTTTGCGAGCCAAAATCCTTGCTAACCAATGTTTAAAGTCTTGGTGCTGGTATAGTACACGCGGTACAATGCGCTGTCGACCTCCCACGATTGTCTCCTTCCATAATTCCGCGGCACATGGGGAGGACTCGGGCGCACGCTTCCCTAGGCATCGAGGAGGGTTTGAAGGTTCGTTGGGATTGTACGGATAGATCGAATGGCAAGAAGTGCAGCATATGAATGTCCGCAGTACGGGGTCAATGTGCAAATGTGAGGTTGCCGTCCGCGGGTCCCCCGAAATAAGTTCTGTGATCTCGGTTGGGATGGCTGTATTGCCGCCCATCAGGTCACGAAGTCCAGATAGCTGCAGTCGCAGCGCCCGCCTCGATACAAAATAGAAGTGCTGCATTATCGCCGTTGTGACATAGGCAACTTGGGTAGCTATGGGCTCGCGTTTGACGAGAGAGTGGAAGTATATATCTACGGATGACATCAGTCACGAAAAGACTTAGACAGGTTCGAGTACAGGTACCTGTGTTGACATAAGATTTGTCCTCTATCTTTCGTTGATTTAACCAGTGGAGTTCTTTATCACGGTTCAAGCGGTCCCATTGAGAACGCAGCTGGGGTAGTAGCTGCGCGTCGTGAGGGTATGTGAGTTGGGCCGCCTTTGTAAGCAAATACGCAAGGCGTAGCTCAGTGGTGAGAAATGCTGCATTGGCGCGACTTTTTGTGTCAAGTGAATGAACTCCAGCATTGACGTTGCGGGGGTCCATCGGCTCCCTGTATTCACCGGAAGTCGAAGGATTATTGATGAATTTCAATGGATGGAGTGGAGAAGACGAGGGGAGGAGATCAAAGAGGGCCAGTTCTTGCTCAACCAATTGTTGCCATCCAACGTCAGGTCCTTGCAATTGGTCACTGGTGGGCGCAGTCGTCGCGGCACCAGGCAGCAGCTGTGAGGTTCTCGTGCCATGGCCAATCGATATCCGGGAAAGTCTGTCATCTTTCCGGTGATTGTCCATTGTCCAGCGCGTTACAAGTTTTCCGTCACCAACGAAAGACTGAGATACGGAATCCCATTGCAGGCAATGGCTATGACATCGACAAAGAACGTATGTTTTCCTAAAGGACAGGCAATCTTCTTATTATCGTCGAAATCCAAACGTAAAAATCCGGGCAGACCTTTCACGTCTCTCTAACTCCATAGGAGAGTCACGACAACGCCTATATAGAAGTACTCCGAAGCGTTGACACACTTTCGGAGGATGGTCTCGACAGGCGGGCGGCTTTAGATATTAGCATTAATTTGGCAACACGACGGTCGCGTTGCAGGTTTAAAGTTGATTGTCCGGCGAAGCCTTAAAACTCAGCAAGTACAGATTTGAGAGTTTGAACCCAGATTGTAGAGATTTAAAGCCCAGATAGTTAGAGTTCACTATTCTAACTACAAAACCATCCTACTTCGTATGTACGCTGCCGCCAGCCCTTCCATTTGAGATATAAGCTTCTTTGCCGCCGGAGTGTGACGTAAGGCACTCCTCCAAGAGGGACCGTTCATAAGGTCTGCAGCTTCGAAGTTGCCCGAACTGAGTTTTTCATGACGGCGTTGGTACCAAGCTTCGGCATCGTTCGTCCACTGAGCAAGGCCAAACTGTTGCTTAACCCATAGGTGATGGGGAGGCCACCAGGATTTTCGCGTCACCTGTTTCTCCCCTTTTGATGAAACTTGGCCTGTGGTGGTCCGTTAGTATGGATTATCTCTTCACCTCATACGGATGCGTACCAGTTTCCTGGCAGTATACACCGCATATCAAGTCTAACTCTGCCGAAGTCAGAGGGCTAAATAAGGCGGGGTCGATATCCTCGCTAGATAGTAATGCTGAGAAGAAATCGGGGGGAATGAGGGCACGAGCCATGCGGCCAACTAGTCCTCCAGTCATGAGTGCAGAGCATCCCCGAGGAGACTTGAGGAGAGCATCGCGTCGAGTAATGTATGCACAATAGTCCCATTTATTAGGAATGTAATTAGCAGGACGATATCCTAGGGCGTTGTTACCCTCCGATGTAGACATCGGGACTGAGCCTGCGCCAGTGGACAAACGAAGGGAGAATGGAAATCCTATCCCAGCGAGATTCGTTGCAACAGTAGATACAGAATGTGAATCCCAATCGCGATGGCACCGCGCGACGTATAATACTGCGAGAGGGTTTGTGACGACGACTTGTAGCCTAGCCGAACTTCCAAAAACGTAACTGATGGCGTCGCCATTCGGTTCGAGGTGGAAGGGAATATCACCCATCCAATATGATGAGACGATGCTGTCAGCTTGGCGGATGTCCAAAAGGCCCTGCGGCATGTCCAACCAAGACGACGCCGTTGTTAGACAAAGGAAGAATTTGCAAAGATGAGATACAGTTTTTGCGTCGACATAGCCTCCAACATCCTTCCATGACACCCCCATGCACTTCTTGACGAGAGCCCAATCTACCTGTGACCCTGATGATTGGCCTTGGTCCTCTTCGGAGTCAGTGAAACCAAAGATTTCATATGCGACTTGCAAGGCTGAGAACTCAGGCATTTCTGAAGCCAAATCAGAGTCGAGAGGAGCTGATTCTTGGTCAAGAGAATAGAGATGCCGCATTTCGGGATTGGGCCCCCGTTGCGTCATCGACGACAACAATGGATCATCGTCGAGATGGATTGTGAATGCGCTTGGAATCGCAGAAGCATCGATATCGTCGCTACGACGTACATCAGTATTGTCAGCCGCGGGGTCGGCATGTGGAATATCGTCGTCATCGCTATCGTCGTAATCGCCAAGCTCAGATGCGCCTTCCTCAGGGGCAAATTCGGAACATAGATCCCATTCATCGAAGGCTGAATTGTACCGCCTCTGGTTATGTGAGTAACGTAGCCAAAGAGACGGATTGCGAGTGCCGAAACGACGAATGTGAATACCGTCGACATCTTCCCAGTAGAAAACGAGAGCTCCCCTCCTTCCAGGGATTTGTTGGTGCGATGCAGCCTCCTCACGAGCGAGTCGAGCTTGCCTTTGAGTCTGTGTCTCTTTCAGGACATATCGCTCAAAATGCTTCTCCCTGCGAGCGAAGAACTCGGACATCAATTCGCCAGGCCTTTGAGAGGTACCTTGGTCGACAACAAAAGAAGGAACAGCACTAGAGCTTGCAATTGGAGAGGGTGGCGGTCCCCATTTGGCGCCACTTGATGGGTCGGAAGGTGCGGAGGGAGAGACCGGCCGACCCTTGAAAATGGCAGTAGAAGCTATAAGCGGCATGCGCTGCGCTACACCGGTAGCCCACGGGAAATCCTTGCGTATTGGGTTATAAACTTCTTTCGGGATGAGGTAGGCGCCCCAACTGCGTATGGCAGGGGGGGGATATGGAGTTTTGTTCTCAGGTCCCCAATAAAAGTACAGTGGCATATTGTACGGGAAAAGGGATGGAATGTCATCCAGGAAATCACATGTGTTGATGTCGATGAAACCACCTTGTCGTAATGCATGGGTTGAACCGATAACCGAAGCCTCTAGATCGGCAATGAATTGAGGATGAAGTCTTGCAGCGGATGACACGAAGTCCCTCCAACGAAAAGTAGGGAGCACCCTTTCGTGACGTTCGGCCAGTATTACGCAGAATGTGGCCAGCGCGATGAGTGGGAGAAACGCGTCTCAAGACTGCATGCAGCAATCCCTAGCCTCCTCTGGCGTGGGGTGCTTAAAAGAGTAACCGTATTGACTTGGGAAGGAGTAGAATGCGAAGGAGCTACTGACTCCACGGACTTCGTTCAAAAGGTACTTGATGAACCGTTGAAGAGCGTATTCCAAGGCCCGCCAAGTGTCCCTAGTTGTCTTAACGAGAACATAGCAGCCATCACGAGTCTTCCAAAATTTGAGGGACGATAATGACACATGAAGTGGTTGGAAAAGCGGGCCAGACCAAGAATGATGTTTAGGGATCAACACAAGGTAGGGGAACATGTTAGTCAACCAGTTGGGTTGCTTGAAGATGGAAAGGTCGTCTTCCATATAGTGAATCATAGTTGCGGGAGGGGTTGGTACGACTTCCGTGCGACTGTTAACGACGGTATAGTGACCGCCGTGTATGCGTGTGCAAATGAAAAGGATTCAGGTTGAATCTGTGAGTTATGTGTCACTTCTGAGGCAAAAGGTTGATGGTGGATTCCTACATACGTGAGTATCCACAGGCATAGCGTGAATGTTATGTACGAATCAAAACTTTCTGACGTTGAACGTCGTGAAAGCTCAACTGCGTCGATTGGCTATTTAGCTGTAGCGCATTCGGCTTCAAACTTCTTCACCTTGCATAATAATATCTCCACGCGTCACCAGCACGTGCGTTTACCTTCGAGCGGAATTTGAAATTGGCATTTCTATACATAGTAGCTAATTATATATAATAGAGATTTGTCGTTTAGCACGCATATCACAATAATCTTGCACTTGCAATAATCCCGGCAATAATAGGTAGTACTACCCTATGTATATAAGAGGTTGCGATTGTTATAAAAGTATAGCCATGGTACCTCGATGGTATAATAACTGCTCATGTTTTCGCTTTATTCTTCATAGTCTCGCCTTTCACCCAGTTTGGCCGATCACCCCTGCCCCATGTTAGATATGCGTCCTTTTCGTTTGGGTGGGGCACAAGCATGTTGTTGATGCCGTTGCGCAAATTCCATTGATGGGTGATATCCTGCCAGGTCTCGTGTTTGTCCTGGAGCCACATCCGCTCAGCCATCATGTTTTTATCGTCGCTATGAAGCAAGAACATGTCGCCTGGTAACAAAAGCCAAGATTCTGGGACCAAGGGAAAGTCAAGTAGGCCTTCACCTAAACGCACACAATCAATGTATCGGGGTTTTCTGTCACTTGTGCTCTTGGAGTCGGCGTTGTATAGCTTGAGCCGGCCCAGTAGTTTATCGGTCCCTTGTTCGGTATAGAACACTTTCATGTCCTTGTCGATGAAGTAGCTAGAAGGGGGAGGTGCCCTAGCTGGGTGTGACGTGGCATTGAGAGGGGCTGAAGGGTTGATGACAGCCTCTATCTGGGGAATCCTACTCACGAAAACGAAGATTAGGTAGATAAATACTAATCAAGCTGGATACAACTTACCGGCGATGATCTGTTTCAACAAGTGAGCCTACTTGAGGTATGCTTCCGCGCGGCGTTTGTGGAGAAATACCAGACGCTACCTGAGGGAGATAGATTCGTTGTCCCAGGAGACCGTGGCCGCTAATTGAGTCAATCGGGGGTGGAATAGTGATGTATTCACGTTCAGGACGAGAAGAATGGGCGTAAGATTTTGTAGATGTCGAGCGCTGGTGAAGGTCTGATTCAATGAGTGATTCTGCTTGCGGTGTGCTTCTGCGCGGCGTTTGAGAGTGATATATTCGTTGTTCCGAGAGACCGTGGCCACTGATCGAGTCATTCTGGGGTAGAATGGTGATGTACTCACGTTCAGGAGGAGGAGGAGAATGGGCGTGAAACTTTATAGGTGTCCTGTACTGGTGAAGATCTGGAGGAGACCCAGGAGTGTCGACCATTTCAGGCTGATCATGAGTTGCATTCGGGGGCATCCATTGGCCGGGAGGGACATGATAGGTGGTGGATTGGGCAGCCTGATCATAAGGTGCACGTGGTTGCGTACGTGCGAAGGATACGCGGGGTGCGGTTTGTGACTGAGAGTCGCGTATGTTTGACAGTGTATGATGACCCGAAGCAGATCCGTTGGCGACTTCGGGTTTTACAACAGTGGGTGACCTAAAACGAACGCCGTTCATGAATGATATCAACCAAGAAATAATCCGGCCACTCGCCTTATTATATCAATAGTAGATAGATTGGCCTCTAGCGCGCGGACAAGAGATTCCACTTGATCCTGAACAGCTCCATTTTCTGGCAAAGCAAGGTGGTTTGTAGCCAGAAGAGACGCCTGGAGCAATAATGCGTGTTTATCCTTGATTTCCGATAGTGAGGCTGCGCGAAGCTCAATGGTGAAATCGGTAATCTTTGGTGAACATAGTCGCCGGAGGAAGGTGTAAATGTCCTGCTTCCTGCTGCTGGGTGGTGGTGGTGGCTTCTGCAAATCGATCGATAGTGGGGTCGGGGTTGTTGACGGCCTTTTGATTGTGGGAAGAGGCACTGTTCGAACGGGAGGCTTCCTGGTAATTATAAGACGAAAGGTTTGGCCCAGGAGGGACAATATGGAACACACAAGGGTGTTGCGGGGTAACTACCGGGCATTTCAGTATCCCCCTCTTCCATCAAGTCACTAATGAAGGTATTTTTGAAATCGTCACAGAGGAGCTGGAATGCAATTATGTTAAGATAGAAATTTCCATTGAAATCAGGTCCGTACGTCATATTTGATTTCGTATGGCATGCGGTCATCTAGCGGATGTGTGCTGCTTGCAATTGCCCCCCGATGGACCATGGTGGTGTTTCCGAAAGATAGATAAATATGGGCGCTTGAGTTCATCGATAAAAGTACAGGGTCATGTATACGTATATTACTACTGTCAGTGTCAAGAGGTCGCATCATGATCAGAAACGTCTGGATCTACTTCTTCAGGCGTGGCCAGCCTCCTTTGAAGCCCGCTAGCTGCGAAGCCAGTTCTCCGTCGCTTTTTGGGGGCAGCTGAGGAGTTTGAAGTGGCTTTACGCTTTGACGTCAGGCTTCCGCCTATAAATCAATGTCAAGTCATTAGATGTTTGCAAGTTGGAAACAACAACATACCGGGGGCAAGCTGGTTGCATATCCGGTTGTTGGAAGTCAATCGCATGCTAGACCGAGTCCGTCGCGGACTCATTATCGTCGAAGCTTTGGGGAGTTGTCCAGAGTTCTGGTCGTTAGAAATTGATCGTGTGCCGGACTGAGTTCTTCGCGAACTTGTTGAAGTGCTCGCTAATTGCTTAACGTGTACGTTCCGTCTAACCGGAGAACCGTCAGGACTGCTTGTTAGGGGGGACATAGGCGACAAAGGTCCTATGAGGGATCTATTGTGCGGCGACGGGGTCAACGGCGTGAAATTAAATGCCTTGAAAGCCGGTGTTTGCGGTGGCGACGACGAGGGGGTATGATCCCCATTCTGAGCTCCATCGGAGTCATGAGGAGGCCCATGAGCCTCAAAAATGGGTAGCTAAATGATGAAGAAGTAAAAGCATTCTTTGGAGTACCTGCACCCTCACCTCCGATGATGTTGATAGTAACTGGGGTGCTGCATCATCGGATCCATATTCTTGTTCGCCAGAGACAACATGAATTTCTTGGGAAGGAGCCTCCTCGTCGTGAGAGGCGTCGACGCTCGGTGGTGACTGGATTGACGAGTCGCTGGATTGGTCCCCATACGTCTCAGTTTCACTTTGGGTTACTTCAGCCTGAACTCCCTCAGGCGACTGGACCTGGTGTGTATTGTTGGACCCGCCAGCTCGTGCCTTAGCTTCACTTGAGACTATTTCATCGGTTTGAACCCCGTGATCGGTCGAGGGTACACGGAGGGGCGCATCGCTAGATCCACCTGCTTGTACCTCAGCTTTGCTTGAGATTACGAGGATCTCATCGGTTTGAACCACTTGATCCAAAGTGGTAGGGGTTACGCGCGGCGGTGCGTCGCTGGATCCACCTGCTTGAGTCCCAGCTTCCCTTGCAACTATAAAGATTCCTTCGGTCTGAGCCGCTACTGGTGCGTGGGACACTTTAGATGGTAAATGGCCGCGATGATCTTGCGCACAAGCCTGCATCACAATGTATGAGGTGAGCAGTCATCTACGCCCTTCGCATGGACTGACATGTACCTTTTCCAAGTCTCCTATTTGGTGACGTATTTTCTTGAGGTATTGGAAACACCGCTCCGACTCGGCCATCGGATCCGCGCCGATTACGACGGCGGAGGGCACCAACGTAGTGTCACGTTCAGCAGGGCCAGAGGATGCCAGAATGGCAAGGCAACCGTGGATTGTGTTGATTGTACCAATGCGCTGAGAAAGCTACTAAGGGTCAATACCCTATTCTAGCGATGGGATACGCTGGGACTGACCTCGTCTCGTAAACATTGATTTTCGGAAGCGAACTTGATGATGGATGAGAACGACGTCGTGATCAGCATCGTACACGTACATGCATGGTTATGATACGATTACTTACTTGTGTATGTAGGCGCGTGTTCTGGACCTCGTAGGCTGCGCATTTACTACTCGAGTCGCTCACCTAAATTATAGTAAACGGGTACAATTGTCAGTGAAAGATGATATGCATGCATGATTATTATTGACTTACTTCTGTACGTATGCGTCCGATCTCCATCTCATAGGCTGCGTATTTACTGATTGACTCGCTCACCTAGATTGCATATATAACCGCGCACAATTAATTGCAATTGTCAGTGAACGATGATCAGCATTATGCATTATTTGGTTACTAACTTGTGTATGTAGATGCGCGTTCTCAACCTCGTAGGCTGCGCATTTACTGATCAACTCGCTCACCTAGATTATATATGTGATATACAGAATCGGTGAGCGATCGCGTGGCGACTGACCCTGTCCCCAACCCAAGATCGTTCCTCCTGGAGGCGCGCTCCCTCGCATTGCAGGGCGCCGATCTACACTATCATCAATATGGGGGGAAACATACATTGGATTTGCTTGCCTGATTAACTGCAATACTCGCAATCTCGGAGTTCTAACACGTAATTAATGCGTCAAATCTAGTGAATTCCGTTGGCTGAAAGAAATACAAACCTGAGCCCAAATAGCCTTGTTTTCGGTGGCGAGTAGCTCCACACGATGCATGGCCTGGCAAGGATGAGAATATATATATCACTATCAGAATGAGAAACTCACTTCGGCATGGATGTCTGTGTTCCGAATTCCAAGCTTGAATCCATCTCTTAGTCGCGCGTCTGTAGTCTAGTATCTCGAGAACTGACCTTCTGAACTTCTGTTTCATAATCGCGTCGAAGATACTCGAGCTGACAAGATTTATGTCATATGTAGGTTACCGACAGGGGGACACCTACTTCGCGGGTCATTTGTTCGTTCTGCTGGGCGGCCTGCTTCTGGGCCTGGTTGAGTTGCGCAATCTACGCAGTACCTTTGTGATGGCTATTCAACTCCAAGGCGAACAACAGCCTACCTGTCCTTCAAGCTCCTGCTTTTCGGGAGCAAAACTCCTCTCTTTTACTTGAAACTGTCAGACGGATGTGAGTGACTTGGGATCGACCTTGTTTATCGATGTGAGGGGTGTATTGACCTGGGTTTCTAAACGCTGCCTCAGATCAGACACCTAATGAGAAAGATGCGCATTTAGACAAATTGAGAATGCATGATAAACTCTCCGTTTGCGCACCTCATCCAATCTGTCCTCGAGGACGATGGCCGTCCTTCGGTCATGGAGACTGGAAGTCTATGAACAGTAGTGAGTGGGTGGAATATGCAGGGGCGACGCGGAGGATGCTGTGGAATTTACCTCTTGTTTAAGAGTTGCGATGTCTATCTCCATGGCCTGCTGCCGTGTAATGATGGAGGTCACCTACATATATATTCATCAAACAGGTAGAAATGGAAGGACACAGCCATGAGGACGTACATTTGAGTTTGCGCAGCGCTCCGAGGTTTCAGCCTGATCTCAGCCATGTCAGCAACACCACCACCAGACAAATCTCAAACAGTGCTTACCAGATTGGCTATTATGTGTTTTGCCCCGTGTAGTTCCTCCTGTAAGAGGAACGAGTGTGTAGAGCGTTCCAAAGTTTCAGCCTGGTTCGCAGATGTGAACAACGTCAGACGAGTCTAAGAAAGTCTTTACCAGATTTGCCATTGTGCGCCTTGCCCCCCGTAAATCTCCCCGTAGGGCCTGAGAATCAAAGAGGTAAGCTTCGGAGCGGAGCCCATCAATGGTGACCGGACACCTTGCTTGAGGCTTCAAAGCTTTCTACGACTCGCAGTACGTCTGGTCCTTGAGGACAACAGCCCTGTTGGATGTCTGGAGCAACTGCAGCTGGTAGGGCGGGGGGCGGTGAGACGTGCAGGTGAGAGAAGAAGCGCGTCATTTGGTCTAGTAAATGCGTATATGTATCTAGGGGTATTTGGATCAGGTTCGGGCTAGGGGAAACAGGCCCTGCCTCGGTGAATGTGTCCGCTTCGACGGCGTCAAGTGGCACACTATGCATCCATTAGTTATTGACCCAGATTGTCAAAACCTTCACCTACTCCAGTGCCTTCATATCATCGGGAGTGCGTTCGGGCGAAGCGGAGATAGAAGGGATGTTGCACTTGCCACGGGGGATCAACGTTGCTTGCAAGGTCGAAGAGTCGTCGGAAGCAGGAGTGAATTCAGAGTCAACAACGGAGGGTGACTCCTCATCGGACTCGAAGCTGTCGGGAAGAGGCGGTAGCTTTCCAGGAGGAGGGGGTTTATCATCAGATCCAGAACTATCAGCTGGACGATGCGACGGCTGATCAGGCTTAAAGCCATCAGGAGGAGGCGCTAGCTCGGCAGTAGGAGACTTATCATCAGATCCAGAGCCATCGACTGGTGGAGGCGACGGCTGATCAGGCTCAAAGCCATCGGGAAGAAGTGGTAGCTCGGCAGGAGGAGGCTTGTCATCAGGTCCAGAGCTATCAACTGGGCGAGGCGACGGCTGGTCAAGCTCAAGGCCATCGGGAAGAGGCGGTAGCTCGGCAGGAGGAGTGAGTTCAGAATTAACTAGGGGAGGCGACTTCTCATCGGCATTGAAGCTATCAAATGGGGGAGGCGAGTGCTCACTGGATTCAGGACCATCGGCAGGCAGAGGAAGCAGCTGGTCCTCAGATTTAGAGCTATCTTGGCGATCCAGCTTTGGGGACTGCCGTTCGTTGGGTTCGACACCCGGTTTCGCGTGCACAGCTGCTTTAAAGCTGGGGAATAATGCCTAATTGACCTCTCCGTTAATATTGGCTTGAGGAGACGCACAATTGGGTGAACTTACGTCTCGACCTGGTAACAACGTGGCAGACGCTGCCGCAAGTCCTGCACATATCAGAGTATCCATGTTGGTGTGGGGGAGAGGATACAAGTAGTACCTGTAGTAGCAGTTATTTATACTTGATCATAAAGAGTTTTGTGGTGCCAAAGGCTCTTTGATCACCTTTGTGTGTAGGCGGGATACGGTCACGTGTTATCCAAGCGGGCGCCTGTAATATGTCGCGCATGAGTCTATTTTAAGTGCTAATTAGTAACAGCTGATGAGGCAATCCTACTGCTCGCGCTTCCACGTCTGCAACATAGGCTGAGACTATCCTTCGCGTCGATTTCAATCAATGATGAGCCAACGCTGACATATGCATACCGTTGGACTGTCCATTTCGTATGATCAAGATTTGGAACCAAGGGCAAGTCTCCGAAGCGTTGGGCACTTCGGAGATTTGCCTATAAGTGAATCTCAACGATATTGTGAGACGCGCTACTATATAAGCACAGAGTGACATCAAGTTTTATTGGTACATTTCGGCAGATACATCGGAATCTTGGGAGCAGGAAGTTGTGGAACCGTACACAGTGGGAGTAGGCGTGAGATACAAGCAGCTGTGGTAAGTCAAAAGTCCGGCGCAGAGATGTAATTGTGTACAAATGAGGCTGGTAATGTGTGCTTTTGCAACGGGTGTGCTGGCGTTGTGCTGGGAGTGACGATATTCAAGAAAATGGGGGGGAAACCTTGCTGGATTCATTGCCAAGGCCAGTTTCCTTCGGAGTCATGAGAAAGAGACTGAGGCGAGTACGCGAGAAACTTACTTTCGACAGTGAGTAAGTGGTGGGATGTGTTTGGCAACTGGTCCTCTGGCTGCGAAGATTCTAGCCATGCTACGCCCAGCCTGCCGTACTGCATACCACACTGAAAGTGTTCGGCCTAGAAAAGAATCCTATGAGGGTTGGCTAATTATGAAGCCGGAATCATGAACATACAGGAATAGATGAGTCGACGTGGCCCTCCCATTGGTAGCTCCAAACACGACCCCTGAACTCGGTGCGCCCATGCACGACAAGGCGCCCATCGTCAAGAAGAAGGGAGACATCATTAGCGCTGACGCCAGGCATATCGATTTCTAGCAATGAAGTTGAAGTATCTTGGATGTCGTATTGCCGAACGCTGTTGGCGCGTATGTGAGACCCAAATCTGGAATAAAGTGTGTAACTTACCATGGAGTTTGCGTCAAGAGAGTGTTCCCGTCGTCGTCTGAGGCAAGCTGGTCTATCATTTCGTCGCCTGAGGCAAGTTGGTCTATCATTTCGTCGTCTGAGGCAAGTTGGTCTATCATTTCGTCATCGAGGGCAATGTTTGGAGTACCAGAGGACGACAAGGCAGCCGAAGGAGGTGCTAAGCCCTCGTCGCCCCGAGAAGATAAAGTTCGTTTGTATTGATGGCGAGAAGTGGGTGCCAGTAGTGAACGAAGCTCTCGGACCTCAGCTCTGGTGCGGGCACCAGAGCGACGCATACAAGAGCGGGCGGCAGGTTCTGTGACCCGAGAGGAGCCGCGTTTCTCGTCCTTCAGCTTCAGGGCTGAAGCTGAAGATCTAGTGTGAAACGCCTTGCGATGAGTTCGAGTTTGGTTCCTGGGCTTTGTTACTTTATAGGTGCCGCATTTGAGGAGGGCATTTCTGAAGTAGGTGGGAAACATCTGCGCCACATGAGCGGACTGTTAACGAGGCAAATTATAGAGCATTTGTGACGTACATGGAGCTGTTCTGGTTTGAGATCCCACCTATCACTCCACTCCTTACGTAGCATCGCATACCAGAGTTTGCGCTCAATTTCTTTGCCCATTGATTGCTTGAAGCCGTCGACCTTGGTTTTGAGCCATTCTTCTTGCTCATCATCGAAGAACTTCATAGCTTTGCGTGGAGACATAGTAGAAAGAAATGGCTAATCAATTGGGAATGAGGTCGAGATGCATGGCATATTGGACTTGCAATCGTAGTCTGTGACGGCCCAAAGTTCAAAGTCCGACTATTTAGCTTGCCAAATATAGATGCTATTAGGCGCAAGTTGCAATATTAATTGCGCTCCAAGTTTGAAAGTAAATATTTTATTCGGCTTATAGATAAATGACAAAGTAGATATCGATATCAAATCGGTATGCGCATCAAAGCACCACAGCAAATGAAACCAGAATTAGAGCACAAAAAATGGAGCAAAACGGTGACTAAAAGGCAAAGTTTGTCTCTTCATCTTCGTTCTGAACTTCGGGCCTGAAGTCAAAAAGCCTTTTAGGTGCGTGATTAATTAGAAATCAACTTTCAACGATATGCGTACTCACTTCAAGATACAATTATCCACCAAGGGGATGTCGGTTTCAACAGCGTTTTCTACAAGCGCCTTGCCGCCCCAGGGGGTGGTAGGATCGTCCGACAATGGACCCCGCGTCTTGACGACCAAAACCGATCCGGTCCAAGCGCGAAATCCATTAGCTTCGATGCTCATACGATCGACCATAAGGGAGTTGACTCCATAGGCGACGTCCCCAGGCTCAAAGAGAAAAGTGAACAACATATTTTTCTTCGGGCGTGGTACGTGCTCTGCGTAGTCATCGGGATGCATGGAGGGACGAGTTCGTTCGTCCAAAGGGTCGATAGGCACGAGAGCGCCTATATCTGTCAGTGATGGGAAAGGACGGAAGACAAAATTGAAGCGGTTTCGGTGGATATTTGCATCGTTAGCAGGGCCGCTGAGATAGGGTGCTACGTCGATTTCATTGAGGCGCATGCCAAGGCCGTCGCTTCGGCGATATCGACTTGGTCGAAGGGGAACGAGCTGGATTTCCTTGGTGCAGATTCTGTAGAGAATCGCGTGCGGGTGATCCTTTGCATAGCGAATTCAGTAAGATAGCATAGCTAAGACAATGAATGAGACGGAATCATCTCACCTTCTGAGCATAATGCTTCTTCCAGACGTCACGAATACCTCGGTAAACATGCATATTTGCTCTTGCTGGGCGCATTATGAGAAGCCAAAGGAGGAACACCATCGTGACAGCCACGGAGGCCCTAATGGCGTAAAAGGAGAGGCGTAGGATGTGCAGGATGTGCACCAGGATAGGTAGCAAGTCTGTCATGACGCTAGCTATAGATGTGGAGCTGGGGTGTGTGGTATACGATATCGCTGCCACCAGGCCTAGGCCTATAGATAGGATGCGCGCCAGGATAGGTAGCAAGTCTGTCATGACGCTAGCTATAGATGTAGAGCTGGGGGGTGTGGTATACGATATCGCTGCCACCAGGCCTATATATAGCAAAGACTGTGTACGTGACTAATGCATGCTGCACCATCATGCATGGACATATGCATTCCGATGGCCATGGCCATGGCCAGCTGCTATAGAGCTGATTATTAGCTGCATGCGCAGCTGCAGGCCTGGCGATGTACAAATTTTTCTTCCTTCGCGGTGTTAATCGGAAACATACACGAAGTCGAGAAATTACAATGCGTCCGGGCCCGTGGCCACGTCGGCTCCGCGACAGATCTACTCGATCCGTGACGATATCGATCGATCTAAACGTGCCAGATGCATGCATATGGGTGTTGTACGTACGGGGGACCCGCTGGCCATACATGTCTGGGTGAATTTCAGCATGGAAGAAAGCACCGCACGCGGGGATAACTTACAATACATTAAGGAAGACAAGCATGGAAGGGAGATACACGGTGGGACTATTGAAAGGCGTAGGAATAGATATACGAGCTTAAGAGTGCATATACTTGATTAACGACGTATAGTGAACCGGAACTGGATTCATGATTCGCATTTATTCCTATAGCCGTAGCGTAATTAATCGAAGCGAGATAGCTCAATGGGAAGCGACTTACGAGAATCTGCTTCGGAGAGCGCGTATTTGAATCAATGGATGTAGCCACTGAGGCCATAAACCTGTAGATTCATTAGTGTTGGGGAAAGGGGTAGGGAAACGCGGTACATTCTGATGGCTTTGTTTACAATGACACTGGAAATCACAGGTGAAGCGAGGTATGGCACGATCTCGCCGAGACGGAACACGGCGAGCTCCCCTCTCCATGGAAGGTGTGGCGCAATTCGTAGCAATGCTTGGTTTACATCGCATGTCGTTTTGCTGTAGCCATAGATCCTGAAGCGATGACGATGGGAGCTTGCGAGGGAGACCGTGGCGTCATGTACACGGTAGGCAGCACCTCCGTGGCCTTGGAACACCTTCTTCACGTCGATTTCCGGAAGTTTATTGATGTCAACATCGTTACCAGCACAGAGGGGGAAGTTACGCATGCGGCGTCTGTGGTCGTGCTGGGCAAACAAAAAGCCTTGCACTCCTCTCGCGTTCTAGAGGTAATCAGACGTTAGACAAAGGATAGCCGCATATTAGGTGGAAGGAGGACCCACCCTAACCCGCTGAGACTTGTGAGCGCGTGCGGCGGCGGAAGCCGCTCGAGAATTGGCCGATCTAGATGGCCCAAAGGGTAGGAGTTGAACGCTCGGGGACCTGTTGACGCTGGAGCGCTGCACGTCGAGTCTCATGTTGGCGAGGGGTAAGTTTATAATTGCTATTGGGATGAGACATAAACCTTCTATAGAAGGCTCTTATGTAGAAAATGTGTATGGCGCGTATACGTACGCATGCAATGTGCATGTATTTGATGCATATGGGTGGATGCAATATCAACTCAGCTTGCTGCGTACATGGATAATTAGACACGATCGGGCGGTCGCGAGCTGAAATGTACGTATATCCACGAAAGTTGTTCGAATCGCATGCATATATATGTACAGATCGGCGAGTGGTGAATATCGATCAGCTTCGCAGCTCTCGCATGGTCAAGGGGGGAGCAGGGGGTAGCTTATATATATCAGGCCTCTTAGGCGTTGAACGCGCAAAGAGGCCTATATATTCATATGCATATAGATCTAGAGCTCTAGATATATACATGAGTTGCCTAGTAGTTGCAGTTGCAGTTCTAGATCTAGACAGAAGTTTGCAGTCCGATGTCCACGTGATTCGTCAACGTCGTGTATAGTACGCGCTGCTACACGCACGCCATCTTCATTGCGAAGAGCAACTGCGATCTATTGGCGACGCTACAGCAAGATACCGTACGTGTAAGTTCGAAGATGGGGGCGCGATAGTGGAGTGGGCTATCGTGCAGCTGCCATTGCACCCCGGCAGCACCGGTCGGCATTCTTGGAGGCACTCGTTCAATCCCCACTGGTGCCCTTTTTCACCCACCGCATATATTTCTTTCACCACCACTGATCGGCACTCACCCTTTCGGAGCACGAACTTTAACACTACACCACTATCCAATCAGCCACCAACCTCCTCATCCGAATCCGGCTATCAGAACAGCACATGACCGCGAAAAGTTATCCAGTCGGCTGCACTTCCAGTACCCTGCCGCCTAAGGCCAAGCGCGGGGTCTCGCCCCCCCCTCGTGACGCCCGGACAACCCGAAAAAATTAGGTCAGAGGCCGAGGAGAAAGGAGAATGTCGGCAATGAGGTTCCTGAGCACATGATCAGTCTGGGCTGGATCGGAAGACAAGTCGGGGGCAGAGGAAGACAGGGTGTGGGAAGTTCAAATCCTGAAGAAGAGATGCAGTGATATTACCTAATAAGATGGGTACATTACGCGGAATTCTCCGCATTGGTTGTCCCCTCGGGACACCTCGGCAGTGGTTCAGGACAGTCACCAAATGTTAGATAATTGCTGAGGTACAAACAGGTACAAATTGTGTAGTACAGCCCCTGACCCTCCCACATATGGCAACGCCACTCCGGAGGTTAAGCAATGATTCAAAAAAAAAAAAGTTCGAAGATACATGCACACAAATTCCACTGACTCTGCTCCTACAGGTACTTTTTATCTCGCGAGTCCGAAGTAAAGTGTTCAACGCTATACTCCGCCCGTCCCGAATTTGGCTGCAACTGCAGACTTCGTTTCACTGTAGTTCGACGCAAGCTGCAAAACGATATAGCACGCATAGATACGACGACGTCGACGCGTCTTATCATGCAGCTACAACCAGACTCGAATTCAGACCTATCTGATTTGACCGAATCGGAAGGGGAAACCAACCTCAGTGTTTTCATTCAAGACACGGACTGTGTCGCGTTCAAAAATAAGCTGGGGAAAAATTACACGAAACTCACGTTATGCTACATCTGTCATTCGCTTGATAGTGATAGGACAACATGCTGTTTTCGCAGTAAGAGATTTAGATAATGCGAATTTCTCGGTTCACGAAAATACAATTCCTATAGATCTCCGTCGAGTTCACGAGCTCCCCCAGTCCAAATTTGATTTTGACCTTCGGGGAGGCCGATTCACTCGCTTTAAATGCGAGGGTACCCTACGAGCGGAATATCCTGATTTTGTATATGAAAGAGATATATTTGAGATGGGTGTCACTGTTGACATTATACTGTTCCTGCAGGTGTGTACATATGCGTTCCGATGGCCCTGAGTTGAATGCCGGATTCCCACTCACGGTTTTTGAAGTCATATCTAGCTCCTGCTTTACTACCCATTGTTCGCAAGCAAGTCGAAATCGTCGATGCTCACAAAAAAATATTATTCCGACGACAAGGTCACCGTACTGGAAGGACGAATGTGGTAACAACAATACGCTCACTTGGGTATCTACACTGCTTACGGTACATTATAGATGCTTGCAGCTGGACGTTAGATTTGGTATCTTGGATCTGCGAGTTATGCGGGCGACACTACTGCTTATCGTGTCAACCTTCACGTCAGAAGTGCTGCGACACGGAGAACGTACTTGTATCAGCAATCAGCCCCGTTGATATACACAGACTGGCAGCTGATCTTCAATCAGTCGCTACGCAGGGAATGCCTGTCCCTAGCCACGGCCTCAGCCCCTCGACCCCAGCTAGTTATCTGGAGGCCGTGGTTCTAGCCGCAAATGATCACCGACACATCCCAATCATTGAAGGGGAATGTGGACTCTCCGACTTCGACTATCTCTGGATTCGGGGCCTGCCCTTCGTGTGTAGGGACGGTGTTCGACCGGACGGAAAATGGTCTTCGGATTACTTAGCTGCATGTTTCGGTCCCGACAGCTGTACTCTGGTCGATTGTGAAGAGCCTTATGGCACACGCGAAGACATTGTAGATTCGTTCCTGCGATCAATGTCTACATCTGGGCCCAATGTGTGGAAGTTGAAGGTAACACATGTCCTGGGATACCACAGCAGTTATCCAACTCTGAGTCTCGACATCTTTAGGATTATCCCACCGACACGTCATTCAAACTCAAAGCGCCCATACCCGCCCGAGCCTTTCAAAGGGCCCTTCCTGTACGCGAATACACCAGTGAATATGGTCGTTTGAATATCACGAATTTTTTCCCGGCAAACTATACTTGCATGCCCGACCTTGGTGTGTGAGTTTATACTTTTACATAGTTTCCCTTGTTGAGCTGTTATTGCAGGCCCCAAGCTATACGCGGCAATGACTAGCCGCCAGAATGGAAGCACCTGTCTACACATCGACATCTCTGACGCAGTTAATATCATGGTTGATGACGGCAAGGCGCTCTGGCATATCTTTTCCAGCGAACATTTGGAAATACTCAAGGAGTTCATTATTTCCGAATTGCAGGATGAAAAACAACAGAGCTTTTCCCGGATCGATTCTATCAGCTCCTATCACGTATATCTTACCGACGAACATCTCGAAACACTCAAAGCTCGTTATAATGTACGGCCATTCACATTTGAGCAGCATCATCGTGATGTTGTATTCATCCCAGCTGGCTGTGCTCATCAGGTTCGTGCAGCTAGCTGTCTGTTTCCTCCTCGCCCCATTATACTGATTTCCTCAAGGTCTCTAATATTACACCATGTGCCAAAATTGCCATGGACTTCTTGGCTCCTCAGAGTCTTCAACGATGCATCAAAGTTGATCGAAACCTTCGCACCTGCCGCCAGACAAACAAGGATACACTCGAGTTATCACTACTTCTGTTCCACTGCTGGATGGCACTATCAGTCTTCAAGATGCAGCTGAACCAAGCTGGGGAAACTGATATAACAGACAGTGCTCTTTCAAATCCAGCAAATAGGTATGTCTTCAATTACATTGGTATTGCCAGAATACTGATATGATGTTAGTGCACCCAACCCACACTCTGACTTCAGAAGTGCAGTCCTTAATGTTCTCAGTGAAGTGCAGCCCCC